CCCCGCTCCCTCCATACCCCAAGATAATCTCCTATGATCTGCACGCTTGGGTCGAGTTGATCGCCGCGTGGCTGTCCACGCGGTCCACTCGCCGCCTGCAAACCTTGCTGCGGAAGTGCCGAGAAAAGCAGAGTAATCGCGCCAGGGCGGTCCAGCCCGGGGGGCTGCAGCCGCACCGCTCGCTGCATAAGCAGCAGCAGCATGAGGGAAGAGGTCAGGGGGACTGCTCCCATCTGACTGCTGGCTTGTCAGAACTCAGCCGGCTCACTGGCGCGGGAAAGCCACGCAGGAATACGTAGTGGCGTTTTCTGTGGTGTTGTTGCGCTCTCTCTGTCTGGGGGATCATCAGTATTTTTTTTTTTTTTAGTTTTTCTTTGCTAATGCGCCTAATCACCAGGCCCGAAATTGGCCCTCTGGTCGGAGGATTCATCAACCAGTACACCAGCTGGCGATGGACGTTTTACGTGATGCTGATCTGGGCGGGCGCGCAGCTGGCCGCCATCGTCTTCTTCGTCCCCGAGACGTACCACCCGGTGCTGCTCCGCCGCAAGGCGCGGAAGCTGCGAGCCGAGACGGGCGAGGAGGCGTGGAAGGCCCCGATCGAGACGCTGGACAAGTCGGTCAGCCAGACGCTGCTCTGGTCGTGCGTGCGGCCATTCCAGTTGCTCGTATTCGAACCGATGGTGAGGAACCCTACCCTGACCAAAAGATGATGATGTGCCATGTTTCTCCTGGTGGGGCGGAGGGGGAATAACTAACATTCCACAAATCGCAGTGCCTCAATCTATGCATCCTCTCCTCGATCCTGCTAGGCATCCTATACCTATTCTTCGGGGCCTTCCCCCTTGTCTTCCAGAACAATCACGGCTTCACGCTCTCGCAGGTCGGCTTGGCCTTCATGGGACTGTTCGTGGGCATGATCCTGGGCATCTGTACGGACCCGCTGTGGCGGAGGAATTACGCGCGGCTCGTGCAGAGACGGGAGGCACAAGGGGGCGAGCCCGGGGGCGCAGAGCCGGAGTATCGATTGCCGCCGACGGTTGCGGGCGCGGTTATCGTGCCAATCGCCCTATTCGGTAGGTCTTGGGGAGTGCGGGCGTGTTGCCCTTTTGGGCTGCTGCTGACACGGCGGGTCGATAGGGTTTGGCTGGACGACGTACTCGAGCGTAAGTGGCCGTCCGCAGATCTTTTTGAGGAGCAGCAACTTGCTAACCCGGACCCTGCAGGTGCACTGGATAGGTACAGCACTCGCTCGTATTCTGACCAAGGGGGAGCTGATCAGTTGCAGTACCAATAATGTTCTCGACACTATTCGGCATCGGGTAAGACAGGCCATTGTCAGCAGAGCATGCAATGACGACACGATTGTGCTGATGATGGTCCAGAGTCATCTGCGTCTACTCAGGGGTATTCACGTTCCTCGTGGACTGTGTAAGTGTGCGGCTTCTGGGCTGGGACGGGGCGGCGCTGACGACGGCGGCAGTACCCATTGTATGCAGCCAGCGCATTGGCGGCCAACAGCTTCGCGCGGTCGTCCTTCGCCGCGGCGTTCCCGCTGTTCGGAGTGCAAATGTACAACCGTAAGTGCGCTCTGAGACAAGCATGATGATGTCGACGGGGCGAAAGAGCGGTCACTGACGTAAGCATAGGACTGGGCTACCAGTGGGCAACGTCGTTGCTGGCCTTCTTGGCCCTCGCCATGGCACCGTAAGACGCTTGCTGCATATCCCGCCAGAGCGGTCGTGGAGTCGGCTAACATGCTGTGTCCCGTGCAGGTTTCCTTACTTTTTCTATCGGTACGGCAAGCGGCTCAGGGGCAGGAGTCGCTTTGCATCCGCGTAGGCTGCATGAGGGCGGCGCAGGCAGACGGAGGGGTGCAGGGCCGGCGTCAGCAGCAGCATCATGACGAGCAGCAGCGGCGGCGGCTTCTCCACGGTGGAGCCTGCGCCAGAGCTAGAACTGGAGCAGCAGCAGCAGCTCGGCCGGGGGCTATATATAGTGGGGGTCGCACAGCAGGTGCAGATATTCCGCAGCAATCCAATACCACAGAGCGTTCGTCTCGTCTCCCCCCACGTGACACAACGGGCCAGCACGCGTTTGCAGGGGCCGAGGTGTGGCAGGCGGCGCGAGCGGCGGACACAGATCGTGTTGGCGGTGCGACCAGAAGCGCGCTGCGAGAGCCGCCACGAACCAGGCCAGCCGCCCGCTAGCGCCGAGAACGTGGCCGCCTCCCGTCGCTGGCAGCAGCGGGCAGAGGCCGGGCTGTGTCGAGTGGAGGAGGGGTGCAGCGGAGGCGCGCGACGAGGCCAAAAAGCAACGCGGGCGGAGGCGGCGGGCAGCGCGGGCAGCACGGGCAGCACGGGCAGCACGAACGGCACGGGCAGCGCTCAGCCGGGCTGGGGGGCAGCGCTCAGCCGGGCAGAGGGGCACCAGAGTCCGCGAGCGGCAACAAGGCCGTGGATGCGTCTGGCGTTGTCGTAGCTCCGCCGGGCAAGCGGCACTTAGCTGCGCGGCGGGAGGTGAAGGGCGCGATCGGCCGGCGCCCGCGGCCAGGCGCGTGTGCGGGCGCGGGCGTGCCGGTGCGGGCGTGCCGGCGTGCTGCTCGAGGTGCGCTGCCCGTGACGGGGCATGGCTGTGAAGGTGCGTAGGTAGGGGCGTAGGGGCGTAGGGGCGTGGGTGCGGGCTGGGCGCTGGGCGCTGGGCAGCGAGCGACTGGCGGAGGCGGGGTGGGATTGACAGGCCGGTGGAGCGCAGAGGCCGGCGAGTCAGCGCGCGAAGGCACACGACGTGCGCCAGCGAAGAAACCGAACATCGCCGCCGCTGTCGCAACCGCATCCTTCCTCGCCCTCCCTCTGCGCGCTCCCTCCACGGCCCTGGACTCGCCCGCCCGCCGCTGGATCTCTCACGTCGCTTGCCTCACCGCACTTCGCAGCCCGCAGCCCGCAGCGCACCCTCCTCCGCACGCCGGAGCTGCAGCAGCCCGCTTCGTACCAAGGCAGCTCGAGTCCCACGGCAGCTGGCCTGCATCGGCCAATTCCAATCGCCCTGTCCAGCCGCCCCGCTGCGTGTACCTGCCTGGCTCCCCCAGAGCGCCAAAGCTTCAGCCCACGCGCCTGCGCCCCAAGCGCACACAGCACCTGCCTGAGCCTGAGCGCCGCCGCCAGCATGCGCGCCGCCAACGAGTCCTGAGTCCGAAGCACCATGACCGCGAGCCAACGCGCGCTATCCCCTCGATCTCTGCATGGACCCCGGCCTTGTGCGACCCACGCTTTGTCCCATTCCTGCGTACCGGATTGACCGCACCCGCCCCCTCCACGCCGCCCGCGACGCACGCGATTGGAAGCCCTCGGCACCCGTCTAGCGGGGCTCCCACGCACAGGCTGGAGCTGAAGGCAAGTGGTGGCACAGCAGCACGCTCGCGAGTGCTTAGGGCACGCGTGATCGAATATTCGAAACACCCAACTGGGACGCCGCCAGCCGCGAGGCCCCGTGCAGATTGGTCGAACCGCTGCGCTGGGAGGGGCCGCCGAGCGCAACATTGGCGGATAGGCGCAGCATAAACGTGCGTCTACGGCAGCGGCAGCTTCGAACCAGACATCCGTGCCTTGGAGGGTGGGCTGCCGACTGGGTCGCCGCGTACCTTTGCGGAAAGGGATATTATGACCACCCCAGACGCCGAAGATGCATCTCCCTCACCGGAATACAGCGGTGATCAGGACGGGAGCGACATGGCCGACCAGAAGGACCAGCGCGCTTCGAGCGACGCCCCCTCCACCAACAATTCTACCAACAACAGCAACACCGCCTCCGCGGCCGCCAGCGCGAAGCCCAACGCCAAAGACCCTCTGCGGCCGCGTCGCAAGAAGGCCCGACGGGCTTGCTTTGCCTGCCAGCGCGCCCATCTTACTTGCGGTAAGTTGGACCGTCTTTCCGAAATCTCCGCCGCCCCGCGCGGAGTGGCGAACATACCCGCCTGCACCCTGCCGGCGTGTCTCAACATGATACTGACAACAGCTCAGGCGACGAGCGGCCCTGTCAGCGCTGTATAAAGCGCGGTCTTCAGGATGCCTGCCACGATGGTGTTCGCAAGAAGGCCAAGTACCTTCACGACGCGCCGCCCGAGGCTCTCATGCCTGGCGTCGGCGGCCACTATCCTCATCTCGCCAACGCTGGCCAGCATGCCGCCACGCCTGTGCAGAACAGCGCGCAGGCCATGGGCCAGCCGAGCAATTACTATCCGCAGGCTCAGCAAGCCAACTACAACGTCTATCCGAACTCCAGCCAGGGCCAGATGCCGCCCCCAATGCAGGAAGCCTCGGCGATAAATTCCTACAACAATCAGCAATCACCGATCTCGCCACAATACAGCCAAAACGCCAATCAGCAGACATCCCCGGTACAGAGCATGGGAGGCATGCCGCAAAACCAGCAGTCCAATCCTTCAGGCATGCAAGATTTCGGAGGCATCCCGTTTGATCCAAGCGACCCTGCATTATTCAACTTCGATCTCGCAAGCCTCAACTTTGGCAACCACTATGGCGCGCTTGAATTCGGAATGCTCGGCCACATGTCATCTGGCGCAGCGGAAACGCCACCGGAAAATAACAGCATAATCAACCCCCTGAACCAAGCTGCCAGCCTCTACAACGGTCCTATGAGTACGGCATCTGGATCGTCAGAGAACCTTGGCATTTCGGCCGGTGGCTTCGGATTCAATGAAGGAATCTCATCGGCAGATTGGCAGCCACACTCAAGGCAGGGCAGCACCACTCAGATCCAAACGCCGAACAACACCCCTGCCACGAGCAACCTGGACCATCAGCTGCGCCAGGAGGGAGGTCAGAACGGCATGCCCCTTGCATATGCTGTCGGTGCTGGGCCTGGCAGCATGGCGAGCGCTAGCCCCGGGTCTACCATGGCGGATGGACAGAACTTTGAGCCAACATCGTTTTCGTCACCAGTCTACATGGCAAATCATCAACACCAGCATGAAGAGCAACGTCGGCAGCAAATTTACAACAGACAGCAGCATCTACACAATCAGAGAGCCCAGCAGCAGCAACAACAACAGCAGCACCAGCAACAGCACCAGCAACAACAAGAAGCGAACCGTAAGCGCCGCCGCGACCCGAGCGAAATCTACGATTCCGTCACGGGCCCATACCCGTACACGGATGGCTTCCACGGTCTCATCGCACTCCTCAAACAACGCTTCTCCATTGCAAAGCGATCGCGCATCGCTCAGGCGCTTGCTTCCATTCGGCCATCGTTCATCGCTTGCACAAGCACGCTGAACACTGACGATCTCATCTTCATGGAGAAGAGCTTCCAACGTACTCTTTACCAATACGAGGACTTTATCAATGCACACGCTGTCCCTACAATCATCTGCCGCCGTACCGGGCAGATCGCGGCCGTAAGCCAGGAATTCAGCTTGCTCACGGGCTGGAAGAAGGATGTGCTGCTTGGCTATGAGCCCAACCAGAATGTCAACACTGGCGGCTCGAGTGGAAGTGCCATGCAGTCCGGTACAGCGACCGGAACTCGGGGAGTCAACACTCCTCGGGAACCGCAGGCAAACGTGGAGAATCCGCGCCCGGTCTACCTTGCCGAGCTGCTTGACGACAACTCAGTATGCCAGTTTTACGAAGACTTTGCAAAGTTGGCATTCGTGGCGCCGCGTGCGACGGCGACTCGTTCCTGCAAGCTCATACGCTACCGCACCAAGGAAGATCTGTCGACGCTGGAGAACATGAACATCAAGTCTGAGGAGAGCGGTGGCAAAGATCAGAACAAGGGCGCAAGATACACGAATGGCAACGCTGTGGTCAAGCTCGAGGGGGGTGGCGGTGGCGGGGCGGGAAGGCCTGGCGACAAGGATGGTTTGATCAACTGCATGTTCTGCTGGAGCGTCAAGAGGGATGTTTTCGAGGTGCCGATGCTTATCGTCATGAACGTAAGTATAGTCTTTCTCGTCGCTACTTGTCCATCCTTCTGTCGCTCATTCTTGCTGACGGACTTACCCGACAGTTCCTTCCCATTATGGAATAGCGCGAGGTTTACCCCATACCGAGGCTACTCCACATTACGGAAGATCTCGAAAGGCGATCATGACATGGCACACCGACGGCCGGGGTTGACTCACTGTTTCCCCGGACGCTCACGATGGCCACGAACACCCCGCAGTGATCGATACGATCACCCCACACAGAAGCCTTAATTTCCCCGCAACCCTTCTCCGGACCCTCCGGGATTCTATTCCTTCCTGGCGTTCCGATTTTTCCCGCATCGCGGGCGGCTGGCTGGCTAGCCCGTCCATCCTTGCGCTTCTTGGATACTCATCATCCTGCGATCAGATAACGCGCTTTGTGTTGCCCTTGCTAATGACGGCTGCTGTTTCCGATGCCCTTTGGCGCTTTCAAGAAGCGATTAAGGGTGGGAACATGGCCGACTAGCCTGAATCCCCGGTTCGGCCAGTGCAAGCAAGGGTCATATTTTGGCTTTGCGTTGGCGTTTGGCGTTTTCACGCTTGTTTCGACTTACCTTTTCAATTTTTTTTATAATCCATTCTGTCTATCTGTTTCCACCGACTCTGCAAAGAACTTGGGAAATGAATTTTTACCAACAGCAGTCTGTACTGGATGTGTGTCTAGTCTGGGTGGTAAAAGTCCTGTATTTGTGTTTCCTATCTTCTTTATCTGTCTCGGGATCCAGCCACGGCTGGCACCTTGCCTGTTTTGAAACGAACCACTGACATTTGAGAAAGGCAGTCTCTGACGTTTGGTTGAGGCGAGACGAATTCACGGCAAACAAGATTGGTGTGATGAAGACTCTGCGGTTTTTACTTGTGCATAGCTCATTGCCCCTCCTCATACGTTTCTCCACCACACCTTTATTTCTACTTGGGTCAAGGGGTCAAGCTGAGTGGAGATCTGGCGTGAGATGTACAATAAAGGCGGGAAGGGTTTTCTTCATGAGGAACATAATCGATTGGGCTGAGAGCAAATCAGAGAAGGGTATAGCAAAGATGGTCTTCATACACGGAGGTGGGCAGGCGCAAACAAGTGTTTTGAAAGTAATTGAACGACGCCTTCTGCTTCCTTTCTTGCTGGTCTGGTTGGTGAGCTCGGGAGCAATGGAAGGGATCAGGCAGGGGAGATGACGCCATCAGCAAGAATGGCCAGACATGGTACGTCGACCAGCACTCGAGCATTGTCCGGCCCTCGGTGTTGGGTGTCTCGGCTCATGCGGCAGAGTCGTTCGGCACCAGCGCCGCACTGTTACCTCAACCACCTCGAACCCCAGCCTCCAGCCAGCCTCATATCTCAGGTCGCACAGGCGTAGGGCGCACCGGTGGGACAATCGAACAAGGGCAGCGCGTGCACAACGCCTTCTCGAAACAATAGCGGCACGCGCAATGCGCAGCTCAAAGACAAGTCAGCACCTGCATGCGCAAACAAAAAAAAAAGACTGAACGATGGGCCGCTGAAACCTCACCGCTCGACCACGACACGCTCCTCTCGATCGAATGAGAAGCAGGTGGATGATTGGAAGCGGGGGAGGGCGGACGATGGGAGCACAAGTGCAAGCCGGTATCGGTCAGTGTCAGGCCGCTGGGGCCAGCGCCTCTTGTCTCTTTTTTCGGTATGTCCACCATGCACGCTGTTTCCGTGAGCAGCCCTGTTGTCACGTTGTTTCATTGTAGCTGTGTTGCTGTTGCTGTTGCTGTTGCTGCTGCTGCTGCTGCTGCGCGCGAGCTTGCTTCCCATCCCTCGTGTTTCGTCTGCAATGCTACCTTCTTTGCCCTTCAAGTCCCAAACCGGAATGCTCGCTCTCTCTTTGCCGGCGCGCTGGGCGGCATGCTTTTCTGCACCAAGCGGCTGGGGGTAGCGAGGCTGGCAGGCAAGCAGGCAGCCAGCCAGCCAAGTAAGCAAGCAGCACGCGCCAAAGGCCCGGCCGGGCGGGAAAGGCTACCTGCCTGCCTGCACCTACCCTGCTGCTGCTGCTGCTGCTGCTGCTGCTGCTGCTGTCCTCTGCCTCCTGATCCCGCCTTGACCGACGCCGACACCGACGGTCCAGGTTGACACGGCGTCCATGGTGTGTTGCTCCCGCTGCGCTGTCCCTGCAGAGCAGCGTCGGCGGTCACGCCGCTCTTTCATTGAGGGAGGGGGGGAGGGCCCGAAGAAGAGATGTTGTCCATGCAGTCATTCCACTGCGCCCGCAACGCGTACAGCATTTGGGCTCTCTCTCTTGGGCTTCTCTCCTCGGGGCGGCGTCCACTCATTGTTCGACATTTCCCGTCGACCGAACTTTTTTAAACCATACAGTCGTATTCCCGCATGCAGCTAAGCGCAGTCAGTCCTGGGATGGCCATTGTTCAGATCGTGCATTTGGATCTCATCCCTGCCGCCATTTCCACAGCTCATTCGACAACGCTCTTCCCCGTTGTCGATCACCTGCTTGGTTCTGCCGTGGACCCTGATATGGATGTTTTTTTTTTCTTTTCCTTTTTGAGCAGAACATCTCTCCATATCTCTCTCTCTCACATGCATGGCCCATCTTGCCTTTTGGTCCTCTTTTTTTGCTTCTTCGGCAGGGCACTCGATGCATAACGCAAGACGCATGCAAAACGCACGTCCGATGGGATTTTGTGTTGTGCGTCACAGGACGTGCGGTGCGTCTGCCTTGTTTATGGAGCGGCGGTCGAAAGAGGGAATTCCTGTCGATCTTCCGTGGGCTGAGATGCTGCTCCCTCCCCTCACCAGCTCCTCTCCACACCACCGCGCCGCCCCGCTTTCGACCCCCATGTCGTGTCACCCTTGTTTCAGGTTCAGCCTTTTTTGGAACGTTTCTTTTTTTTCCTTTTCGACTGTTGCCAATAACGTTCTGTTGCGCAATTCGATTGCGCTGCGCACTGATTGGATGGACACCGCCTTGGGGGGAGCCGGCCCCGGTGCGGGAGCCCCGGTTTGGAATATGATAACCTGGTCATGACGTCTAGAGATGCGTTCTCCGGCAGTCTGGATCTTGGTGCTCTCCCCCCCTCCTTTCCAATCTCCCACACACACACACACAGTTGTGCGGTGAGTGGTTTGCCCTAAATTTTGGTGGGATCTCGCACGTGTTGTCGTCGTCACCTTTTTTTTTTTTTTGAGAATACAAGTCTGGCCCACGCGTCATTGGTGACGGGGAGGCAGCAGCATCTACTTCACTGAACAGACAGAGCAAGATGCTGCGGTGGAAAAAAAACCCCAAGGAAAGACTGGAATGTCAAGTGGTACTACCAAGAGTGGCTCCTGTCGTGGTTTTGCACTTTCTTTTCACCTTTTCACCGCCGTCAGGACTCTGTTCTCAATGGTTTTGTGACGATTATCCCTAAGGCATTGCAATTTTGTTCTCGCAAAGGAAAGGCGAACTGACTCTTAGCGAGCGAGTATGTATTCGTACGTGATATATTTCGAAAGCCGTTTTTTGTTGATACACCGGTCGCCCATACTACCTTTTCTCCTCACTTCTCTATGGATGGAACAACAACACTGCGTTCACCATCAGTGTCCCTCTTTCCGCATTCCTCGCCATACATCCACCCTTTCCTCATCCCTGCATGACCCTCACGTCCATCGAGACAAGATTTAGACGAGACTTCTCTTTTCCGTCCGCACCACCTCGATCACCAGCGAACTCGGCCAAGTCTTGGAATCGGGCGACCTCGCGCATTGCTTTGTCGTGAAGGATGGTAGCGCGCTTGCCGCGCGCGAAAGAGGGAGAAAAGACCCAACACAGCGGGCATTTGTATACATATATTAATTGCCACTGTACGCTGTCCGCGCCTTCTTGCTAGACCAGTGTACGCGGCTTGCCGCCCCAGCTGCCAGGTGTTTGGATAGTCTTCTGGGGTCCTGCGCTCTTTAATCGCCTTCCCGCCGCGCCGTTGCTCCGGCTCTCCGCTCCATTTCCTTTCCCTGCAGACGCACATGGACGTGAGAAACAGCGTGGCGGGCCGCGAGTGACGGGGTCTCGGGCTCGCGGTGGAGTGATGGGGGCGTGATATAGTGGCGATAAATGACGGATATTGGGGGGGATGGGGATGGGGATGACGCGCGCAGGCGCGCGAGAAATTGGGGCAGGCAGCCCTGTTTTGTCCAGTGGTACGGTAGGCCGTGTACCTGTACCTGTGCTTGTGCCTTGTGCCTGTGTCTGTGCCCTGCCCAATGCGTCGCATTACCGTTCCCGGGCGCCGCGCTGCTGGGACGCGCTTTCTGGACAACAGAGATTCAAGGGGCAGAGCGCGGGCGTGCTGATGCCGGGCTGGCTGGCATCATGCACCTGTACGTTATACGCTGGCGGCGGCGGCGGTAGCGCTATGTAGCAGCAGGAGAGCACGAGGGCAGGATGGAAGGGGGCTGAGCAGGTGACAGCTGACAGCTGACAGCTGACACTGCATGCGAAGCAGAAGGCGTACAGAACCGACAACACGTAGGCAATGGCTGGCAACACGCCCAGCTCGTCGTGTCGCAGGGAGGAACGGATATAGATCAGCCGCACTGAGCTGTGCTGTGCTTTGGCTGGCCGTCTCCGTCTCTCCCACCTCTTCCCTTTCCCCAACACCTTCCCCCTATAAGCTTGATGGTGAGCGAATCGTTGCCCGCGTTCGAATTCAATAAGTCCCCATATACGCCTCTGCAATCGTCTTTCTTCCTTTTTTCCTAATTTCCCTACTCGATCCATTTCTCCGCTAGTCTGCAGACTTCCCCCGAGACACCCACACATACCGAATGGGAAACAAATCTCCTCCCCCCCCGCTAACAAAGATTACCCGGAGCTTCTTCCGGAAGGGTCATCCCGTCCCTGTTCGCACCCAGGCTTATACTCCCGCGCCTGTCTCTTTTCTTTTTCCCACATATTGCCCATGCACACCCGCCCAACCAGACCAGTGCAATGTCAGTCGAGATCGAGATCACGCACAAAACAAAGCAAATGGAAAGCGTGCATTAGCTTTTACCACTAATACCACATGTGCTTAATCCCCACCCGCCCACTACTACCAACTGTCCAATGCCCAACCCCGAACCCCAGACCCTGCTTCCGCTGCGACGACATGCATGTACGAACGCGCACTTACCTACATGTGTATCTTGTACCTTGCTTGGTTGGGTGGGGACTGGGGAGGGGGATATATATCCATCTTACGTACATACATAGCAAAAGAAACTAAAAACTCAATCTTGGTTCGGATCTCTCATATATGCACGTAACGATCCGAGGGCGTTTATGGCGGTCAAACAAGATGAAAAGAATAAGGAATTAAAAACGGGGAAAAGTTTGCGAGGTCGTGGAGTCTTGGCTGCAGTGTACCCCCCCTCCTCCCCAGAATAAGGACGATAATATGGAGAGATCGGGTAGGAACGGTATGGCGTGCCTAGATAGATGAACGGATAGATAGGCGCGGGCCGTTCGGGTCGTTTGTCCGTCAGACGTGTTGTAAAGATAATAAGTGGGTGGATGTGACCGGGGGGGAGGTGTGTTTGAGAGTGAGAGAGATGGCTTGTTAGAAAGTTTGTAGAGACAAGAATCGCCGCGAAAAAAAAAGAAAAAGTGTATCACAATTGATGCTACCCATTCCCCAAGGTGTCGTATATTGTCGAACAGTGTCTAGTACATATAGATGACACGGAAGCTTTGGGCTTACAGTGGGTGCGAGAAGAAGTTGACCACTTACATCTATCTCGCATGGAGAATAGGACCCTATCCGAATGCATTTGTACTCTCCACCTACGTCCGGATATCTGCTTCACCTCCTTATAAAAAAAAAAAGGGGGGGGGGGGGGAATGTTTGAACCTACATCTACGTCGGAAATCTGCTTCGACTGCCCCCCGCAAAGGATCACCGTAGGTCAATTTCTTTCTGCACCTAGTGGGCTTACGCCACGATGATGGTGACTGTTGTCTTCTCCGAGCAATTCAGAGCTTGTCTTCACCCCCAAACGTAATTGAGACCTGGTACCATGAGGATCACTCATGCATCACCACCGGGGAAGGTAACCGAGAGTTTGAGAAAAGAAGTTTGCGCGAACGGCACACATGTTTGAGTGTCCTCAAAATACATTCATACCTCTCCACGTAGTCGAAAGGTTGACAAGCAGCACCATTTAGTATTACGCAAAAAGAAAAAAAAGGCTCGAACACCAAGGAAACTCCCCGACACCATTTGGTATGCCCCTCTTCCACCACGCGACGCTATGCTCCTGTTCTTTTCTTTTCCTTCCCTTTCATTCACAAACACCAAAACCACTCCCCGCCTACACAACCCCACCCCCGGCCACGCTCCTAAACCCCAACGGCATCTTCCCGCCGAGCGCATCCAACCCCCCACTGCTAACCCTCTTGCTCACCCTCTCCATCCGCTGCCTCTCCCTCAACTCCCTCACATGCCGCGACACCCAATACCGCCCCAACGTCCGCTCATCCATGCCCTTGGCCCCCTCCACCAGCCCCAGACACGCCGCGCTGCCGCACGCGCACTCGAACCCGCGATCCATGACCCACTCGGTGCTCGGATAGAAAAACGTCAACTCATCCCCCGCCTGCAGTCCCCTTTCGCTACCGACCCGCACCTCCATCGCGTCCATGTCGAAGACGAGGTTCGGCTCGCACGAGTGGTTGACGTAGCGCAGGTCCGAGTTGAGCTCGACGTGGGCGTCGGCGCCGCGCTGGACGGTGGTGTAGACGGGCGCGGGCGCGGGGGTCGCGAGCGTGATGCGCGCGAAGACGGCGTTGGGCGGGAGCGAGACGTTGGACACGGCTTTGGTGGTGAAGTTGGGCCCGTGGTGGACGGTCAGGAGGGCGGCGAGGTCTTTGTCGGTTGGCGGGGTGGCGGTGGTGGTGCCGTTGGTGGTGGTCTTGGTGGTGGTGGAGGGCGCCGAGGCCGGGGGGTTGATGGAGGCGGTGACGGCCATGGTTGGTTTGGTTTGGTTTGGTGTTGTTTGGTTGGTTGGTTTTCGATTTCTGGTTTGTTTTTTTTCTTTTCTTCTTGGTGGGAGGAGGGGCTTTTGGTCGAGAGGCGGGCGGAGGGTTGGTTGGTCGCGTATGCTTCACGGAGGAAAAGGGCTTGGGAGGCGGGAAGCAAGGAAAAAAAGACGGATGAACAGCAGGCTTTCCCTTCACACAGGTGATGGCAGACCAAAGGGTGGATGCGGGAACGGGGACTTTATATACAGCTGAGGCCCCACATACACAGGGCCGTCTACAGCTAGCTAGTCAAAGGCGTGGCCGGTGAGATCCAGGGTTCTCTTCCAGGCTGGGATTACCCGCCGCTGGCTGGGGCCTAGCTCAAACGCGCGAATTATGTTAGTGAGGGGGCAAAAAAGGGTCCCTGACGGTATGGGACGAGGGCCGACAGTCGCATCATCCGCGGAGGATGACGATGGCGATGCGGCCACCAGCAGCGGGGACCTCTCGATGCAACCTGCTCCGCGAATGATGGCCGGAAGACGGGTGGGCAATGATGTCTTTCCCTTCCACCCGGGACCCACACGGCGCTGCAAGGCCCTCGGTCAGGTCTCGGCTGATGTGCGGCCGGGCGCTGGACAGACACGTGGGGTTTGCGGGTGTGGTGCGGTGGCCCCCTCCATTGCCGTCCCCATGCCGAGGTTAAATGTGGAGGAGCAAGAAGAGGGCGCGACGGCGAGAGGGCGAGAGCAAGGACGGAGAGCCGAAGGAAAGCGCTCCGGCGACGACGACGCGGCTGCGATAGCGGAGGGAAGAGATACGGACGGGTGTGCGTGTGCCTGGCAGGATTCATGGGACGACCTTCTCGAAGACGGCCGTAGCGCGGCGTCGCTTGGGCTTTGCGTCACGGGTGACAGTGTACCTGATCCGCCAGCTGTCAAAAGTCAACAAGTCGGAACCACTCGGCCAGCCGTCGACAAAGCGGCAGGACGCAGGGCCAATCTGCACAGCATCGGCGACAGCGGCGAGCGCGAAGGCCAATCGTCGCCCCGCAGAAATCATCAAAGCTGCCGCCCTGCGTCATCGCGCTTCCACCCGCTGCCCTCCTGCTCGAGTCCCGCCGTGCCGGCCCAAGATAGCTGGCTGTTGGTGTGGGCTGCCTGGCTGCCCGTGGGACTGTGCGCCTGCCTTGGACACGTAAAAGATCCGGCCAACGAAAAGAAGACGGAACGCGCCAAATGCTCGTGCACCGCCAAAGCATGTGAAGCTCACCTGTTCTCGTCTTTTCGCACACCCTCTCTCATGCCATCATGAGGACATCGAGCTCCCCGCCCCGACGCCGCAACGGACGCCACCGTTCGGGCGAGTCATAAAAAACCGCGCGGCCATCGTAGCGGCGCAATGAAGCCATGTTAACTAGAATACATCACACTTCGCTGAATCTCTATCTCTCTCTCTCCTCCGTCCGCGTATCGACGACTCCATCGCTGCGGAGCCGCACCTAAGTCCGCAGTAGATAGGACAACAACGAAAAAAACGCGGGATGGTAATCACACACCGACTGTCGGTTTTCTTGATAAGGCCTCATCAGAAGGTGTTTCCACGGTGTGATTATCGGTGACGCCTCCACGGCAGCAGCGGCAGCAGCAGCGGCAGCAGCAGCGAAAACATGATGGGCGGCCCGAAAGCCTCTCCACTGCGGCCTTTCTCTCCACAGCCGCGGCGCTTTCCCCACGGAGTATGACGCCACCTCTCACGACCGCGCGCAAATCCGAAGGCACTCCGGCTTTTGAAGACGGCCGGGAGACGCGACACGCGACACGGGAGAGAAAGGAAAGAAAGAACACATCCTAAGAGCAGAAAGGGGCGCACGGCAAGAACCGAGGGAAGGATGATAAGAAAAGACCAGCAGCCAACTAGGTATGGCTTCCACTCCAAGTCTTTGTTCAGCACATCCTCACGTCACCACGAATCGACCGGATTTAAGTTTCCGCTAGCCCTCTCGACGAATGCTTGTAGAAAACACCATTTGGCCCCATCATGTTTCAAAGGCAGTACACGCCAGCACCGAAAAAAGCCATCATGGAGTCGAGTCGTGCAAGTAAGAGAGATGGTTTTACAGCTTTCCCGTCCTTAATCTAGTGCTAAAGAACGCGAAGGGGTGGGTGTTGTTACAACCACAAAAGTGTGAAAATAATGGCAAAAACCATGGCCTCCACAAATTTGCCCAGATCAAACGAACGTAGTTGTTAATGAATGAAAGAATGCAAAGCCATTCAAGCCCCCCTCGTCGTTAAAGAAAGTATTCAGCAAGCCCTCTTTTTTTTCTTTCCTGCCAAAAGATAATCATCATTAAGAGTCGTCGCAGTGTGTCGAAGTGTATAAGGAAGAGAGAAAAAAAGTTTGGGTATCAGGCGATGAAGGGTATCACGGGTCTGAAAACCAGCAGATGGAGAAAAAAACAAAAAAATCAAACACCATTTCTGTCACCTATCGCGGCTTTTGTTTTAGATAACCCGACGCCAGGTTTCCACCGGCGAGGGATCACGACTCCGGCCACCAGAAGTCGACGGCCGATGCTCGTCGACCTCGACGTGCGTCTCCTGCGGCTGCATGGGCTCCGTCGCCCTTCTCTGCAGAGGACCCATCGGTCCCTGCGACGACCTCAGAGGAACCGAGAAGTTGCGAGATCCTCGGCCCTGGCTGAGCTGTCGTTCGTGACTGTTCTGCCGGCTGTGAGTGCTCTGTTGCCCGTAGCTGCCCTGCCGACTGTGGTTGCTCTGTTGACTGTAGCTGCCCTGCCGACTGTGGTTGCTCTGTTGACCGTAGCTGCCCTGCCGACTGTGGCTGCTCTGCTGGCCGGCGCTGCTCTGACGGCTGTGCGAGCTCTGCTGGCCAGAGCTGCCCTGCCGAGCATGGCTGACGTGCGGGCCGTCCTCAGGGACAGGCGACACGCTGCCATTACGGCCGTGCGATACGGGCGTCGGGTTGCTTTGCTGAGGGTTGAACGCCACATAGTTGGGTTGCTGTGTCGAAGCGCTGCTAGGCGAGCGCGGCCGATACATGTTTGCACCAGGGGCGGGTCCCTGTGCAGGGGTACCGGCGCGGAACGGATCGTAGTCGTCAAGCGCCGGAGCGTATCCACCGTTGTAGTTGTCGTAATCACGGCGAGCATTCTGAGCCATGGCCTGGTGCTGATGTTTCAACTCATACGCGTCGGTCGTATGCATCGCCGGAGATTGACGGCCGTAGGGATCAAAGTCGATGTTTACAAGTGGAGAAGGTCCAAAGTCGATGTTTCCGAGTGGGGAAGGACCAGGCGTGCCACGGCCCATGGGGCCCATGCCAGTGTTTGTGCGCATGGGTCCAGGAGGGGGCATGCCATAGCCGTCGTTCATGCTATAGCCAGTGTTTTGACGCATCATCCCTGGCCCGGGCGAACCCCGTGCTTGTGGCGGAGGCCCGTACGCGTTCGGCCCGAAGCCGTTCGGACCATAGCCGTTGAAACCAACCGCAGGCGAGCTGCGACCTTGCATGGGGGCCATGTCCATAGGAGTGTAGGTGCGTTGCGGCTGTCCAGCGCTGAATGCCGTGTTGGATCTCGGTGGTGGGTAGTAGCCATTGCCGCCCATAGGGCCTGGGGTTCCGCGAGCCTGGTATGGAGGACCCATGGGACCTGGTGTTCCGCGAGCTTGGGGCGGAGGGCCCATGGGACCTGGAGTGCTACGAGCCGGGGGGAGAGGACCTTGGGGCGTGTAGGAGCGCTGCTGAGAGCCGCCCGTCAAAGAACGCTCGCGAGTCATCGGCATGGTCGTCGGCAGGGGAGGAAGCGGAGGTGGCGTAGACTCTCCCATATCACCGGCACTGCTAAGGAGCGGTGCGTTCGAGCCGTAACTCTGAGCAGACCAGCCAGACGACGCGGTGTTGGTCCTAACAGGTCCATCGGGACGGAAGTTATCCTCGCCAATGTGGGGAAGCGTTGGAGCTCTCGAGGGTGCGGTGCGGTTGGTGTTGGACGTACTAGGCCGGGACGGCGGTTGAGACGAGTACGGGGGCAGCGTCGAGACGGATGTCTGCGTGTTGGTCCTGTCCAGGCCTCCCAGTTGAGGCAGAGTAGGTTTCCGTGGGACCAATTCAGGGCGAGAGTGCTTGCTCTGCAGAACCTTCTTCTCTTTCACGGGTAGTCCACCATTCTGCATCTGCAACTTGGCCGCCGCCGCCCGAGCCGCATCCTCTTCCTCCTTCCTGATCTTCTTTTCCTGTTTTTCCAAAGCCTGCTGGACCTTCTTGCCAACAACACGTTCCAGCCTTTTATCGACCTTGCGTCTGCAGTAGTTTGCCAGGGTGCCATCGACCGAAGGAATGTAGTGCCAGAGGAAGAGGACGTAGAGCACGCCGGCCAGGATCAAGCCCAAGACAGCAAAGACCCAGATGACCAGGGTGAACAGCATAGTCGAAAGGATGACAGCCTGTTCCTGTTGTTCGTTGGCAAGCAGCTGGATGTTGAACCAGAACTGTTCAAGCGAGGAATGTCCATCGGTTGCAGCATGCTCCCCCGTCGGCAGCAAATCGGCTTTCATGGCGGCCCAAAGCGTGACGGCGTTGACGACTTGGCGCGGCCCTTCGGCCAGGATAATGCGGAAGGCACCCTTGAAGGAGAAGTACACGAAAAGCGCAATATAATCGACACCCTTCTTGGACTTTGTCAGTTCAGCGAAGACGAGGAAACGCCTCCAGCCATGTCCGCCGGAATATATGCGAGAACTTTGGAGAGTGGCGGCCAGAGGGTCGAGGTAACTGTCAGCGACGCCGCCGCCGCGCATGACACGGAAGGCACGCAGCCAAGCAAAGGCAGCGAGAACCCAGGAGGCGATGATACAGGCGACGGAGATCCATTTGGAAACGTTGAAGTCGATGGCCGGGTCGACCTTGCTGGACCACTTGTTGAAGACGAGCAGATTGACGGCGGTGAAGGTGTCGGCGGCGTAGACGGCGACGGCGATGCCGCTAAGGGTCCACAGCCAGAGGTAGGAGAGTTTGGATTTCCATGACGACGAGGTGAAGTCGCTGAGGGTCTGTCAGAAGGTCAGCAGAGCATCCCACTTGGGGCGGCGAGGTGAGGCGGCGCACGATGTAATCCCACTTCTGTTCCTCACGGACGTTCTTTTCCTGGTCGCTGATGCGACCAAAGCAACCCATGGCGGGCTGGGGGGTGGTGGTGTAGTGTGCGGTGACGCGGTAAGGAGAGTGGTTACTTCAGTCCAGCTGAAGCAGGTCGGAGGGTGCACGAAAAGGGAAGGGCGGGCGCCGAATGGAGCAACACAGTTGTCCGAGTTGGGAGAGCTGGATCGAACAGTCCAGCTGCGATGCCGCCAGCGGAATGAGGGCGAGAAGGAGAGGACGGGGTCGGAGAAGAGGCGGCGGCGTTATCCTTGTATCGAATGGACGGGTGCGGAGGAATGGAATGCAAGCTATGTACGAAGCGGGGCCGGGGGAAAGAGGGGCATGATTGGAAGGAGGGTGGTGAATGGTGTTAAGGTTGGGTTGGCGTCGCACAATGAGTGGCTATTGTTGGCTGTAGGACAAAGGAATGTGGTGATCAGCGAGCTTGCTTGTCGCGGCGCGGTCGCGCGCACAAAGACCGGGCGTGTTGGAGCAGTGATTGTCGCCGGCGCGGTTGGACAACGGCTGCTGTTCAGTGGCGCGAGGGAGGGCGCGCGACGGGCGGTGGAGCGGGTGGGTTTATGGGCGACGGCGTCGCAGGACCGCCTTCGCGCTCTGCGATGTGCAATGTCGGCGGCAATGAAGGTCGCAGCCTTGCAGGCCTGCGGCTGGGTCGTGTGTCGCGCGCCCGCCTGCCCTGAGCGTTTGGCCGTATCTGAGACGCCTCTGAAGCGCCCCAGTCCGCACGGGCGCCCAATCAACGGCCGTGGCGGCCCCTACCCCAGCCTGATTCCACGCATGAAAGCCGCAGGGCTAGCCTGTTCCTGGCCCCGCCGTGCCAGTCATTGGCAGTGCGTGTCGCAGACTCACCAGCACAACATGTACCAACCCGCGAGCCACCGCATCATCCGCTGCGGGCCAGCAGCATCCGGCGCCAAGACGCCTTGATCGCGAACCATTCGTGCCCGGCCCTGTCCCTCCGCGCGGCCGCTCAGCGCACGCCCGCCTTCGCAGAGAGCTGCGCAGAGGAATCGGTCGTCGCGCTGGACCGCCTTCCCGTTGCGACACCCCGCCGTCGCGAAATTTGCAGTCTCCACCCGACCCTGACCCGAGCTTGCCGGCCACGGCTTGCTTCCGCCACAAGGCAGTCGTCCGTGTGCTCGCGAATTGATTATGGAGTCGCGCTAATGACAATCGACGCTGCCTATCGCCTTCGCTATTCCGCATGACACGGTCGCCGGGGACAGCTCGTGACCTCACTAAGATGAGCGCATCATCAAAATCATCGAAACTCGCAGGCGACCTGGCTGCCTGCGCTCTAGCTCCGGAGCCAATAATCTCCTTAACCTCGCGCTGGGACCTTCACGGCCACACTGTACCGCCACACCTTCGGCTTATTCCCGTCACACAGCACAGGGATGCACCAAACAGATCGCACCCTCGCACCGGCGGCTAATCAGAGTTGAATGGCGTTTCAGGCAATGCAAAACTCTCGTCCATTCATATCCCCCGTAGAACTCCCTATCCTACTGATCCATGACAGTCCCGAGTCCTGAAGGCGAAGAAACAAAAAAATGCTGTCTAGAATTTTATACAAGGCTTTTCTCTCCCTGTCCCGTGCCCGCTTACAACTCGTCGTGGCCACTGGGCTCGTCATCGTCGCCAGCCGCACCGCCGCTGTAGAGCTTGCTGGTGATGGGGTAGGCCACGTTGGACAGCTTCTCGCGCTGCTCCTCGAAGTCCTCAGCGACGGCCTCGGCCGCGTTCTCATCGAGCCAGTCCTGGGCCTCCTTGACAGCCTCCAAGATCTGCGACACGTTGCATTAGCCATTGTTCGATCTGCTGTCTCATGCCACGTATGGGTACTTACCGTCTCCTTGTCGTCGTCATCGATCTTGCCACCAAGGCCATCATCGTCGTTGACCTGGTTCTTGAGGCTGAAGGCGTAGTTCTCGAGGCTGTTCCTGGCCTCGATCCTCTCGCGAGTCGCCTTGTCCTCCTCGGCATACTTCTCAGCCTCGGCAACCATGCGCTCGATCTCGTCGGAGCTCAGGCGACCCTTGTCGTTCGTGATGGTGATCGACTCGGACTTGCCCGTGCCCTTGTCGCCAGCCGAAACCTTGAGGATTCCGTTGGCGTCAAGCTCGAACGAAACCTCAATCTGAGGGACGCCACGAGGAGCCGGAGGAATGCCCGTGAGCTCGAATTTACCCAGAAGGTTGTTGTCCTTGGTCATCGAACGCTCACCCTCGTACACCTGGATCAGGACGACGGGCTGGTTATCAGCAGCAGTCGAGAAGATCTGGCTCTTGCGAGTGGGAATCGTGGTGCCACGCTTGATCAGGTGCGTCATGACACCGCCGGTGGTCTCGATACCGAGGGTAAGAGGGTTGACATCCATGAGGACGACGCTGGAAGCCTCCTCCTCACCGGCGAGAATACCACCCTGAACGGCAGCACCGAAGGCGACAGCCTCGTCGGGGTTGACGTCCTTCCTGGCCTTCTTGCCGAAGAACTCCTCGAGCATAGCCTGGACCTTGGGGATACGAGTAGAACCACCAACAAGGACGATGTCGTCAATCTCGCTCTTCTTGAGCTTGGCGTCCTTCAGGACCTGCTCAACCGGCTTGAGAGTCTTCTTGAAGAGATCGTTGTTGAGCTCCTCGAACTTGGCGCGGGTAAGGGTCTCGGAGAAGTCGTTGCCGTCGTGGAAGGACTCGATCTCGATCTTGGTGGACATTTGCGAGGACCTGCGACACGTTAGGCTAATCCCCTTGGAGTGTGTTCGGCGAGCACTTACAGAGTACGCTTGGCCTTCTCGACCTCGCGCTTAAGCTTACCCATCGTCTTCTGGTTCTTGGTGATGTCGACGCTGTTCTTCTTGTTGTACTGCTTCGCGAAGTAGTCGATGACACGGTTGTCGAAGTCCTCACCACCAAGGTGAGTGTCACCGGCGGTAGCCTGGACCTCGAAAACACCCTCGTCGACAGTGAGAATGGAGACATCGAAAGTACCACCACCGAGATCGTAGACAATGATCTGGCGCTCCGTCTTGTCATCCTTCTTGTCCAGGCCGTAAGCCAGAGCAGCCGCGGTGGGCTCGTTGACGACACGGAGGACGTTGAGGCCGGCAATGGTGCCGGCATCCTTGGTGGCGGCACGCTGAGCGTCGTTGAAGTAGGCGGGAACCGTGACAACGGCGTTGGTGATGGTCTCGCCGAGGTAGTTCTCAGCAACCTCCTTCATCTTGCTCAGAACCATGGCGCTGATTTCTTCGGGCGTGAAGGTCTTCTCCTCGCCCTTGACATCGACCTTGACACGGGGTTGGCCGCCCTTGTTGACGACGCTGAAGGGGAAGTGCTTCAGGTCGTTCTGAACGTCCTTCTCGTTGAACTTGCGGCCGATAAGGCGCTTGATGTCGAAGATGGTACGCGAGGGGTTCGAGGCATCTGCGGGAGGTGTGAGCTTGGGCATTGAAGTCGGGGGAGCTGGGTGTGACTTACATTGGTTCTTTGCCGCGTCGCCGATAAGACGCTCCTCGTCGGTGAAAGCCACCCAAGAGGGAGTGATACGGTTGCCCTGGTCGTTGACGATGATGTCGACCTTGCCGCCCTTCATGACACCAACACACGAGTAGGTGGTGCCCAGATCGATACCAATGACGGGACCCTTGACGGCGTTGTCATCAGACTGTGCCTTGGCGGTACCGAGCAGCACCATGGGCGCGCAGATGACCAGGAGGAGGTAGAGGACCGTGGTCCATTGGAAGCGCGAGGACGCGCCTCCCGACCGCCGAGCCATGTCGGGCGGTGGAGGAGAAACGGTGGTGGTGGGTGAGGGAGGTGTCCGAGAGTAGAGGCGCGCTCGTCCGCGGCAGCTATTAGCAGACAAAGGGTATCACAGAAAGCGCCTTGAGCGCAAGGGCGGATCGAAGAAGAGAAGGGAGGGGGAGTGAGGGGAGAAAGGTAACGACGGCCTGGGGTGGTCTTTATGTAGGCGCTATGTAAAGTCACCACCGTTGCCTTTTCGATTGGAGCTCGAGTACCGGAGAATCAGCGTCGCCGCCGCTGGATCTGGCCGAAAGCGGTCAAGCGGCAGGGTTCGGCGGTGCATCAGCGGCCGCAATAGCGCTTTCTGCAACCTGTCCTTTCTGGCGCGTGAAACTTCCAGAATCCCGCCCCCCACCGCCCATGCTTATTTCTCGCTCCGCCTGCTACTTCGAGCCGCCTGAGCCTCCGTGCGCCTCGTTCCCATGTCCCGAAGTATACACGTGGAGTCTTGGCACCGCCCTCCGCCCCTGCGGCCACCGTGGCATCAACCTCTGCGCCATTCATCGTTTATCCGTCATTGCCACCATGTTGGTGGAGCCGCGGAACAGTCATCGCCACCCTGATGGACATTAACACGATGAAAATCGCCAGACTTTGGCCACTGCAACGTGGTCATTTCAACAAAGCGCCGCCCTTCGCTCCGGATGCAGCATCTTCGCGAAAGCACTACCAGTCTCTTAGCTCCATATCACCGACCCAAGGTTGCAGCCTTGTTGCAGATGTCCTTTCCCGCATCGCCCAAGGCATGTGAGCACTGGGGAGCTCCATCGTGAACTGCACTGACAGGAACTTGCGTCGTTGCCTTCCCCGCCATTTTCCTTTCTCGGTAAACACCACTTAAGCATGACCACGGAACTTTGCTCGGAGCCGTGTGACTCATGAGGTCTGGCTTGTTTCAGCACACGGGCCGCAATCTCTGCAAGCACATCAACTTGCAAAGAGTTGCACCAATCCTCACGGCCCATCAAACCCGCCAACTTACAAAGCACTGTTTGTTTCGTCAGAATCTTCTTTCTCAACTGGAGGTCAAGAGACTTCGTATGAATTCAAGCTTGTTTGGCTAACCGTCTGGGGAGCGTGTATAGCCGTCTTCTTGCTGTTCCAGCATGATGTCCATCGTCGAGTAACATCTAGGGATCCAAAAGAAAATCCTAGGGGAACACTAAGATCACCTGTCATAGCGTTTTCGCGCTCTCACTTGACCCAGATGAAAATATCCAAATTATCAGACTCTATGAGATGAGGGACTGGGCCTTCGTAAAAGCTTGGGCGGAGCCGGCAGTGCAGCGAACTGGCAACGGTTCCCGGACCGATGACCAGAAAAGACCAGAGTGAAAGAGCTATCTGGCGAAAACGCCCTGTCAGTCATGCTACAGAGGAGTAGAGTCCCCCAGCACCGAGCCTCAGTACTCTCCTCTACTTCCTCCCACCACTCACGGGAGTCTGATTAGAAAGTCGTAACTTTTGTAGACTCATAAGCAAGTTGGAAGTTGAAACGGGAGGGAGGGAGTAACCACGAGGGGGTATGTCAGAACACCTTCGCTGCCCCCTCAAACCACCAAAAAAAAAAATCATAAGACATCCATGTCCCTAAACTAGCAGATCGTGGAAGACGGGGGAAAAATAGCAACAACCTCATCACAACCCTTCCTCACCCACTCACATTACACAACGCTCCACCCTCTCTGCCCAACCCGCACCACCTGCACCGTCGCATTCCTCCCCACCAACCCCCTCACGCTCCCCTCCAACCCTCGTCTCACGCGCCACAGCCTCGTTTCGTGGTGGCCAAGAGGCTCATTATACCGGAGGGTGCCAAAGCAACGAATGAAGTCCATTACTCGGTCCAAAGAAGCGAATTGGAACGGAATATGAGGGCGATGTGATAGCGGTGGTGATATTGCCCAAACTTGCTCATGCTGTGAACGGGCAAGCTCACTTGGCGGCGGAAGGGTGTAGAGCTTGGCACACCTGTGTGCAGCGGAGCGAGTGACGGATCAGGAGTGTAGTATTTTGACAGGATGGTAAATGTTCTTATGGGGCGATCGAGAACTGAAGTGAGATGAAGCTACGGTTGGCACACTGCTCGGTTGGACGGATTCCTCTGGAACCAACAACTTAGAACACGGACGTAAGAGGTCCGGACTGAAGCATTTGCTCGCCCCAGATATCGGCTTGGTATATGCGCCTAGGGTCTCGTTTTCTCAAGAGGTCCTCAAGATTCAAGGGTATGAATGTGCTGGTACACCTACAACCGGGCTTTGCTCAGTCACCTGACGGCTTGGCTACTCAAGTTGTCTGATGCAAGCCCATACCACACTTGAGCTTATCCATTTGAGTGACTTTGCATAGCACTGCTCGTTGCCATGTACACTTACTCATGTTTTGTAGACAGCCAACCGTCCTTTCAGCTTTTCTTCTCCTACCATGTAGATGCTGACGGCTTTGACGTTGGAATACGTGACCAACGTGGAAACATTAAATCATTTATTCATGGGGTATATCTTCGTTCGAACCTCCCATAACGCCAGAAAAATGCGCGTTCTGTTCCGCTTGGGTGCAGCTATCCCCTCTACAAGTGAAGACTTAAAATTTCGCCAAAATTAGAAACGGAAGAAAGAAACGCATCAATCCCGCCAGCAAGTCGTCGCGACATCCCTCCTCTTTTTTTCCCCCCTGGCCTCCCCCTCGACATCTTCCCACGCCAGCACGCTGGGGTACCGTACCGAGCCAACGCAGCACCCACCCACCCACCTCTCCTCACTCCCCCATCAACTCCTCATCCAACGCCCTCATAACCTCCCTCTGCACCGCCCTCCTCCTCCCCTCCTCCCCCCCAACAACGCCCCCCACCCCCAGCCCCACCGCCTCCCCCTTCCCCAACAACCCCTCCTCGCCCACCGCCTCCCTCCCCAACCCCGCCAACACGCCCTCGATCCTCTCCCCCATCCGCCTCACCCCGTCCACCTCCTCCCTCCGCCGCGCCAGCTGCTCCTCCAGCATCGCGATGAGGCTGGCGCGGGCCTGGTGCGGGCGGTACTCGTTGATGAGGTGGTGGGCGTTGAACAGCAGCGTCTGCATGTGCTCGTACTTGTCCTGCCAGCGGGCGGGGTCTTGCGCGAGGAGGCCGGCCAGCTCGAGGTAGTTGAGGAGGAGGCTCTGGGCCATTTTCTTGATGTAGGACGCGCGGTCGAGGGTCCATTGGGATTGGATGGGTTGGGGTTGTTGGCGGGTGGTGGTGGTGGTGGTGGGGTCGCTGGAATCGCGGTCTGCTTGTTGTTGGTGGTGTTGTTGTTGCTGGGAGGGGGAGGATGGGGAGGATGGTGGGGAAGGGTAGAGCTGCTCGACGCCCATGTTGCGGAGGGACGTGAGGGCCGTGTTGATCTGTGGTGGTTGGGCAAATGCCGCGCTGTCAGCCATGGGGGTCCGAGGGGCGTGTGTGAGAAGGGAAGGTCGACGGCGTTCCGTCCTGGACGCGGTGACCGAATGCCGCCGCCCACCATTCCTTAATTGAAAGAGAGAGGAAAAAAAAAGCAGATATGAAGAAGTGCACATACGTCGTACGGGTCCCCGAAACTCCTGTACTTCCCGTTCGCCGGCGGCTCTGGCGGCTGCAGGTAGCGCAATTCAACTGGGATGTCTGGTATCCGGGGCGGTAGCGCGGCGCCCTCATCCGCAGCATTCTGTTGCTGGAGCTCCTTCAAGCGCGCGCGATTGTCGGACGTGAATTGTTTCCAGAAGGGCGGCGGGGCGGGGAAGGTCGCGCTAAGGACGTTGTCCGGGTTGTCGTCGGCCATTGTTGGAGAGAGAGAACGAGGTGTGCGCACCGAACCGGCGCACGGGGAGCTTCAATTGCGGGTGAAGTCGTGGGTTGTAGGATGAGGCCGTGCGGGGGAGGATGCTCGTTTGGAGCGAGGGCTGAGGCGGTGGGCGCAGATGGTGGGACGACTTCTTGGTGAGTTCGTGTTTTTTCGGCAGCTCCCGCGGCGGTGGTGATGAGGTGGTGTTCGGATCGACAGAGAGCCAAGCTGGGGGAAGCCAGCATTGCCGGGGAGCTTGGACCCCTTGTTGAACGTGGATTCGCTTTCACTTTTTCTTGCGAGCGCCCGAACTTCAGCCAGCCTTGCCTTCCATGCCCGACTCATCTCCGGCTATTCCCGGGCTCGTAATTTGCGTATCGAGGCGCTTGGATGCTAATATCATTGCACTGGGCAACGGACCTCGGCCTGAAGGGTGGCAGTGGCGACTGTGCTGTTTGTTTTGATGTATCGAGACTGCATGCAAGCCATCTCAGGAGCAAGCATTGCGCGATGCGAAGCGTTGGAAAAGGACATGTTCTTTTGCATCCAACCCGTGTATTTGCGGGTTTATTAGGTATCTATTAAGTATGTACAGCGTAGATAGGTACGCGGGCACGCGCCGGTGCTCTCCTCTGTATGATTCCATAATGCCACATTCTGTGGCCGCAGATCATTCCGACCGTCATCGCTTTCATAGCCGATGTTGATGTCCCCTACGCCTGAAAATGCATTTCCCGAAGATAAGCAAAACGGTAACATCCTCGACAGCCCTCAAAAGCCGTGGGAGTTGATGTCCAAAAATCCTGGTCGTATACAAAACGGTGTGCCGGGCCTGAGTCCCAGGAGACGACGCCTCCGGATTTCGTGTCGAACGAATCGGGATCGTCGTGGCCACCCATCTCCTCTGTAAAGGATGGCCGTACTGTGTGTCGAGTGCTTCACTGCCTCGGCATCGCAAGTCCGTGGCAGCAATATGTGCGAGATTCTTTATTTCCGCTTCAGGTGCGAGTAGAGCCAGCCTCCACCAATAGCGAGAGAGACACCAAGTGCCTCGTGCGACGTCGGCGCCCTGCCTTCGAGATACCAGCCGCCGGAAAGGATAAGAATGGTCTTGAGGTTTCCAACCACATTAAACTACATCACACAGTCAGAAAATCCGAGTCGCGCAACCTGAGTACCGCGAGGAACTTACAGTCAGAGCAGAAGTGCGGCTGATGATGAGGAACTGAGACAGATTCAAGACGCTAGCAGTGATCCCGGAGGCGAGCAACGACCAATAGACCTCCGAGGGTATAGTGCCTATGGAAAACGTCATTAGCACAAAGTCGTGTCAATTCGAGTAGGGGATATCATACTGAAATTAGGGACCTTATCCAAAACGGGGACGCAAAACACCAAAAGGAAGGCGGAGATAGGCGCCTGGTTCATGAGTAGTTGTTGGGCGGAAACGTCCAGTTCTTCAATCTTCTTTCCAATCCAGATCTGGTAAAATGCCGTAACCGTCACGGCGGCTCCGGAAACGATGGCGCCGAAAGGGTTGCTCTGAGCAGAGTTGGAGTTGGTGAGGCTGACACCAGCGCAGATGCAGCCGATCGCTAGCGCTTTGAAGACGGAGATGGGGGTGCGGAACATGACAAAGGTGATGAGGACGACAACAGGGGTGGTCATGACCTTGGCGAGCTGGTAGAATCCAATCGAGTTGTACGTCAGGGACAGGTTCCCCAGAATCACGTACGAGGTGAACATGACGCAAATGGGCAGGACGTCGCGAAGCGGTAACCGGATGGGCTTGAAGGCTCGGAACGGCGCACGCGTAGAGAGCCAGAGAACGATGGCGGTGCAAGCAAAGTGCCAGATGGTGAAGATGACCTGGGCATCATGCATCTGCGGGTCGGAGAAGATTCTGCGGCAGGGTCAGTATTCGAAATAAGCCAGTTGCTAAGGGCTCAAGGCTGACCGCTTGCTCAAGAAGACCATGGCGACGGTTGCGCAGGTGTTGAGGAGGATGCACAAGCCCGTCGCGAACTGGTCCTTGGTGGACGGAGGCGAGACGGCGCGGTCGGGTCTCCATTGCGGGAGCCTCTTTTCCTCCTCGATGGGGGTAACGGCAGGGCTAGCATCATCGGTCAAGGGCACCTTTTCTTCGTCTTCCATGGTTGTCAGAGAGACGGCGGGCACGGGAGCACGGGGAAGACGGACCCATTGCAATTTCGGGCTTGGCAATGCGAAAAAATTCAACCAATGGGGGGAGAGTAGGGCGAGACATGTGCTCAGGCGGTGCGTGGGCGTGTGGAAGCGTGCAAGAGGGAGCGGAGCGGGTGGGCTCGGCGGGTGGCGCCCGTCGGAGTGCGGGCGTGCGGGCTTCTGTTCGAGTGGTTCAAAGGCAGGCTGGCATAGCTGAAATGAAGAGCGTGGCTGCGAGGCGCATGGAAGCCGCAAGTGCAGCTGGGCGGCGTCTTAAAGGGCCGGCGGATTCGCGATGGAGTGGCTGCAAAGCCGCGCTTGGCCCCCTTATAGCCCGGGGCTTGGCTCTGATGGGCTGCTCAGCGACGGCGGCTTTCTGGAGGCTCATCATCATGCACGGCCTGGGGCCTGGGGCCTGGCGACGGGGGCCGCACGACCGCGCTGCCGCTGCCGCTGCACGGGCGACGGGCGACGGGCGCGAAAAGCGGGCTTGGGTCGCGAGTTTTTGCTGAAGACTGCGCGCAGGACACGGCGACGGAGACTCGAAACACTGGCGGTGAGTGTGGCGCGCTGGGGCGGAGCGGCTGGGGGCGCTCTTCTGCGACGCTCACACGCTCACACGCTCCGCGCCCGAGCTCCGGTTGGAACAGCGCCCGCGCCCGTCACGGGTCGCACACGCTGCTGACAGGCCGAACCACACGAACCACAGCAGCTGCAGGGCGGCAGGGCGGCACCTCCAGGGCACGAGGGCCCCACCGGAACATTGTTGACGCGGGGTCGCGGGTCGCGCACCTGGCAGCGAAAAGGAGGCCGCTCCAATAGTCTCCACCGCGCGCCAGAGGGCTGTCTGTTGTTGAGCCGGTGCCTGGCTGCCACGGCCGGGTCACGAGGCGCCGTTAGCGGTCAGCCACTGCCGACATTGCGGTCGCTAAGCTCTCGGATCGCAAGGCCTTCCCCCTCGGGCATGCGGGGGAGCAGTGATCCGCTGGAATATGACGTCCCGCGCTCTTCCCAAGCTACCTCGAGTCTCAGCTCGCGCTCGGCGCCGAGCGGCGAGTATTGGCTCGACGCGAGGCGCTGGTGCCGTGCTGTCCGCCGCCCTGGCCCTGAGGCGTGTGCATGCGAGGCTATACGGGGCGCGCTGCAGTGCCAGAAAAATGGTCCCGTCCCACTTTCGCCGTTTGATTTCCCTGCGGCACCGCCTGCGTGTTTGGGCGTGTTTGGACGAACAAGTGCCGGCCTGGGAAATCGCGTCGGCTTTCCCGCACCGAGCAGGCATGGCGCGCGTGGGCACGATCTGCCGTGCACGGAATAACGGCGCAAGGGATGGTGGACCCTGTGGGTGCGCAAGACACACCCGCCGCGCGAATGCGTCTAGTCGGGCCGCCGCCGCTGGGAATAACAGAGTTGGAGCGTGATGATAAGGGAGCAGCCAGGCCGAGAGATGATGATGGGAGCTCCAAACCCCAAAGTGTCAGAGGCCCTGAAGATGCTCATGCTGCCGCTGCCAGGGCCTGCGAGATTTTATCACACAATCGCCTACAGATTATGATGTTCGCGCGTGCCCAGCATCCCTACGCTCATCGGCATAGGGCTGAATCAGATGGAATTAGGTCAGCCCCGTATCGATAACGAAGCTCCGGCCACGGTGACACCTCCTTGACACGCCAACCAAGCTTCTCCACCAGCCTTCCTCATGCACTTTCTCTGGACCTTCCTGAACTAACAATGCCGGGCGGTAGCGCCCAACAATCCCGCCGCGCAGCTGGCCTGCAGAACACCGGCCCCGGCTCCGCTGTCTCGAGGTTCTGGCAGGTATGGCTCGGCCCTGCCGCAACACCACCGCGCATTGAGAGCTGACCTGCCGCCGTGTAGAGATCGTATGCCTCGGAGTACCTCGGGCTTGCCATCCTCATTGCTTTGTACATGCTCGTGAGTGTGCCTCGGCGAGTTGCAGACCGCCTGCCGCCCGTTTGTAAGGCAACGTCTGACAGCCGGTCCAGATCCAGTTCTTTGTGGAGCCTTTCCATCGCATGTTCTCCCTTGACAACCTCGCCATCCAATTTCCCCATGCCGAAGTCGAGCGCGTCTCCGTTTCCTGGCTCTTCGCCTATGCAGGAGGCGTCCCCCTCGCCGTCCTGATCGTCTGGGCCCTCCTATTCAGACCCGGCTCACATAAGGTGCATGTCACCATACTTGGCTTCTTCATATCCCTGATCCTGACCTCCTTCATCACGGATGTGGTCAAGAACGCCGTGGGCCGGCCTCGGCCTGATCTGATCGCGCGCTGCAAGCCTGTAAGCCCATCCGCACCCGCCCACGCTCCACCGCATCTCCGCATGCTCCTGGACCTACAGCTGACCCCAAGCCGTCACCCCAGGAGAAAGGCACTCCCGCACACCAACTCGTCACATTCGAGATCTGCACCGAGCAAGACCATCACACTCTGCACGACGGATGGCGTTCATTCCCCTCGGGCCACTCCAGCTTCGCCTTCTCCGGCCTCGGCTACCTTGCACTGTTCTTTGCTGGCCAGTGCCACGTCTTTCGGCCGCGTACCGATCTCAGTCGCGTCCTGCTGGCCCTCGCCCCGCTGCTCGCCGCCGTCATGATCGCCATATCCCGCTGTGAGGATTACAGGCACGATGTGTATGACGTGACGGTCGGGAGCTTGCTGGGAATGGGCGTCGGCTGGTTCACGTACAGGCGGTACTACCCGGCCCTACGGAGCAAGAGGTGTGACACGCCGTACCCGAGCAAAGCAGAGCTGGCGGATATCAGGGGCTTCTCCAAGGCCAAGAATGACGAGGAGGCGCGCATCCAAAGCGCGGCCGAGTTCGAGCTAGAAGACATGAGTAGCGATGACGGTGGTGAGCGGTTGCCGTTGCACAATAGTCGGGCACCGTGAGTGCCGTAAAGAAGGAGTTGTGTTTTTCCAAAAGGCGTTTTATACCTACAGCATTCCGTCTGAAGCTGGCGCGTGGAAGCGTTGGAAGCTGGATGTCTTGGTTGATAGCAGGTATGCAGAAGCCACCAACAAGTCAACATGTACTCCGCATTCAGCGCGTGGGTTCAAAGTCGAGGAGCGCTTGTGAAGTTGAGTTTCTTCAAGTGGACTTTCAGGTGCATATGGGAACATTACATCACTCACTGGTCCAAACACACGTTAAACTTACTACCCGAAGGTTCATACGTGGCTCCAGTAGCTCAGATAACTACGCAATCCACCGCCCTCACCCCGCCACTTTTCCCATCCGTCACAACCTGCTCCAACGGCCACCTCAGCCACCTCAGCCAGTCCATCTCACTCTCCTTCTCCATGTCACCACCACCATGCATTGCCCTGTCTCCCTCCGACGCCGACCCTTGCACCGAAACCGCCATCTCTACCCTCCTAACCAACCTTCTTCCCCACCCACCAATCCACCAACACCGCCGCCGCTGGGTATTCTGCCGTCCCGACACCCCTACTCCTGAACCATCACCGCCGCCGCCACCATCATCCACCCAATGGATCAGCACGCCCCAAAAGGCCAACACGATCAAAAAGGCCGGCGCCCCCTGCGCGGCCCGCTCCAAGAACCGATCATCCACGCTGGCAGCACCGCCGCCATTGCCGCCGCCATTACCAGTAGAGCTGTTGCACACCCACCCCAGCACCGCGCGCATCCCCGCCGTCATGTCGTCGTCGCCCTCATCGGCGTCCCCACCGCCCCCGTCACGCTCCCACCTCCTCCTATCCCTCCCCTTCTCGCTCTCATCAAAAACAGCATACGCCTCCATCAACCCGTCAATAGCCGCGACCAACGACGACAAGTTCGCCTCGTCCGCCGCCGCCGCCGCCGCCTCCTCATCTTCCTCTTCTTCCGCTCTTCCTCCTCCTCCTCCTCCTCCTCCTCCTCCTCCCTCCTGCCCCTCCATCGTCTCGTAGTCATCGTTGTCGTCGTCATCGTCGTAATCGTCGCCGTCGTTTGCCGAGCGTCGGTGGTGACGGTGCGGCCGCATGTGACGATGGCGCCGGCGATAGCGCTGCTCGTACAGCGCGACGAACCACGCCCGCAGCGCGGCGAGCTGGTCGATGCCTGCCGTCACGGCGGCGTGCAGCTCGCCGGCGCCGGTTCTTCTTCTGCCCGATCCACCGTCATCCATGACACCGACACCGCCGCCGCCGCTTCTGCTCCTGCTCCTGCTCCTTCTCGCGCTCGTGCTCCACCCGTGGCACGGGTCGTACCACAGCGAGGAGGAGGAATAATCACCACCACCGCCACTACCACCACCACCAGGCTCCTCCTCCCCCTCCTCCCCTTCAGGCTTCCCCCTCCCCCGCCCCAGCGTCGTCGCTCTTCCACCGCCGCCACCGCCGTACCGGGGCTGCGAGATGCGCAGCGGCATGCCCACGGCGTTGGCCATCAGGAGCGCGGTGTTGTTGTTGCTGTTGCTGTTGCTGTTGCTTCCTCTTCCTTCTCTTCTTCTTCCCCCCGCTAGTGATCCAGGTTCTACCCCTCCGCCACCACCGCCTTCAGGTCGTCCGGGTTGCGGCACCCCCGCTGCTGCTGCTGCTGCACGATCCGCTGCTTGCTTTATGCCGCGCGAGAGGAGCAGCCAGGGGGCGATGGTGCCGGTGGTGGTGGCACTGCCGCTGTTGTTGTCACTGTTGCTGATGTTGACGATGAGGAGGTCGTTTTTGTTGTTGTTGGCGTCTGTGTCTCGTATTTCGTCGTGGTGGTGTTGCTGTTGTTGTGGTGATGCGGTCGCGGCAGCAGCGGCGAAGGACGCGAGCGTCGTGATGACGGCGCAGATGTAGAGGGGCGGGAAGATGTGGGGGTTGAGGGACGGATGCGGCCACGACGTCAACGAAGGGGGGGAAGCATGGATTCCGGCGGAAGGGAAAGAGGAAGATTCAGTGGTTGCCGTCGTCGTGCAGGACGGGAGGAGGGCGTGGGCGGTGCGGAGCGCGAGGCGTTGTTGGGACAGGGCGCGGGCGGTGTGGTCGGCGGCTTGGAGACGGCGTTCTTCCGAGGCGGTGGGGCTGTCGTTGCGGTCCGTGGTTGTTGGTGGTGGTGAGGAAGAGAGGATGGTGTGGGCGACGTGGACGCCGGAGAGGGCGAGGAGGGCGCGCATGACGAAGGGGTAGGAGAAGGCGAGGTGCGGGACCTCGATGCGCCACCAGGTTTGCAGCTCGACGGTTGCGCCGAGCGTGTAGGCGGTTGTGACGGTGAAGTGGTGGAGTAGCTCGAGGTCCGTCATGTTGAGCTCGAGGTCGGGCTCGAGTGGGATGCTGCTGGTGGCGACGGCGAGCTGGTCGATGGGGTCGCTTGGGGCGCCGAAGAGTCGTCGCCATGCGCTGTTGTGGCTGTTGTTGTCGTCGTCGATGTTGTTGTTGTATCTCTCGTCGGCGGCCAGGCTGGTGGTCGGTGGTGGCGCGGTAGGCGGGTCCAGGTTCAACAGGGTGGAATCGATGCCGGAGAAGGTAGGTGCGGGGGTGGTGGTGGTGCTCGAGGAGACTGAGCTTGCGGGGAGGGATTCCCTGGCGGAGAAGTCGCAGATGACGGCGTGCTTGGTGCATTGCCCGCATTGGGGCTGCACTTCATCGCACTGAGGCTCGTCAGAAGATAGTTGTGATGCCAGGCGACCATCTCGAGGAGGACTGATGAACAACACCACGGGCTGCCGGCACTCGCAAGCGGGAGGTGGGGGAGAGGCCGTAGGACAAACAAGCAACCCACTTTGATCTTTCGCGCTTTACAATTACGGCATCCGTTCCTCGATTTCCGATGAGGGCGGCGGGCGCGGTAGGAATCTTCCAGAGCGTCTGGCATTGCAGCAGCGCCGAGCCCCAAGCTGGAGCAGTCCAGTGACGAAGTTGAGATCAATCGGTGTAGAGGTGACGGCGAGGGAGGGGAAGAGCGCGTGCGTCTATGAAGTACGACAAGGACGAAACAACGTCTCAGACCGCATTCTGGAGTGATCCACAGGCCGTGGGCTTAACCTTCCCGGACACCCCCTACGAGTAGATGCGATCAACCCGAATACGAGCGGGTCGTGCTCCGAGCAAGACGAACAGCGTTGCCCCAGCTAAAAAAAAATAACGGTTAGGCGCTACATCCATGTTCAGACGTAGCAAACCGGTCATGTTTAGTGAACATTCCAACGACCAATACGGACACGGTGTGCGGCTCAGTGGCGGCCGTCCTGATAGCTCGCCGTCGTGCGGGCTAGTCACACGTCTGCACTGACAAGTATGGCCATCCAGGGGTCTAGGGCTTGAGCTTGAGCTCTGGAATGGCAGGATGCGGCGGTAACGGGTGTGGCTGGATGCTGGAGAGAAGTCATGGAGAGAAGGGCCGGAGGGCCGGCCAGTGTAGTGACTTCGCCGGCGACATGCCGGCATCTCCGGCAGCAGGCAACCTTCAACCTTGTCATGCTGCCTGATTCTCCCGAGTGGACGGCGGCAACTGCTCCCAAAAGGGGTGCACGAGTACTCGCAAGAAGCTGCCGACGTCCCGGACAAGCTGCATGATGGCCAGCCACGGCCGTCTTCAAGTGACTTGTTAAGCGGCGGGGGTCAGCTGGCCAATCGTGTCTGTCGCAAAGGCAGTGTTGACTAACGTCGAGGGCACGCATAACACTCTGCTACGAAGCGTGTCCACCTTTAACAATAAACAAGCTCAAGTATAGCTTTGTGTGGGGTTCGTCAGCGAACCGAAACCCCACTCCATGATCGATCTTGCCTGTTGTCGAAAGAGTCACTTGATGTGCTTCGGCAAGTCGCTTGAACACGCCCTAGTTGAGACTCAGCCTAGCCACCGCACTAATGCCTCCCGTTCGCCAAACCCAGCAAATCAGCTTCTGCCGCTGCCCAGGCAGATCTGAGATTAACATGCACACTGTCCCAAACCTCGGCGCTGCCTGCCCGTGCTGCAGCAATCACCCAAAGCCAGTCGTGACGACACCACAGGCAATTGGTGAGCGAGAACCCGGCATCAACGCGCCTCAGGCATCCTTTCTCTCGCCCGCCCGCCCGCCTTGCTGTGCTGTGATGCCAGCACTTCGTCCCGAATCCACACAGGAAGGACCAAGCCACCGCAATCCCGAACTCACGCCACGCCGGCATCTCGATCCGCAACGACGTTCGAAGTTCCAAGCCATTGCCATCCCACCGATCCGCCGCTCGCTCGCTCCAGAGTCCAAAAGGTCGAACGTCTGAAGGTGCCGAATTTACCGTCCGCTGCCTCGGCCAGAACCCAAGAAGACCGATCCCAGGAAAAATCGCTCACATGGCGCGCTACGTTTTGAACCACGTGCAGCACATGAAGATCAAAGAGGAAGCACGGGAGATAAGAGATAGAGAGAGAGGGAGGCGAAAAGAAAAAGTTGCCGCCTTGCCCGTCGCAATCCACAGCATCGACGTATCGGAATGGGGAGGGGACACATGGCGCCAGCCGCGTGAACAAAACAAAAAGAAGGCCTAGAGTCTGGTCCTCAGCCACCCAACAAGGGTCCTTCTCAACCAAACTTTTTTTTCCTTCCCCCTCCTCCCCCCACACCCCCGCAACGAACAGGCCCCAAAAGAGGCAGGCTAACGGACGGTGGAGACCAAACAAAAAACAACAGGAGCGGAAACCACGCCACGAGGCTTAATGTCGCTCAGCGTTTGACCGGGATGGGCATGTGGGGAATCCCTTCCTACGTTCGACGGTATGCGAGGCCGTTTTGTGTTTTTTTCGTTTCCCACTTTTATTTCTCGACTCTTTCTTGGTTTGCAAAGCCTTGCCCCTTGCTGGGGGCGGGGCGCCGCCGTTGTTTGCCGCTTGCCCCATGGCGCCGCCCCCCACCTCCCGGCCTCGGGACATTGTTCGAATAAGCAAACGGGGGCAAAGACGGGAAAACTGAACACGATGATCAGAACTTCGAGCCCTACACACATACCAGTCGCCATGCTGCACGCGATGAGTTTTTTTTTCCCACATTGCGCGCGACTCTCCTTCGCATCATCCTGCAGCATACTCCCTCGGCCTGCAAGCGCACGGGTTCGGTTGGTTCAAACGGTCGCGGTTGGTGGAGCGGCCGGAACGGGCCTGGATGCTCACAGAACTAGGTCCAGGCCGCATGGATGTGGGGAGATGGCGTTTTCCAACACGTGGGAGGATGGGGGATGCAGGGAGGGGCCGAGGGGCGCGTGCAGGGCTGCATTCAAATGGAGCACATTCTAGATCGACTTCATACGTCCGACGTTGGAAGTCGTCTCTTGTCTATTCGGCTAATAAGAGGAAGAGAGAAAGAGAGAGAGAACTAATTCTCTTCTGCTCTGGTGCTGTGGTAGTATCTTACATGTTTGGTTAGTGTTGATAGTAGTAATACAATATGCAATGGTCGCTTGCTCGTACTCTCCCCTTCGTGGGAGTCCGGACTCTCGTCGCACGTATGTGACGAATGACTCAAGCGAGCGACTCGAGCAAGCAAACCCCTTCGCCCACCACCTCAGACTAATACCCCTTCCGTGTCCCTTATAATACACCCAACCACCCAATATCTTACAAGCGAACGAGCAATGACCTCCGCCACTCCCTCCCTTCCCACACACACACACACACACTCTCTCTCTCTCTCTCTCTCTTTTTCCGCTCTCCCCCACGCACCACCACGTCCATCCCCCGTCCCCCCACCCGCCTCAGTGCCCCCCCGCCGCCGCCGCCGCTGCATTAGCAGCAGCCCCCACAACCTTCCTATTCCGCTTAATCGCGGCGTTCAACTTCTTCGTAAACTCGTTCGCGCGCTGCTTCTCGACGTTGAGCTCGCGCTCAATCTCCTGCAACGCCAGCACCGGGCCCCCGCTCTTCGGCACCGCCACCCCGGGGACAGGAACGACGCCACCACCACCAACACCACCGACACCACCGCCTTGAAACACCAGCCCGTTCCTCCCCAGCAAATCGATGCCCAGCACCGGCGCCGCCGCGTCCGACAGCGCGATGCCGTTGACGTGGATGTAGTGGCTCTCGAACGGGGCCGCGAGCAGACTGCTGCCGCTGCCGGCGCCACCGCCAGTACTACTACTACCACCACCGACGTCGTTGACATTGCTATTGCTGTTCCCGCGACCGGCGCCGACGACGCCGTGATGCTGCGGTGGTGGGAAGTTGATGTTGATGTTGCCGCCGGCGCCGCCGACGGCGATGCTGGTGGATGCCGTGGAGCTGGTGGATGCGCTGAGGTTTGCGGCGGCGGCGGCGTTGTTGTTGTTGTTGTTGTTGTTGTTGTTGCTGCCGCGGTGTAGGAGCTGCTCTGCGGTGTCGACGGCGGCGGGCGGCGGTAGCGGGTCGTCTGCGAGCACGGGCAGGGTCGGGCTGGAGGGCATGATGAACTCGTCGTTGTAGTTTGCGGCTTCGTCGAAGAGCTTTGCCGCGGCCGCAGCGGCAGCGGCAGCGGCGGCGGCGGTCGGGGGGGAGGTGGAGGAGGAGGATGAGGAGGAGGAAGAAGAGGAGTTGGTGGTGTTGTTGTGGTGGTGGTGCACGGCGGCGGCGGCTTGCTGGGCGGCCTTTTGCAGCGCGGCCTGCGTCTGGCGGAGCGTGTTGCTCTTGTCGACGACGGCGCGGACGTTGAGGTTGCGCACGATGCGCTCGAGGTCGAAGACGGGCTCCCGCGTCGACGTCCACCGGTAATGCGCGTTGCCGCCCCCGCTGCTGCCACCACCGCTGCCCGACCCCCTCCTGACCGTCTCCTCCAGCTCCAGATACCGATCCTCCTCCTCGCGCGTCAGCCCCCGCAGGATCGTCCCTTCCGGCGTCACCAGCACCCGCGACGACACGCGGCCGTCCTCGCCGCCCAGGCGGTGGTGCTCCCCCCGCTCGAGCACGCCCCTGATCGCCTCGTCCGAGAGCGCGTACTGCCGGTCGCGGTTGGGCACGTCCTGGAGCGTCATCTGCCGCTCGTTGGGCCCCCCTTGCGGGAAGGACTTGAACATGTTTTCGAGCTTCTCGTGCGTGACGGCGCCTTCGGCTTGGAGCTTCGCGATGATGGAGGCCGACGTGATGGCTGGAGAGGCGGGGGCGGCGCCGGGAGGGGCCGGCTGCTGCTGTTGCTGCTGCTGCGGTTTGCTGCTGCTGCTGTTGGGGGAGGAGTGCTGCTCTGCTGCTGCTGCTACGGTTGCTGTTGCGGGGGTGGGGATAGGGGCGGCCGGAGCGGGAGCGGAGACGGGAACGGAGACGGGAATTGCGGCGGGAGGAGCCTCCTCGATGACGGCTTCCACGGGCTTTTCCTTCTCCTTCTCGGCGGCGATGACGGTGATGCTCTCGGCTTCGTTATTTTCAGACACCGGTGCCTTCTCCACTGAACCCGGCGTGCCCGTGCGGCTCTCAGCAGGCGTGGAAACCGTAGTCTTAGGCGTCTTGATCGGCTTGGCCTTCTTCTCTTTCTTCTTGCGCGTCTGGATGCCCTCGATCACCGGCTCTTCGCTAGGGGCGCGAGACTCCTTCAGCCCCAACTCGACTTCTGTCATCTGACGAGCGCGCTCTTGCCTTTCCTTCTTGGCCTGGCTCTTCGTCTTGGTCCGCTGGGGTGCCGAGCCGATCCTGCTGGCAGGTGGGGGAGAGTTGGTACGTGACATGGACGTCGAAGTCATCGAGGCGTTGTCGGAAACGAACTCGCTCTGCGGTGTGCCCGGCGGGTTGATCGAGGCGACGCTGGGCTGCCTCGAGCGGATGCTGGCTACACCGGGAGGCATCGCGGCGGTCACGGGGGCAGAAGACGACGTATTGAATACCGGCGGCGTTTCCGCCTTAGGCGTGTTTGTGATGCGCATGATTTGAGGCCCCGTTCGCTTCAGGGGCGATCCCGTAGTGGTGGCGCCAGTGGGTGTTCCTGGGCGTGACGTCGACTCGGCAGTAATTGACATGGCACGAGGATTCTTTGCCGCAGGGTCGGTAGAAGCAGAAACGACGCTATCAGATCCCAGTGACTCCTTCTTGGGAATCTGCAAAGGCCCGGGATGCTGTCGCTTGGTGCTGGACATTGCTGACTTCATTTCTTGCTTAGCAACCGAAGATGTTTGCTTTGCCTTCAGAGGGGAAGGCGGCACGCTACTAGATTTTGGCTCTGACGCAACGACTTGAGCAATGGTTTTGACAGGAGACGGCTGGTTCTCTTCCGCAGGCCTCGACGGGGTGACGGGCGCGTTATCGGCATCAGGGCCCCTAGTCTTGCTCTTGGTCTTGTCACCAACCTTGGGGGTTTCAATTTTTGCCGCTAGGTCCGCTCTGGCCATGGTCGGAGTGGCAACCGCTGCTTGGGCTTTACCTGGGATAGACTTGGTGATGGTTGGCGTCTTGGAGGCTTCAGCGCTGACTTCGGTTGCCTTACTACGTTCACTCTCCTTCGTGTTCTTTCTCGCCGGCGTGCCGGAGCGGGACGTCGGCAAAGGAAGGTCAGGCACCGCCGGTGTGATTGCCTGCGGCGTCGCTGCATGCGGAGTTGAAATACCCGGAGGGGGACGTATGGGCGCACTGGACGGAGTTCCCACCCTGCTGATGGGAGCAGAAAGGCCCGGGGGCACGGTTGGCGTGGAACGGCGGGGCTGGTCTAGGAGATAGGCAAGGTCTGCCAGAGGCATTGGCTGCATCTCCGGCTCACCGACAAGAGCATCGACGCTCCTTGAAAGAGGATCCTGTTCACCTACTGCTTCTGTAATCAGCACACATGAATGATCGGCTGGTTGATGACGTGAGTGATCGACGAAGCAAATGGATGCGGCAGCGAAAATTGCTCGAATACTAGAGGCATGGAACGCAAACGCAACAACACATGAACCAACGTCTTCTCAACGTCTTCGTCACAGCCAAGAGGAACAATTAAGAGAAGTAGCCATCAAGCGTCTGATCGATTTGTGAGTGAAATGCCATCTCCGAGGTGGCTGGAAGGGAATTTACGTACATACGATGGCCATGACGAAGACGAAGAGAAGGACTTGCTGTCGGACCTAAGAAGGTAGCGACGCATCGCCCGTAAGCTCAATGAGGCAGAATGAAAATCGGATGCCATGAAGCCCAACCATAAAAAGCCTGCCGACCGCTCATTGCCAGCTTAGACATGAGATCCCGATTCCGCCGCAAAACTCCAGAGGCTACCCGTTGGCCAGCCGGCCGGGTACGAGCCAATGCATCGCTTGCCCACCAGAAAAACGCCTTGCAGCCGACACGATAACGAAGAAAGAAAAGCAAAACAACAACGAAGGGGGAATGCCGCCGGGAAATCACCACCTGCTGAAGCCACCGTTGTACACGGATGAGAACCCACCTTGACCCTGGCCAGCGTACAGTCCCTGGCCGACCATGGCTCCGCCCTGATGCAACCTCGCCTGCAAAATACTCGGGTCCGCAACATCAACTACACCACCTCCGGAGGAGGAAGTGTTAGCATGTCTGTGCTTCTTCCCCTTCTTCTTCTGCTTCTGGGAACCAGAATCCTGGTATGCGCCAGGCTGAGGTCCATAGGGGAAGTTCAGAAGGCCAGGGGCTGGGCTCGGCGTGGAAGTCGCGGTAGGATTCTGGTGCAAGAAAGAAGGGAACATTAACTCACGCTTGCCAGTATCATGCAGCTGGCTGCCGCCAGCGTTGTTGCCCCGACCCCGGAGGAGCTCTCTCATCGCATCTTCCTGAGCATTTCTACCCATGGCGTTGGCGCCGTAGCCCACTCCACTGGTGGCAAAGCCATGACCCTGACCGAACATGCCGCCTCCACTGATGGGAGGGGTGCCAGTCGTCTTCAGGCCGGGCGGCGGGCCCTGCACACTGCTGGAGAAGAACTGTTGGCCAAGGGGCTGATGCTGAGAGAGCTGGCTGAAGTGGCTGTTGGGAGGCATCATGGATGATTGCTGATTCATGAGCTTGGCGTTGGCAACAGGCTTGACGTTTGCAGAAGCCGTGTTGCCGTCGTTGGCGAAAGTGAAGCGAGACGTGTGCCGGGAATGGCCTCCAGCGTTACCCTGCATGCCAGGCTGGACCTGGCCCTGCGCACTCTGGAAGAGATTGCTGTTGGCTTGCGTGTTGACCGACTTGAACTGCTGCAACAGCAGTTGCTGCTGTTGCTGAGTCGTGAGGCCGCCGCGGTTCAGGCCCAGGTTCGCCATCTGTTCGGGAAGACCAAAGTTCTGGTCTAGGCCAAGAGTAGAGCCACCAAGGGATTGTTGTCCGGGTGCCTGGATCGCGTGCTGCTGTGTATGGCTAACGTCTGACCGTTCTTCCGGCTCGCCACCAAGTTGCATGCTGCCTCCTCCGGTGGCCTCCTCTTGTTCCTGCTGCGCCAAAGCAGCTTCCCGAAGCGCCTGCGCATCTGCTTCTAGCCTTTGCCTTTCCTCCGCCTCTTTCTCCTTCACAACTCTCCTCCGCTCGCCGCCATTCATGTCAAAAAGAGGAGGAAAGTTGGAGACAAACTGCAGTTCGTCGTCCATCAACGAAACTGCCGAGAATACAAACGCTAAGTTGTCACCAGAAAGGTTCTTGAGGATTTCGTCCAGCTCAGACTGGGGGAATTTGGGTTCCACTGGAGGCTGTTCGGTAATTTCCTTTGGCGGTTCTGCAGGAGGCGTGGGCTCCTTGGTCTTACCAGCCTTCTTAGACTTGGGTTCTTCGAGCTTAGCAGGTGCGGCGGGGGTCGCGCTGATCTCCTTCGGGCTTTCTGCAGCGACACTCGATGGCTGTGGTGTATGGCGGGGCTGAGGAGCTGGCGGAGGCTTGTTGGCCCAACTTGCGTGCGAAGGTAGTGCAGGGCCATCTTGAGAACCGTTCGAGCCATCGTGACTTTCCTGCCTCCTCATAGGCTGGGAAGCTGCGGCGACAGACTGCGGCGCATGTTGTGGCGGGGGTTGCGGTTGCGGCTGGACGGAGGACGACGAGCGGGTCTGGTTGGGATTCTGAGTCGATATGACGTTCATCGATGAGAGGTCCTGTCGTGTGAAGCTGTCGCTCTCTTCGCCGGGTTCGTGAAGGAACATGCAATTGCGATTATTGCATTGTTCGTTGCGGAGGTAGGCGGAGCAGTACTTGGTCGTTCCATACTGGGCCCTGCAAAGCATGTTAGCAGCCGCAAGCATGGCGCTTCAGACCTGGATCTACCTCAAAACCCTGTCGCCGTTCACAGACCCATCCACAGCAGCGATACAAGCCGCGGCGTCCTCCTTCTTAGCAAAAGTGACGTAGACCCCAACAGACTGCTGTGGATGCGACGTGTCCTTCGCCTTGCTCACAACAATCTTGACGATTTTGCCATATTGTCCGAAGTATTGGTCGCCACGTAACGTCTCGAGAAGCTTATCCTCTCTCGTCGTAGGGTTGAGTCCGGTGACGTAGACGAGGTTTTTCTGGACGACACGCAGGCCGGCTAGGTGTTTACGGCTTAACGAGTCGGCTTCGCGCTTCTGAGCCTCCTTTTGACGTGCAGCAGCCTTTTTCTTAGCCTGCTGAGCAAGGTCGGCTTTGTAGTTGGCCATCCTGCGCCGAATCAGTCACTGTCTCTCAGGCGGAGGTGCGGGTGGACCAACTCTTCCGGACTGATGACCTTCCACTCTATGCTTTTCTCGTCGTATGGCCGGCGGCATGCGGGACAGAGGCCGTTCATGGTGGTCTTGATATTGTTGTAGCAGAACTGGCATATCTGTTGTCACACCAGAGTTGGTAAGTGCGGGCGGCTCAAGAGTAGGGCGTGGGGTGCGCAAATGCGTACCTGGTAGCCGCACGGACAAGGCCTGAAGTTCTTGTCGGAGAGATCGAACTCCTCGACGCAGAGGGGGCAGAGCTCTTCCTCCTCATCGTCGATGAACTGGTCTACCTGTCGGGACATGGTGTGTGCAGTGATGAAGGGCGGTGGTGGCGCTCGCGGAGCGTGTTATGCAGCAGGACGGATGCGCAGATTGAGAGTCGCTATGCCACGGGTTGGGAATTCAGGAGAACACAGGCAACAAACAGACGAACGCCGGCCGTGAGCGGGAGTCAGGAAGGTCGTAATGCGTGGGCGAGGATGGGCGGAAGGAGGTGGTCGTAGAAGCGGCCGGGAACAGACGCCCGGCAAAGCTGTATGCAGCGAACAAACGTCTTGGCACGCTAACCCTGTCAGTCGCGACCGGCGAACTGCGCATCGGCGAATAGAGGCGCCGGAGTTCTCGATGACCTCGACGATTGCATAGCAACACCAACAGGCCCATCCCCCGCCATTGGCCTCGTCCAAGCATCCCACGAGCGTCGTGAGGCCCGCCAGCTCTGTCCTATCGCCCACAATGAGCCTCCGTCTGTCCAACAGCCGCGCGATCGGCGCTGCGCTGCGCTCTGCCGGCTCCTCCGTGCGGCCCATCGCCGCCCGCAGCTTCACCACCACCGTCGTGCGCGCGAAGCCGTCCGATGCCGAGCTCCCAAACATGCGTGTACGATGACACGGTCTCCACTCAAGCTCCAGCGCCCACTGATGTCCGCAACAGAATGCGCAGCGCCCCGACTCCGGTCCCTTGAAGGCGCCAATCGTGAACCCGGCCGATAAGTACACCGAGAAGGGCGAGGCTCTCCACAAGTACGGCCAGTACCTTCTGTCGTGCCTGCCGAAATACATCCAACAGTAAGCGCCATTTCTGTCGATGGTCGGTCCAAGCATTGACGGTCCATAGGTTCTCGGTCTGGAAGGACGAGTTGACCATTTACATCCCGCCCCAGGGTGTGATCCCTGTCTTCAAGTTCCTGAAGTACCACACCGCCGCCGAGTACACCCAGATCAGCGATATCACCGCCGTCGACTTCCCCACCAAGGACCAGCGTTTCGAGGTCGTATACAACATGCTCAGCGTCCGCCACAATTCCCGCATCAGAGTCAAGACCTACGCCGATGAAGCCACCCCCGTTCCCAGCATCTGCAGTCTTTACGATGGTGCCAACTGGTACGAGAGGGAGGTTTACGACCTGTTCGGCGTTTTCTTCGTTGGTCACCCCGATCTGAGGAGGATTATGACCGACTACGGCTTCGATGGACACCCGCTGAGGAAGGACTTCCCTATGACGGGCTACACCGAGATTCGCTACGATGAGGAGAAGAAGAGAATTGTCGTCGAGCCGCTTGAGATGACCCAGGCCTACAGGAACTTCAAGGTAAGATTGGAGGAGAACACAAGCCGGGAACAAGGTGCTGACGAAAGCTGTAGGGAGGTAGCGCTGCCTGGGAGCCGGTCAGTGCTGGTCAAGATAGGCAGCCTGAGAGTGTAAGTTCATCTCTTTTGCTCTGTCTAGAGAGAGAGAGTATTAACATTTCGCAGTTCAAGCTCCCGACGCCCAAGCCGGAACCTCCGAAGGAGGAGGAGAAGAAATAAGACTATCGACATTGTACACTTTGTAAATCTATTTCTTCCAAGTTCAGCAAAGAAAACGCGAGATACCGATACACAAGATGCTAGACGCTTCCTGAGACGAGCCGAGCTCTCGCTGAAATTTGAGTCCATTCAATATCGAGGCACTTTCCGCACACGAAGTGACAATGAGATGCCGATAGGGCGAGGCCGAAACGACAACCATGCATCACCCAGGAGTGTTGATCAGGGCTTGTAGCAACGGGTGGAAGGACGTTTAAGTGTAACTCGGGCAAAGATTCCAACCGGTACAAGTCCAAATCTGAAAAAACGCGACATGTCAGTCTGGCAGCAACGTTCAATCCATGTAGAGAATATTCTCGCGCAACTCAAAGAGGATGCTGGGAACCCTCCAGCCCCGCGCTAAGTGAGCTTTGAATATTGCCTCTTTAGGTACTAATCCCAACCGACGGGAGAAAAGCAGGGATCACGGCAGATAAACATAATGTATCACGGCCGACCTGTTCATGGACGGCAATGTGTTTGGTAAAACTTGCATCGGATAAAACCATCCTAGCTATAGTCGGTCTTTGTGCCGTGCTGGAGTCTCGTTCCCGCCATTGCACAGCAAAAGACTATGTCGTGGTGCAGTTGCCAAGTCTGCCCCGCACGTCACCTTGACTTGACCCGCAGCAACCTGAGAGGGCTATAAAGCATCATCCACCATCATCATGCATCAGGATTCCGAGAGACATCCCCAACCAAGCAAAGAGAACTGTACGGCACAAGACTCCTGTTCACGCCATCACTCACCTTCCGCCACCGTCTCAGCGCTCGTATCTGCAATGCCTGCCGACTCCTTCACCATCACCGCGCCGCCCGGCACCGACATCTGGCGCAAACCGCCAAGCACCAACAGGTATGTACTATCCACCTCCCCCCCTTGCCTCACCTTACTCCAATAGCACAAGCATCCCACGTGCTACACACATCCCACGTGCCCCGCGCAGCCGCACCACCACCACCACCACCACAAACTAACAACGCAATCACCGCAAAACTCACAGCTTCAACGCACCCACGCACCCTCTCCTCCCCTCCGGCCCCATCCCCCTCCACACCTTCCACCGCGCCCGCCTCACCTTCTCCGCCCCATGGACAACGCGCTACGACCAAGCCGGCCTCCTGCTCCACCTAACCAAAAAACCCACCACTCCCACCACCACCAGTACTCCTCCCTCTCCCAACGCGCAGCAGCACCACCCCACCGACCGCTGGCTCAAAACCGGCATCGAGTTCTACCACCACCGCCCGTACCTCAGCACCGTCGCCACGCAGACCTTTTCCGACTGGAGCATCGCGCCGCCGGCGGCGAGCACGCCCGCCAACGCGACGGGCCCGGTGACGGTGGAGGCGCGGCGCGAGACGGACGAGCTGGGGACGAGCTTGTGGGTGTATCAGTTGGTGTTGGGGGCGGATGGGGAGGTGCTGGAGAGGTGGCCGGTGAGGGAGTGCGGGTGGTGGTTTGCGGAGGAGGAAGGGCGGGAGTGGGTGGTAGATGTTCGGGCGATGGCGGCGCGGCCGGCGGAGGGGGAGGCCGTGGTTGGGGTGGAGGGCTTGGTGGTGGGGTTTGAGGGGGTGGAGGTGGAGGGGAGGGAGGGGTGATGGGATGGGGGTGGGCGTTGGTTGGTTGGTTGGTTGGTTGGGTGGGTGGTTGGGTGGAGGGGGAGAGAGAGAGAAGGAGCTAGTAGTCCCGGGATGTGGAGACGAGGGGCTTGTGATGCCATTGTGCGCGGAGGTGGGACGGCTGGCGAGCGTGGACTCGGATATGAGCAGTGTGTTGCGTGTTGCGTCCACAGAACAGGAAAAATGCCTCAGACATGGGCCTTGTCTGCCGTTCTGTCCACCGTTCTGCCCGTGCATGCCGTGCCCGCATGGTGGGAGACAGGACGTGCGAGCCCGGATTGATCAGCGCTTTGGGGGGCAGAACGGTAGGGCTGAAGACGTCAGTTCTCTCAAGACCGTCGGCCATGTGGAACAATTTGACGACATGGCAGAAGTGGTGAGCGGCTCGAGGAGTCTAGAGCCTGCAAGGGATGCAGAGGGCGAAGGATCTGCGCGAATGGCAATCATGGCCGGCGGCCAAAGTCAAGAATCCGCGACAGAGGCAGATGGGACGAGCAGCGGCGAGTTTCCGGTGACAGCAAGCATGCCAAGCATCAGAAAAGTAGGTGTGACGGTGCGGTGTTGTCCTTGCATGGGCCAAGGATCGGAAGCTGCAATACCACGCTGGAGAGGTCGAGAATTGGCTCGTACGAAGCGGGTGGCGGCACGGGTGGGGATCGAGGCTCGTCCATGATGATGATAAGCGGCAAGAGTGGATGGGAGGGTTTCAGACAAGGTGCAATAGGGCGTCTTCTTCACCTCAGACGTGCAGGCCCAAAGAGCAATCGAGGTCCGGCTTGGCGCAGGACGAGCAGATGGCAATATGCCATGGGCGCCGCAATCGCAAATCCGGGCGGAGCCACGGTCAGGGCCGGCAGTTCATGACAACGTGTTTTGCTGATCGCGAACGCCCCGTCTCGGAGAGGGGCCCCAATGACGCCAGGCGGTATCTTCAGCACATGGCCGGCGAGGCGAGAAGAGGCAAGCGTGCCGCAGGGTTCGGACAGACGCTCCAAAAATTTTCACGGGCGCGGCGGAGCTGGTGTTTGAGGCGTGCAGCGCCGACGAAGAGAGCCGGTGTGGTCGCGGGCGGGAACAGGCACCGAGCCCTAGCGATCAACCTTCCAGAAGGCCGCCGCCAGCACATCCCACGCCGCTCACTGCCCGTTCCTGCGGGCTCGGGCACTGCATCCGGCAGTCGCGCATCGTGGGCCGGGGCGCTGGATAGCATGCGGCGGGGTGGTCGTGATGGCGATGCTCGGTGCGCATTCGCTCGCTTGCGACGAGGCTGGGCCTAGCGGAGATCGTCCGCCGCTGCTGCTGCCCAGCCATGGCCGTCTCCGCCGTCTCCAGATTGTGTCGCGTCCATCCACCTCATTCGCTCCCCGACTCCCCGCCCGTCAGCAGCGCGACTTGGGTTAGCCGATAGTGCCCAGCCAGCCAGCCAGCCGGGGTTCGGAAGCTCAATTGACCGGTGCGGGCCTGTACATGTCGCCCTCTGTTGGCGCCACGCGCCGCTCACCGCTTCTCCACGGCCAAATGGGGCTACCACACAAGCGCCTGAATCGTGGCCGTCTTTCGGCCGCCACTCGCTGTGCCTACGGCTCCCATGCCCGCGTCCCACGGTGCCATTCAGCTCGGGACGCTGCCCGAAGATAAACCACTAACGTTCTGACAGCCGCGGAGCACCATCATATTGATACGCTCCGCTGGCCGCCGAACGACACGTTTTTGCCCGAGTGCTGCTGCCCTCCGCGCCCCGACACGAGAGAATGAGTACCGAGTCCTTGGTGAGGCAGCTCGAGGAGCAGCGCGCCGCCTTCCTGGCCCTGGAGCAGCGCGTCCACGAGGCGCTCCGTCAGCAAGAGTCGGTCTCGCGGGACGAGAGCCCATCCTCGCCCACCTTCAGTGACGGCATCGGCCGCCAGTCAACCGTCTCCTTTGCTGACCCGGGCCGCAAGTCGACCGGACTGGCGTCGATCCTGCACACGAGCTCAGCCATCTCGGTGGACAGCGACGACGAGGACGACGAGACGTTTTACGTAGGTGCTCTTTTCTCTCTTCCTATAGGCCGGGCGCTCGGGCCATGGGGAGTCGCTGCGCCTCCCGGGCACCGCTTTATCAGCCTTACTAACTCGTTGGATATAGGTTCGGACGCCTCTGCAGCCAAAGTCGTTAGCAGAAGAGGGCCTGCGCACCCACCTCAGGACTTACGAATGGGAGTCGTGCGGCCAGACCATCCTGGAAGAAGTTGTCCAGGATAATCAGTTGTTGTCTCCTTATCTCTTTCCGACACCCGATGAGGAGGAGTTGTCGCATCCTTCGAGTTACCAGGTGTATGATGTAGGACTTGACGGCGCGCCCATAAGCATCGATATCGAAACTGGCGAAGACGAGGAAGTAACACAGTCCAAGGCCGCAGCTCTCTGGAACGTCATCAAGGTAAGAAGCTTTTCTTTTTCTTTCTTGACCCCCAGCCTGGCCGACTGCCGAAGCCAGCGGGGTTGCATGCGGTCCAACACGGGGGAGCTGAAATATCTCGCTGGGGAGGACAACGTTGGGTTATGAGTATTCGTCGGATGAGTCGGCACACCATCCCGACCATGCACTTGGCATGATGGACGTTTCAGATGCTCATCTGACCCCTGCCCGGGCGACTACTCCGGCTATCCAGCCGACCTTGCCGGATTCCGTTCAAAGCTTGTTGGGGAAATCAATCCAATGACAAGTGTCGCAGGATATCAACGTGGAACCCGACAATCGCTCTGCTGTGGGCCGAATAATGTAAGCTGTGTCTGAGCAATCCTAATGAGTGGCCCAGGCTGACAGCCTCCAGAATCGCTCAAGAACCAGCCCCCATCGCCTTTGGCGCCTTGCACTATGCGATGGACGAGTATTTCGATATGAACGAACTCTTCCAACACTTGGTCAACTCGGAACACTCATCGGTACAGAGCCTCTTCACCGCGTCTTCTTCTGTGCTCGATGCACATACGCGCGCACTACTAACCCCGGTGTCAAAGGCAACGCCCCACAGACCGTTTTCGCATGATTCACGGCACCAGCGGACCTTCACTTTCAGCTTTGAGTACTACACAATCATCGGCGAGGAACGGCAACCCATGCACTGGCAAAGCCATGACAGGCATCCTTCACCATCCAACGCCCACCTGCCTCTCTCTCGCTGCAGTTCGATCGTTTCTCTAGCATTGCTGGGGGACCCCATCAAGAAGCTCCGCAACATGTCCCGGCGGAAGAACGTCAAAGTCAAGCAGGGTCTTGTGTTTGATCCGTTCTCGCCATGGCTCGTGCTCAACATGCAAGCTTATCCCGACTGGCTCGGGAACGCTGACGCTCACGATTCCACAAAGCATTATGTAAACGGCCCTGAGGCGTTCTTGGCAACTGTTCTTATGGAGTTTCGGGACGCACGAAAACGGTATGAGGAGATCTACAAGCAGATTACGAGGATGATTACGCCGCCAACGGATTTCATCTTTGATGCCGATCAACGAGACAGGCGTTTGTTTGAGGACGACAATTTCACCTTCACCAGAGGCTACTTCTGGGCGCACCAAACGCTTGGGTCCATCAACGACAGCATCAAGGCAATGATTGACGCCTACGAAGACACTTTCACGGACGAGGTATGGGAAGGAAGACACAAGAGCATTTGGCCGTTGCTCGATGAAGCACTCCCTCGCAACGACTATTTCCGAAGGAAACTCTATCTGTTGCGGAAAGAATTCGAACGCGAGGTAAAGCATTTGCACGAGCAGATCAAGGAGAACAACGACAGAAGGGTGGAAATCCGGGATTTGCGGGATCAGCTGTTCAGTGGCACTTCTGTTCTGGAATCACGCAAATCGGTCGAACTCTCCGAGATCACGATTCTCCAGGGACACAACGTCAAGCTCCTGACCCTTATCAACATCTTCTTCATGGTAAGTTCGAAAACAAAATCTAAGCGGGCCAGACACTTACAAACTGCAGCCTCTCACGTTTGTCACAAGCGTATTTGGGATGACGAACATGTCTACGGAGCACACGTTCTGGGAGTTCGGCACGGTTCTTGTGGTTGTTTGCGTTCCGTTCTTTTTACTCATCGGCTCCCTCAACACGACAAAGGGTTACGAATTCTGGAAAGCACGGTGCAAGGAAGTTATGAAGACAAGTCTTTGGTTCCTGGCCTTCATGTCCGGGTTGGCTCCGAAGGCGAGTCGACCTCAAAAAACCCAGCAGGAGGAGGGAGAAAGAGGAGATATACCCAGCCCCTACGCTCCCCGACGAAGCTGTGCTTCGGATGCACCAGAACGGCCACGGATACAACGATCGCCCACGACGTTGGATACGCTTGAGAAGAATGAACCGATGGGCGAGGCGGAAGATGGTGAGAAAAGAAAGAAGAGGTGGTTCAATCGCAAAATTTTGGAACGCATGTCACGAAGAAACGAGAACAAGGCCAACAGGACACGAGCCCAGGAGGTTTAGCAGTCGCCGAATGAAAAAAGAAAATTCTACACGTTCAATCACATAGCCGACCACTTTGGAGCGTCAATGCTGCAGTTGTTTTAGCGGTCTTTTTTTCCCGTCCAGAAGGGGAAGTAAATCCAGAGTGGAATTCCCATCTGAACGAGTTAACCTCGCGGACTGGTGGCGACCTCGGCCCGCAATGCTTTCACTCCACACAAGACTATGTCCGCATGATGTCCCACAGCAGTAGTTGAGCCGCACGCCGTACGGACCGGGTGGCCCTTGCAATTTGATCCGGCCATTCTGAGTGGCTTTATGTCGGCAGAGGCGTCCCGGTTCCGGGTGTATGGCTCAAGCGACGATGGCATCCGATTTTCGATGAACGAACAGGCATTATTGAACAACACACACTGGGCGGATGAAATCGAAAGGGTAGTTCGATCATCACGGAAGAATGAAGATTTGCTCCTGCCATCGGGGCTGACTTCACTACCGGGCATAGCTCAGCGTTTTGTATGGAAGGCAGCGTGGCTCTCTCGCGGAGCGGGCCGGCCTTTTTCTATCGAATTGATTCGAGCTGGGCGGTAGGCGAAGCTGCAGCAAGCCGGTAGTGCCGCAGGTACCGATGTCTGCTGACAGCGCCACGTTCCTTACATTGATGCCTGCGTTATGCATCGAACATGCACGCGACAAACAACCAAGAGCACTGGAACAAAGTGAGCGAATGCGCACCGCCAGGTCTTCCTTTTGCTCCTTTCTGAACCAGTTCGCGCATCTGGCTGGTGGCCTCTGCCCTACAGGAACTTATATGGCCTGACCAGACAATTGGACGAAGTGGATACGGGGCGGGGTGGCGCAGACATGTGAACATGGCCGGGCCGGCGACTCCAGACGGCGGGTACGGGAGGAGGGATGTTGCGGCTTTTGGCGGAGATGACGGACAGGCATGCGTGAGCCAGTAAGACGCGGCTCCAGCACGCTCATCTCCCCGTCGTGGCAAGAAATTCCATCATTCAGCTCGGTTTGCGTCCGCCACGACAATAGGAGGCAGACGCAAGGCACTCGACCTAATGTTTACCCCGCCTCGCTCGTATGAAACCTGCCTTGTTCTCCCGGACGGGCATGATCGTCGCAAGCCCGCAGTGGGATGCTATTTACATACGCTCCGACATTCAGCCAATCACGGCCCGCAGCAGCAATATAGCACCCCTGAGAAGCTTATGCTTGTCCGACTTTTCAATTAGCAGCCTCGTCGCCCGCCAAAAGGGCCCTGGATTATGTGTGTGGACTCGGCATGGCCGCTCGCCCGCCCCCCGTTCTAGCTCCCGCCGTTCCCCACACTTCTTCCACCTTCCCACTCGAGCTCCTCGCTCCGATGCACAAAGCTTTCGGCCCATCCGAGCCGAGCGAAGCGCTGCTCACCACCAGCTGCTCGACTAGGTGTGCGCGTCATTCCACTCCGTCAACCCTCTGGCCAACACCAGTTCGAGCTTGGACCATCGCTGCTGTCCTTTCCGCTAGGGCCGGTCCGTCATGAACAAACCTTGGACGACAAACACACACGGTGCCGTGACTCGGCCGCCCAGACCCGGCAAAAAATTGGATATATAAAAGGGAGGTCGAGCGCCCACAGCAACCGAGTTTCCAGGGACCGGCAGCGCAACCCAGTGTTTCCACTTCCTCGCTCTCATACATCTGGTGTCCTCCGCTTCTGATATCGGCCCATCGACCATGTTCTTCCCCATCAGGGCCCTCGGCCTTGTCGGCCTGCTCGTCGGCGATGCCCTCGCCGTGCCCACGACTACGCTCTTCAAGCGCCAGAGCAATGTTGACAGCTTCATTTCGACCGAGAGCCCTATCGCTTATGCTGGCGTCCTGGCCAACATTGGCGACGACGGGGCCAATGCTGCCGGCGCCGCGGCAGGTGTGGTCGTTGCGGGTCCGAGCAAGAGTGATCCTGACTGTAGGTGTCCCGATTCCTGTTCGATTGCGCTTCTCCATGGCATTTTACTAAGACAAACGGCAGACTTCTACACCTGGACGCGTGATGCGGCGCTTGTCTTCAAGGCCCTGGTTGATCAGTTCATTGCCGGCGATACCTCGCTGCAGGATGAGATCCAGGAATATATCATCGCGCAGGCCAAGCTGCAGGGGATCGACAACCCCTCCGGCGGCTTGTCTACGGGCGGTCTGGTGAGAAAGCCTCGGTAACCACGTGTATCCTTTGCTGACACATAAGTCACAGGGCGAACCCAAATTCAACGTCGACTTGACGCAGTTCACTGACGCTTGGGGAAGGCCGCAGAGGGATGGCCCCCCTCTCCGCGCCACTGCCATGATTGCTTATGCCCGGTGGTTGATTGACAACGGCTACACCGATACCGCCAGGGATGTTGTTTGGCCGGTCATCCGGAACGATCTGTCTTACACCACCGAGTACTGGAACCAGACTGGCTTCGACCTTTGGTAGGGAACTCCCGGATGCATCTAGTCAAATTGGGACTAACGCCACTATAGGGAGGAGGTCCAAGGCTCATCCTTCTTCACCATTGCCGCCTCTCACCGCGCTCTGGTTGAGGGCAGCACTCTGGCCTCGCAGCTCGGCGACAGCTGCGACTACTGTGACTCTCAGGCCCCGCTGGTCCTGTGCTTCCAGCAGAGCTTCTGGAACTCCAACGGCAACTACATCGTCTCCAACATCAACGTCAATAATGGGCGCACCGGGAAGGATGCCAACTCGATTCTGACGTCGATCCACAACTTCGACCCCTCTGCGGCCTGTGACGATGTCACATTCCAGCCTTGCTCCTCGCGGGCGCTGGCGAACCACAAGGCCGTGACGGACTCTTTCCGGTCCATCTACACCATCAACTCGGGCATCGCTGCGGGCAGTGCCGTCGCTGTCGGCAGATACGCCGAAGACACCTACTACAACGGCAACCCCTGGTGAGCGCGCTTCCGACAACACGCCCCCGCCCTCGAACAAGAAAGCTAACGGAACCAGGTACCTCGCCACCCTCGCCGCCGCCGAGCAGCTCTACGACGCCCTCTACACCTGGACGCGCGAGGGCTCCCTCACCATTGACGACGTCTCCCTCGCCTTCTTCCAAGACGTCTACCCCTCCGCCGCCGCCGGCACCTACGCCGCCAACTCGGACACCTTCGTCGCCATCCTCAACGCGGTCAAGACGTACGCCGACGGCTACGTCGGCATCGTCCAGGCCTACACCCCGGCCGACGGCTCGCTCGCCGAGCAGTTCTCGCGCGACGACGGCGCCCCGCTCTCGGCGCCCGACCTCACCTGGTCGTACGCCGCGTTCCTCACCGCCGCCGCCCGCCGCGACTCGGTCGTGCCCGCGTCGTGGAGCGCCGAGTCCGCCGACGACGTCCCCGCCGCCTGCGCCGCCGGCTCCGCGTCCGGCACCTACGCCTCCGCCACAAACACCGCCTTCCCCACCGGCATCACCAGCAACCCGGGCTCTACCTCCACCGCCACCACCGGCCCGACCACCACCCCGACCACCACCACAACTCAACCCACCACCTCCTCCTCCACCAGCACAGCCTGCCCCACCGCCGTCGCCATCACATTCAACCTCCACGCCACCACCACCTTCGGCGAATCCATCCTCCTCGCCGGCAGCGTCCCCGCCCTCGGCTCGTGGGACCCCTCCGCCGCCAAGGCCCTCAGCGCCGACCGGTACACCAGCGCCGACAACCTGTGGTACGGCGTCGTGGAGCTGGCGCCCGGCGCGACCGTGGCGTACAAGTACGTGCGGCAGAGCAGTGATGGGACCTATACGTGGGAGAGCGATCCGGATCGCACGGTGAGCGTGCCGAGTTGTGTGGGGACGGGGGTGGTTGGGGATGTGTGGAGGTAGGGTTGGGGGGATGGGTCGAGGGGGAGGGAGGGGTTGAGGGGGAGGGGTTGAGGGGTTGTGTGGGACGGGCGTTCTTTTTGTGAGACGGTGTGAAGTGAGGGTTGGGATGGGGAAAGGTGTGGCGAGGCGGTGGAATGGAAGCTGGTGTTTGTTGGAGAAATGTTTGTTTGTGAAACTATCTGAGATGCTGGGCTAATCTGCGGGTTTCTTCCTGAAAGGTGCGAGAAGCCTCCAAACTCCCCTTTTGATCTTTTGGGTTTTATATGCTGGTTCTGAATCCCTCCCCAACACTTCCTGCAACCCTGCCTCTTGAAGTCTCCTGAACAAAGGCCTTCCCTCCTCATCGCGGACATAGAACAGCGCGTTCCTCCCAGAATTATCTACCGCATCTACTTTTGCTCCAGCATTGAGGAGAAGATCAACCATTCGGATACAGTCTTCATTCGAATAACTAACCCACCATCTTTCAGGTTTCCAGAACCGGTCTTCTACCGCATATAGCAATGGCGTCATCCCCTGATCATCTCGTGCGTCGATTTCTGCCCTAAGCTTGATCAAAAGCACAGCTTCCTCATGTTTCCAGTTCTCGGCAGCTGCCATGAGTGGTGATCGTCCTTTGTTATTTCTCAAGTCCACTTGTGCTCCGCACCGGATGAGTAGGCCCAGTGTGTCCGCGCTCGATTGTCCGAATTCGACGCCGAGCATTAGAGCTGTGTTCCCGTACGAATTCACCTCGTTAACGTCCGCGCCAGCCTGGATAAAAAATCGGATGGCGTCGTGACACCCGTACACCGCAGCTTCCATGAACGGGGTTTTTCCGAACTTTTCTCTGATGTTGAGGTTCGCTCCAGCATCGTGTAACAACTGCAAGCGTTCGTAGTCGTAACGGAGAATGGCGTGAAATATAGGGGTTTTACCATTTTTGTCCTGCCAGTTGATGATGGAAATGCCTTGGCGGTCTTCCTTCGACTTCTTCCAGACGGCTAGCTGTCCATTTCGTCTACTCTTCTTGTTCATGCTCTCAAACTTGATGGCTTCTTCCAGGAGCACTTTGAAGACTGGCGTGGAGCTGTAATACGCGGACAGATGTAACGGAGTCTGACGTTCCCGATCTCGTAGGCCTATAGACGCACCATGACGTATCAAGCTTTTAAGCACATCAAGATTTGGATCTTTGCTGTCTGCGACTATATGTAGTGCTGTTTTCCCGTCTTTGTTCTGTTGATTGACGTTTGCTCCCGCATTGACGAGAAAATCAATAACGTGATCGTGGCCAGCGTACATCGCGGAAAGGAGTGGTGTATTCGATCCTCTACGACAGTGGATGTCGGCCCCTGCTTCGACAATCCAAGAAATGACATCGAGGTCACCCCACTCGCATGCAAGACAGAGTGGTGAAAGAGCTTTTTTTGGACGGGGGTTCGGGTCAGCTCCAAGCTGCAACAAGACACGGACGGTTGGTTTCTGCCGGCCCCCGATAGCGAATGATATCGGTGTATATCCACGAGTGCTGCGCGTTGTACCTTTATCTTCTAAAGAAGCCGGCCGAAGGTTAACCAGGTTTCGAATGCAGTCAATTAATCCGCAATAAGCAAAGGGTTGGATTATGCGAGTGATTTCGAAGTATTGCCGGTCACGGTTTCCGAGGTACTCCGTTATGGGCTCACCCAGGATCGCTCCCAGATATGGATCAAGAGGCCGACGAAGGATGTCACTATCCCATGGAACGGAGCGAAGAGGATCTTGTATGGAAAACTTTTCCGGAACCTCAAAGTTCTGTCTTTGAGCACTCTCGGTGTGGAGCACCCAGCTTTTCCATGCGTATAGTAGAAGTGGAAGTTTCTGCAAATGGCGACCGGCAAGGTATCGCGAAATTCGCATTTTCCTTAACGCGTCAGCATCATCACTACCAGGCGTGTCTATACTCTGGTCAAATGCTTCTCTGACTTCCTGCATGAGCAAGTATTTTAGGCAGGACCTCGACAATTGAAAATGCGCGAGCCATGCCATTGGAGTGGTGGGATCAGGAGAGAGTCTTTGTAGCGTATCTTTGGAACCAAGCAGAAAGTCCGGAACGGATTGGTGGATGAACTGAACCTGACCCAAAGAGAGTGATCCGGATATGTGGATCAAACCTTTGGACAGGTCTTTGATCCGGAGAGCCAGCTTGTCCTCGCAGATGAAGTCTTGCCCGTTCTGGTACTCGGAGGTTGATTTCTGATCCATGCGCCAATCGAATGCAAGTGCGTGCTGGAGTTCCTTGGGTGTTAAGGGCTGGATCGCAAACAGAACCCATTGGAAAAGCTTGAGAGTCTGTTGCTGTTCGTGAATGTGGCGTTCCGACTGGGTTGGCAAAGAGTCTTGCATGGGCCGTAGCAAGGATTCATAGAGACGATGCAGGTCTGCCGGGACCTCTCGTACCAGCCTCAGGGCTTCCTCAAATGAGTAGCCGCGTGTCTCGAAGTGCATTGTTTTCTCAAGCACAATCGAAGTCCACTGGAAAACACCCTTGGATTTCTCCAAAATGTCAGACCGTAATCGTTCCTTTTCTGTTCGAGTAAAATGGAGTTCGTTCATGCCGGATTCAATGGCATTGCTGATGTCATCGCCATTGAAATCCTCGCTGACGATGGTATTTCCTCCGTCCAGAGTGATTTGCGGATAGTGCCGACATGAGAAACATATCCGTAGCTGTGGCTGGTGATCGCTAGTTGCCAAGAGTGTCTTGAATGCTTTCACGATGGCGTACGCTTCCGTCTCCCCCGCCTCATCCAAAGCATCCACGAGAATAGTGATGGAGAAGTCTCGGGAGACTATGTTGAGGCCGTGGGCAAGGTGATCCAATAAATCTTCGCATGTCCAGGCCCATTTCTCATCCACTGTTCCAGAGACTTCAGTCCTCTGCTTGTAGATTTTAGTTGGATTTGCAAGGATGACCGGAAATTCTTGTGAGAGTTGATGCAGAAGGGACCTGTAAAGCCCCAGTAGAGTTTTCTGCAACGGGACGCCTCGGCCGTGGAAGAAGAAGGAGAGCAGACATGTGTCCGGCTCTGTGGTAGATTTCATGTGATTCAGTAGTACTTTCATGGCCATTGATTTGCCGGAACCTGGTTGTCCGCGTATCCAGAGTAGACCTTCTGGTCTATGGCGCCATGTTGTGAAGGCCTCGTGGTTGAGCAGCCACTGGCAGGTCCCAGGGGTGGGATTGAGCTGAGCCTCGCGTATGTGCTGCTCAACAAAGGCCAAGGAGTGTAAGCAATCTTGTGTGTAGTCAGCATTCATAGAGTCCGAAAATCATTATCATAACTACCTACTTCTCTCCCATTCCATCTGTTCTGAAGACTTTGTCTCCCGCGGCTTGAAATCCTGCATCCTCTTCAGATGATTGACGACAACCCTGTAGGTGCCATCTTTACGACCCGAGAATTTTACGAGATCGCTATGAGAACAGTCAACCGCATGGATGTGATGATTTTCCGCGTCATGCGGCCGTCCATGCGTCGCAGAGTGAGGCTCGACTAGAATATCAAGAGGGCCTGACATGGTCCATTTTTGTGTCGTCTCCTGTCACAGTGAGTCAACATCTCAAAAATCATCTTATGAATACATGTACATACATCTTGCACTGCAGTTCGTGACATTTTGGTCTCGTAGAAATTGACGACTTGGAAAGCCATGTTTGAGTCGAATATCTCTAGGAAGGCCTGGCTTTGGGTTCGAAGGGTAACAGAGTTCGGGCCCAGAGACTCTACAAGTGCCCTATTGGGGCCATCTCCGGCCATTGACCTCAAAGATTTGATAGCCATACCTTGATTGGGAACCCCGAAGAACATGATTCTCGTAATGGCGTGGAAGGAGGCTTGGTCAACTTGCATCTGACTCCTTGCCATCAGATTGACCGCCTGAGCCAATGAACGCTTAGCATATATACCCCACACGTCTTTAGTGGTTGCCATAACATACCTCTTTCACGATGATACCTCCAAGGCTATGACCGATGAGAACCAAGGGCCTCTTCGGATCCGCGCGAATAGTCCTCAAGGCAGTACGTAGCCTTCCACCGAGGTCGGCAATGTTTTGGAACGATTCGCTGTTGATCAGCTGCGTGTCTAGTCCAAAGGTGAGTACCCGAGAACTTGGGAGGTCCTGGGCGAGAGCATCTCGCAGCCATATCCAATTGCCATTTCTCCGCTTGAAAGACCCGAGCGCGTGGCCATTTAGTCCTGAAACCGCAACAATACTGAGCCGGTCAGCTATCAATACAGTCACGATATGTGCAGAAAGTACCTACTCGATGGTGCAGTCCTTCCCTGCTGGCGTATGGAGCGTTGTGAAATCGAAGAAGTCCGAGTCGAAAACAAGCTCGCAACCGTCAACAACGACGTTGATTTCTCGAGAGCCCTGGACGAGCATCTCTGGAATCTTTGAAAACTCCAACGTCGCCATCATTTCGTCATCGTCGGGGTACGGATCGTCAGCTAACGAACGCACTCGGATAGCCACATCGTCGGAGCACCCAAGCGCACTCTGTACGAGATTCTTGACGCGCTCCTCATCCGATCCTCCCGGTATCCCACGTAGCCTAAATGTTTTGTATGACTCCATGCACGCGAACGCTCACGCACATCATTCCGAGTAGGGTCGGTGTTGGGATGCGAGGCGACTGAAGCGACGCTGCTTGGATCGGTCGCGAAATTTCGTTCCAATGACGCACGTAACGCAATTGGAGCTGTAGACGGAGTTCCAGACGAGACTGAAGGCTTAACAGAAAGACAAGGAAAAAGAAGATGAAGATGAAGTGGAGCAGGGAGGACGCGGTTTCAAGCAAGGCTGGAGCTGAGCAGATCAGGCAGAAGTTGATGAGGCGAGGCCCAGCTATCAGTTCCCAAACGCCTCCCTCTCATTACTCACCTCCAACTGAACGAGAGCGCGCGCTTTCGACCACCAATCATGTTGAAGAAATTGTGTCACAATAATGACGGTCACATGTGATGAATAATGATGAAGCACATGCCTGTTGTTGGATGGACGTCATCATCAGCTGAAAACGGCGCTTAACACCATGTGTCATGACGTCCAACTCCCTTAATGCCCTTGCTGATATTATTGCTGCCCCTCACTCATTCACGCATATAAGCACCAGTAGCAGCAGATTCATGATCAATAAAGCATCCAGAACTAATTGCGTCCTCATGTGACCGCCTGCGATCACCGTCCAATAGATTGCAACCCTTGAAAAAAAAAAAAAAGGCTACGAGGTCTTCCTCAGCCTTGCACCAATACATTTCGGATATTTCAGACTACAGAATAGTGAGAACTTACCTCGAGTACCGCAATGAGAAGCTGCAGCCGCACGACCATGCTTGAGCGCCAAACGAGACCTCTGGACCTTCGAGTATGGTCGTAGAATGCACGATTACGTCGTGCTGATGGCGGTAGGAGAGCACATCCTTCACAAACGAGAGATGACTTGCCGTGATTCAAAGCCCAATCTCCGTGACACTGGGAAGGTAAGGATCTCGTATGAAGCACACTGGAACAGCCATCTGCTCGTACCCGTCAACGGAACCTGTGTAACGGCCGATGCTAGATCATGTAGCCACCACTCTCTCGCGCTGTGGATCCTGAAAAGTGACTGAAGCAACAGTCAGCTAACAAATGTAGACCAAAGCAACCAACAAGGCATCTTGGATATGAACATTGAAAAAAATACTGCACGAAAGGGTTGTTAATGTCGGGTCGGCCGCGTTCTACGTGCCATTCTGGTGCTACAACGACTTAAAAAGAGCTGAGATATATATACAAGCAAACAAGCCTCCGTCTTACGAGGCTCCGCATATGAGTGTGTCTACAAAATCATCATATCATAGGTGGCCTTTTTTTCTTTCTTCCAAAACGGTAGACAAATAAATCACGTCCTGCGATCAATAGTGCCAGCGGTACCGCCGATAGGCTTGCTCTGCAGGTCGGGAGAGACGGGCGACCGTGGCCTGGTCGCACTGGTAGCACCGGACCTCGCCCGAACCATGCGCGCAAGCTTGCCGGGGACCCTCATCCGACTCCACAGCAGCACCGTGGTGGTGAGCAGAGCGAGCGCACCAGCTTGATGGGTGGCAGCGAGGTGAGTGGGCACCATGTAGATCAGAGTACCGATGCCGAGAGCGACCTGCATCCAAGCCATGTGGGTGACGCCCGTCATGCCCTTCTTCACGTCGCGGGGAAGGACGGCACGCAGCTTGGGGAAACGAGTGTAGGCGAAGAGGGCGATGACGGCGGTGAAGGTGGTGGTGGCCAGGCAGCGGTGGTCGAGCTGGACGAGGGACGGGTTCTCGAGCATGTTGCGCCACCAGAGGTCGGAGTTGTCCGCGGTATGGCTGTACCAGGGATCGAAAAGCTCCTTCTTCGGCGGCGTGAGGCCCAGACCCATCCAAGGAAACTCGTTGTAGATGAGACCAGCGTCGAGACCAGCGACGAGCGCACCGGACATGGCCGTGACGAAGACAAGACCAGTGAGAGCCGTGACGTAGCGTCTGAAGGGGCGGAGGTTCGGGTGCTGCAGGGCATTAATAACCTTCTCTGCGGCGGCGGGATCAGCAAGCCAGCGGCGTTCGCGAAGGACAGAGAAACCAGTCAAGAGCATGGAGCAGTAGACAACGAAAGCAGCACCAAGGTGGGCAGTCAGGCGATACTGGGACACGCGCGGGTGGCTGCCGGGGGCGAACAGGTCATCCTTTAGTCCGCTAGCGACCATCCACCAGCCGATGACGCCCTGGAAGCCGATCATGCCGCAGATGGCAGTGAGCTTCCAGGCCATAGACTTTGTGACCTTTCGCCGAGCAATGAAGTACATGGTGGGCAGCAGGAAGGTCACGCCAATAACGCGGCCCCACAGGCGATGTCCCCATTCCATCCAGTAGATTTTCTTGAACTCGTCGAGAGTCATGCGCGAGTTGAGCAGGTGGAATTCGGGCGAGGCGCGGTACTTTGTGAATTCGGACTCCCAGTCTTCCTGGGACATGGGAGGGAGAGAGCCGGTAACAGGACGCCATTCGGTGATGCTAAGGCTGAGAGGCTGTTAGACGGAGAACAGATGGGGTGCTGTAGGCGAGAGCGTACCCAGACTCGGTGAGACGAGTCAAGCCTCCAAAGACGACAATGCCGAAAACGCTGGCAGCGCTGCCGAGTAACCAATATGCCACAATCTTGTCGTTGGCCTCCGGGAATCTGCTCTTCTTGGCTGCCTCGGCGGCTTTCCGACCTGGGCCGGAGCCAATGGACTCGCTCAGGGCACCGAGCGGTGACTGAGGCCCCTTCACGGTGGACTGCCATCGCACGGCGCGGAGGACGGGACCGTGGCGGAGGTGGGAGCGGAGCGGCGGCGGGACGGCAGGCTTTGCGGGATTGACACAGGCCCTGCAGGTGAAGAACTCGCGCGAGAGGCGCGGAGCAGCGCGCCTCAAGGCGGGAAAGGGCTGGAAGATGGAAGCCATGGCGGGGCGCCGTGGAGGCTGAGGGAGGGTGTTGCAGGGCCAGAAAAGTCACTTGAAGCTGCGGTGGTTCGACCGGTCGGAAGCAGTGCAACCTCCGGGGCGGGCAGCTCCGACCAACCAGCGCGCCGCATTGCAAATCGCCCAAGCTTCTTACCTAGGTGGTAGCTGGCACGCTCGGATGCCCGGACATGGCCCTGCCGGTTTCCACGATCGGCAACGCTTCGTACAGGCTATAGGCTTATAGGCGGCTACTGTTCCTATAGCTGCGTGTTGTTTCCGAGGATAGGTGCTGGTGCGTAGAACACGGCCTGCCAAGGCTGCGTGGAGGTCAGAGAGTCAGATGGGCGGCGCAAGGGACAGATACATGGGCATTGCTATGCTGTACGCACCAGGACCAGGTCGCGGGGACTTACGCCTGACCCCCACCAACGCAGCTGTTGGACTCAGGCAGCCTCCACGTGCCGGATGATGGCAGATTGCGGGTCGCACCGATCTGGAACTATTACAGGCATATGACGTGCATGCTTCCTTTTGCAGCTGAGACGGGCTGCGGCTGCGCACAAGACGGGAAGCAGCACGCAACAAGGCCAAGCTCACAGCTCGTGCGAATAATATGCCGTGGTCCGCGTGTGATGATTGAGAGTGACCGGGGGGCGCGCGGATTTGCGTGGCGGGGCCGCGGCGGCGCTCCTGCTTTGCGGCCTACCAACAACGGCGCGCAAGCTCGCCCGCGGCTTTCACAGTAGTGTCTAACCGCACCTCTGTACTGCGGTACTACTCCTTTTGCTCTCTCTCGGCCCTCTCGCCGCCTCCGCCACCGCGCGGGCCCGACGCCGCTTTGCCCCGCGGCCACGACTATCTCCGGCTGCAGGGTCTGGGGGGGCAGACTGCGGGGCCACGAGCCCAGCGTCAGCGTCGCACTGGCCGACAATCAGGATCAGCGCCGTAGCGAGCGAAGACCAGGCGCAAGGCCGCCTCCACCCGACAGACACGTTCATGACTTTGCCGCAACCATCTCGCGCCCCCGTATCCAATATCTTCGCTCCCCACGACTCGCCCGCATGATTTGCCCTGCGCCCGACTGCCTCCGTAGCTGCTCACAGTCGCCTCCGAAACCGCCCTCAGTGACATGGATGGACATGGTGGCGGGCCCTCCGACTTCCATCACTTGGTCTCTCATCTGAACCTCGACCCCAACGACTGGCAGTCGTCACAAGCCGATGGAGCCTCCTCCACCGTGTCGTCTGTAACCGATGGCCTGCGTTTGCAGAGCGCCATCCCGGCCCAGCTGTATCCTACTACTACCCCCTCTCCCCGCGCCTCTCTGTTCTCCGCTGGTCCTCCCGCCTCTTCGCCGCCCTCCAACTCTTCGCGCCCACTGCTCGCCCCCCAGCCTATTTCGTCGCCTCCGTCGTCAAGGCGCTCTGCTCGCTTTGACCTTGAACTGCCGAGCAGCTCCCGCCCTCCGATAGCCAGGGTCGAGAAGGATGTTGATGATCCTACAACACCCGTCGGCTCTCGGAGATCCAACGACCGCAGCGACTATCAGAATCTCACTACTTTGAGCCGCTTGTTTGCCGGCACCCCGCCTGCCTCGGCCAGGTCTATCCCGTACAGCAGAATGCAATCGACTTGTATGCCAGCCCCTGTGTCCGCCCCGAGATAGAAAGCTAATGTCAAGCAGCTGCTGCCGGCATGATCCCCGGCTCTCTGTCCCACCACGTCTACAGCAGAGGCTTGCTTGACGGCCGTCACTCAGACATCATTATCGTGGCTTTTAACAAAAGATATCGCCTTCATCGACTAGTTCTCGATCAAGCGCCCTACTTCTGTTCCATGCTCTCGGGCCCTTGGCGGGAAAGCCGAGCAGAAGAGGTCACTCTCCACCCCGAAGAATTGGACCACTGCATCACCGAGGCCGCCTTTGAGCTGACCTTGAAACGTCTGTACGGCTACGACATTTCCGACGAGGAAGACGTCGAGTGCTTGGGCTTGTTCGCTACCGCATGCTGGCTCGAAATGCAGGACCTAATCGACTCGAGCATCGACTCTATCCTGCGCAGGATGCACCCCGATAACCTTGGCCCACTCATCAAGCTGGTCACCCTGCAATACTATGGGAGAGCCGGCGAGAGGCTACTTGCATCGGCGAAGGCCATGCTCTGCAGAGACGGCTCCGAGATGAAGCTGAAGAACTGGGATGAGATCCCTGGGGAGATCGCCCGGGAGATCGTCGGCGGGGACGGCTTCTATATCCACGGGGAATGGGAGAGATGGGTTTTGGCGAAACGCCTGCTGGACCGCCGCCTCAAGAAGGTCGCTGCCGAGTTCAGCCTCATCAAGTCTGCCAAGTCGCGGAGCACCAAAGCACCAGACATGCTTGGCCTAATGGCTGTCAGGTTCGACAGTGTCTATCGCCAAAATGCCATCACCACTGGGTTGTCGCGCCAGGAAAACCCTCAGGATGAGCAGCAGAAATGGATGTCCCTGTACACCCACCACGACATCGAGCCTCTACTGGTCCTGCTCGAAGAAGGAATTCACTACATCCATCTGGAGTTCGAGCAATTGCAGTTCATCAGAACAGCACGCGATACCTTTGGGCTTCCAATAGTGTCTGAAAAGGCCATCACAAACGCCTTGTGGATGCAGATGGAACTTCGGCAGAAAGTGCGGTCGGCAAACCCGCAGGACATGGAGCTTGGACTCAGCAAGCCGGCCGAACCGGACCAGCCATACCGGCCTTCATCCAAGAGCTCTGCCTCGTCGAAAGGCAAGCAATCTATGGAGCCATCGACCCCTGACTCGGAGCTTGACGAGATGGACTCCGGCAGCTGGGATGCCAATGGCAAGCCTCGCAAATTCTGGATACCCTCTGCAGACTGCAACATCGTCATGGGCGGCGCCGCTGAACCCGTCGTCACGACCACAAGCGCCTCGCCTCGCCATGCCTCTCGCCTGTCGGCTACTTTACAGCCTGAGGATGTCCAGTGGGCGACAGACTTCTCCGTCATGCCTGATGCCAACCGCATCCCGACACCATTCCGTCCAGGATCTTCCGGTGGTATGCCCACATCCAGACCCAAGGGCATCTCCTACACGCACTTCCCTCCTTTCCGCTTCGCAGCCGAATTCCCTAACCCCCGTCTTCTGAAGGAGAAGAAGCGCGTCTACTCTCGCACCGTCTTCTACGCCGGCTCCTTGTGGAACATTTACATCCAGAAGGTCCGTTCATCCAAAAACCCACAGCTGGGTGTATATCTCCACCGCGCGAAAGAGTACTCTGCCGAAGACTGCGCCAACACCGGCGAAGTCCTGACCTCAGCCTCTGCCCGCATCGGCGAGCTCGAGCGCCGCATCCTCGTCGGCGGCACGGGCTCGGAGCGCAGCTCGCGCCGCAGCCGGCAAGCCGAGCAGGTCGCCACCGCCATGATGGGCATCTCGCCCGAGGACGACAACACCTCCGGCAGCGGCGGCGACGGCGACGTGGTCGCGTCCCCGACCACCACCGGGCCTTCGCGCACCGGCGAGCGGTCCCGTCGCCAGCAGCCGGCTGCCCCCACGCAGGACCTCAGCTCCACCGCCGGCCTGCCCGAATGGATGCGCACGCCGTGGACGACCGCCGACACCGACGACAACGGCTCCGAAGACGACTCGGACGCCGAAAGCCTCACCCACTCCCAATACGTCCGCCACCGCCTCCCCGGCAACCCGTACTACCACCACCCCGCTGCCCCCGCCCCCGCGCGCTCCGCATCCGCATCCACATCCGCCACCTTCGCCCCCTCCACCTCCAGCAAACACGGCCACGACCAGCGGCCCGCCCCAAACCAAACCTCCGCCTCCGCCACGATCCCGCCCTACATCGACGGCCGCCCCACCATCAAGACGTACTTCAAGATCTACTCGCCCTCCAAGGGCGGCCGCCTGCTCTCCGTCTACGAGAGCGCCCCCGACCGCTTCAACTTCAGCCAGAGCTGGGGCTGGAAGAGCAGCACCCTCATGCTCGACGACACTGCTGCTGCCGCCGGCGGTCCGACGAACGCTGCTGCCGCTGTGGGAGCGGCGGCGGCGGATCCGACTGGTGATGTCGTGGTTGGCGAGGGTGTGGAGCAGCAAGAGGGCGATGTTACTGCGGTGGGGGCGGGGTCGGAGGGCGGCGGTGGCGGTGCGAGTAGTGCGGCGGCGTGGAAGGATAGGGGGAGGAGTAAGAAGGGGGATGGGCTGTTGAGGTTTATGGTTGTTATTGGGAATTTGTAGTCTTGTGTTTTTTTTTTTTTCTTGCTTCTCTGGCTGGGGCGTTGGTGAGAGGGAGGGGTTTTGGGAGGCGGGGTGGGGTGGGATGGGTGGTTTGGTTTGGCTTGGCTTGGTTAGGTGGGATGGGATGGGATGGGCATAGATCGGCGCGGCGTATACATGCGGGATATAGGCGGGTAGGCTACCTGGTTGGTCGGTTGGTTGGTTGGGAGAACGGGTTGGTCGGCGTTCTGAGCTAAACATTGCCAGCGATGGTCTTTTGCTCTTCCCATCTCTCCCGCTTTTTTTATTTTTTTCTTCTTCTTCCCTCTCTCCCCTTTTCTCGGGCTACTAGTACATGGTTTCTACTGCTGCGACGTTGGTCAGGGAATTTTCAGTCAGCTACGCTTGCCACGAGAGCAGGGAGGGCTTGCACGATGATGATGATGATGATGCCACGATCGATCATTCGCTGCTTGCTTCTCACACAGAACATTTATGTCTATCCGGCTCTGCGTCACTTTTTCCTTTTCCCGGTCCTTTTTCTCACTTTTTTGTCCTTTTTGGTCCGTTCAGGTTACGAAAGAATGAACAGTGACGACACCATCCTTCTCCCATCTCTCTTTCGAACCCATGAAGTGAAGTCGCCGGCCGGCCCACCGACCTAACTTTTTTTTCGTGGCGTGCATGCAGGACCGCGTCTGCCCAGCTGTGCAGTACCTAGTCAGTCACCTAGTGCGTGCAGTGGTGGTGTGCGTTGGCTTGCAGTAGTATGTACGGCGCGTTGGGCAGCGCCGCACCCGCACCTGCGCCTGCGCCGGCGCCGCGTCGCCTTTCTTGCTTGCTTGCTGCCTTGCTTGCTTACCCTACCGCTACCGCAAAGCCTCACTATCGGACTGCAAGCCTCGTCATCATCATAATCATCATCATCATCATCATCATCATCAGTGATGATTTAATTTTTTTTTAGAAAAAAAAATATCCTGCAGGTCGGCCCGGCACTGCCGTCTTGGTCGATCAGGCAACAGTGGATCAGGCGGCAGTGTCGTCGGGACGATAGGAAGAGGTCGGCAGGTCCCGTTGATGACGGATGCGGGAGACTGCCGAGCTTTGGCTTTTTTGTTATCGATGTCGAATTGCTGCGTGAGGGGTTTTACGTGTCAGAGACGGGGGACGGTGGTGCTTGATGGTTGTTGCGTCGTGGGTACGCGTGTGTTACTCTTTGGCAACCGCGACCTGACGACTACGACGCCGTCTATCGCCGTGTATCATTGGTGATAGAGGCTCTGTGCCTTCCTGCTCACTGTGAGTTGCAAGGAAGGATTTGAGCGAACGAGGCGCCGTCTCCGGTGGGCGATGTCCACTGAGTCGATCTCTCTGACGGTTGTGTCTTCGGCGAGAAGGGGACGAAACCCCATAGGTTGTTTCCTCTCCATCGGTCTTCCGAAGTCATACGACCGCTTTCGTCCAGTCAACAGCATTGCCGTGAGACCCGGCAAACGGAGATGGCGATGCCGAGTCCTTCGCATCCATCCTCCGCGCTTCCGCAAAAGTTCCTGACTGGACGACGAAAAAAAATCCACGTATGAAGAGAACACACCGACGTAGTGGCGAACAGACCCAACCACCCCCAGAAATAAAACAAGGCTAAGAAAAATCCGCAAGATGAAGAGACAAAGAGACAGCGTTATGCAGGGCAAAGCGAGGAAGCGGGGCCGGCCGACTACTGCATGTCTGCCTGCCTCTCTCTCTCACTACTGCTAACCGTACAGTAGTGCATGTAAGGCGGCCTGGGGAAAGAAAAGGCTTACATATCTACCCATCCGCGCCTTCTCGAAACTAGGCGCACTAGCCGCAGTGGAAAGAGCAGGGAGGCTGGAAAAAGCGGAAGGAATGGAAACATCCAATCCCCCACCACCCCCCACCACCACCACTTCGCCGATTGGTCAAGCTTTAGGACCCCCACAGAGGAAGGAGCTTGAATGGCTGGCTGACTCCGTTGGGTACGTACAGAAGCACGTGTCAGAGGCGTGTGTGCATTATCTTGCAGCCATTCTTTTTTAGCCTCCGACGCGACTCACGACCCGCATGTGTCGGGTATGTACCTAGCTACGTATCCGCAGCAACAACATCTTCCGCAGGGTACGTATGTATGTACAGCGAGCCCATCCGTTTCGCCGCGGTTTTTTCATTACCGGCATGTCATTGGTTATAGAAAGTGCTGCTTTGACAGGCTTCTTGAATCAAGCTCGACACCTGCAAAAAGTCATCTGCATCAGCCTGGACGGAGGGTCAGTCACCTTGTTTTCCATTTTAGCGCGCAGCCCGACGGCAACCGCAACTTGTTGCTTCGTTGTCTCAGACAGACTATTCTTAGCCATTATCAGCCACCTTCGCGAAGCGCCAAAAACCGGAGCGGGGGCTCTCCACATCGTGCGCTAGTTACTAGTGAACATCAGCTGTCAGAAGATACGTACCATTCGTTTGAGGATGGTGCGGATGATGAGCACACCATTCAAAACACCCACCAGTCCACAACTTCTCCACTTTGGTGTGTTTCAACGCGTTCGGCAATGGTTCTGGGAGGTGTGGAGATTCGGAAAATCGTACGGAAGGTGATTTGATCATGTTATACAGAGAAGAAGCCCATTGGATAAATCAACTAACGCCCGTGTAACCCTGTTTGTCGATGAAGAAACCCTCCCATGCGCGTGTCTCTATGTTGTGATGCTACGAAAAAAAGGCAGGCTTCCAGTTGAAAAATCAACGCGCGGTGACGGCGCCCCTCTTCAAAAAAATGCGCCTTTTTGTGTGTATGGATGGTGTGTTTCGAGGAAGAAGAAAGCGAAGAAGTGGAGAAGTTTCTCGAAGCGCCCCCCAAATAAGGAAAGAGTATAAGGAAAATGGTACAAGCGTCGTTGACACGTCAACGTCGATCGTCCCCGGGAAGAGCTTGGTGTCGTCAAGGGTAGGGGTCATCGGGCTATACAGCCGCCGGAACCGCGCCGAGCCGTCAGATACCCAACTTTTCCGTTTTTCGAGATAGCCGCCAGGAGGAGAAAGCCAAGACGAAAGCAGACGATCATGCGTACGCCGACGGCTGTATCGGGAAATCCCGCTCCACAAGTCTCTTACCAGTCCGGAGAAGAAGGTGTGGAGTCGAAACGCTCCCAAACACCCGGGTAGCCGCCGCCATGTCCACGTTTTCTTCATGCAGAAGCGTCCTCCGCGTGCTCATCTCATGCCATCTTGAATCTCGCATGCAGACTGCAGTGCAGCATGCAGCCATGTGTGCGTCCGTGCCCATGTCCAAAGCCAGCCATTCGGCCAAACAATCATCGTCGTTCTCACCGTCCGTTTGTTTCAGACGACTGCCGCCACCCAGTCGCCATCGCCATCGCCATCGCCATCGTCATCTTCGTCGTTCGCGTCTCCTCCCCTCGCGGCCTTCCCGTCCGTCCGACTGCCCGTCATGCCGACGACAACCCCATCTCGAGGAGGAGCATCGCATCCTAAGCCAGCTGCTGCTGCTGGCCCGACTGCGACGGCGGCGGCGGCACGTCGAGACGCGTGTTCTCCGCCATCATGCGCTGGAAGCCGATGCCGACGCCCTCGATGACGGCGAGCAGGATGGCGCAGCCGATGGCGCCGTTGCGGACGGCCTTCGCGCCGCCGCGCACCGCCAGCGAGCCGCCGGTGAAGAAGCCCGCGATGATGGCGTTCCACGGGTCCTCTTTCTTGCGGATGCCCTTGACCGCGCAGTCGAACGTCGAGAAGAGCCCGCCCCACACGCCGAAGTTGCCGCCCAGGATCGGCGCGCGCGCCTTGATGGCCGTGATGGCTGTTTCGTTGGCACCAAGAAATGTAAGTGTCCTGACCTTTTGGCTGTACGTGCATGTGGTCTTGCTCGGCTGGGGGTGGGCTTGCTACGTACCGCCGATTCTGCGTTCGCCATATGGCGAGTTACGGAAGCCCTTCACACCGTGCCACACTGTTTGTCCATGTCAGCGGTCTGGTTGTGGAACGACGTCGCGACTGCTACGTGTCGAAGCGGGGATGTGTGTTTGAGTTGAGTGGAGCGGAGTGGGGGATTGGGTGGTGGTGTCGAGTCGTACCTGCGCCGCCTATCGCCTGTTGAAGAGTGTTTTGTTAGCATCGATGACTTGTCGCGCGGGACTGCTTGACAGCAGAGGAGGAACGGGGCGCAACTTACTCCCATACAGAATGCGCCGCCAAAGTCGGACAGCGCAACCCAGGGGCAGGGATCTCTGGAGTGGTCCATTGCGGTTGAGGTCCGTGGACGGGTGTTGGTCTAAGGCCGGGTTGCGGGGTTTCGATTGAGCGCGATGGAAGAGCGCAAGAATGGGACGAACGACCGGGCTGAAAGGTCGCACAGCGAAATGAGAGGAACGGGCGTGGACGATTGTGTCGGTGGAAGTCGCGGTGTCGGGGGATTGATGGCAAGACTTCGTGATGATGATGATGCAGCCGCCCGGCTCGAAAAAGTTGGAGCTCTTCCCGACGCCCACGTGACCTCGGCGGCCATCCCGCAATCCTCCGCATCCGCATCTTCCTCGTAGTTTGCACAAAGCCTTGCCTGGCTTTTCGTCGCCACTGTCACCCAGAGAATGGACCGGAAGTAATTTGTTCATGCTCAGCATGTTTCCATGCGCGTGATATTCGTAGACTATGTACCCCTACTCCAGGCAGAATGCATCCGAAAGAACCAGCCAAGATGCTACAAAGTCCTCAACGCCGGATCCGGATCCAATATCATAGCTCTCAAAGTTATTGTTTCGTTGTATCAGCGGTCAAGTCGAGCGCGCTGAGAGGTATCTTGAGAAACAGAAAAATGGTGTGAAATGCCATGGACAAAGCCATGGTGCAGCTGATGCAGATGTGTCTAAAGAACGCAGAGTATGCGAGAACGCTAAAATGTCGAAGAAGAAATCACCAGAAAGAAAACGTATCAGGCTGTTGCCGTCTTGAAGAGCATGCGGATTCCCGAGGGCTCCTTGCGCTTGGGCTTTTCTTTTTCTGTCCTCGACGTCGACGAAGACTTGACCGACTTGGCCGACTTCTGTGTCTTTTCGGTCTTGTACGTCTTGTCGGTCTTGTGAGTCTTGTCGGTCTTGTGCGTCTTGGAGCTGTACGTCGACTTAGCCGCCTTGCTCTTGGCAGACCTGCGGGACTTCAGGTCGTCCTCCTTGAGGACGCCTTCCTTGATAAAGCGGTCGGCAGCGCCGGGGGTGACGAACTCGCCATCAACACTCGTGCCGAAGCTCTCGGCAGCGACGTCCGCAATTCCGCGGCGCCACCTCTCAATCCGGCTGAGCTCGGGTGGCTGAAGCTCGTCCAGCACGAGCGGCTCCTCGGGCTCCTCGATGGCCCGCACCGGCCCGCCAGCCTGGAGCATCGCATTCTCCTCGTTGTTGGACTGGATCTTCTTGATGATCTTGTAGCCGCCCAGGGCCACGATGGTGACACCGATGCCAACGCCAGCGGCAATCATGAACTGCGGGCTGGCCAGGAGGGCAACGGCAGCCGGGAAGGTACCCTTAAGCGCGGTAACCGCGCCCGGGCCGAGTTTGGCAACAATGTTGCTGATCTCGGCCAGTGTCAGGGCAACGGCAGCCAGGGCGTCGGGGTTCTTCTGCAGGCTGTCGATCATGGCCATGACGGAGTACTGCAGGCAGTTGGCCTCGTCCAGCATGCGGGTCAGACCGTTCATCTGGTTGCGGAGCTCCACTTCATTCTCGCCTCGGTGGTCGGGAAGCGGGGGAGGCATGTCTCCGTAGGCGAGATCCATGTCGACGTCATCCTTGGAGCGTTTGCTCGACTTGGAGGAGAAGATGGACAAGGGACCGTCCGTGTAGCGGCGGGTAAGCTGGTTCTGAGGGCCGGGCTCCGCGCTGTACTCGTTCTTGAGAGGCGACGAGCCGGGTTTGCCGGCGGCGTCGTTTGCATAAAAGCTGTCTGTGTAACCGCGCTCGAGCAGGGGCTTGCCTCCGTGGTGCGACTTGTGGCGGGTCGAGGTCGATTTCTTGGAGCGGCGCGAGCTCTTGGACTTGGTGTCGTCGTCGATGTGGTAGTTCTCCAGGGCGCGCTGGACGCGGCGCTGCTCCAGCTCCTGATCGCGCACGGCCTGGATCTCGGCTTTGCGCTGGCTGTATGCGGACTTGGCCTCCTTGAAGACATTGACGAGGTGCTTGCTCTGGCAAGTGCATTAGCGAGCGAGCCGCACAGCGCGGGGGTGGAGACGTACGGTGCTGACGACCTTGCCGGACTTGTTGACGACGGTAATGGTCTGACCGAGAGCGACCATTGTGGCAGGGCGGAGCTGCAGGTGCAACTCGGGCGTACAGGTGGTGAAACGATAAGGGTATAGGGGATTCCGCCCGTGGCCGCCGGTCAACAAGGATGCCGGCGAGAAGCTTGTGGCAGCAGGGTTGTGCGCGTGGACTCCACCGTAGGTGCAGGAGGACCGAGACAAAGAGCGAACGCAGACCAGCGGCGTTCTTGTAGGATTGGAGAAGGGAGAAGGGGCGCTCGTCGAGGAGACAGCGGCGGCACAGGCCTGCTATACTTGAGGGTCGCAGGCAGAGGCCGGGGAGTTCACGGGATTTGCATGGCGGCTGGGAAGGGCGAGCAGGCGCCGAGGGTCAGGTTAAGAGGGTGGGCCGGGCGTGGATGCGGCCCTGGCTATCGCGCGCGGCGGCGGGCTAGGGTGCAGCTTGGTGCAGGCCTCCAGGGCCGGGGAAGGGCGGCAGAAAGGTGCGAATGGGCAGTCGGTGTGAGTCGCCAACAAATCGTGGCACGCTGCCAGCGGCCAACAGGACTCGCCTGCGGCCGGCGCTTGGAGATCGACCTCTAGCATCCGTGCTCCCACGCCGGAGTCGCGGTCTGCACGGTGACATTGGACGTGTCCCAGCCTCGCAGCCGCTGCATGAGATGGACGCACCGCGATCTCGTGCTTGATGTCAGTCTGCAGCGCCGCCCTGCTGAGCCCACGCCGCGGGACGAGCGGCATCTCACCACCCACCCGCGCTCTCGCGGCCGTCAGCACTGCCGTGTTTCGCAACGCGCGCGGTCTCCTTACCGCGCGATACACAACCGCAAGCCGCCCTGTCCCTGTCGCCACGCGGGATTCTCTGGGTCGGGCGCCGGCCTGAGACTCTGGTCAACAGCCACCGCCACAGTCGCGCTCGGCGTGCGACAGCCGGCTTGCAACGGCGCAGCCGTGGCGCCGCTGCAGTCGGTGCGGTCGGTGCCCTGCGCGAGGGAGGCGCACAACCACCATAGGCGGATTTTCTTGTTTGATTAGCAAGGATGGCGCTGCTTCCTCAGCGTCATGGTCACCTGTCTGGATGCGAGAGCCGCATCCTGCCTCTGCAGCCCGCGAGATATCGGACGCAACCCTCTCCGCTCCCATTTGCTGCTCCATGTCTCAGACAGTTCTGGATGCGCACGTCAAACCTCCTCCTCATTCCCCAGCGCCAATGGGCTGCGCCTCGTCGTGCCCCGCGCTGCGCTGCCCAAAACTGTGCATACGTACGACATTCTCGGCGCGACTAGAACAGCCTGTTGCTGCATCAGCACCCAAGCAGGCGTCGCGGGGCCGTAACGCTCTCAGGGTTCGTGGGATCGCGGGGTGCAAGGCCAATCGGAGAACTATACACACACACTTGCGTAGTAGGTATAATACCCTCGTCGGCGCATGATCTCCGCAGAGCTTCTGGCCGTGCAATACATAGGTGTCTCTGCCTGTTTGGGCATTCCGCCAGCCGCAGCCGTGAGGGGAAGCCCGCCAGCTCATCGTCGTGGCACTCGTGTGCTCCGGCCCTCAGCTAGCCGGACCATGACGCCCCAGGCGTGAAGATGGCGTTCTGCTCGCACCTGTGTACAACGCAGCGCGTTTGCCCGTCCCGTCGCGCTGCCGTCACTGGCAAGGTCGGGACTGTGCGTGTACCTGCAGGCGACAACCAGCTCATAGCGCAGATCATGGCCGGCTCAGGGTCGCCCCTCCAGTGCGCGCGCCGGAGGCCGCTCTCCAGGCCGTCCCCCAGGCCGTCCCCCAGGCCACCATCGAGCAGCGAGCAAGACCCCAGATGCCGCCATAGCGCGACGCGATATCGTCATCGTGTAATAATAATCCAGCCCGAGACAGTCGAAGCAGCGACCGCCGGACGCAATGGCGTGGAATACGTCAGCGATCGCGACAGCTGGGAAAGGGGAGCAGAGGCATGAGCACGCGCACTATACAAACAGTCAGAGGCCCGCGGAGCGAGAGGACGTCCCTTCCGCAAGGTGCCGCCCGCCACCGCAGTGGAGACCAGACCTGCTCGAATCACTGGCGTTTTCCGGGTGCAGCTCGGTTGGGCGAAGCGCGTTTCCTCTGCGGCGCACTCAGACAGCACCAGGCGAGGCGGGGACCATGTGCGGCGTGGGCTCGCGCAGGCTGGGGCGAGGTGAGGCGGCAGACGAGCAGCTGGACGCCGAGACAGGGAGCTCATCAGCCGGTAAGTTTGGCGTGGATCGGCCCGAGTTGGCATCACCGTCTTTCCACCTCAGATCCCCCGACGCGCCTTGTGGGGATTCGGGGCCCACCGAAGCTCCAAAGAAGCCAAAGAAGCACGTTTCAAGCACACCGCTCCTCGCGCCCGCGCTGACGGCTGATTTTCGCGACGCGCCGCTGACACCGATCCATCCAGCACACGATGAGCCCGCAATGGCGCTTGACCCAAGTATCGAAATGGCTTCCTCTCCGAAGCAGTTCCAACCCCCCGGCCTCTTCCATCGCATGAGGCATGACAACAGCATCCTTGCTCTTGTCGTCTCTGCCGACTACATCTTCGCCGGCACCGAGGGCGGTGAGATTCTCGTCTTCGGGCTCGAGACCTATGGCCGCGTCGCCATCATCGAGGGCCACCGCGGCAGCGTGCTCGGCCTTTGCCTGTCGCAGGACCAGCAATTGCTCTTCTCCAGCGCCGGCGACCGCATCGTGAACGTGCGTGCTACCTCCGCTCCGCCGTGCCTTCTGACTGTGACTCACACCCCACCCAGGTCTGGAACACGCGCACCTTCGCACGCGAGTACTCCATCTATTCCGCCTACGACATAGGCGATGTCTTCTGCGTGTCCTACTCGTGCGCCTTGCGCACAGTCTACCTCGGCGCCCAAAACACCAGCATCCAATGGTACAACCTGAACGAGAAAGACAGGCGCCCGACGCCCAAGCCCACCGCCCACCCGTCTTTCCGCGAGGACCGCTTCTTCGATTCTCTTGGCCCGGGCGGCATCAGGACACCAAGACCAGAGTGCGCGGATTCGCCCCGCGATGCGAAGGGCGGTCAGGAACTGGAAATCGATCAGCAGTACATCCACCAATTCGCCCACTATGGTTACGTATATTGCACGCTACTGGCAAGTGGCTCGGTGGCTGGTTACGCGGATAAGGAGATCCTGATTTCGGGTGGCGGGGACGGAGTCATCAAATTGTGGAGGCTGGACCAGGACAACGGCGGCGCAATTCAGGAACTACACGCCCTTGATGATGGTAGGGAAGAAGGCAATGCCGTTCAGTCAATGGTCCTGGACGGCACCTTCCTGTATGGTGGCCGTCCGGACGGCGAAATCAACGTGTGGGATCTTGAGACGAAGCAGCTCGTGCGCAGCCTCAAGACAAATGTCGGCGATGTCTTGACCATCACCATTGGCGGAGGCTTCCTGTTTGGCGCGGGAGATCGGGGGTTCGCGCAGGTACGTGATCGTCCATCTATAGCGAATGAGGCTGTTGCGCTGACGAACCACAGAAATTCAATCGCCAATACGAACCGATTGGCAGGTTTGAGGCTCATGATGGCCTGGTACTTGCGTCTGCGTTCGGAAGCTTCAACGACAGGCCTGTCTACGTTACCGGCGGCAACGATGCAACCATCGCTGTTTGGGATGTTCGAGATTGCCAGCTCGTTCCGCCAAAGTCTGCGGCAACAAGCAATGGTAAGCAACATGGCCTTCCTGACTGTTCCTATCTGATATCTTGCAGAGCAACTCTTCGAGTTCCTTAAGCGGTTCGTGTCGTACCGGACTGTCTCATCGAACCCTCGGTATAAGGTGGACTGCAGGAGAGGGGCCTCGTATCTACGGTCCGTTTTCAAGAATTTCGGAGCTGCTACCGAAATGCTCAACACCGAAGAACCTTACAACCCCGTGATATTCGCAAAGTTCAGGGGAAACCCTGCGACATCCAACGATAGAAGGAAGATTCTGTTCTACGGTCACTACGATGTAATTGCAGCCGAAAACGAGGACAACAAATGGCTCGTGGATCCATTTTCCATGGAGGGTATCGATGGCTATCTGTACGGTCGCGGCACATCCGACAACAAGGGGCCCATCATGGCCGCCATTTTCGCCGTGGCCGAGTTGTTGGAGGAGCAGGCTCTCGAGTCTGACATCATCTTCCTCATTGAGGGCGAGGAAGAGTCCGGTTCCCGCGGCTTCCACGAAGCTGTACAGCGAAACAAGGAGCTCATCGGTGACGTCGACTGGATACTCCTCGCCAACAGTTATTGGCTCGACGACCATGCACCATGCCTGACTTACGGGTTACGTGGGGTGATTCATGCAACCGTCCAAATTGAGAGCCCCCACCCTGACCTTCACAGCGGTGTCGACGGAAGCTCTCTTCTTGATGAGTCCCTGAAAGACTTGATCATGTTGCTTGCGAAGCTGACTGGCCCGCATGGGAGGATCGAGATCCCTGGCTTCTACGACCCGATTCCTCCCATCAGCCCCGAGGAGAAGCAGCTGTACGACGAAATCGGACAGTCCCTCATCTCCCGCAACCCGGACTTAGGTGATCCCGAAGACCTCGTCAACTCCCTCATTCGACGATGGCGCGAACCCTCTCTGACGATCCACCGCTTCCACACCTCGGGCCCGGAAAACTCGACCATCATACCCCGCCTTGCCTGCGCGTCGCTGTCCATCCGACTGGTGCCGAACCAAGAAGCAACGGAAGTCGCGTCCGCCCTCACCGACTATCTCAACGCCGAGTTTCTAAAGATCGAATCGAAAAACAAGCTCGCCGTCACCGTCGACCACCTCGCGGAGCCCTGGCTGGGCGACTTCAACAACGAGATCTACAAAACTCTCGAGGCCGCCATCACCGAAGAATGGAAGCCCGTCCAAGAGCGCCGCCGCAGCTCCGTCGTCCTGGGCAACATCCGCCACATCCCTTCCTCGCCGTCCTCTTCCAACAACGGCGGCGGTCAGGCGCTGTCGCTGTCAACGCCGGCTGCGACGGGCGGCGGCTACTTTGACCACGCCGCCGGCGCCAACGCGCTGCGCTCGCCCACGACGTCGTCGACGCTCGCCAACGGCAGCGTCACGCCGGCGGCGGAGAAGACGAGCGACGACCCCACCGTCTGGAAGCAGCCGCTCAAGCCGCTGTACATCCGCGAGGGCGGCAGCATCCCGAGCATCCGCTTCTTGGAAAAGGAGTTCGACGCCCCCGCCGCCCATCTGCCGTGCGGCCAGGCGAGCGACAGCGCGCATTTGGACAACGAGAGGCTCAGGTTGGTGAATCTGTATAAGAGCAAGGGGATCTTTAAGAGGGTGTTTAGAGATTTGCCGCGGAAGTGACTGGGGTGCGGAAGGTGAGGGGCGGGGCGGGGCGGGGGGGCAATGGAGAGATTGGAAGGCAGATATGGCGGGGGGATCTGTTTCGCGCGTTCGTGTTCTCATCTCAGGATCAAGTCTCGGAAAGGGATTTAGCTATAGCATCTCGGTGTGGCGTTTGTGACGGGCATGAAGGTGGAGTCAATGTGGTAGAACGAAAGGGAATGAAACGTCTACATGAATTCAAGGTTGGGAGAGGCAATTCGACGGGAAGATCCTTCCACTTTTGTGCTTATGACGTCTGCTATCGAAGGTGTTGTGATGAAGTTGCTCAAGACTGTTCTGAGAGCAAATTAGAGTGTCCAGGCTGACCTGGTTGGTGTTCTCCACAGCGGCACCCGGTGATCACTGTCGAGGCCAAACCAACCACCAGCAACCCTTACCAGCGAGCAAATAATCTATTTTTTTGATTAAGTGCTGGTCGTTGGGGTCTCACATTTATAGGTGCTAGTGCGGGGTGTGCAATTTATTTTGGCACCCACTGTGGCGGGACACCCGAGTTGAACTGCAACAGTACGTATCCGTATGCACCGTACCGACTTGGTACCAGCCAATGGTTCGATCCCCCTCTCGGTGCTCAGCTGATAGAGGGAAGGAAATCAGGAAACAGTCAACGCGTGAATGCATCGTCCCCGAAATCTGGCGTGAGGGAAAAGAAAAACGGCCATGTCCGGATAGATTCAACCCTGAACATTGTGCTCAGCAGTAGTGAGCTGAGCGAAAGGCAACCAAGGGACGAAAACAACAACAGGGATGCTGAGTTCCGCTCTTCCGTAACCCCACTCCAGCCCCCCAGCTCTATACTCCGCCGATTCTAAAGGATGTATATATAAAGCCGTCGAACGAGCTACTGACACGCACCGTAGCTCCCAACCATCAAAGCAACCGCCGCCATGCAGAGCCATCGCCTCAGTCTCGTGACCCGGCTAGAAGCCGAGAAATTCGATCCTCTGCCCTCCCAGTCTTCTCCCATTCCTGCTGGCAAGTATACCGTACGATGCGACAAGGAAAAGAGGGTGCCAGAGAATGGGGAGGATTTCAGGAATGACGTACCCGTGTCTGACGTTTGGTTCCACACTGGGGTAAGATGGATCTTTCTTGTGCCAGGGCGGGGCGGCGACATTGCATGATGGCAATCTGCTGATGCAAAATAAACATGAACAACAGCCGCTCCGTCGCGATACCATCCAGCGGATTCACGGGCTCAAAGTCTTCGCCGAGACGCACGATCAGGGCTTCTGCGACAATCCGGCCGGTGGCAACTGGACCTGGCTCGAGCTGGCTATCCTTGAGAAAGAGTGGGACACGACCCCGAAGAGGGCCCGTGGCATCGACCTTGTCTGGTTTGACCATGCGATCAGGCACGATGAAGAGCGTGATGACGAGGCCGCCAGTTTCAAGTGGCGACATGGTGATGTTTTCAGGAAGAAGCATAAGTTGCTGCGCTTCTTGGAGGTGCGTAGGCGCTCCAGAATTTACGATAGATCGCTGACCTCTTTTGGTGATATAGGAGGGCAATTGCATTGCTGTCCGCCTCTGCGCCCGGTTCCAGGGTTGGCAGATTACGGGCGGATCCGCGTATCTTGTCATCGACATCGACGAGGAACCCAGTATGTGAATTATGACACCCCCCTCCGTCCGGTCCAGGTGGTATCTAACAAACTCATGCAGTCAAGCGCAAGCCTGTTTACCTGCCGAACGTAAAAGAAGTCGCGTCCAGGATGGAAAGCATCCAAATAACCATGAGGGAATTCAACACGGCAATGAAGTTAAACTTCGTGCCTGATGCGCCGGCTGTTGAGAACAGTCTTCATCGTGTTGACTCGGTCCTCGGTCGGGACCGCCCTCTACGTGTTCTCGTTCTCGGTATGTTGAGATCATCCTCGGATCATGGCGGATGTGCTGACGCTACGCAAAGACGGTGGAGGAGTGCGCGGATACTCGTCTCTTCTCATTCTGCAGGCCGTGATGGCCAATATTGGTAACCCCAAGCCATGTGAAGTCTTCGATATGATTGGCGGCACCAGCACTGGCGGGTAAGGAGGCTCGATTCTCTCATGCTGAATACGGTTGCTGATTGTGGGCACAGCTTGATTGCTATCATGTTGGGTCGTCTCGAAATGAGCATTGACGAATGCATCGAGCAATATCTCAAATGCATGAACAAGGTGTTCAAGGACAAGAGCAAGTTGCGTGTCGCTGGACAAGGACAATGGTACGACGAAAAACCGCTGGAGGATGCCATCCAGCAGCTCGTTCAAGAGAGGCTCCCCAAAGAAGGCAAGGACGCACTGTTGCTTGACGATAGCAAAAAGTGCAAAGTGTATGAAACTATCCCCCCAAAAAAAGGCTGAAAGCAACCACTCACAATCCTCGACAGATTTGTCATGGCATTTGACAATACGAAGCTAGGCAACAGCGGGCCGGTCTACCTCCGCTCATACGTGAAGAAGAACAACATCTTCCCAGAAATCAAGATCTGGCAAGCAGCCCGCGCAACATCCGCCGCACCCTTCTACTTCAAACCGATAAAAGTCAACGACAAGGACGAGAAGAAGTACGAGCTCATAGACGGCGGCATGGGTGCGAATAATCCATTGGGATGGTCAGTTGCTCTCCAACTTCCTACAATATCATGAAACTTCCTTAACACGCACTCCCTCCAGGCTGTGGAACGAAGCAGTAGACGTCTTCGGCGCCGTGACACCCACCGATTGCTTCCTCAGCATCGGAACCGGCATCCCGACAGATGAGCTCCTCCCCATCCTGAAGGGCTGGAACTTGGCCCTCCCCTGGAAGTGGAAAGACTACGCGCTGGTATTGTCCAGCATCGCGACCAACACTCAGGTCACACATCTCATGTTCCGCTCTTTGATCAATTCGCTCGCCCCCAGTGCGGGGGAGCAGAAGTACTGGCGCCTGAATGTCGGACAGGAGGGTCAGGGTGAAGAGTCGCCGGACAAGGACCGCCCCCAGCTTCCAGATCTGGACGATGCGAGCAAGAGGGAGGAGATCATGAAGCAGGCCGACGCTTACATCAAGAAGTGGGCGACGGATATCGCTGCTGCCGCTCAGGCCTTGAACAAGAAGCAGTCGGCAGATGAGCTGGATCATTCTTCTTAGCCTGGCGTTTGACGCGTTGAGCTGGGGTGGGATTGTTGACGCCCGCTCTCATCGGAGCACTGAGTGACTGGTGAGCAGTGGTGGTAGGATGTAGCCACATAGTAATTTTCCGGGTAAAGCACACGAAATTGAGTCCATCATTCAGGAGACCGTAACTTGATGTCATGATCCGCCCCTACATTGGCTATCTGATTAAGCATAGTGATGGGGTGAGATCAGGGTTTCTAGCGCTGTGATTGATCGGTCACACTGGACTAGAGTGCCATTGATAAGTGTATACTTCGTTTCACGCTAACTGTCTGAGTGTAGTGGATACGCGACTTTTTTCATTCTCGATTTATCAATGATATGTTCAAAAATCAATGGATGGCTGATCCGCCTTGGCCAATAGTAAAGTTTTGATATAGGGACAAAAAGAATATAAAGACATCGGGTACAACAGAGTAGTCAGGATCCTCCGGGTGATTTACTATGCTTGGCTCGGCCCGGACCGCAGTGAAGAGTAAGGAAGGTGAAAAGGCTGTAAACCCCACGAGCTGGACCATAGCACTAAGCGCCGGAGCGAAGCCTTTTCTTCCCGTTTTCAATTGGCGGAATTATCATTCCCCGACAGGTAGCCTACTGGGTCGCTATTATAACGCGCTATAAATTTCTCATTTTTCCGCTGCACGAGACCAGTGAACCGGTAGTAATCCAAGAACGCATATTTCCGCGACTATGGCCTCTGATCTGCGTCCAGAGTGCGTGTGGGGCTCATGGGTAGTCTGTGAGACGTCCTCACTATTTGCATCGACGGCCTTTCGCGGTGGCCAACAGTCAAGTTGAACCACTCTCTCCATTCACTTCCCACTCCACTGGCCTCAATGCAACCATCGCGAGCCAAAATCAGTCTCAAATAACAAGCTTTGGAATTAGTGCAGACCTCCGGCCCTTTGGGAGGAATACTCGCATCCAGAATTATGAAAGTTGGATAAAGGCGCCAATGAGCTTCGGCACATGAAGTCGGAACCCGTGCTTTCAATAGCACCTGAGCCGCTAAGTAAACGATTCAAAAGCAAAAGGCGCAAAAGAGTCTCGACTCTGCGGATGCCAGGGGACTTTCGTTTAAATAGCTCAAGCCTAATAGAGGACAAGACTTCGATATCAGCTAGAAGTAGCCCATAAAATTCCGAAGCGATGTGTTCTGAAGGATGGAATGGACTCCACTCGAGATTCGAACCGATCCCGTATTCGCATCCCGTTGTTGAAAGATCCATCGAGAAGGAGTTCCATGGTGCGTGCCAGCAGCATGTGTGCATCCTTTCGCCCGGAGCAGTAGTGGCCCAGCCACTCGGCGGCAAACGAGATGTGGATCTCCGACGGCTTTACACGTTCACGGATGTCCTGCATGCGAGGCGAGTGGAAGCAAGGCCGGGGACAGACACAGAAACCCAATCCATGGAGACGAGGAGGCACCGGGCTCGGATAGATATCGATGTTCGGCCTGTGCTCCCCAAGCCGTGCACATCTTAAGCTACTTGACTAAGTGCGGTCCCTTGATGCGCTTCGACTCGCGCCTTAGCACTACCCGAACCCCGCGGCACAGCAAAAGTCAGGGTCCGGCTCCGTTCGCGACAGCTCGGCTCCCTTTTCTTGACCGGCGCAGCGCGAGGCGGCGGAACTAAGTCCTATACGCACGCCTGCCTCGGGACCACTTCGTCCTTTCTCGGGCCGTTCTATCGATTTTTGCGCTTCCGCATCCCTTCGCGCTTCCGCTTTGGACTAGACCCCGAATCCGCGAGGGATTCCAGAAAAGCGATCGGCACGCATCGCTCGTATCCACTTCCCGAACATCCCAGTCCCTTCCCGTTCGGGCAATCTCAGGCACCATCAATCGCACTTACTGAGTCAACGTCCTACGCCACACAAAAAGACTGCAATCATGGTTGGTCGAGCCGGCGGCGGTGAACGAGAGGGGGGATTCAGGGCGCGGCCGGGGAAAGGATCCCAAAGGCAAAGCTTCCTTCGCCACGCACGCACGCACTCACGCACGCACGAGGACGGACAACAACACCCGATCCTTCGCGGCACCGCATCGCCAATCCAAATCCCCGTATCGGGAGAGAGAGAGAAAAAAAACAATTGCCGCGCGTTGTTGTTGAGCACCTAGGTATGGCGTATGCATCATCTGGGTCGTCCCCACGTCCCCACCCCGCGGCGCGCCTCCCCCCTTCCTCTCTCTCCGTCGGGTCTCCTCAACAATCATTCCTCGATATACCACAGATCTCCCCCTCCCAAACACGTCAGAAGTCTCGCGACACCCTTCTTCTCCTTTTTTTTTTTCCGTTGGAGAGATAGCGATTTGCCGCCCTCCCACGACCACCGAGTCAAGCGCTGGAGGTCCAAGCCATCCCATCCCAAAAGCCTGCAGCGAGCTTGGCCCCTCTTTGCTTGACTCGCCCGCTCCTTTCCCACGGGAAGCGATAACGTACCACCCTCGAAATCTTAACGTACCACCCTCCCCACTTTTTAGCGATTAGTGTAGCACGTTCGGTAATAACGAATAGTCGTTAAGCAACACTACCCGTAATCTTCTAATAACACCTAATATAGCACCCTCTAGTAGCCGGCCTCTCGCAGCCGGCCTCTCGCAGCCGGCCTCTCGTCGCAGCTAGTCTCTCGCAGCCGACCTCTCGCAGCCCTTTCGCAGCCGGCCTCTCGTCGCAGCCGGCCTCTCGTCGCAGCCGACCTCTCGTCGTAGTAGCCTTCTCGTACCGGGGTCTTAGCGGTTTCTTAACGCTAGCCGTTAGCTACGAGAGGGCTATTGCGAAAGGGCTACTACGGCGAAAGGGCTACTACGAGAGGGCGGCTACGAAAGGGCTACGAAAGGCCGGCTACGAGAGGGCTACTATAAGAGGTCGACTACGACGAGAGGTCGGCTACGATAAAAGGTCGGCTACGACGAGAGGCCGGTTACGACGAGAGGCCGGCTGCGACGAGAGGCCGGCTACGAAAGGGCTACGAGAGGTCGGCTACGAGAGGTCGGCTGCGAAAGGGCTGCGAGAGGTCGGCTACGAGAGGTCGGCTACGAGAGACCGGCTGCGAAAGGGCTACGAGAGGTCGGCTGCTAGAGGGCTACGAGAGGTCGGCTGCTAGAGGGTGCTACTATTAGAGGGTACTACTACTAGAGGATGTTGTGACTGCGAGAGTATACTAATTACTACTTCGTTATTACCGAGCGTTCTACGCCAAATACCACTTAAGTGGGGCGGGGTGGTACGTTAAGATTTCGAGGGTGGTACGTTATCGCTTCCCTTTCCCACGACGCTTCTTGATCCTCTTCCTCTGATTCTTGCTTGATCGCCGCGCCGTGCGCTGCGCTGCGATTCACGCTGAAACATCCATGGACTGCGCGTCGTGTGTTGATCCCGCGCCCCGCTGGCCCGCCCTGTTTTCCTGGACCCCCCGTACGTGTGGGCCGGCACGAGCGAGGGATTTTCTTCGTGTTTTTTTCCTTGCTCTTAGTTGGTGACGCGCCGGCGCGGGTTGATCGGATCGGATCATCATCTTGGGTGTGATGATGTGACTGATGATTTTCTGCGGCCGGAGAGAGAGAGAGTGGGGCGATGAGAGGAGGGGAGACAAAATGGGGGGGCTCGAGGTGAGGTGCAGGAACTGCCTGCGCCGCCGTCCGTCATCGCCCCGCATGAAAGAGGCGTGCGTGTGTCAGCGTGACTCGTCCCGGTCATGCGGGCGGCGCTGTGGTGGTGGATGATGATGCTCGAGATGAACGACGGGGAAAGTGGCGTCGATGATGCAGCAGAGGCAAGATTGGGGCGGTTCGTCATGGTGAGCGCCTTGAAACGGAGACGGAGCTCGGTGTCCCTGGCTTTGAGAGTCATCTTGCGGAGCTTGTCTCCTCACTGCTGTTTGGTCTCCGAGTCGCACGGTGTTGAGGACAAGGATGTGGGGTTGCTTTTCCCCGTCCGTTTGCACTTCGTCAGGTGTGTAAGTCAGTCACATGTTGCTTGTAGGCCGTCGAGATAGAGCGAATGTCCATGTTCACCGGCTGTGATTAGGATTACGACTTCAAAACTAGTCAAACAATATTTACAAAAGCTTTCAAATATCCAGCCAGCTCCCAAGCTGCTCCACCAAACAACGCTGCCTATCCATCATCCAGCATCCAGCATCTCGCGTATCCTCAACCCCGCACCCATCATCCATCCATTTACGACGACGACTTGGCATCAGCGATGATGACATCCGACGCCTTCTCCGAGATCATGTAAATGGGCACAGCAATGTAGGTGCCAGGGATCTTGGGGAACACCGAAGCATCGACGACGCGGAGACCCTCGACGCCGCGGACCTTGAAGTTGGTGTCGAGCACCGCCTTCTCGTCGTCATCGGCGCCGATGGGGCAAGTGCACGAAGCGTGGTGGCCCCAGGACTCGTACTTGGCAAACTCCTTCCACTCCTCATCCGTCTGGACCTGGTCGCCGGGCCAGACCTCGGTGAACTTGCCGTCGAGCGGAACCAAGTCCTGGAAGACCTGGCGGCCGTACTTCATGCCCTCGACCAGCGCCTGCAGGTCCTCGTCACCGCCCACGGCGAAGTTGCGCATGTTGATCTCGGGCATGGCCTGCGGGTCGGCAGAGCGGAGGGTGACGGTGCCGGCGTTGTTGCGCGAGTGCGCCTTGAGCGTCAGCCACGTCCAGTGGTTCGAGCCTGCCGTCGCGTTGCTGAAGAAGTCCGGGTAGTAGCCGTTGAAGTAGGCGGGCCAGCCGGCGATGAAGAGGTCGGCGTTGTTGTATTCCGTGTTGGACGCGCGCTTGGTGATGGCGAGGGCGACGCCGTTGGTGGCGTAGACGCCCTTCTCGACGGGGAGGTCCTCCCACTTCTCCAGGCAGGGGTCGCTGTCGCCCTCGAGGAAGGTGCACTCCTTGACGAGCGAGATCTTGGTGGGAACCTCGCCGACGACGGGGATCTCATAGCGGTCCTGAAGGTTGGTGCCGACACCGGGGAGCTCCTTGACCACGTCGATGCCGAACTGCTCGAGCTCGTCGCGCGGGCCGACGCCCGAAAGCTTGAGGATCTGAGGCGTGTTGAAGGTACCCGCCGAGAGGATGACCTCGCGCGTGGCCGAGACGGAGCCCTTGGTGCCCTTGTTGCCGCTGGCGGAGCCAGACTGGCGGCGCGGGTCGGCGTCGTAGAGCGAGGTGCCGGTGAGGAAGTCGACGCCCGAAGCCTTGGGGGTGGCGCCGGTGGTGTCGAAGTTGACCTTGGTGACGAGCGTGTTGAGCTGGATGTCCAGCTTGTACTTGTCGCTGCCGTCGTCGTTCTTGGCGTTGAGCACCTCGTTCAGCAGGTCGACGGGCCCGGCGCGCTTGTACTCGGGGATCTTCATGGCCAGGGGCACCTGCCACATGCCCTCGTCCGAGTCGCGGCTGGGGCCGTCGTTGTTGGGGTCACGCAGCAGCGTCTCGGCCAGGCCGGTGACGGTGGTGACGAGCGACTCCAGCAGCGTCTGGCCCATGCCGGCGGCGGCAGCCAGCACCAGCGAGATGACCTTCAGGTCCTGGACGATCAGGGTGAGCTCGGTGAGCGACGTCTCGAGCCAGCCGCTGAAGCCGTGGCCCGAGATGGCGTTGGGCAGGTAGCGCGACTTCTCCAGGCGCTTGAAGTACTTGCGCATGTTGTCGGGGGCCCAGGTCGAGTCGCCCGTGATGTTCTGGATGTACTGCCAGTCACTCTCGTGCGGGTACATGGTGATCAGAGCATTGTGGGCAGAGCAGCCGCCCAGGGAGCCGACACGCGGGTAGAGGACGCCCAGAGGCTCGGCGCCCTCGGGCGGGTTGGGGCCGGTGTAGCGGGTGCCGTCTTGGAGCGTGTAGGTGAGCTTGGTGTCGCGCTTCTGCTCCTCGACGTCGTCGAAGTGCTTGACGAAGTAGTCCCAGCGCATGGGCTCCCACTCGGCGGCGACCGAGTGAAGGGCGGGCACGTTGTACTGGGTGCTGTTGGTCTCGTCGCCACCGGCCTCGACGAGGAGGACGCTGTGGCCGGCCATGGCGAGGCGGGCAGCCAGGGGAGCGCCGCCGGGGCCGGAGCCGACGATGACATACTCGTACTCCTGGAGCGTGGTCTCGGTGGTCGAGTTGTCGAGAGCACGCTTCACATTCGCGCCGCGGAAGGGCGTGTGCTCAGCGCCATTGCTGCGGGCAGAGTCAGTTTCCCAATAAGAGTGGCGATTGGGAGCGGGCAGACGTACATGATGCGCGCAGAGGCGAAGGAGCTCAGAAGAGACAGAACGGTGAAAGCCTTGATCACAATCATGGTGGCAGTATTATTACGGCAATAGCCCGGGACCCTTCTTTAACGAATGACAAAGGGTGAGAGAGCGAGTGTAGTCCCCGGTTAGCGAAAGAGTGACTTGGAACTGTGAGGGCCAAGACAGGACTCTGGATTGCACTTTTATACGGGCTGCCACAGCGGCAGGCGGCCGCACAGGGCGTCGTCGGTGGTGGAAACATCACGAGCCGGACCGCTCGGGGCATCCGCTGGTGATTGGGATCATCAGCGGTGGCGTAACGCGCAGCAAGCAGCCTGGAGGAGCGCGAGTAATCCGGGAGGCCATTTGGGCGGCTGCGTCGATCTGCACATGGCGGCACCAGATCGGTACAAGCTAGAGCCCCACCGTTCGTGGCGCGAGATAAGGGAGGCCGGATGATATGCCGTTTACGCTGGGCGCGGTGCCGGTGGTGCGGGGAGGCTGCAGCGCGCATATTTGCGTGTGGAGAGCGTGCGAGGGCACGGGTGCGTGGGTGCGGAAGCTTGGCTGCGCTGGCCGGCCGTTGCAACGGCGCGCCAAGCAGGGGACGCCTGCCGCGCCCGGGCCGCGCGCAGGGAAGGCGCCCGGCACGGCTTGCTCTGGTCCGCCCTGCTCTGGCCCACCACCTCGACAACCTCCATCTGACGATGCCTGCCCGCCGCGACTCGCACGAATTGCACCCCGTCGGTGGCCCGGACGCCATGCGCACATCCAGGCACTCCCCGCTCTCTGCTCGCCCGCTTCCCACGGCGTCCGCGCATCCCCCCCTCCGCCGAGCCCTTTCTGCATTGCGACCGGCCGTCTGGAAACGGCCCCGTCTCCCCACCCATGGAAGGCTTTACGAATCCCGCCCATCTCTTGCCCACTTGTCGGCTCATCTTAGCCCTCGCGTGATGACTCGGGAAGAATGCCGGCACTGTCCTCGTCACTTATCAGACCCCGTTTCTCCTGGCTTGTGCTGCCGCCTCAATTTCGAAACAAGTCTCTGAAGAAGCCGCTCGCTGCGTTATAATCCTCGGCGAACCGGACGAGAGACACTCCACCAGTCCGCTGCATTCCTTCCGTTTCCGATCCTCCGCCTCCCTCGCTTCGCCAAACGGGACTCCACCGTCAGCGCCATCATGAGACTATGGACCGTGTTGGCCCTGCTGGCCACCTTCTTCGCCTCTGTGCAGGCCCAGTCGGCTCTGCTGAAGCTAGCAAGTCAGATGCCCAAGTGCTCTGTAGGCTATACTCGCTCCGGACATGGCTGCCCGCCTTTGCTGACCCCAAGCAGTTGACCTGCTTCACCAAAGAGCTTCCCTTGTCCACCTGCGCCACCAACCTTACCTCGGCTTGCATGTGCAGCAACGATGAGCTGAACGCCAAAGTCGGCGTCTGTGCCATGCAGACATGCACCGTCGCCGAGCTGTTGCGTAAGGACAGCCCTTTTGCAGCCCTCATCAAGCCTGACACTGACATGGCCGACAGAGACGAAGAATGTGTCCTCGAACGGTTGTGGTGTCCCGGTCCGCGACAATGGCTCAATCTTCAATGTCATCGGCATCACCGGCATAATCATCGCCGGCATTGCCTACCTCCTGAGAATGGCTGCCAGTATTGGCAAGGGCGGTCGCCAGGTGTCGTGGGACGACGCCACCATGGGCCTCGTCGTGATACTGGCCATTCCTCCCGCCGTCTTCGCCCCGATCCGTAAGCTGGCCCGCATGCAATCACGAGCCAACAGTCGACTGACAGCAAACAGTGGTTGAGAACGGACTCGGCAAGGACATGTGGACGCTGCATCCCCACCAGATCACCAACCTGCTCAAGTATTACTACTTCGGAGAAATCTTCTACGTCGTCGCCCTGGGTGTCTCCAAGATCTCCATCCTGTTCTTCTACCTCCGCGTCTTCCCCGCCAAGGAGTTCCGCAATGTTATTTACGTCGTCATGGCCTTCTCTGTGGCCTACACCATCTGCTTTGGTATCGTCACCGCTCTGCAGTGCCGGCCGGTCAGCTACGCATGGAACCAGTGGGACGGCCTCCACGAAGGAAACTGCAACGACATTCACCTTCAGGGCTGGATCGCGGCGGCAATCAACATCGCGCTGGATACGGTGGTCATGATCCTTCCGCTCAAGCACTTGGCCAACCTCAACATGGACTTGAAGAAGAAGCTCATGGTCATGGCCATGTTTTCGGTCGGCATCTTCGTCGTCTTCACCTCGGCCATCCGTCTCTACTCGCTCATCCACTTCGCCAACTCGGAAAACATCAGTTGGGACTACGTCGAGGCCGGCTACTGGAGTTTGATCGAGGTCTACGTGTCGATTCTGTGCGGATGCATGCCGGCGCACCGCTTCGTCTTCGCCAAGGCTTGGCCCAAGATCAAGTCGACCATGGGCTCGACCAACAAGAAGTCGACGAACGCCAGTTCCAACTTCTCGCGGACGACGGATACGACGGCGACGAAGACGGGCACGGTGATGAGCAAGCCCAAGAACGGAGACGAGGGAGACTTCGTCCCGCTGGTGGACGTCGAGACCAACAGCGCTCGCGCCGTGTCCGCCAACGAGTCGTCGCACGAGCAGAAGTCGCAGTGGATCATGCAGACCAGCACGGTGCAGGTGACGACGACCGAGGGCCAGCTGCCCGCCCGGCCGGATAGCTGGACGACGGGCCACAGCCCGACGAGCAAGGAGCACGTGTGAGACACGACGACGGGACAAAAAGTATCTGAAACGGATTGGGTGTTTTGCTCTATTGGACAGTCGGGTTTGGGCTTAGCGTTGTTGTAATTGTTCTTGGATACCCTTCTACAAGCTCCTTCGGCCTTCAGCCTCGGTCGGATTTGGGCCGTTATTCTTCGCACTACTTCTCATCACTTCCCCAAGACGCAAATGATAGTCTTTGCAATGATAGCACTTCTTCGCTCGCTCGCGCGCTCATGACCGTCGGCGCACTTTGACCGCCACTGAACGTGCAGAGTGTCAGGCGTCCAGTTAGCTGGCGTGTTGGCCACAATTTAGGCAGATCGCGCGCATGAAGCCGGCAATCGGGCATCACATTAGCCTCATCGTGGAAGGAATTCGACAATCTGATATTTGCCGGCGAGGCTGCCCGAAGGAGGGGGGTATAGCAGAGGTCGTAAGAAGCGCAGGGGCCCGGGCATGGGGACGGTGTTGGCCTCGGCGAAGCAAAAACGGAGGCACGATCTCCGAGCGAAGGCGTGCCGGGCGCGAGGGCGCGAGGGCGGAGGGCGGTGGTCCGCGTCAGCAGAGTGGAACAAAGTTGAGCCCTTGGCTGGCGGGGCTGGATGCGTCAGTGAAGGCGGTCTCGAAGACGGCCGTGGGGGCGTGCGCTCCCCTATCGGGACGAGGGTTCTGGCAGCGGCGGAGAGCACCGTGCAGGTCCTTCCCTCTTCGCGTTGGGCCGCGTGCACCTGCCCTGGCGTGGCGTCCCGCGCGCCTCCCCTGCTGGTTCCTGGCCTAAGTCCCAACTCGGTTAGCCCCGCAAGCCTTGTTCGCACCGCAGCTCTCTCCAGCCTCCAAGCTCTCCCAACCGCGCCCATCCCTTCCCAACTCTCCGCCAGGCGGTGACTCGTGAAATCTCCGACTAAATCCTACTGGCTCAAACTCTGCCAGGTACGCGCTGCTTCCGCGCAGGATTCGGGCGGCGGGCAGCCAAGAGCCCATCCATCCGCCATCCGCCATCCGCCATCATCCAGCTTCCGCGGCGCTCCAAGGCCGATTCCACCGCCAGCTCGACGTGAGGATAAACTTCCCCGCCGCTCGTTTGGCTGCCGCAGCTAGAGTGGTCTATAGATCTTAGCCCATAAGATAGTCAGCTGCGCCATGTCGGCAATTTCACTCTTTCCACACCCCCTCTCCGGCGCCAGCCGTCATCTCTCAGCCCTTCTCCTATGACGACCCTTCCCGCCCACGCCCAGGGGCCTCCTCTTGCCCACGGCACGCGTAGCTTGGCGCCCGATTCCTCAGCCCTGCGCACTGGCCAGCTGTCAAGCACGCTCCTGTTGCGGACCGTCCCATGACTCGGCCAACGGCGTCGCGGCACCGTATTGCTGCTAGCGTCATCTCCCCCCGTTCTCCAAAGAGGCTAACACCTGGGAGATCTAAATTCCCCATGTCTCACCACCCTGCAGAATGCTTGTCCGACTAACCGTCTACATGACTCGTCAATTACGCCTACCATGGCCGCGGGATGGCTTCCCCGACGAAATGTACCTGAGCTTGATTTTCTGCCGGCCTTGTACACCAGCACCTAGTGGTGCTAGTAGCTTGGACTATACCCCTCCCATAGCCTGCCGAGGGCTTCCAGCCAGTGCGATCAGCACCGTAGCCCGCTGTAGCCGACCAGGAGTAATCAGCTCTCCTGCTATTTGTTCCCCTTCCTCTGGGCGGGCTTTACTCTGCACCCCAACCTATGTCGTCGCCTTGAGCCTCATCTTTACTGACCACCATCCATTCACTCTTTTGCTGGAGGCAGGCACCAAGGCGTACGCTCACTTTAGTCACTCGTTGTAATTGCTAATCCCCGCCGAACCATTGATTTGCGTATTGGAGACCTTTCCTCTGAATTCATTCCCCTTTTCTGAGCCATGAAGTTGTCTTCCGCTCTTTTCGCGCTCTCCTCGAGCTCCGTCCTTGTCGACGCCTTCCCCGCCTTCTCCGAGCGCAACCTCGAGAACCTCACCCCGGAGAGGCTAAACGCCGCCATTCGCGCCGTCGAGCAGCACAAGCTCGAGAAGCGCATCATCGTTGACTCCAGCAAGCCCATCGACACCACCGGCGACCACGCCTTCCAGGCTCCCGGTGATGGCGACCAGCGCGGTCCCTGCCCCGGACTGAACGTCCTCGCCAACCACGGCTACATTTCCCGCGACGGCATCACCAGCTTCGCTGAGGTCGTCAATGCCATCAACCAAGGTTCGTCCCATGCGACAACCCCTGCAGTCAACTTCTCGTCTTGGCGCTAACGTGGATCTTAAAAGTGATGGGCATGGGTGTCGACCTCGCCCTGATCCTCGGCATCATGGGCACCGTCTGGACGGGCAACCCGCTCGCCGTGGACCCGGGCTTCTCCATCGGCGGCACCGTCCCCGGCGACGGCACCGACAACCTCCTCGGCAACCTCGTCGGCCTTCTCGGTAACTTTCCCACCCCCCACCCCAACCAACATCCATCACGAGACACACCCGACTAACCCCAAACAGGCGACCCCCGCGGTCTCCAAGGCGCCCACAACTGGCTCGAGTCTGACTCGTCCCTCACCCGCGACGACCTGTACGTCACGGGCGACGCATGGACGATGAACATGACGCTCTTCCGCGACTTCCACGACCGCGCCGATGCCGACGGCGTGCTGTCGATGGACGAGCTCGCCGACCAGGCTGCGCGCCGCTGGGAATACAGCGTCGCGCACAACCCCAACTTCTACTACGGCCCCGTGACCGGCATGATCGCGCGGAATGCCGGCTACTTCTTCCTCGGCCGCCTGCTGGCCAACCACACGGAAGAGCAGCCCGAGGGCGTGCTCACGCAGGAGGTGCTGCGCAAGTTTTTCGCCGTCGAGATGGGCGAGGACGGCGAGATGGAGTACAAGGTCGGGCACGAGACGTTCCCGGACAACTGGTACAAGAAGAAGATCGACTACGGCCTGATTTCGTTGAACTTGGACACCGTGGGCTGGGTGCTGAAGCACCCGGAGCTGGGAAGGTGAGTTGTCTTGACGACGAATACGACGTTCCCCTGATCCTTTCCACCACACATACCACACACCAACGAAAAACAACCACCAAAGCTAACAACAAACAACCAGCATCGGCGGCAACACGGGCACCGTCAACTCCTTCACCGGCCTCGACCTCTCCGACATCACCGGCGGCGTCCTCAACGCCGCCTCCCTGCTCGAGGGCAACAACCTGCTCTGCTTCGTCCTCGAGGTCGTCAAGACCTTTGCGCCCAACTCGCTCGCCCCGCTGCTCAAGACGCTCGAGGCCCCCCTCAAGCTCATCTCCGACGCCATCACCGGGCCCCTCACCGACCTCGCCTGCCCCGCCTGGAAGGACCTGACCGAGGGCGGCGAGCCGCTGTGGGATGGCATTCAGAGCAAGTTCCCTGGCGCGAGCCAGGCGGGGTCGTCGTTGTAGGTTGTAAGTGGTGGTTGTGGGGAAGGGGAAACGTGTGTGGAAGAGGAAGAAGTGTGGGGGGTTTGTGGGGAAGAAATGTGTAGGGGATTGCGAGCTTATTTTTTTTCTTTCCCCCCTTTCGAGTTCGATACCAGGGGTTTTTTCTTTTGGCTTCGATCAGTTCGAGGTCCGTCCTTATGGATGTGAGAAATGCATTTATGCTCTGGCCGAGTTCGGGTTTGGGTGGCGATTTTGAGCTTTTGTCGTGATGTGGGAAGCTGTGGTCCCGTGGTGTTACGTTCTGTGGGCGGGGAGGGGCCTTGTTCCCGTTGCTTGTGGTGACAGGTCTGTTTCGAATAGCGTGCTAGGAATACATGGGCAATGCTGTTGTCGTTCACGAATTGAGTGTTCCATCTACAGAAACGTGAAACGCAATGCGGGAGGTGTCTAAGTATGAAAATCAAAGGTGAAGATGTCCATAGCCGGCATTGCTGTTACAGTGTGTGGACTCCTTGACATGACCATCGTGCTGGAAAACCCAAAGGTAAAAAAAAGATAAGAACTCTACTCAATGTCAGGTTCAGATCTTGGTCCCAATATTACTCATTCCCAGTTTCGCTACTATTCTCTTGTTGGTCATCTTGCGTTGGATCACGTGTCGTCCATGTATGCAGTACAAAGATCAGTCACTTTTCGGGGTATGAGCACACCCCGGGGGGCTGATCCTCCTAATCCTCATGCCATCAATCAACACTCATTCGATCATCAAAAGATCAACATCTTGTTCCTGTCATCGTTTTGTTCACTAGAACCGTCTCCCATGTTCATATCACCGTCTCGATACTCATCGAAGTCTAGACCATGGTGGAAGCCGTGGGGGTTGTTATCACCGTACGTGGCCTTCGTGTGGAAAGTATAGATGGGGATAGCGTTTGGTGCAGACGTTGTAGTCTAGACAGCTACCGCATGCGAATACAGCATAAAAAATCCCATAAGAACAGTCAACATGGAAAAATATTCTGCAAAGTTTATTGTGGTGCTGGCCACGCGTTCTCTTCTGTGATGGTATTGTCCTTGAGTATGTCAACGATCCCCTCGCCCGCATCGCACCGCCGTGCCAACTCCAACAGCATCAGCTCCTCGGCACGCGCTCCTTTCCTAAGCTTGCATTGCACCATATGAGTAGCACCATTGTCCAGAAGAGTTCGGACGACACTGGCAAAGTCACACTTTCCAATGGCATCCCAAAGGGCTCGGTGGCCTTTCATGGGCGTACTGCCCAGCACAGAGGCGTCCACCCGTCTTTGTCGGGTTCTTGGATGCAGTGGATCAGTTTCTCCTGTGACTCCGACTTGAGGCGATTCAAGATAAAATCAACCATCTTCGAATTGCCCAACTGCGCCGCCCAATGCAGGCAGTTCTTGCCCTCCTTGTCAGTGGTCGTCGGATCTTCCCTATACGACAAGTCTGGTGGCATCGGTATTGGACCTGAGAATCTTGGCCAGAGACTCCCGGAGAGTATTCGAAGGAGAAACGAAATTTAAGGTACGAACAAGTTCGGACAGGGGCTGGCCATGATCATACCCTCCTCTATCCCTCAATTTAACGATCCGTACAAACAACAAATCTTTGCAATCTTCGTCTTTTGACCGGACTGTAGTGCAGAATCTCGCTAAAGATCAACCACCGAGAGACGGTGGGATCCGGCGTCTCACTAGCAGTAATTTTTATAGAGGACTTGTCTACCAGGATGATTTTTATGCTGTTACAGAGCGTCAGATATCCCGCTCACCAAGATCAAAGCATGGTTGAAGCCTCTCGGTGGGTTTATAAGCTATACCCGATTGGGAAGGACGATGACCAGGGTGACTGAAAAGACAGAACGATTGGCTGGCGGCAGGCGTACCGGGTCAACGTTGTTCCTTTAGCAATTACATGGAGTGACCCCGAGCCACGTACCCAATCCTGTCCCATGCATTTCACAAACCTCATGGCCTTGTTCAAGACACATTTGGTGCGAAATGCGTGCTCGAATACAACGACGATGCCTTCGGCGCCGAGCAAGAGCCCAGCCACGCGCCTTGCATTCCCAGCATCGGTCGGACGCTGAACGCTCTACACCAGTCAATAGATGACATATCGACCTACACTGACAACCTTGTGCCCCCATGCTCAGTATAAAGGGAGAATCCAGTATCGTAATGGAAGCCGCCCGCGTGAAACCAAGATTCTGAAAAGACGGACTTCGGCCTCGCGGGAGACTGGAATAGCTACCAACGTCAGCAGGCATTTGCTCGCGCACCTCCTCCCCGTGGAGAAGTGAGTTGGAAAAACACACTCTAGATCAGAAGAGCATCGAGACCCAACCCCAAGCGCCCGCGGCCCCATCCATCCATCCATCCATCCATCACAGCTTCGACCTGCTCCCGCCGCTCCCCCTCCCCGCCGCCCCCCTCTCCCTCGCAAGGTATTCCCGCACCTCGACCCCCGCCGCCGGCACCACCTCCCTCGGCGCACCCTTATCCCCCCCGCCGTGCCGCCCCACCGGCGGCGGCCGGATCCCCCACTCGGGCACGACGCGCCTCCCCCCCGTCGTCACCTCCAGCACCGTGCCGCCGCCATACCTCCCCTCCTCGACCAAATCCACCGCCGCCCGCGCCGCCGCCGCCGGCTCCAAGATCGAGCCCGCCGGATACCCGAACCGCGCCAACAGATCCAGCGCCTGCGCCTCGCCCGGTCCCCCTTTTCCTCCTCCTCCTCCTCCTCCTCCTCCTGGCGAAGTCGTCGTCATCGTCGTCGTCGTTGGCGACCACAGCCTCGTCCGCACGACGCCCGGACACAGCGCGACGACCTTGACGCCCTCCTCGACGTCGGCCTTGCGCATGGCTTTCACGAAGCCGACGACGGCGTGCTTGGAGGCGGTGTACAGGGGCACGGCGTAGGCGCCGGGCGCGTAGCCGGCGATGGAGGAGACGACGAGGACGACGCCGCGTTTGTTGCGGGAGAGGAGGGCGCGGAGGGCGATGCGGGTGAGCTTGAGGGGGCCGGTGACGTTGATGGAGAGGGTGCGGTAGTGGTGGTGTTCTTGGTCGGTGTAGAAGTTTGAGGAGGTCTGGGTTTGGGGGATGCGTGAGTGAGTGGGTGGGTGAGAAGAGGGGAGGGAGGGGGTGGAGTGCAGCGCAAGGAGAAAGCAACACGTCCGCTTACCGGTTCGAACACCCCGGCTGATGCCATGTACACGTCCGGCACGTCTCCCCATTTCTTCTCCGCGACCGCGACCAGCGCCTCCAAGTCGTCCCGATTGGTCACGTTGCAGCGTTGGAAGACGAGGTCCTCCCCGCTCTGGCTCTTCACGAACGCCTCGGATGCATCGCCCAGCGTTAGGTCGGCAACGACGACCTTGGCGCCGGCGGACACGGCGAGCTTGACGATCTCGAAGCCGATGCCTGTGGTTGTATGTCAGTCGTGGGTTTCCGCAGATTGCGGCCAGACGAGGTTTTTTTTTTTCTTTCTTTTCTTCAATTGCTCAATGCGTCCTCTTTCTCTCTGGCCTGGCCCACGGGTTATGCGAGATGGTTGGTAAGAGGAACAAGAAAGAGATGGACCCGTCGTATAAAGATCCGTTTTTTTTCGTTGGCGGAGAAAAGGAAAACTCACCGGAGCCACCGCCCGTCACGACGACGATCTTGCCTTTCAACGGGAAATCGCCAACCTCCATTGCGCGATGCAGAGGATCTAATTCGCCCTGCCTGTTTTCTAGCTAGCTCGTGAAAAGTGTCGGTGTCAGCTCGCTGTTGATTCGTCCTCGGAGTTGGTTTTCTTCCCTCGTTCTCGATGTAACTTGCAAGAAGAAGAAGAAGAAGAAGAAGAAAAACTGGTCGTCCGTCGTCGTCCCCTTGTAAGGGAGCGTTGATTGAATTGATGTCGTCAGGTCGTAGCACGAGCTAGCTACCTGACAGCTTTAGCGCGTCGCCAACCCCGCTCGGTCGTGTATTCCGCAAGCACAAGCGCAGGGAGGAAGGAAGCAAGGAAGAAGATCTCGCGGTAAATACGCACCTTATACGCACCTAGATATATATATGCACACGCACGCCAGCCCTCATGTCAGCGCCTCTCGGAGCGGCCGAGCTGCGGGGTGGCTGTTTATCGACTCAGCTCCGTTGCGGCACAGCATGGTCGGACCACACCATGACCGTCGTTGGTTAGACTCCGCGAAGACGAACGGGAAGCGGCGGGGCGGGCGGGGCCGAACTGTGTCGGCTGTCGCCTAGGTATTCTCCACAATCCAGAGCGGGGGCGGATTGATGTTTGCGTCTTGATCCGACATGAAGAACCAATCAAAAATCACGTCTCTGCCGTGACCTTTGAGTCGCGAACCCACCATCACCACCATCACCACCACCATCATCAGTTCCTACCGCCGAATCCTGGGGCAAACCCCCACGAACCCTTCACCAACCCCCGCGTTGGCTTGTTCCGTGAGGAGAAGGAAAGTCAGTTGAACGGAGATCAGAAAAAAACACTTTTCGAAAATTTTGGGTCTCTTGTCTACTCATCCCGATCGTCTGACGGAAGAAAAAAAAAAGAAGAGAAGAAAGCCGCGTGATCCTCGATAACCATCATCTTCCCGCCGTACTTGGTACTTGGCTTTGTCCCGCATCCCAAGCCTTTCAAACCATCCCATCCTCGCCCTCATCAGCCATAAATGGGTAAATATTTTTTGAAAAGCCACATTTCAGAACGCCTCGTAGATGCCCCTTGGTTCGGATTTAAGCAGCCTCTTCCGTGATGAGCTTCGTGATCTTGCCGATTGCAATTGTTTGGCCCTGGGTGGTCATGTCAATAAACAAAGTCCGCCAAGTACACCATCAGACACTGCTTACCTGGTCTCTGAGGGTGAAACGACCCATCTGCGGGTAATCCTCGAATCTCTCAACGCAGACGCTGCCCGCGCCGCCCGTGACGGACAGACGAGCGATGATGCTCATGCCCTTGGTCGCGAAACCCGGGGGCCTCTTGCTCTTGCGGCCCGTGCCCTTTTCGAGCTTGTGCAGCAGCGCGTCGAACGTGACCTCCTCCGTTGCCGAGTGCACGTGGAGCACGCAGTTGAACCCGGCCGAGAGAATCGACTTGAGATCCAGCAGCACAATCTGCGCCTCGAAGCTCTTCACGCAGTGCACCGGACGCTTCGGCGAGCAGAGCACGAACCCAGGAAGGATGTCTTCTTCTTCGATGCCCCTCAGACGGATGCGGATCTGGTCACCGCAAGTCGCCGCCTGGATTTCGTCCTCGGTCTCGCCGTACAGGGCCGAGACACCGACAGTCTCGCGGTTGGGCATCATCAGGTAGTTGACGCCCTTCTTGATCACTCCCGCCTCGATCTTGCCCTCAACCATGGTACCCATGTCACGGTACTTGGCGGCAATAGGCATCATGAAGGGCGCATTGAGCTTGCGCTCGAGCGTCTTCATGTTGTCCAGGAACTCCAGAAGCGACGGGCCATCGTACCATGGGCAAATATCGGACGGAACCCGGTCCTTGATACCCTTCATCGTCTGCGCCGAGACGGGCATGAAGGTAAGGTCTAAATCATTTCGTTAGTGCCATAATAGGTGAAAAGAAAAAAGTTCAGCCTTCACGCACCGGTCTTGGGGTTGTAGCCAACTCCCTTAAGGAACTGGGTGAGCTTGACAATGCACTCCTTGTAGCGCTCCTCGCTCCACTCGACAGTCGGGTCATCCATCTTGTTGACGACGACACAAAGCTTGTTGACACCCTGGGTCTTGGCGAGCACAGCGTGCTCTCTCGTCTGACCACCCTTCTCGAAACCGGTCTCGTACTCGCCCTTGCGCGCCGAAATGACCAGAACACCGACATCGGCTTGCGAAGCGCCACCAATCATGTTGGGGACATACGTCTTGTGGCCAGGGGCATCCAGGATGCTGTAGCGGCGCGTTTCCGTCTCGAAGAAGCCTCTTCCGACCTCGACCGTCTTACCCTTGGAACGCTCCTCCTTGGTCAGATCCAGAGCCCACGAGAGGTACCACGTCTCACGGCCAGCCTCCTTGGCCTCGCGCTTGTACTTGTCCAGTGTCCGCTCGTCGACCATTCCGGTGGCGTAAAGGATGGAGCCGCCCAGAGTGGACTTGCCAGCATCGACGTGACCCAAGAAAATGACGTTGACGTGCTCCTTGCCGTACATATCGGCCAGGGTACCCTCGTCGACGTCGGCTTGCTGCTCCTGGGCGATCATGTCGGCTTGCTGCTTGGCTGCCTTCGCATCCGAGGCGCGAGTGGGGCTGTTCCGGCCGGACGAGGGCGTGGGCGAAGTCTTGCCGCTGGCGGCAGGGCCCGCAGTCTCGCCAGCCTTCTCGATGGCCTTGGCAGCGGTGACCTTCTTGCCAGCCTGGGGAGCGCCCTGGTCCTTGTTGGCAGCATTCTTTGCGGCCGAAGGGGCAGCGGCACCGCCAATGCTGAGCACCTTCGTGGCGCCAGCCTTTTCGACCTTGGGCGCATCGCCACCAATGCTCAGAACCTTGGTGCCGCCAGCCGACTCAACCTTGGTGGAACCATCACCACCGATGGAGAGCGTCTTCGGCGCTGCCTTTGGCGAGCCGGCGGCGGGGGCTGCTGCGGCAGGCTGGGCGGGGGCTGCTGCCTGGAGGTCGTCGCCACGCTTGGCGATCTTGGGGGTCTGGCGCGGCTGCTGCTGCTGCTGCTGCTGCTGCTGGGGCTGGAATTGCTGCTGGGGATATCCGCCATAGCCCTGCTGGGGGTAGTTGTAGCCCTGTTGGCCGTAGCCATACTGGCCGTATTGCTGTTGCTGGCCGTACTGGGGGTAGCCGCCGGCGCCGCCGTAGTATTGACCGTACTGGTTGTAGCCACCGTAGCCCTGGAAGGGCTGGCCTGGGGTGAAAGAGGCGGCTCCGGGGGTGAAGGATGCGGCGCCGGGGGTGAAGGTAGGAGCGCGGGCGGCAGGGTTCAGGTTCATCTGCTGCTGGGTCTGCTGGGCGAGGCTCTCGTCCTGCGCATCCTTGTCGTCCTCCCACGAGTTGAGGTCAGCCATTTTGACGCGGTGTGCGTGGCGCGATTCAGGTGCGGGTGGCGGGCGTGGATATGGAGTGCTGGCCGAGTGCGCAGCGGCGAGGGCGAGTCCTATATAGGCGGCCCGGGGGTGGAGTGGGAAATGACGGAGTGTGGGTGAGGGTCGGGCCAGCAGCAAAAGGCTTGATCTTGGGCGGCATTTCAGTGGTGGGGCACAAATCGCCCGCCGCCTACTGCGCACAGACCACCGCTGAGGCTCTCCGCCGCCAGCTTCGCCCTCCAAACCCTCTTCGCCGGGCACCAATGACGTGCATGCGCAGGGCTGAGTCGAGCTCCGAGTCACTGATCCCAGCTCCCACCCGTCATCCACACAGCTCCTGACCGGCCCGCTGCCGCCGCCGCCGCGTCCTATTGTTACCCAATTCTCGAAGCCTCTACTTCCTGCCCGTTTGTCGTTGCCTCTGCCCAAACAGCCGCCAACCGCCGCCCACCATGGATCTCCTGCTGTCCAAGGTATGTTTCTGCTGGTTCAAGACAGTCTCTGCGCCTCTGCAACCCCACCCTGTCATCATGGCTCATCTCACCTCACTCGATTCCACGTGCGCCTGCAGTGCCACCCTCCGCGCCGACATCTGACATATGACAGGTTACGCAGCAGGCGATGAACTATGCCATCAGATCTGGCATAGTCATCACCAGCAGCTATGCTATGAAGCAATGCTCCCGCCTCATCAAGGTTTGCCCTCTGTTCGCCGCTGGGTCTGGCCTTGGCTGATCCCCGTAGTCAGTGGACAGCAGCACCGAGAAACAGGAGCTGGCAGATCTGCAAATGCGGCTGGAGGGAAAAATTAGGGTTCGATAGCCTGATACATACTTGGCTGAGCTGGTGTGCTGACTAGCAATCAGATCATCTCCCCAGCTATTGACATGATAGAACTTATCTCGGCCCGCGGCAACACCTCACTCGAGTCCGCTGTCACTCTCACCAAGGCTCTTCGCTGGGACATCCAATCTCTCGGCGTCCGCCTAGCAAAAGCAGCCGGCGAAGAAGAGCTGCACCGGAGAGGTAGCTCCCGTGCCAAGCCGAAGGCCGACAACGAGCTCGAGGTGAAGCTCATCATTTCCGATATCAAGAAACTGCTTGCTCGTATCGAGGATGCAGTACCTCTGATAAATCTGGCCATCACTACTTCCGGCGCCAACTTGTCCAGTTCCCTACCTTCTACCGTGTCTCCTTCCAGGCTACTCCAAGCCAGCACATTCCTGACCGCCGGAGACACCCAGTATTCAATGAACCCCACTGGTGCCCAACAAATTGGTCCTGCTTTCACTCTTTCCATGTACATGCTTTTTGCTGGCCATATACGTCCCCACGACGAAGCAGGTATCAGGGAAACCACATGGAAGGAGGTCATCCACAAGGCCCGCGTGAAGCTCATGAGGGTCCCCCTCGACAACCTTCAGGACTTCACATCTTTGAACAGTGCACACACACATGGGAACATCCCAGCCACCGAAGGTAGTGCCTATGAATTCGCCTATCAACTCCTCATCATTGAGGATCTGGACGATGACCGCGTCCACACCTTCGACGAGGGCGAGCTGCAACCGGGGCCATTTGAAGACGTTGCCAGAGCCGGCATCCGCGAGATCATCCCCATCCATCAAGTTTCGAAGATTTTCTACGCAGATACTGGGAAGATCCTCAATATCGGTACCGACGGCGAGACAAACAATCCAATCTTACTTCTGAAGCGCGACATCAACGCAATACCGCCGCGCCGCATGATGGAGCGACAGGCCGCCGAGCAATGGTATGATGATTACGAAGAAGAGATACCAGAAGGCGGACATGAAGAGGAAGCAGCACATGGCACTCCCAACGAGGACGACCAGTCCGAGATTGACGCGCAGCTCTTCCGCGAGTCCTCCAGCTCTCGAGCCCCGGAGCCAGAGCCGCAGCCCGAGCACAATCACTACGACGAGACGCCGCAGCCGTGGCAGCTTCCCCCTAACCTCGACCCGGAGTGGGTCGCCTTCGAAGTCTACGTGGAGGAGCCCGACTCCGACGACGACGAAGACGACACTACCGAAGCGACGCAAAGCTCCTTACGACAACATCCCTCATCACCCCCCCCTCCTAGCGCCGCCGCCGCCAATCCCTCCTCCCGCTCCACCTCCCTCGACCCCCGCCTCACCACCGGCCTCACCAACCTCAACCTCCGCACACCCTCACCCGCCCCCGACCACTCCTCCCCACCAGCAGCCCCCAACACGGCTCTCCAAACGCGCCCAACCTACACCTCCCCGGCCCCCACCTTCTCCCCACCCCACCCATCATCCTCCCTCCCCCCCATCCGCACATCCCTCTCCCTCCTCGAAATGCTCATCCGCCTCACCGCCCTCCAACAATTCCAACAATCCTCCCACCTCTCCATCCCGGACGAACTCCTCACCTTCTTCCTCTCCGAATCCGCCTCCACCGTCGGCGCCGGCTCCGACGCCGACCTCCGCCGCCGCGTGCGCCGCGACGCCGTGCGCAGAGTCGGCTTCGATCCGTACGACGAAAGCCCGATTAAGCGGCGCGGCGAGGAGTATCTCGAACGAGAAATGCACGGCGGCAGCCAATACGGCGGCGACGGCGAGGGCAGCCAGTATGCGCCGCAGGAGGGGGCAGAGTACGAAGACGGATACTATGACTACGACGGCGGCCACGCCGCTTCGGAGCAGGGACACCAACAACAACAACAACAACAACAACAACAACAACAACAACAACGGCGGTATCCCCGCGACGAGTACTGCGCCTCTCCCTCCTCCTCTTTCCCCTCCTCATCCTCGTCGCCGACGGCCGGCAGGATCAACAACGTCAACATCAACAAGCTTGCCTACGCAAGCAACAGCAGCCCTCTCCGCGACCGCGACCGCGACCGCGACCGCGACAACAGGGATCGTCACCACCACCACTTCGCCGGTCCCGGCTCGTCGTCGCCGCTGGTGCCGCACCATCGCGACGTGCCCCTCCCCAGCCGCGAGACGAGCGCGCAGCCCAGCCCGTTGTTGCGGAAGGCGACGGATCGGGGTGGTGGTGGGAGTGGTGGTGGTGCGAGCGGTTGGAGCGGGAGGTTGAGCGTTGGGGAGAGGAGGAGGAACAACAATCGGCAGACGCCGCAGACGCCGCAGCAGCGGGAGGAGAGATGAGGAAAGATTGCTGCGAACGAAGGGAGGTGGAAAGAATGTCTAGAGTGGGCCGGATGGGGGTGAGAGGGAGAGGGGTTATCAAAGGTCGATGGCTGCGTTGAGAAAGAGAGAAGGTGGGAGATGGGAGCAGCCGTGATGGGGGTCAAGGGTTGACCGGCCTGGAGAATTTGATTGCTGGTGAAGAATGGGGGGCGTGGGAGAGTCGGCGTGGGCGTCTGGTGGTCCTCGCTGGGTTCAGTCTTTGATATCGCTTTCTGGTAGCGTGGGGGGGTGCCGCATACATACATACTCAACAGTTCGTGGCATGAAGGGGTGTTGCACAGAGGAAGTTGAAAAGAAAAAAAAAAGAGGAAAAAAAGTTGCGGGTCGAACATTATTGGATTCATCGAAATAGCTAGAGATAGATACCCAGCCTGCTCCTTACAAAAGCAACATTTCACGAGCGTCACAACAAAGGGAAGGTCGAGAGAAAAAGAGACGGAAAAGAGAAATGATTTCTACACAACTATCAGCCTGACGTGCCGTCGGGGTTGAACATTCACTGCCCAATCGTCCTACGCACCGACCTCTCAAGAATCATTAACTGCACTAAAGCCTACTTCATACAGTACCCCGAGCGAGAATATACCAGACTCATTGGAATGAGAAGTACCCGTACCAATTTGTTCTCGACAACCCAATGGAGCCTAGACCATTCAGGTACTTTTCTCACGGGCATCCAGCCAGCAAGGGTAAAGAAAAAAGCATGCATGTAGGACAGAACGCATGACCAAAGCAGAGATGAGAAAAAAAACGGATAGTCAGCAGCCAATGAAATCATGTTGACGGTACGCAATGATTTCATCCAGTCACTCCCAGTCCTCGTCGCTGTCGTCGGCCGCCGGGTTCTTCTTCTCCTTGGGGCTGCCGGGCGTCTTGCTGGTGGCGCCGCTGACGAGGTCGTAGCTGGCGTCGCTGTCGGCCTGGGAGCGCTCGTCGCTGTTGCGAAGTCTCGAGGCGGTGTCCTTGTCGGAAGAGACGGCCTTGGCGGCGGGGTCGGTGGGCTTGAGGGTGCCTTGCGAGGTGGCGAGAGGGTTGGGGGTGGAGGTCTTGGACGACGAGCGGTCGGCCTCGTCCTCCGAGTCATCGTCCCAGCCGACCTCTTCGTCGGCGCCGGAGGCGGATGCTAATTACCGGATTCGGTTAGGGGGAGATCAATCACGCCGAGATCCCTGACGGGGAGATGAACTTACCCTTGAGCATCTCTCTCCTCCGCTGCTCCTCGCTCTCGATGACGTGCCGGAGGAAATAGTACCGCGTCCAGAAAGGCTTGTACTCGACCTTCTCCGGAACCAACGCCTCCATGGACACCCGCAGCTCGGGATACTTCTCCAAGTCCTTCGAAATATCCGCAGTCTTCTTGTCAATGTCAAACGACGCGATCCAGCCCTCCCACTCCGGGCTATCCGGGTCCTTCAGGAAACTTTCGAGAGCAGAATGGATGGCGTGCAGCTGGGCATCGAAGCGGGTGGTGTGGATCACACGCTTGCCCTGGGCGTCCTTGCTCTCGAAAAGCACCTTGGATGAAGACGAGCCAGCCGGAGCGTCGGCGTCGTCCGGTCCGGTGATGGTCACGGCCTCGCGCAAGAAGGAGCGGATGTTGGTGCCGAAGCGGAGCAGCGCCTCGTCGGCGGCATCCTCGGCCTTCTGGATGTCCTTCAGCCGTTCGGCGCCCAGCCCGCGCAGCCGCGAAAGCATGCCCTCGGCCTCCTTGACAATGTCGGCCGGCAGCGACTCGGCGCGCTCGCCCGTCTCCGCCGCGGGCTTCTCCGGGGCGGCGGGGGCATTGACTTCGATGGTGTTGCCGTCCTTGTCGGTGACGATGGTCTTCTTTGTGTCGGCGGCGGCGGCAGCGTCGTCGGCAGGGATCTGGGGGAGTGAGGCCGAGATGTTGCGCGTGTGCGAGAGGACGGTGGTGCGGAGGTCGGTCAGGCCCTTGCCGGCCTGCTCGAGCGCAGGCCCCGATTGCTGGCGGGCAGTTTCATAGTAAGTCTCGCCCTGTCCGCAGCGGTTAGCAGGGCGGCAGCAAGCGTTGGGCGGATTGGGGGGAGGCCGTGCCTGCTTCTTCACGGTGCCCCAAAGGCCGCCGATGCGAGCGGCCCAGGGGCTGTTGCTGATGGCCTTGTAGGCGTCTTGGACCTCGGTGTTGAAGTCTTTGGCGGGCTCGGCGGGCTTGTCGCTGGGCTGAGCGGGCTTGTCGCGGCGGTCGTCGTCGGGGAAAGTCTCCTCCTGGATGTGGTCGTAGGCGACGTCCATGGCGGGCCGAAGCGGGGCAGCGCGCGGCTACCTGTAGCGGGCTCGGCGGGGGGTCGATTGTGGCGCGCTGCGAGGTTGTGTGCGGGTGGCTTGCGACGTGTGCGAGTGTGCGCGGCGGGCTGGCGAGTCCGTGTCGGTGGTGGGTGCTCGAGGCCGACGCGCGTGTGGAGCTCTGGTGATGGCCGCTGGTGCAGTGCGGCTCTTCCCGCCGCGACGCCGCAAACAGCAACCGTTGCCGCTGCAATTTCAGAGCCAAGACGTGCTGATGCAAATATGTGCGCAGTGCTGCGCCGCGATCTATTAGAGCTTCTATATGCCCAGTCCAGCGCCGTCTATGCCTTCGTACTCCGTCAACGCCGTGTGATGCAACATGTGCTCCCTAGACGCGCCTTTCAGCGCCGCTTCTTGCCAACCACCTTGGTAAAGCCGTCCTCGTCGACCTCTGGCTCCACCTTCTCCTTGGGCTCTGCCGCCACCAGCTGCGGTGCGTCGCCCATGTCCATATCGCCGTCCTCGGCGGCGTCGGCGTCGGTGTCGGCGTCGTCATCGTCGTCGCTATCGCTCCTGTCCTGAGTGCCCTCCTGAACGACCTCGACGTTGGTCAGGTTGGGGCCCTTGCCCCTGCGCTGCCGCCACCTGCGCTCCATAGCGTCGACCGTCTCAAAGACATTGTTGTTAAGCTCGTTCTTGATCTTCACGACGGTTGCGGCCACTGCGACCTCGCTGTCGTCCTCGAGGCGCACTTCAAACTCGTCCTCCATGACCTGCAGGAGGATGGTCTCGACATCGAGCTGGTCGGTGTCAGGGTTGGTCTCGAAAACGTCGACGATAGCGCCGGCCAGCCAGTCGCGCTTGTCGGCGCCGTCAGGGCCGCCGAATTGGCTCTGGATGGCGACGGTCAGGGCGGGCCAGGCCTGCAGGGCGAACCAGATGCCATGGCCAAAGCGCTCGGACTTGAATTCGGCTGCGACCAGGTCAGAGGGGCGGCGCGGCGATGAGCGGTCGGGGCGACTCACGCGTGGGGTTTTCGTTCGACATGAGGGTGCTGTGGGGGAGGCTGAGCAGAGCTTTGGAGGCGTCGTTGGAGTGCGGGTGCACAGCAAGCGGGCGTAAAAAATGATGCGCTGTAGCGGGCTAGACTTGACCATCAGTGTGGGCGCATGACGTATCCCTGCACGCCGTGGACCCTCGATGGAATTATGCGCCGGCCGCCCATCCAAATTATTCACGCCTGAACCTCAGCCCACCCCCTTTCTTACAACCCCATCCTTCCGGCTCCCTGCCGCCTGTCCCTCCTGCTGCTGTCTCTGGCCAATCCATCGCCGCCTTCTCCTGCGCTTTTCCAGCATGCTCCGCGTCTGACCTCCTTGATTCCTGCGCGCGACCCTGCCGATTCCGGCAATCTGTTGATCCTACGGACGAGCCATGGTTCTGAATACGATCACCGTTGGCGCCGCCGTCACGCCAACTGTCATCCAGACTTATATTTCGCATGTGCGCCGTCCGCGCTTCCCTCCCAGCAACCTCTCCCGCTGACCGATCCCCGCAGTACCTCAACCGCAAGCCGCTTCACGGCAAACCAACCGCCCACCTCGGCTATCACGAAGGTCTGCAGCTCGTCCGAGAATTCCTCCATTATGCCGCCGAACACACTGTCGAAGAGGTCCAGGCCTTCACCCAGCAGTGGGTGCCGGTCCCAGCCTGGGTCAAGACCGAAGAAGTGACCGTTTCGTCCGCTCTACTTTCCAAAGCTGCCGATATGCTTCAAACGCAATTGGGCCCGGATGGCATCGACCTGGTTGGCGGTAAGACATGGTGGCAGTGGCGGCGCGACAACGCTGAGCTCAAGGCCGAGTGGATTGAGATGCGGGGAGACTACAACGAGCGCAAGGAGGCCAAGGACGAGCTGGGCTCGCGCATCATGCTCTACATCCACGGCGGCGCATATTACTTTGGGAGTGTCGACGAGCATCGTTACCAAATGCAGCGCCACGCGCGGAAACTCAAGGCACGCATCTTCGCCCCTCGATACCGTTTGGCGCCCCAGTTCCCTTTCCCCTGTGGCTTGCAAGATGCCATTGCTGCCTATCTTCACCTCCTGGAAAAGCACGATCCATCGACTATTGTAGTTGCCGGTGATTCTGCAGGAGGTGGTATGGCGTTGGCCATGCTGGTCGTATTGCGCGATCAAGGAATACCACTGCCCGCTGGAGGAATTTTGCTTTCGCCCTGGGTGGATTTGACCCACTCCTTCCCCAGTCTGAGTGGAGACGGAAAATGGGATTATATTCCTGCACATGGCTTCGTGCACAAGCCTTCAACCTCCTGGCCACCTCCCAACGACGATGACATGCAGACTATCAAGGAAGCTTCGCAAGAGCTGAATGCAAAGTCTGGAAAGATCAAGGATCTCGCCGGGAACCCGAAGGACCTGGCCGTGGACCATCAGAAAGACCGCGCCCGTGGCTACTCGATAGAGCAACCCCGCGATGGTGAAACTCTGCCGTCGACCGATGAGATTCGGTCCAACGCTGCTCCACCGCCTCCTCCGGTGCTTTCGGTCAACATTGATGGCCAAGTAATCACCATCAAGGACCAGATCCAGCTCTATGCTGCCAACGAGCTCATCACCCATCCTTTGGTGTCACCCATACTCCAACCGACTTTAGGTGGCCTTCCACCCCTTCTGATTCAGGTGGGTGGCGGGGAGCTTCTTTGCGACGAGCAAATATACATCGCGCACAAGGCCGCCTCGCCCATGGACTACCTCCCCGACCTCTCCAAGATGACGCCCGAGGAGCAAGAGAAAGTGCGGGAACAGGCTCAGAAGTATCCGCCGACCGACGTGAAACTCGAAGTCTGGGACGATCTTTGCCATGTCACGCACACGCTGAGCTTCACTCGGCCGGCAAAACTCATGTACCGTGCCGTCGCACAGTTTAGTGCCTGGGCTCTCGCGAGGGCGCAGAATAAGCCAATCGACATTCTTGATGACGACGCCGTTTCTCACATCAGCAGCTCGTCAGAGTCAGGCAATGATCGCGAAGCAGCGACCAGCTCGGCGGACACGCTGCAGCGGACCAAAGAGCAGATTCAAGACGGTGCGCAGGAGTCTGAGCCAAAGGCCAAGAACGGAAGTCAAGAATCGGTAGTGGGAAGAGCCGGGGATGCCATACCGCCTTTCAAGAACCACATGATCCGCCAACGGATCGACCGCCACGGTGCCATTAGGGATCTGGAACCCGCATCAGAGCTAGAAGCGCTGCAACTCCCGGCGTCTGAGATTGGTGTCATCAAGGAAGGACCAGTGAAGAAATGGATGGGCATCCAGGGGAGGTGGGCAAAGAAGTTTGAGAAGGAGAAGCGCGCTGTACAGAAGAAGAGGATCGAGGAGTTTGCACAAGGGTATGAGGAGTTTGAAGGCGAGACTCCACCACCGACAGCACTCGCGGGCCGACGACTGAAGGACAAGGATATGCCGAAAGCGAAGATAGCCAAGGGCTGGGGTCTCGCCATGTGGAGTGGGTGGGGAAGCAAGCACGACCAGATGACGATCAAACGCGAGACGCAGGCAGACGGCGTCAAGCAGGAGGTAGTGGACGAGGGCGGAAAAGGTTCGGCAGAGCGGGAATCAAAGTCACGAGCTCGTTCACTGAGCACCAACAGCAAGAAGAAAAGTAAGCGTTCGATCGCCTCCGGCCGTTCTCGTTCTCGCCGACGCACGATCACCGACGAAGGACAGACCGATTCCTCTGTCCCCCCTTCCCCCACTCTCACCCGAGGCGCTCTCGCCGCCCCTGTCGCCGACGCCGACGATGACAACAGCACCCTGGCCATCCCTGCACCGACAAAGCCAGGCACAAGCGCTGCCTCTGTCACCGCCACTATCTCCACTCGCGCCCCTGAAGACGCCCTCAGCATCAACACTGCCGCAAACTCCACTTTCTCCTCGCCCTTCCCAAGCCCTGGAGCTGGACAACCTACTGTGGTGATATCTGAACATGCCGCCGAGGGAGCGCCCCCTACAATCATCCCATATACCAACAACTCCAGCACGCGCCCTTTCAGAGATGGCATCGCGTACCCTTTCAAGCTTAACGCTGGCAATCACAAGGCCAACCCCAGCACCACTACGCTTATGAGCTTTCAGGACAGTATCAGGAAGAGCATGGAGACGAGCAGCATTGCTGAATCTGCCACCAAGGCGGATGATGGCGAAAGGGATGATAAGGATGATCACGAGGAAAAGAAGATGGAGACTGTCGAAGAAAAGATTGTCGAAAGCCAGAACGAAGATTCTGGGGAGCCGGCGGCGGAAGATGCTGCGGCTAAGGCGGACGCGCCCGAGAGGCCGGCGGCGCCGGAGAGGTTTATTACGGCTCAGGAATTCTAAGCATTGTCATTGGTTTATATAGAGGAGGTGAAGCACAGTACATACGCGGTAGGACACTTTGCTCCCTTGGTTCTTTCTTTTTTTTTTTTTGACTTCGTCTGCGCATCGCACGAAATCCTAACCTTCTACTCGTATACCCTGCATTTTTGGCTGTTTTGAATATACGCGCAGTTTTTGGGTGGTTCGTTCGAGTTTGGTTCGTTGATCAGATAGTCGTGGTATTGATTTAATCGTTTGCATTCCATCGCTTGACCGTTACACACGTTCCTGCTACAACCTCGATCCTTGCAATCGAAGAACCTCCATCCACACTTCACACTACCTTGTCAAGGTCAGCTCCCAACGCTTTTTCGCTCTCCGCATGCAGCTCACCGAGGTAAAGTAGCCTTGCGCCGGTCAACATGGCAAAGGGTGGGTTGGCGTTTACATCAAGGGCGATGCAAGGTGCTGGATTCAACACCTGCGAATGGACAGTGATGACTGACCGGTGAAACTACCATCAGATGACGTCTCGGAAACTGACGGAAAAGGGAAAAGATGACCATCAGATCTTGGCGACTGAAGCGTCTTATCATTGTTGGGAACAATAAATATATGCGAGTACAGCCAACCGCCACCAGGATTGAGGGGCAAATTCAGTCGGGGAGCGTGGCCATGCAGCAGGCCAACATATAAAGGTCACGTTTGGTCCTACTGATATGAGGTTTGTCTGGTCGCAATATGTTCAGATGAGCTTTGCAAAGTTCCAGGCTTGACCAGTCCTTTCTTGGTGGCCCATCAGAACATCGACAAAGCCAATGCCAATTTATCCCATGTCAGCTGGACAAGGCAGATTCCTCCGCTGCCTGACAGATAACAGACTGCCGCGACCGCAATTGCGACACCTCGCATCGTGAAGAGTGAGACCATTGGGGGGCCGGCCAACGCTGATTCGACTATTTTGCAGCCTGCCATGGGTGGCGCACACCAACATTGCAAGCGAGGTGATAGCAACCGAGCTCCAGCCAGTTTAGAAATACTAACGACTGTTCCAGTCTACCGAAGAGCGATCGGCGTCGCGATATCCTTGCTTTGCTCCAATGGGGAAGCTGATATTAATGGTAAGGACTAGACCGAAAGCTAGAGACCGAAGGCAAACCCCACATGAGACCGAAAGAAAACACTCTTTTCTCGCCCCACCTGAGGCGGATTCGTTTTTCGTCAGCTTTCGCTTTCCTCTGACGGCTCGCAAACACCTATACACGCCTTGAAGTAACCGAGAAGACCAGAGAACGAAAGTAAGACATCCAAAAATGAAAAATGAATCCCCTTGTCAAAAAGTTCCTTCTCACATAATGATGCAGCCACCACGCCTCTTGTTGGCACCGCTCTTCGAGTGTGCCTTGCCCTTTGAGTGTGCTCTGCCCTTCGCGTCTACTCCACCATTCGAAGTCTGTCCTGTCTGACGACCACCGTTGAGCAGCTTCTTCATGGACTTCGAGTTGCCATTCTGGTAGGCGGTGCTCGGCCTGGTCTGGTTTTGCCAACCACCGCTTGCCCTTGGTCTCGCGTCGACATCGGTCTCCGAATCCAGTGTCTCGACCCTTACTGGCGGCCTGACTGAAGCTCCTTGGCCCATCATGATAGGATCATGCGCGAATGATCCTAGGTTACACGCCATTGGCCTGTCGGAAGAAGGCTGATTGGGCATGGGAGACCCATTCTCGGTACATCCCCAGTAGCGATGATGCTGTATCAACTGGTCCATCTGCACCTTGCTCAGAAACGTGGGGCATGTCCCGAGACTTGGGCCGACAGCGTTGTGGTTGCTGTTACCGTTCCGAGTCTGGATTGCGTACTCTTCTGACAGTAAGCAGTGGCTCTGACACACAAACATCCGAAACCAATCTCGACACACCGAAACCAAACCCATACCGAAATGAAATTACATACCCAAGTTGCCGAACGGGTCCTCTCCTCCAGGAAAGCCGCCTAATTTCGATTTGATGACGTTGTAGGTGCCATATCTCATCCCGAGGACTGTCACATCCCTCAAGTCCTGCTCACTCTCACACCACCCCTTCATCATGCGCTGCAAGTCACTGTGGAGGGTCTGGATATGCGCTGCACCCGGCTCATCCGTGGCACCACCATGAGGGGTAAGCGCCGACTTGACCGACCGTTTCTCCTCGATGTCGATGTTGCCTATGCGCAGCTTCAGCAAAACCAACGACGGTTCATCGACAGCGTCTGGAACTTACTCAAACCCTTGCGAGGATCGAAGACCGGATTCAAGCCCTGGTCGAAGATGAATTCCGACAGGTTGTCACGTTGCTGAGGATAGGATAGGGGTCGAGGTTGCCGCTCTACCTCTGCTGTGGTCCTGAAGGCCACTTGCCTATCAACTCGGCTCGTCTTCTGCGCTCCCGCTGGCAGAGCGAGTTCTCCAAGCTCAACAGACCCGGCCATTTGTTGTTGCGGTGATGGATGGCCGTGGCTCGCGTTCGACATGATGAGTTCCACGTTGTTTCTCGTCGTCTGGAGATTATCCTGGCTGGCAACTTCATTGGCCTGTTAGCAAGGACATCAGCTTCTGCCGTCGTCCTATGCACTGTTTCATACCCATGATTCACCGGAGATACGCGAGACCTCTTTATCGATGCGCGTGGGAGACGGGCCGTTGGGACGATGGAACCCCGGTGCTGCGATGGTTAGGGTGGGGCCTGGGCTTTGATGTCACGGCTATTGGTATCGGATCAGTCGCAGATTTTGCGGTTGTGCAGTGACGCTGGGAGTGCTAGAGCAAATGGAGAATCATCAGGCGGCTTTTGTGTTCTGGATTGAGGTTGGTGAAAGTGGAGATTGAGGTCTGGGCCGCCGGGCGTCGCCTCACTTGGAGTCGGCAGGGCTGGCTGTCATGTCCACCACACCCAATCATTAGAATTCGGTCCTGGTACCCCCATAGCCCCCCCACTTTCGTAGGCAGCGTATGTTCTCTTGCGATAGAAGTCCGTTTGTGTGTATAAAGCAAACATACACCGCACATTATCTCCAGCCTGTCTTACACTCACTCCCGTACAATGTGACCTCAAATTAATCGTAATTCGATACACGTCTTGCATGGGGTCATGAAGCCCTCGCTTTTACCTTTGTTCGATTAAACCTGTTTAGGGGCTGCTACCGAGGCCACACTTTTCCGATATGCGATTCTGCATGTGCGGCGTATCGTCCAAGTAGCTCAGCGACACGTCAATACTGGAAAGATGAAGGATTTTTCGCCAGAACCATTCGGGCTCCATCCCGAGCTATAAGCAAGGGTGGGGGAAAAAGTGTGGACGACCCCTGGTCCGCTCAGCCGAACGCTACATGTAGGTCGCCCGAGTCCAATCGAGCCGCGTCCCAATCGAGGCAGGCAGGCAGGCTGAAGGTGTGTATGATCCACGTCAGCATGTGCTTTCGTGCCGAAGCGGCTATCTTCTACGTTCAAAGTCTGGCCATGCCCCGCTTACCCCCCGCCCGCTGAGGAGCTGAAAAGCTTCGACTTCTTTGCACCGGCCGATGCTTGAGCTTGTTCTCCATCCAGGCAGACACCTTGAGTCTTGCGAATTTCCAGCCATGGATTTGGCTGGAGGTACCCACGATGACGGCATCCACTCGATCATGCAAGAAACCACGAATACACACGCCTGGGACCATTTTCAGAATGGGATCTATACGGAGCAGCAGTGCAGCTCATTCGGAGAGCCTACTGAGAACGCTGACCAAGTTATCGAGGTTGTGCCCTTATTCCGACTCGACAAGCAGGGCTGATAATCCAACCCGAGCGAAGCCTGAGCGGTTCAGCCTTTGCGAGAAGGAGCTCGAGCCCGCCTGCTCCTGGCAGGTAGAACTCGCAGAGTTGTATCGTACAGGCGAACAGTTCGATGCCAACACCCACACTGTTGCCGAACTGGAATGCGACGCCGGCCGGGTAGATACTTGGGCCATCGAACAGTTCACAGCGCCAACGATCGAGACCGAGTCAGTCTTTCCAGTAGAAGATACACAGAGGCTTTCTCCAGGTTGCAACAGTGATGTGGCACTCGAAGATCTAGAACTCCTTTTTTCAACGCAACCATCGGACACATTTGGAGACATTTTGCGGGGCGTGCCTGAAGGGGGACAACATTTCGGAGAGGAAGTTGCAGGGCACAAAGAAGACAAGGTGACCGGATTCTTTTCACTATTGGCTTTGGCTTTTGGCCTTGCGTTGACGAACATCGGTTCAGTGTTCGAAAAACCCCGTGGAACCCAAAGGTCGGACGAATGAATCAGCGCGCGGTCAGATTAAAATTTCTCGTCTCACAGACCGTTATCCAGTAAAAGCTAATACATCAAGTCATTATAGATCAACAACGGGCGGCATATTCACAGCGGCTTGATTCCACGGTCTTCCCGTGCAGCGAAGACGGATGTAACAAGAAGTTCATCAGAAAAAGCGGACTGATGTACACCTAGCCCCATACATATCTCGCTCCGGCATCCAGTAACAGCTAGCAGGAAGCACACAAAGAGCCACATGGCGACGAAAGATAGACCGTACCCGTGCGCCGACTGCCCGAAAACCTTCCTGTGGCCCAAGGATCTGAAGCGGCATCGGCGGAGCAAACATTCAAGTAAGCTAGACGAGGATCCTCGGCTCGTTTGTCCCATTTCGAGCTGTAAATATCATCTTCAGGGCTTCAAACGGAAGGACAAGTTGCAGCAACATCAGAACAAGCACCACCGAACCCTTTCACCACCGAAGTCCGGGATTTCCGATGATTTGGAAACAAGAGGAAACGAGATCGGCTGCACACTTCAACCACGCCGGGATGACAACCGTACAAACATGGCCCCAGTTGTATTAGAGTGGGAGACGGAGTACTTGGGCTCCCTGGGTGGACTTTTTGCATCGGACAATTGCTGAAGGCCGATCACTGAGGGCAAAATCCACAGCTTCGGGTGTGGACATCTGGTTTCTTTTCCTCTTTCACTTTCAGTGGGCTGGTGGGAACTCATGAAAAATCACTGCAGAGCTTTTACAACTTGAAAAGAATTGTAAAAGATTATCCAATTTATGTAAACTCAAAGGATCCTCCCAGCATATGCTCCGTGACGTTGCTCAGTGATATTCCATGTGCTCTTCGACTGAGCCTGCAGAATTCCATGTCTCGCTTTGAGCATAGATTGATGTAGCAAGCTCTACAGACGATTGGCGATTGCCTGGAAGCCCCGCGACCTCCGTCCGGTAACGTGGAAGTGCCTTGAGCTTTATGCCCGCGATCCAACCCCTCAACTGTCGGTACTTTTCAACTGGCGGTCTCGCCACTATAAAAACGAGGATAGTAAGGGGAATTGCTACCGCGAAGAACTGCCAAAAGCCTTGGCTACCGGGAGCCGTATCTCTGTCCATACTGAAGAGGCCAGTCGTGAACGAAAGCGGGACAAAAACCACGGCAAGGTAGGTCAAGCGAGTAACATTCGCAGCTTCGGCCAATGATTGGCGGCTGTCGGCAATTTGAACCATGGAAGTGACTATCGGGAGCATTCGTTCGAACCTCTCGCCAAAATCTGCCACACTTGCCGCCAGGTGACCATAATCCTGTGCAAGAAGTTCCAGGCCATCCTCGCCTGCTTGTGTCTGGTTGGAGTGGCGGACGAACCGTGCGACATGGTGTAATTTCTGTTGTGAAGACATGCTTCTCCGACGCCAACTCTGGAGTGAACGGATATCCGAATCCAGCCGATCCAACAGCCAAAGGACACTTGGACCATCTTTGACCGAGTATTCGTATTGCTTAATGCTGTGATGCATGACCGTCAAGTAATTCACCCACTCCGCGGCTATGATTCGCAGTGGATAATATGCCAGATGGATCAATGCCGGAGACTCGGGATCAAACAATATCGGTTTTTGCCTCTTCCAATAGTACTGTAAATCATCCAACATGCTCGATCTTCTTGGCCCGGAGGGACAAGTCGAGGCATTTTTGGCACCGGGGGGATCCAAGAAATCTTCATACCCGCCGAGAAAAGGCTCCGACACCATATTCGAATGCAAGACTTCCTTCTCGTGACCATCTGCGTCATAGTAGACGTTGCTGATTGGCGGATCTACAAGTATGATACCTGAATATCCATAAGCGGAGGCATACGATGTGTGGGAAAGAAACGTACATATCCAAGATTTGTTGGGCAGAAACGTTTTCAAGATCGAACAGGAATGCTGAGCCAACCCTATCCGCACGCCTTTTGTCTTTGGGAGAAGGACAACCTTTCTGCGCACATTCGATGTTCGGAGAAGCTCTCTCATCTGGAGTTCAGTGTCCTTGAAAACGATGGTACGATGATAGTGAATGTTGATGTATCTATCAGTTCTCCGTCGGGATGGTAGCAGCGCCATGTCGGGAGTTTGTGTAGAGACGTTCGGCCACGGTGAGTGAAGATGCGAGGCGAAGAACAGAGGGTCGACATGTAGACTCGATCCAAGCACTTCAACGACATCTCTTGTCAGGTCTTCAACAACGAGAATTCTACCCCGCAAGACCCTCGTCTCCACCTTCTGAGTTTCTTTGAGTATTTCTCCCAGCTTCTGGAGACTGATTTCACAGGTCTCTGGTTCGTCGCTGTCTGCCCAAAACTGCGATAGTGCAAGGCGGCATCGAAAGTGTTCCTGTCCCTTGTCTGCGAGGAATCTCGTGAGGCTTTTGATACTAGGATTGCGTTCGCTTTGCTCCGTCACAAACTGCTGGTATTTGGCCATAGACGCTGCAAATGCTCTGAGAACTCGAGCTCGTGAAGTTGTTTTCGATGGTGCTTCCGAAGGCAGAGGATATAGCCTGGGAGTGTCCTGTGATGCTGTCGGAGGCTCAAGTCGACTGGGGTGGTGCGACCGGTGAAAATCATAGCAGTTTGCAGCGGCTGATCAATCATCGTCTCGCTGCCTGTCAGACGTGGGTCCTTGGCCCTGTCTCCAATCAACTTCCAACACATGCAGCTGCAGCCGAGGGTCACACATCCTGTAGCCTTGCTTCAACCCCCACGGCGCTATTGTCAGTTCTTGTGGGCACAATCCTTTCGGGAAGACCATATGAGTTCACAATTCCAGCTAGAAAAGAGCTTCATCCATCTTAAACAGCATTCAATACGACGCTGTTGCACTTTTTGTTTCTCTTCTCTATTCCTTAAGTCGCCAGGAAAATAAATCAAAACGTGTGGCAGGCGTAGTGAGTAATCTGACAACCTTCAGAAAGGCTGAAGTATCCCTGTAACCCTTGCATGGCCCGAGCGCTTCTGGAGATGCCCCACCGCTTTGACTTACTGTATACAGTCTTTTGAGCCGTCTGATATGATGCGGCATTATCCTCGCTTACAGGCTGAACTTCAGCCTCGTCGGCAAGTGACAACATGCTCAACGAGGAACGAAGATATTTCAATAAACGGGGGCGAGCTACCTGTAAAGCTTGCGTGGTGTTCTCTCCTTCCTTAATTTACTTCATCAATCAAGAAGCAACATGGCTACCGACGGGCAATCAAATGATCCGATCGCGCAATTTCTTCACAACTACGGGAAGGACAAGGCTTACTACGAGAGCCTGGCGAATTACGTGAAGAATCTCTGCGAAGGATTCATGAGGAATCAGCAAATTGATGGAACTGTCACCGCCCGTGCCAAAGACAAGACTAGTCTGGATATCAAGGTCAATCGGCGGCACCGGCAGAAGAGCTACGCCACAGTTAATCAGATCAAAGCAGACATCGCAGATCTTTCGGGAGTGCGCATAGCTTTGTTCTATCCATATCATCGGGATCTCGTGGGCAAGTTCATACATGAGGATTTCGACGTTGTTGGGAGGGTGGTGCATCCAAAGAACCCTTCGGACGAAACGGGACAAGACCGCTTCGACGCTGAGTACGAAAATCGGTTCCGTGGCTACAATGCCACTCATTACCGCGTTCGCCTGGGGGAGAAGAATGCCAAGAGAAACTTTCGCCCGGATCTGGTCGAGATTCAAGTCATGACTGTCTTGCAAAGCGCTTGGTCGGAGGTAGAACACAACATCCTCTACAAAAAATTGGAGGGCAACCCATCTTATCCGGAACGGCAGCTTCTCGATGGCCTTAGTGGCCTCGTCTCTGTCAGCGAGCTCTACTTGGAGCAACTGAACACCATGTTCAACACTCGGGTCGAACTCCAGAAGGCGCAGAACGAGCCATTTGCCAACAAGTACGAGCTTGGATCCTTCCTGTTTTCCAGAATGCGAGAAACGAAACAATCCGATCAATTCACCCTGTCCTCTGTGGAGCTGCTTCGAAGGTTCCTGGGGCTCAGCTGTTTCAAGCTGGACACAAAGGAAAAACTCGGCCAAATGCTCAATGAAATCAACATTGGCACCGATCTTACGTCCAACTTCACATACCCTTACAGTGAGAAACCCAATGTGTCTCTTGTCATCATGGAGCGGCTCTACCCAAGGACCAAAGGAACTCTGAAAGACTCCCTCTCCCCACGCGAAGAGCGAGATCTTTGCAGCGTTCTCATCAGCACCATCATCTCATTGGATGAGCTGTTTCCTCCAACGTCATTCTGGGAGAAGGAGCTGACCGACAACGAGAGATCCTCAGCGGGGCCGTCACAGCAACTGGATAATCTCAAGTGGATGATGAACGCTCAGGCCCCAAGAAATGTCTTGCTCGGCCACTTGAATCCTCTCAACAAGGAGGAGCGGGACACGCTCGTGAGTCTTTGGAAGTGGTTTTCCAACCATAAGTCAAAGTATGTCCGTTTCGTCTTCGACATTTCTAAGCTTGGCCATCTTCGAGAATTTCCGCAGGACATAGCAGCTCTCGAGAGAGTTTACCACATGGCAAAAGATCTGCTCGGCGTGGTTTGACTTGAATTGAATTGGCCGATATATTTCTTCAGTCAGTTTCCTACTATTTCTTTTAGTTTCTTTTTTTTTTCTATACCTTAACTTAAACATTTGCTGAATGTATATCATATGCCATTCACGAGTACATAGCTGGTCTCAATTGCTCTTGCCTTTTCGGCCTTTGGGGTATGCAATCAATCAGTTGCCCAATCGGCTTCTTCCCTGCGAAGCCGATCTGCAGCCGGTCGTGCCATGTGGCCGCATCAGCCGCACGGAGTCGGCACCCCAGCGTGTCCAGGGGCTATGTATTAGCGCCACGATAGATTGCCGTAAAGGTTTTGTGCACAGAAAAAATTCGCTGTCGAAAAGCGGCGTCCTTTTGTCTTCGCCGCTTGCTCGCCAGAGCTTGCACACGGGGACATGTGCTAGCCAATCAGGGACTAGCCTGCCATCGATTCCCGTCGTCCGCCTCTTCCCGCACGGCGATACGGCTGCTCTGGGCGTCGAAGCGATTGCGGAGTCATCCCGTGAACACGCCCACTCGACCGTTGAGATCCCTTCATCTATCTTGTCCGTACATGCACCATTGACGCGAAGCCGGCGTAGACAGGGAGAGCAAGAGGCTGGAACGGACGACGTCATCAACCGAGGCTATGGGAGCGCAAGAACAGGACCCGGAGACCGTTTCGCGGACCTCCAGTCGTCGCCGCGTGCCGCAGGTCAACGACTATAAACTCCGTCGACAATCGCAAGAGAAGCAGGACCGGGAGACCCAGCAGGACAGGTTATCTGAAAGGCGTCAGAGAGAACAGCAGTCGCAATATGGGGACAACAATCCAGCATGCGTCCCCCCGGCTTCGATGAGCATACGTCCGCCTGCTAAACCTGTTCGGACCATCTCCGTCTCGACTCCGAGCGGAGAATCGAAGAGGGTCAAGGAAAACGAAGGCGACGAGGACAGGGACGCTCGGCGGAGCAAGAACGATGTCGGGTGGCGAAGAGTTGTGCGCAATTTCAGTCCATCGTAAGTCTGCGTCTTCCACATCGAAACACTACCCCTTACTTTCAACTTTCATCGATACATGTTCAAATGCCGAATCGGACTGTTGACAACTGGCAGCTGGTTCTCCGTAACCATGGGCACGGGAATCGTCGCCAACCTCCTGGAAGGCATGCCCTACAATGCTGCCTGGATCCACTGGCTCTCCATCGTCTTCTTCGCCCTCAACACCGTCCTCTTTTCCCTCGCCTTCCTGACGTCCATCGTACGGTACACGCTCTACCCGGAGATCTGGGGCGTCATGATCCGCGACCCCATCAACTCGCTCTTCCTCGGCACCATCCCCATGGGCTTCGCCACGCTGATCGAGATGTGGGTTCTGGTCTGCGTGCCAGCCTGGGGGCCGTGGGCCGCCACTTTCGCGTGGGTGCTGTGGATGATCGACACGGTTGTCGCGGCGGCCGTGACCCTTTCGCTCTCGGTGCTGGTGTAAGACTTCTCTCCCTCCCCCTTCCCGGTCCGAGTAAATGCTGAGACATCACGGCCAGAATGATGCAGACGCACGAGCTCAAGTCTCTCGAACGCTTCACGGCGGCGCAGCTGCTCCCCATCGCAGCCACCATCGTCGCGGCGGGGACGGGAGCACGCGTGGCGGAGATACTGCCGGACCCGCAGTGGGCGCTCGGAACCGTCATGACGAGCTATGTGCTCTGGGCCATGGGCACGCCCATGGCATTCGTCGTCATTGCCATGTATTTCCAGCGGCTGGCGGTGCACAAGATGCCGCCGCGCGAGGTCATCGTCAGCTGCTTCCTGCCGCTGGGCCCGCTGGGGTTTGGCGGGTTCGGGTGAGTCCACTCCAGCATGCAACATGTCACTGGCTTTAGACTGACACTCAGCTCGCCAGAATCATGTACCTCGGCAAGGTCTCCCGCACCGTCTTTCCGCTCACCGACACGCTCGATCCAACCGCAGGATCTGTCGCGTACGTGCTCGGCTTCTTCGTGGCGCTGATCATGTGGGGGTTCGGGCTGGTGTGGTTCTTCATCGCGCTGGTGTCCATGTGGCAGGCGCGGCCGTTTCCGTTCAACATGGGCTGGTGGGGCTTCACCTTCCCGCTCGGCGTCTTCGCCACGTCGACCATCCAGATCGGCGTCGAGATGCCGTCGGCCTTCTTCAAGGTCCTCGGCCAGGTCTTCAGCGTCGCCGTCATCTTGCTGTGGTGTCTGGTCGCCGCCCGCACCGCCCGCGGCGCATGGTCTGGGAAGCTGTTCTTTGCGCCTTGCTTGGCGAATCTGAAGAAGGATGGGGAGGACGAGGGGATTGGTGGGGGAGGCGAGGCGGAGAGGGTGAGCGCTGCGGCGTGATGGTCTGTATTTTTAGAAGTAGCTGTGGAGAAGAAGATTGCGCAGTGCAGCTACCCGACGCATGACGCCAAGTCTAGAACAAAGACCAGGCCGCGGCCATGGCTGCCTCGGCGAGATTGCTTGCCTGAGAGCCCCAGCCCAGAACCCCAGTCAGTCGTCATCTGGTGCGCCGCGCCAAAACCCAAGCCCCCCGGGGAGAGGGAGCCTTCATCCTCAGCTCAACCTCCAAGCCCGCAACCGTACTCTCCCTCCCTACAACGCCCTCCGACGCAGCCCGCCTCAAAACCGCAACCGCTTCGCCCTCGCCTCGCCGCTCTTACCACTCGCACGAGTACACCACGCCTCCTCCGCCGACCATAGCCCCGATCTATACTCCAACGCGACACCCACCAACACACCTCAGCAACCATGTCGGAAGCCTACGAGCGCGAACGGTACGTCCACTCCCCCCCCTCCTCTCTCGCCGCAAAACACGGGAACTGCGTAGCCACATTGCACAGCTACGCTCTGCCCACGCGCCCCTACGCATCCACCGCAACCCTCTGCCTCACCCGGGGGACCGGGGCAGCGCGGCACGGCGCGGCGCAGCGCGGCTCAGTGCGGCTACCACGATGCGAAGCAATACCTCGCGATGCGCTGCGCCGCGCCGCGCCGCGCTGCCCTCCGAACCCAGGGACGAAGTGAACACGCCAACTCCACAACAGCACACCCACACCCCGCCAGCCGCAGACATCCATAAAACGCATCACGGACCGGGGGCGGGGGACGGGTGGGGGGTGGGAGATGGAACAGCCTCAACAGATGCGGACAGAGAAAAAAGAAAGAAAAAAGGCACACTAACGCGGCCACAGGCAAAACAACTCGCGGCTGGACGAGCTGGCCTCCAAAGTCACGGCCCTGCGCGGCGTGACCATCGACATCTACGACAACGCGCGCGACCAGCGCGTGCTGGACAACACGGTACGCACGCACGCACATCCCTCCTCCCCTCCCAAAAAAAAAAGTACGCGCGCAGCGCAGCGCAGCTGACCGGCTGATGTGTCTGTCCCAGAACGAAACCTTCTCGTCCTTCTCCTCGTCCCTCAAGGGCAGCGCGACGCGCCTCACGCGCATGGCGCAGTCGGGCAACAAGGTCGCCATCCTCAAGCTGGCCGGCATCATCGCGGGCGCCGCCATCGTGCTGTATTGGATCTGGGGGCTGGTTTTCGGGCACGGGAGTTCCAAGTAATAAAGAGGAAGGGGGAGGAGGAAAAAAAAAACACCAGGTCTATGGTTGATCTCTTCGAGGGGATTGTGGTGGCAATCGGGTTCGGGTTTCTGAGAGGAGGCTGCGCGTGGGGATGAGCATTGGCATCTGGGATAGGGCGTCGTCGGGCTGGAGTGTGGAGGGAAAGAGAAAGATGGGAGAGGACTTGGGGGCATGCGTGTGCGTCACGCGGCTGAGAAGGGGTGGCTCGCCCGTGTTGCTACAGCAGGAGTGGAGGAGAAAAGCTGGGGGGCGGTGGCGGCGGCGGTCACGCTCTGGGCTGCTACTACTACCTACACACCTGTTGCTGGGAAGAGACGCGTACTGCACGGACGGACGAGCGGCTGCTGGTCCCTACGACGGCAAATATCCCGACATCCATGCTCAGGATCGCATACCTACACTCCCAACATCCATTGGCGATGATGTCAAACGACCCCAGGAACGGCATGCACAGCTCTCAGGATCTCGTCTCTGTAACGTTCACTCCTCCATCTAGTCCAGCCAATTCGATTGAGCGTAAGCGACTGCTGGGTTTTGCGTTTTCATTCGTTCGTAGTCAATTGCTGGGCAAAAAGGACTGCGAGTGGGGCGTCTATTTTTTTTTACCAATTGTTTGGGTGTTTTTCAGCCTTTCCTCCTTTCCTCTGGGATTCTTTGGCATCTCGCGTCCCGTCGTTTATCATCATATCAGCATTAAGAATGTCCCACCCCCAAGATGGTTGCGGAAAAGAGAAGAAGAAAAGGAACAAGAGAGAGAGAGAGAGAGAGAGAGAGAGAGAGCGTGTGTGAGAGAGAGACGAAGAAGGAGCGGGGGAGAGAAATCATAGCCGACTCCCTCTTTCTCTCTCTCCCCGCAGGGTTCAAGAGCAAGTTCAAGCATACGGCATTTTCGGTCCCTTGTATTATCCAGGGCTTAGTTTGCGTGTAGTAAAAAAAAAGGATGGTTACTTCTCCTTGTTATAACCTCTCATCATTACAATTCCACACCATGCCATCAAACTTTTCTAACTTTTCCATGATATTATGTCGTTCGTATCTCCCTCGAGTCTACATCATACATACACGGACGTCATCAAGCTTGTAATGAGAGGGATAGAGAGAAGAAAAAGAGGAACGAAGCAAAAAAAAAAAAACAGAAATATTTCTTCTCATTACCACCATCGTCATTCTCGTCTTTTAACTCCGTTAAACTCCGACCTATGCTCCAACCATCCATCGACCCCGCGTTAAATGCTGTCCCCCCGCCGCAATAGAACAAAAACAATGTTTTCAATCCCACCCCCCCAGAAAATCTACCACGGATTGTCGAATAGATCACCACCCATGCCAGAGACCGGCTTGGAGGCAGACTGGTTGGACGCGGCCGGCGCGGGCGCAGGAGCGCTGCTCCACCCGCCAAAATCGTCGTCCTGCGCCACCGCGGGCGTGGAAGCGCTACCCCAGCCGGACGAAGCAGAAGCAGCAGGGGCCGCGCTGGCCGTGGTGGCGGTCATTGCAGGAGGAGCGGGGGCGGCGGCGGCGGGAGCAGCGGCGGCGGGGGCGGCGTTGGAAGAGCCCCAGACGTCGTTGGATCCCCAGGGATCGCCCATGCCGCCGAGCCCGGAGGCGTAGTTGACGGACTGCCCGGGCTGCTGCTGGGCGGGCTGGCTGGGCGCCATGGGGGAAGAGAGGTTGAAGGCCGAGCTGGTGGCGGGAGAGGCCATGGCCGCCGGCTTGGAGGGAGCGGCGGCCGGAGCGCCGAAGTCCAGGCTGAATAGATCGCCCGAGTTGTTGGCGGCGGGCTTGGGGGGAGCGGCAGCGGCAGGGGAAGTGGCGGAGGCAAAGCCGCCAAAGTTGCTGCCAAAGCTTCCGGTGCGCTGGGCTTGGGGAGCTGCTGGCTTGGGCGCATCGAAGAAGCTGCCGCCGTTGCCGAAAGAGCCAAGGCCAGACCTGGACCCAGACGGAGTGTGGTTCGATGAAGCAGATTTGGGCGTGGCGCTCATCAGATCGGCGAAAGGAGAAGGCTTAGGGGCCTGAGGAGTGGTGTTGGAGAAGCTCAGGCTGCTGAAAGCGTCATTCATGCCGCCAAAGCCACCACCAAACCCGCCACCCGCAGGCTGAGCCGCAGTGGGCGACTGTTGAATCCCGGGGGATCCAAGACCAGGGGAACCGAGTCCACCAAAAGACCCAGAGCCCGTGTGGTGGTGCCTGACAGCAGGCGTAGCAGCCGGCTTTGCGGCGTAAAGTGAAAGAATGGACTGCTTCAGGTCGGGACGAGACTGGGCAGCTGGAGCTGAACCAGTGGTGCTCGCAGGACGGGCAGGTGTGCTTGAAGGCGAAGAGCCAAAGAAGTCCAATCCCAAAAGCGAATCTCCAGGCTTAGTCTGTTTGGGCGGAGCGGGTTCTGTCTTCTGCGGAGGTGGTGCCCTTGCGGAGGGTGGGCCAGTGCTCGGGCGCGAGGGCGGCGGGTCGTCGCCGAAGATGTCCATGGTAGGCTGCTTCCTTGCGGGAGGAGGAGCAGCGTGGCTGGCCGACGCAGCAGCACGCTGGGAAGTAGAACGCTCCAGCTTGGCCTTCTCCTGCACGACGTTCAACGGCTTGGCACTACATTAGCGCTGTGTCCAAGGTTGGCTTTCGTCGTGGTTGAGACTTACCACATCATCGTCGCCTTCGGTATCCAGGGTCGCAGGATCAGGCATCGGCCCGTCCATGACCCAGCGCTTGGAATCGTACTTGGTGCGGATAAAGTTCTCGATCTTGCTGTCGCAGGGTCAATGGTGGTGTTTCAGGATATGTGGCGCCGTGTGCTTACGACTCGGAGGGGATGTGGCCAGGTGCCAGCTTTGCCTCCCAGTACCTGCTACGATCAGTCACTGCTTCTGGCATCTGTGGTATACCGCCACTCACTTGTTCGCCCTGGCATTGCCCCACCGCAGCATGCTCTGCAGCTGCTCGTCGGTCCACGAGTCCAAGTCGACCGACTTGACCCTGCTGATATGGGTGCCCATGCCTCTGTGAATTCCGGAGCATCTACCGCCACCGTCAGCCGCAGTCCGGCAGAGGCGCGGGTTCATTGTCAGGGGTTGGTATACCGGATGCAGACGAATACTCCCAGGTTCCAGCTGGCCCATCGCGGGTCTGCAGAGCACGTCCGTCAGTTTCTACGCTCGTCCGCATGGCTGCCATTGAAGAGAGGGCGTACGCTTGTTCCTTTTGCAGTCGGCGCAGCTCTTGTTGGCCTCGAGCTTGACCAGACTCTTGAGCGTCTGGGTGTTTTGGGCCGCACGCTCGGCGGCGGGGTTGGGGGCGCGCCGCGACATTGCTGGGTGTTGTGGACTTGCGCAGGCGGATGGAGTGCAGGGAGAAAGGGCCAGGGCACGAGGAATCAGCGGGATCTGGTTTGGGCGGGCGCAGGCAGATGTCCGAAGTTTGGGTTCCAGCTGGCGCCGCGCCCGGCGGGACGGTGTAATGCACAAGTCTTGGCGCGGGCCCAGTCCGTCACCGCCTTACTCGGCCCGGCCGCCCGGCACATGGAGTACCTAGTAGGTACCAGGGTCTACCAGGGAGCATCACAACGTCAACAAAGCGGATGGATTGTAAAGAATGGCTTCTCATTCACGTCTAACACAGTCCGTGTCACTTTGCGATTGAATGCACGAAAAGAAAAGGGAATGCTGCGGTTAGAAAGACCAAGCAACAGGAAGGAAAGCTTGACCCACCGTGCTGCGCGTGTCTTGTCACGGGAACTTTACCACAGTGCTCATTAGACGTCACAATTGGTCCGGACAGGCGCGAGAGGCCAGGCTGCTTGCAATTGGTTAACCACAATCACCAGAGGCGGCGGGAGATGCGTACTCGGTGCAGTTGTTGGATATTGGACCAAATCTCCGTGCGGATAGCATCTACTTTTCCCATACCGTCCAGAACGCCTTGACCTGTCAGTTGAAAATGCAACAAGGTTCCATACCTCACCACCGCCCTCCATAGCCGCGGCCGCCCCGGTAACCGCCACCTCCGCCGCGGCCGTATCCGCCGCCGCCTCTGTATCCTCCTCTTCCGCCATAGCCTCGGTCTCCGAACCCGCCATCGGGATCGCCTCTTCCGCCGCGAGACCCATCGTCGGGATCGTGGCGCTGCGGCGGCGGCTTCCCCTTGAGCTCCTTTTGGAGCGTCTCGTATGTTTTCCGCATCTGGGCATATCCGAGATGCATCTTTCCGTAGAAGTGGTCGGCCAGACGGCGATCGTTGTCGAGACGACTGAGGTAGGCGCCGCAGACGTCGCAGACCTGCAGCTTCTGGTGGCCTGACGGGCCCGAAGTGTCGGACAGCGCCTTGAGCTCGCGCTCGCGGTCCTCCTTGGTCTGCTTGGCCTGCTTGACCTTGAAGAACTCGGTGACGGCCTGGTTGACGGCGCCCTCCTCGCCCAGTATCTGAATCTCCAGCAGGCCGTTCTCGATGGTCTTGGACAGATCGCGGATCTGGGTGAGCAGCAGGTTGGTCTGTCTGATCTCGTCGGGCGTCTTTTCCAGGCGGCGCTGGGCGCTGTCGATGCGGCGGTTGCACTCGTCGACGTACTTTTGCATGTCGCGCAGGTAGTCGTATTCGAAGCCCCAACGGCGCTTCTGCTCAGCGTCGGCGGCCTCATATTCGTTCTTCAGCGCCTCGCTGTGGTTCTTGGTGCAGGGCCCGAAATCTTGCTTGGTGTTGGTGAAGAGGTCGTGCGGACAGGTGCCGACCAGGTACGAGCGGCAGACCTTGGGGTCGGTCATGGACAGTTGCGGGGCGCGCGTGCCGGGGCCCGACATGAGCTGCTCGCCCATGAGCTGCTCTGCGCTCGTCAGTACACGGGCATGGATGCGGGGGCCGCATGCGGCGACTTACCGAGCAGCTTCCTCTGTTCGGCGGCCATGGCGACGGCAAAGCAGTCGGTGGCGCAGGAGTGGATGCAGCAATGGGGATTGGGGCTGAGAGGTGGTGTTGATCGAGTGATAGGTGATAAAGCTGGAACGCGCGCGCGACGGATTTCTCGTTTCCCGACCGCGGCCCCGTTGCGTCGATCGACCGGGGTGGGTGCGCTGCAGCGCGTCACACCCGCCAGACAGCTGCTTCCGCTCTCACCTCCACGCAGCTGTCCACGGCTGGAGAGCCGCAATGTCCCTCGCACGCGCCCTCTTCGGCCTCTTGTCGCTCTTTTTGCTGTTGTCAAATGCCAATGCCGACGGGGCCGACTACCACGAGCGCCTTCTGCTGCGCCCTCTTCCGCAGAACCAGCTTCTGGCCTCCTTCAACTTCCGCAGCAACGCCTCTGCTTCGTCTTTCGAGCACCAGAACTTCCGCTTCTTCCCTCGCTCGCTGGGCCAGATCCTGCAGCATGCTCATACCAAAGAGCTGCACCTCCGCTTCAGCCTAGGCCGCTGGGATGCCGAGCAATGGGGAGCCCGACCACAGAACGGAGCGCGTGAGGGCGGAACCGGTGTCGAGCTGTGGGCCTGGGTAGATGCAGAGACGGAGGAGCAGTGAGTGCTGTGTTGGTCCCGATAGTGCGCGCCGATTGCTCACTCATTACAAGGGCGAATGCACGCTGGCTGACGCTGGCAAACGCTCTCTCCGGCCTCTTCTGCGCCTCCCTCAACTTCATTGATGCCACCAAGACCATCCGTCCTGTCCAGTCTTTCCCTCCGGAGCGCTATCCGCCAGTCGAGTCTCTCGAGAACCTTCACCTACTCCACGGAACCCTCCCGCACGAGGTAGTCTGCACCGAGAACTTGACACCTTTCCTGAAAATGCTGCCGTGCAAGGGGAAATCCGGCATCTCGAGCCTTCTGGACGGCCACAAGCTCTTTGATGCGTCGTGGCAGACCATGTCTATCGACGTGCGTCCTGTCTGTCCCGACGACGGCAGTGAGTGCGTCTTGGAAATGGAGCAGGTTGTGGACATGGTCTTGGATATCGACCGGTCGAAACGTCCGAAGAGTGCGTATTGAAACGTCTGCTTCAATGCCTCACTTATTTACCTTTTGCAGATTTACCCATTCCCAAGCCCAAGCCCATCGAGGAGATCCCGTGTGACGAAGATAAGCCCTATCCCCGGCATGACTCCTGCTTTCCTCTCGCATCTACCTCGGAGCGGGCATGGAGCTTCAACGAGGTCTTCGGACGGCCAATTAAAGGCGCATGTCCTTTGACGGCTGACGGGCCAGCTTCCGAGACTGTGTGTATCAACGTGCAGCCGGAGCGTGAGATCAAAGTGGAAACCTCTGCAAAGTACAAAGAATCCAAGTACGAGGATGGCTTATTAAGGTGCTACGAACTGCCTAGTATGTTTCCATGCAATGATTCCTGCTTTTCGGGTGGCTGACGGAAAATCAGCGGGTGCGGATTTCGATCTGGTGCTTCCCGAACAGACGGTGGAATCCAGCATTCCTCTGGCTCAGCCGCCCTTGTATGCGGCTCGCTCAATCACCGGCTATGGCCAAGAGCGTGGCGGTCTGCAGACTGTCTTGACAAACCCATCGAAGACTTCCTCGGTCGACCTGATCTACCTCGAATCTCTTCCGTGGTTTATGAGAACTTACGTGCACACTCTTCGCGCATTTGTCACTTCCGGAAACTCGAAAGTGGAATGCCCGGAGTGCATCAAGGAGATCTTCTACAGGCCAGGAGTTGACCGAGGCCGAGGCACTCACCTTGAGCTGATACTCACAGTCCCAGCCAACTCAACATTGACCTTGACGTATGATTTTGAGAAGGCAATCCTGCGCTACACGGAATACCCACCAGATGCGAATCGCGGCTTCGATGTGGCGCCAGCCGTCATCCGCCTCCTCGATCACGCAGCAGACTCGGACTCGAAGGGTGTTTACCTGCGCACGACAAGCCTGCTCCTTCCTCTACCGACGCCGGACTTCAGCATGCCATACAATGTCATCATTCTCACCAGTACAGTCATCGCTTTAGGATTTGGCAGTGTTTTCAACATCCTGGTCAGGAGGTTCGTCGGAGCGAATGAGGTGGCCGCGTGGCAAGGAGGCGGCTTGAAGGGTGCCATTGCTGGCAAGATCCAGCGTTTGAAGGCCAAGTTCCAAGCAAAAGGATCCAAGGCAGAGTAAATCGTATCCGTCCTTGTATTTCTTAGCCATCGGTCTCCTTCCTGGTCACTCTTCAAGCGTGTATGATAAGCCCCCGCATCCTTGCTTCAAGTTTGTTCTGTAGCGTCACTCGAATGTCTCTTTAGCCTGCGCACTTGAGAAGGGCTGAACTGCTTCACTCTCCGCCCTGCAGATACATGCTGCCAACTGCCCGCAATGAGCTGCTGCAGTCGTTTGCCTTGGAGGTCCTAGGTTGGACAAACACTGGAGCTTCCTTGTATGAAAGTAAGTGAGTGAATAAAGCCTAACTGCTCAAACACATAGTTCAATTTGGATGTGAGATTTGACGTAGAACTGGCAGACCGGTATGATTCACTGGACGCTCTTCTAACCTTTACCAGGAACTCAGCCACCTCCGCACAACTCTCTCTAGCCACCGGTCCTCCCTCAGGATATCCGCCATACACACTTCTCCGAGTCTTGGCGCTTTTTCAAGCGTCCTCTCAACTTGATACTTCAACTTCTTCTTGCCCGCCGCCTGTTGCCCATACTTGGCCTCCCAGAAGCCCAACAATTTCCGACTCGGATTCTCGCTCACGTCCGGATCGCTGTCGCGCAGTTTCGCGAGCCACGCCTCAGGCGACACGACATCGAACGGCGGAAGCAACCCCGTGCGTTGCAAAGCAGGAATGAAGTCCCTCGTCCAGTGGAACGTCTGCGGGTTGAGGATGTGGTACACCATCGCCGTATCGTCATCGACGACGTCTTGCACACCGCTCCTCTTCTGCCGACATTCCGGCAGCGCAATATCCAAGATCGAAGCCGCCGCAACATCAATCGGGAGCCAAGATGCGTTCTACAAGCCCCAGTCAGCATGCATGCATCCAAAGTCGTACAACGTTACGTCCCCAGGGCAAAAAAAAAAAAAAGAGAGCAAGACAAAAGAGCAAAACCCACCTCATCAAGCCCCGGCAACACCCCCGTCCTCGACGCCCCCCGCACCAGCAGCGGAATCGCCTCCGTCCCATTCCACTCCCCCACCCCGTGCAGGTCCCCCACCAGCTGCCCTATCCGCAACACGCCCGCCCTCATCCCCGTCTGCGCCGCCGCCGCCGCCTCGACAATCTTCTCGCCCACCAGCTTGCTCCGGCCGTATCCCATCTTCTGCGCCGCGGTGAGGGGGCGCGGCACCGCTTCGGGGACGAGCACGACGTCGGCCTCGTCGTCGTCGTCGTTGATGGCGTCGGCGGTGGTAGCGGTGGTGCTACCGGCTGCTGCTGCTGCTGCTGCTTCTGCCAGACCCCCCGTCGACGCCACGCTGCTCGCGAAGAAAAAGGCGGCCGGGCGCGGCGTGCGCACGCGCAGGCACAGCCCGTCGATCAGGCCGTGCAGGGCCTGCAGGTGCGGCCGGAAGGCGCGGACGGGCAGCGTGAAGTTGACGGGCCACGCGGCGTGGATGACGCAGGTGAGGCGCGCGTGGAGGGCGGGGAGGAGCTCTGTGGGGAGGTTGAGGTCGGTGGTGGGGACGGCGGTGAGCTTGGAGGAGAGGAGGGGGGAAGGGGTTGGGAGGCCGCGGGATGAGAGGGAGGCGAGGATGCGGGAGTGGGCGGTGGAGGCGGAGGGCGCGCGGGCGAGGGCGTAGACGTGCGTGGTCGAGGGTCGGGAGAGGAGGAGGGAGAGGATGTGCGCGCCTAGGCCGCCGGTGGCGCCGGTGAGGAGCTGGGCGGCGTTGGGGTGTCAGTCAGCGGGATGGGTTTTTGGTGCTGGGCAGAGGGGACGGGAGGTGTGGGTTTCTACTTACCACGACGTCGCCGTCGGGTGTGGGGGCGTCGCCGGGGACGTGTGGGGTGAATGCTGAGAACTCTTGCACGAGCTGTTGCATGGCCAGGAGCTCGTCCTCGTCGCTCTGCTCCAGGAGTTCTCCCGTTCGGAGACCGTAAAGGTGTCTCGCCAACGTCTTTACGTTGCCTTTCTCGTACACGACGTTCTGGCTCAACTCGTCGCGTCTCGCGCCCAGATCGATAGTCTTCCTGATCAAACTCCACATGCGCATCGTCTGCAGGCTGTCCACACCAGCAGCAAAGATGTCCGCCTCAGCACTCTGCAACCGCGCCCCAAGCTCAACATCGAACTTCTCCATCAACCACTCCTCCAACTCATCCACCCCCAAACCGAGCCGCGGCCCAGCGTCCTCCTCCCCCTCTCTCCCACTCTGCTCAAACCTCGCATACGCCGCGTCAATAACATCCGCAAACTCATCATACACCCTCTGCCTCACCGCCGTCCCCTTATCCGTCCTCGGCCACTCCGTCCCCCTCTCCATCACCACCACCAGCTCCCTCGGCACCCTAGCAAACGACTCGGCCCCCTCATTCGCCTCGCACACATCCCCCCAAACCGCCTCCACAAACTCCTCCGCCCCCATCGCCCCCGCCTCCCCCTCCTCCGCCCCCCTAAACACCAACAACCCCGGCACCGCCCTCCCCGCCCCAAACACGACGCACTCCCCCACCAGCTTATTCCGCCGCACGCGCCCCTCCATCGGCAGCGGCAGCACCTTCTCGCCGTTCGTCAGCGCCAGCCGGTCGTCGAGCCGCGTGAGGTAGCGCCACCACGCGGGCTCGGTCGGGTGCCGCGTGAAGAGGTCGCGCGTGCGGTACGAGCCCGGCGCCGGGTCGTCGCTGTTGGTCGGCCCGCGCGAGGGCAGCGATGCGAGCGCTACGCATTCGTAGACGCCGGGCGAGATTTCGTCCATGTGGACGTGTGGAGAGATGTGGGGTGGCAGGCGGAGGTAGGACCATGCCTTGTCGGTGGCGAAGGGGCGGAGGGACGACATTATGGCGCCGGTTTCGGAGCTGTGTGTGTTGGTGTGACGGACATGGTGGAGGGAGGGAGGGAGTGGTGCGAGGTATTGGGAAGGGAGGGGGGGATAGACAAGTAGAGAGCACTCACGACCCATAATTCGCGACCAGCCGCACCCCCCTCGCGACCAACGCGTCGCCCACCTCCCGCGGACACGCGCTCCCCGCAAACATGACCACCTCCGCGAGCATCAGCGCCTCGACGCCCTCCTCCCGCTCCGCCAGCAGTCCCAGCACGTACGGCACCGCCGTCACCAGCGCCGGCTCCGCGGCGCGCATCGCCCGCACCAGGTTCGCGCACGTCGCCGCCCGCGCGTGGTTCGCGAAGTACATGGCCGCGCCCCGGTGCACGCACCGGAACAGCTCCATCAGCCCGTGCGAGTGGAACAGCGGCGACGCGCAAAAGGCGCGCAGGCCGAGCCCTTTGCTGAAGTTGGCGAGCAGCGCTCGGTGCGTGAGCGCGATCGGCTTCGGGAAGCCGGTGCTGCCGCTGGAGTGGATTATCCACCCGGTTTTGAGCGCGGGGTCGTGGGTGCCGCCGCCGGCGCCGGCGGCGGTTGAGGAGGGGGTGGGGGCGGCGGGGTGGATGGTGGTGGTGGCAGGAGAAGATGGTGGAGTGCGGTAGTCGCCGCCGGTGATGGGGCGGATGGACGTGAAGGGCTGCTGCTGTTGCTGCTGCTGCGTAGATGTTGGGGTGGCCGAGGCGATGGCGGCCGGGAGCTCGGCGCGGATCTCGGGCACAGTGTGCTGGTATTCCGGGGCTGTGATCATGGTGCTGCAGTTTGACATGGCGAGGAGGCGCGCGTGGGCGGCTGGGGTCAGACGCGGAGAGAGGAATAGGAGGGCCCAGCCGAGACGACTGACGGCGAGGATGGTGATGATGACGTCGAAGCTTGATGGCGCCAGGAGTGCGACCACTGGGGCATCACTGGCGGATTTCGGGTCCTACGTGTGGTGTCAGTGTATGCACTTATTTGTCACTTGACCTTGACGGTGGGGGCAATGCAAAGTTACCGCTGGTTCCAGGCCCAGGCTCCTGTATTTCGCAGCTGCCGCATCTGCATACCTGTCGAGACGTTTGGCTGTATACTCCTCAAAGTCATCAACGTCCGTATTGGGGTATGCCACGAGCACTGGATCATCGGGGCGAGAGGCCTGCGCTCGGATGAGCTCGTCGATGGTGGATGGAGCAGGCACGGCGGTAGCCGTGGGTGGAGTAACTGTGGCTGTGACCGTCGCAGACATGGTGAGCAGATTGATGAGAGCAGCAATACTTTAGAATTTAGATCTCCGGTTTGTTCAGGCGGGAACGCGGTTTTGAAGAGTCCAGACAAGCTTTGCGGGTTCTTTTCCGGTGCCGCGTGGGGGTCGGAACGGATCAAGACTTTCTCACACCCATTGGCTCGGCAATGACGATAACGCGTGGGGGAGGCGTCGAGGATCCGACGCTCTCCGCTCAAAAGCTTGACATGAACGCGGGGAACCTGGGGTTTGTGGAACGGAGTGCGGCATCTTTGCCCTTTGGATAATAGTGAAGTGGGGACTGCATGGGGACTACACCAGTCGGCATCACTTGTGATGCTGACAGAAGGCAGGACAATAAGGGTGTCCCCAGGACATGCATGCTATTTATCCTCCAGTCTTGTATGAGTGGGTACTTGAGGCGGCCCGCATGACAAGCTTCCGCAAGAGATGGATTCTCTTCGTCCTGCTTTTGTTGTCCCTCCATACAGCCAAATCTTCGTCGAAAATGTCACCTACCGCAGTCACGGGCCGCCGCAGCACAACCAGAGGCCACCATGGCAACTCTTTCCGTTCCGTCATGATCGCGCTGGCTATCAGTCTCGCAGGGTAAGACAAACGAATGACAACACTTGATAGGCTGTTGACAGTGTTCAGTCTACTGTACGGTCTTGACACGGGCATCATCGCGACGACTATTGCGCAGTCTACATTCAAGAGATACATGTACGGTCCTTCCCTGGAAAACGCCTCTGTCAATGGCGGGATTGTTTCAGGGTACTATGCCGGCAGCGCGCTCGGTAGTGCAGTCGCTTCATGGAGCATGGACGCCATCAGTCGACGTTGGAGTCTGCTGCTTGGCTCCACGGTCAGTGTTATTGGAGCTGCCGTCCAGGCCGGGGCCGTGGATCCTGCCATGATGATCGTGGGTCGCGCACTCTCTGGTTTCTCAACAGGCATGGTGTACTCGGTTGCACCAGTATACCTTTCCGAGATGTCACCACCAGAGAACCGAGCATTCTTGGTTGGAATGAAAGGTCTGATGAACACCTTGGGCGCCTTCGTGGCCAACTGGATTGGATATGCCGGCAGCTTTGGGCATGGGTCTGTACAGTGGCGAGTTCCACTGGCTATGCAGGCTCCACCAGCCATGTTGCTCATGGCCTTGACATTCATGTTGCCATACTCACCGCGTTGGCGTAAGTGCCTTTTTCTTCATCATGGTCTCGTGCCATCACTAACGCGGTTCGATTCGGCAGTTATTCAGCACGAGCGTCATGAAGACGCCATCAAGATCCTCCGATATCTCCATATCCATCGCGGCGAAGATTGGATTGCAACAGAATACACGACCATGCAGAGCCAGATTGCATTCGAGTCGGAAACTCGCCGCAGAAGCAGCTACCGGGAGCTCTTCACGAGACGATACATCCGTAGAACACTGCTTGGCTGTCTTATCGTCAACATGACAAAGCTGTCGGGCTCGAACATCATTCAGAGCTACCAAAGCGTCATGTACAATGCGCTTGGGTTCGAGGGTCAGACGGTCTTACTCATTACCGGCCTGTATGGGTTCATGGCAGTGATTGGCCAGATTCTGAGCCTCTTCACCCTCTCCGACTTTTGGCCCAGGAAACGGACAGTCAGTAAGTGACGCACCTCCTCGTCCTCCTTTTTCCAAGTGAAACTGAGCCCGCCGCAGTCACTGGCCATTTCGTGCTCGCTGCATGCCTGGCTATCTTGACGGCCCTGAGCAAGTTCTACCCAGACTCGCATAACCCGGACGGGTCGCGTGCCGGAGTCGCTCTCATCTTTCTCTACGCCTTCTTCTACTCGTACTTCTTCAACACCGTCAACTGGGTGCTGGTTGCGGAGATCTTCCCCTTGCATCTGCGCGCCCGCGGCAACGGTTTCGCCGTCTTTACGCAGGCCGTTACTGCCATTTGGCTCACGTACTCGGCCAGCATCGCCTTCGACAAGATTTCGTGGAAGTTTTATTTCGTCTTCATTGGTTGCAATATCTTCGCCTTGACTGCGTACTGGCTTTTCCTTCCCGAGACGAACCAGATGACCCTGGAACAGGTGGCTGCTGCGTTTGGAGACGAGGTTGCGGTGGATAGGAAGGAGGTGTCGAAGAGTAGTGACGCCGCTGTTGCTCATGTGGAGCATGTGGAAGAGGAGAGGGAGGGGGAGGGGAACACCAAGGTTTAACGAATCACCATGTATTTGCTTGTCCTTCCGCTGCCCTTGTTCGTGTACGACTAGCTGGAATGTCATGCACCACAAGTTTACTGTCAAGGCGCAGCACGGATCGAGTCTTTTTCAGCGGTGAATATGTCCACCCCACGTAATCTGTATTGACTCTTGTGGCGAGGAATCCTCATTGCCAGGTGTGATGATCGCTATCGTGTCAGCTATCGTTACTTGAGCGACGAAAGTCTTTTGGTAGCCAAGCAAAAGCTGTCGTGGCTCTGACTGTACGCGTATCTGCTTGCAATCCACAATAACCGCTGGTGGCTTGCATAAGTTGCGAATAGCAGGACTTCTCAGGGGGCTCACCTTTCTGCATGTGGATGATTGAGGAAAATGGTTAGCATAGGGGCCGAAAAGTGCTATCTCAAGTGTTTTATTGGTCAGCCTTGTAGACACCCGCAGGATTTCGGCCCCAGCCAAGGAGAATCACGGGGGCCTTATAATGCGCTACATGTGTTAGTGCGGCGGCTATCCCGCTCCGAGCGAACCTTTCAGCTGTCGGAGAGGAATGTCTCGGACCATGTTTGCCGGCAGAGAAGGCAACTGTAAGACTGATTTAACTTTAATCCCAACGAGGTCTTCCTCACGCTTTTACCTGCTTCCGCTCTCATCCCCGACCTGTCCTTTACTTGAACTTGTTTGTGTATTCGCTCGTTTCACAGCATACAACATGTCGCGCATTCTTTTTTGCTTGTGTCTGCTTGTCGCGTATGCGTTGGCTGTGACAATGGAACCCATCCAGACGGATATCATCGACATGGCGTTCCTGAAAAACCGACGATTCGGTGGATTCGTGCCTTCTAACGGTGGGTGGTCTTTGAGTAGCCTTTGCTCGGGTTTCTGACCTGTGATCAGCGTATTATTTCATGAATACGACCACTGCAAGCCCCGCAACTGCAACGGTCGTTCCGGATCCAACCTGCCTATCGAATTGTTCCTTCGCTGCGAGGAAAGCAGTCCCTTGGGTATGGAAGAAGATAAAACCAACCGCTACAATCACCCATGCCGTCGTATACCACATCGTCAACAATCGCACCAATACCACCTCGTTATCGACTTCGTACCTTGCACAGAACGGAACGGACACGTATAGCCCACCCATGACGAACTCTGCCGGAACAAAGGTCGTGGAGATTACCTTGGTTGCACCAAGTGAAACCGGTGTCACTTCTGTAGCCACCGTCACCTATCCTAGTATCTTCACATCCTACAACTCTGGCTACAGATGGTGGGGCGTCCTGCCGACTACCACTGCTGGCGGCCAATCGGTTTGTTCCTGGGTGCCTTGGTGGGTATCCAGCACCGCTCTCAACACTACTACAACTGTACCGATTTATACCACGATGCCGAATGGCGCAGTTACAAGGTCCTCGATCGCATCGCTTGCCCCAGTATCTTTCGCAACTATGGCCGTGGGCGACTTTGTCACCTACACGTCTATCAACCACTTTGGTGAGCAACCAGAGCCTGATCCTGAGGACCCTGAGGGACTGTGGTATGTGCCTGTTCGAGATGTAGAGAAACAAGAGTTAGGCGTACCTTCAAACATCGAGGATGCTGCGGTACAGCAATGCTTCCACGATGAATACTACGATGCCGCTCTTGTTGGAGAACTGGGGCCTAAGGAGTTGAGCACGGCGCTATTCCTGACACTCACGGAGACCATACACGAGGGCGTCTCAGATCCTCCCGAGGCTTCCATACCCTCCATGGTAGAAGTTACAATGGAACCTCCCGTGCCCGACATCATCACTTCAGAAGTCAAAACCACGGCGGTCGGGACAGTTCTCCCGGGAAGCACTACGAAACCTGCACCATCTCCAACCCAGTCAAATCCGGCCGCTACCGAGACCATTCCGGTCGCATCAGAGGGAGGGGAAGTTGCAGACAATACTGCACTTCCTGTAGAAGACGGCCAAACTCCTTCCACGACGCCTGCAAAAGCTTCTCCAACCGCCATCATCATCGGCGATGCAACCGTCTCGCGCAACTCCAACTCGGAGCTTCTCATCGGCACCCAAATTCTGCAACCTGGCATACCAGTCACGCTCGATTCGGCCAAAGACTCCGATGGCAATCTCTCCCCAGTAACCGTAATCCTCGAAACCAGCGGAGGAGAAACTCTCCTCGCCGTTGGAGACACCATCACCACCATCCCCCCTGCAGCCCCTCCACAACCCTCAGACGCCAACACTGTCATCACAGCCGGCGACCAAACCCTGTCTTTCAACCCCTCCGCCAACAACATTGTCCTCCCCGACGGCCGCACACTCTCCCCCGGCTCCACCATCACCCTCCCTGGTTCCAACCCGAGCAGCGTCAACAAAGGCGACGACGACCAGCCCCTAACCATCGCCCTCCTCCCACCCGCCACCACCACCAACAACGACAACGACGACACCACACCCAGCGACCCCCGCCGGCTAGTCATCAACGGCATCACAACCACCCTTCCCGTTCCCTTTCCCGCCGCCTCCATTTCCAATCCAACCCCCTCAACAGTCATCGCAGTCGCAGCAGGCGCGACCTACTCCCTCACCCTCCTCCTCCTCGGCCCCGACCCATCCGCCCGCCCCACCGTCGCCGCCATCCTCTCCGACGGCCGCACCCTGTCTCCCGGCGCCGACGCAACTTCGCCCGTGGCGCTCCTCGTCGACACGGACGCTCGCGGCTCCCCGACGGCGACGCGCTTGGTCGTCGGGACTGCGGTTGCGGTGCTTGGTCCGGCTGTCACCGTTGCTGCTGCTTCTGCTGCTGCAGAGGGGGGCGCTGGGAGGACGGGCGTGGGTGGGGGTTGGGAGAGCGATGTTGTTTCTGTTGAGGGGAGTGGGACTGGGACTGGGATGGCTACGGCGAGGGAAGTGACGACGACGACGATGGCGATGACGACGTCGGGTGGTGGTGGTGGGCTTGGAGATGCGGTGTGGGAGGGATTGGGAGGGACGAGGAGTGGCGCGGCGGATGCGGCGGCGACTGCATCGGGGGATGGGGAGCGAAAGGGTGGTGCGGAGAGGGTGAGGGGAGGAGGGGGCGATGGTGTGCAGGTGTTTGGTCTTGTGGCGGCTTTGGGTGTGGCGGTGCGGATGTGGCTTTAGTTTCGGAGGGTGTGGTGGCTTCTTGCGTTTCATTCAGGGCGTTATCACTTTATTTCTGCTTCATGTATAGACAAGGTGGCTGCATTTCCCTGGGGGATAATATGCGGAAAGAGGAGTGGTGAAGTCCTTTTTGGCGCTTTGGACTTTCCTTGGTTCCGAATTCATGTCATTTCCTAGTTCTAGCGTCAGGAAAGTGATTTGGTTTGAGCTTGGAAACACCAAACACGAGCCTAAAATAGATGTTGCGGGTTTGGAAAAGATCAGAGTGGGGGCGGAAGCGTGCATTGGCTGACATGCAGTTACACATGGCTCAGCTGTACACAAGCTGAGAGTCAATTCTCGCGAGACACAGCGTCACACAATCGAGAGCCATGGATGCGATAGGCAGCTCTGATCATAATGCCGCCCCAAATAGAATTTACAGAAAATTTGGTGTTATACACCCTTATCACTTGGGGGCCGTTTATCCTGGAGGTGCCACCGATCGGGAAAAACACCCCCGCATGTTGAGCTTATTCGTCATTCATAATTCTCCTTGCAGGTCTCACTGCATATGGTCGCGTTTTTGACCCACAATCGCCTTCAGCCTGAGCCCAAAGGCACCAGACGGTTTCGCAACAGTTCAGTGCAGCCAAGGGGTATCTGCCTCGTGTGCTGTTACTAAAAATGGGCCAAATTTGTGTGGATAAGAGGAAGCCTCTGCTCGAGCGGCAAGCTTTCAGTGTGGTCAGCAAGGCGTATACTCTCAACTATCACATAGCGAAATGAGTACGGCTACAGACTCTGCATCGACCTTGTTCGATGTCTACTGCGGTGTCTGGACCAACTGGTCCAGAGGGCGTGTCCTCGGCGCCACCCTCACACTCAGCCGCGACGACGGCAACCTGCTCATCGCCTTCATCGCATTCTTCATTACCATTGTGGGCACCCGGTTATGGAGGATTCTCTGCTTTGCATTTCACTCGGCCTTTTCATCGGACACGCCGAGAGACGCACTTCACCACCAGCGACAAGCGCTCCTCCGAAACTCGGGGACAGCGCTATCAGGACTCATCACTCTGACCGAACTGCTCTGGGCATGGCGCCGTAGCGCCAAAAACCTTTACATTCGCATCCTGCCCATCATGGCTTGCACGGCGCTGTTTGCATGCGCCTTCACCGTTGCGAGCGGCTTTTCGTCCAGAGTCACGACATCCGTCGGCAACGAAGTGCTGCTTTCGGGAGCCAACTGCAAGGTGGAGAACACTTCACTGGTTCTGTCTGCCGAGGACCGCGAACTCTTGTTCGAGCCGTATGATGCCAGAAACGTCGGAGCGGCATCCGACTATGCGCAGCAGTGCTACTCCGCCTCGACCACCGGCTCGCTGGAATGCAGCACCTACATCAAGAAGCGGCTGAAAACCTCGGCCGTGACAAACGCAAGCTGCCCGTTCCAGCCAGGCACCTGCCGCAGCGAGAACTCGGCTCTGCTTCTCGATACGGGCCTTCTTGACAGTAACGACGACTTCGGCCTCAACGCCCCTTCCGACCAGCGCTTCCAATACCGGCGCGTGCTTCACTGCGCACCGCTGGCCACCGAAGGCCTCAAGAGCCAATACAACCTCTCCTCGGACCGATCCTTCACCCGCTACCACTTCGGCCCCACCAGCGCCCACAACTTCACCTACGAGTACTCCAACGACGCCATCTGGGAATCCAAGCGCCTCAAAAGCACCAACGCCGTCCGGGACTACACCATCGGGTAAGCAGCCATTCCGGCCCAGCCCAGCCCTTTTCCAATCTCACACCTCCCTCAGTGTCCTCCAAGCCTCCTTCAGCAACGGCACCCTCTCCCAGACCTCAGACTGGACCCCGTCCCCCTCCCTCGCCGCCCCCCACCCCAACGCCGACATCCTCCTCTTCTTCCTCTCCGCCAACGCCATCGTCTTCGCCCAAAACACGACCGACGACTGGTACCGCGCGACCCACATCGCCGGCCGCATCCACCGCGGCGACGGCGACTCCATCTCCGTCTTCGCCCAAGACGAGCCCGCGTCGCCGCTCGGCTGCGTCCAGCAGGAGCAGCTGTGCAACCCGCACGCCGGGCGCTGCACGCCGCTGGCCGGGAGCGACGCCGTGTACGACGTCGCCGCGTCGTCGCTGTTCGGCGACGACCAGGACCGCGTCGACGCCTTCACGTGGGCGTTCGAGGGCGGCCTCGAGACGGCGCTGCTGCACCTCGTCGTGCGCATGCTGGCGACGCGCTCGCTGCAGTCGAAATACAGCCTCACCAACGGCATGCAGGGCCCCGTCGCCGCGAACCAGTGGCAGCTCGACGTCCAGGCCTGGCACGACACGGTGCTCGCGGTCGTGCAGGAGGCTTTCGTCGCGACGGCGCGCGGGCCGGCGGCGGCGGCTGTCGACGCGGGCGTGGAGGAGGAGGAGGAGATGTTTGCGGGGCCGGACACGCGCGCTGCGAGGGGGTTGTGTGCGAATCAGGTCGGTCATCAATCGTGGCTGCTGCCACTTTTCTCCCTCTCTCCCTCCCTCCCTTTTGTTTTTCTCTCAGAGGACGTAGCGCCACTGACACCAACAACAAACACCAAACAGAAAATCCGCAGCACAGCCTTCGTCTCCTTCAACCTCCTCGGCCTGACCCTCATCCTCTCCCTCGGCGCCCTCGTCATCCTCGTCTCCGCCGTCCTCGAGCCGCTCGTCGGCTGCGTTCAACGTCGCCGGCACTGCGGGAAAACCAGGTCCGGCGGCGGCGGCGGTGGCGGCGGCGGCGGTGGTGGTGACTCCTCGGCCCTGTACGCCCGCCTCGAGTGGAGCGCCACCGAGACGCTGCAGCTGCAGCGGCTCGCCCACGAGGAGTTGGGCTTCGGCGGGAAGTGGACGCGCGGCGCCGAGGCGGTGCCGGTGGCGGAGGGGGATGAGGTGTTGGCGGTGTTGGATTTGAGGGAGGTGGGGCATCCGAGGTTGTTGGGGAGGGGTGATGATGGTGGTGGTGGTGAAGGGGATGGTTTGGATGGGGGGAGAGGAGAGGAAAAGGTGGACGGGGGGAAGGCGGGTGGTGAGCGGCGGGGGGAGGGGATGAGGGTGACTGTTGTGCGGCAGGGGACGGACTCGACGTCGTTTTCGGATGCGTCCCGGGAGTCGGCTTTGGGGAGGATGAGTGATGTCTCTCCGATTGGGGCGGGGGAGAGGGAAGTGTAGGCTTGGAGTGTGATTGAAGACTGGAGTTCACGGCTTCAGGCATCCAGCTCTGATGGCCGTGGCCCAGGGGTCGACATGATATGATTTCTGTAGAAATATTCCAGGTATCGAAGCTGCCGTTTAGCACATGACATAGTGTGATGAGCTCATCCCCCTCACTTAAACTCCAAAAAACCCAGCCGCTCACCACCACCACCTCGCACCTACTCCACCACCCTCACCACCACACCCAACCGGTCCATCTCCCCCTCCCCCAACTGCACCAAAGCCTCCCAATCCGCATCCCCGGAGCCTCCCGCCAGCGGCAGCCTCGCCCCTCCACGCCAGAGCAACACAACCACCGACCCCTCGCCCACCCCCCACAGCTTGCTTACCCACTACGAAGCGCGCGTCGACGTTAACGGCGGACGGGGAGGTATTCCCTCGCGTAATTCACGAACTGAGGATTGGGCGCCTCCCCAAAAAGCGAGCGCATGTCCGGGCTGACCGCTTTCCAAGAAAGCCCATCGCTCTCCCTCGCGTAGAAGATCTCAAAGTCTTCCCTATGCCCTTGGCGGAGAACCACGCCGACCGCCAGCGATGAATCCTCGAGAACCGTCCACGCCAAGTTTCCCACGTCGACACCCCAGCCCTGGGAAGACTTGTAGGCGAATGAGAGGACATTGGCGTCATTAGCGTGGAAAACGTGAATCGTCTACGATGGATCAGCTGCTAGGTCTTGCTCGGTGATGGGTGGGAACTGGGAAGTGGACTATCGTACCCCGGACGACGGAATGACTGCAGCCATGGGCGTGCCGACCTTGGCCTTGAACAGCGGCTTGCTCAGGCTCCACGCGCCATCCGTCCTGGAGGCCTCGTAGACGAAGCCATCATCGCACTGGAAGTAGACGTGCGCCGCGCCATTCTTCCAGACGGCCGCGAGGCCCGTCCCGTCGACGACGTGCGTCGACGGCGGCACGGGGAGGCGGCCGCCGGCATTCCACTCTCCGCGTTCCACCTTGACCTGCGCCTGCAGGCCGAGGCTTGTGTCCTGATAGACGACGAGGTGCTGCAGCCGGCCCGTCCCCTCGGCGCCGGGCCCGTCGCCCGACTCGTGCAGCCGGCCGATGACGGAGGCGAGCTTCGAGCTGCTGGGCGCCTGCACGCGGCTCATGGTCAGCGCGCCGTCGAACCACTCCCGCCGGCCCTCGGCGAACTGGTCCGGTGTCCCGTCGCAGCACGTCTCCTTCACGTGGTCGCCAATCATGTAGTAGGTACGAATCCCCCGCACCTGGAAGGCCGGTCAGTCAGGATGACGAGAAAGAGAGAGAAGGGGAGTTACTGACATCAGGAGTGAGCTTGATGGTGAGCATGGCTAGAGGGCTGCGTCGATCCCCGTGGACGACGGCTTTGTCCGCCTGCCCGCCGGACCATTGTCCGTGGTTGTAAAACATCTCTCGAATGCGATGTTCGCTGTCTGTATAGCAGAGGATCAGCCTGTCCTCACCGAGGCTCGTGAGAGCCACCTGTCCATCACTCCGCATGCCAGCCAGCGTGACGAAAGCCATGGTGCAATGAGGAGAGAGCAATTGGAAGAGACAAGGGCCGAAAAGGGTAACAAAAGAATGGGATGCTGGGCCATTCCGGCTGGGCCGTCGGAATCCAGCTTTAAATACAGAGCTGTCTGTCGGTCCGCAGCATCGTGCAGATCAACTTTCCGCTGCCAGCTCAGGTATGATGATGAGTACCGGAGGGCGCTCCGATCTGCACTGTATCTTGCCGATCCCCACGGCGCGTAACCGGAGGGGCCCCACAGCCACGACTGCTGTTTGGTGATGCAGAAAAATAATTTGATGAGGGGCTGTGGAGGGCCGTCAGCCTCGATTCCATGTGTTGGCCACGAACGCTGCTTGGCGGCGGCTGCTACGCCGCTGTGACGAGTGATCGTCGCCCAGAGGTTGGTGGAGACGACAAGCCTAAGAAGATGCGGAGCACAAAACATCTTGTCGAGCTGAACCATCACTGCGCTAATGCGACGCTAACAGGTTATGGAATAAGGGTAATGTCTGCAGTCAACGGACACACCGACGTGTCCACTTTAATGTCCACGTCCAAGCGCACTACACAAAGAGCTGGGTCGACACGGGGAACAGATATATTGTCCCCAACACGCCCTCGGAAATGGGTCGAATTCTCAGATCCAGCCACGCCCATCTCCCCAACAGCATCCTCACAACACAAGCTCGACTGCCTTCACCATGTCAGAAAACAAGCCGCAGGGCGAGAAGGCAGAGGAGAGTCAACCACCAACGGTAGACAGTATCCTCGGTGGCTCCCACTTTCTTCTCCGTCTGCTCAGCAAACAGGGAAAGCGGGGAGCATCTGTCAGCTCTGCCCAGCTGTCCGAGGTGGCCAAGAAGAAGAGCAAGAAAATCCCCGAGCTTCCTCTCGGCCAACTGCGGGATTTTGGCAGGGATGTGTAAGTCCATGCCGTCTCTGCTCAGCAAAGCATCATGCTTACCACAACGTCTCGAAGGAGCTCCAAGGACTGTTTCTGCCTCGACGATGACAATGAGACACCAGTCGACGACTCCATGACGCTGTCCGACTACCTGTCTTACACCTCGCCGGTTTGCTCCCCACGACCTCGTGCGAATCGTCCGTGCATGCTGACCCCGTTCGGGGCAAGACCAAAGAGGGCACCGCCGCCACCAAGATCCTCACCATCTTCTTCACCCGGCCCTTGGTTCGTCCAAAGGGATCCGACCGCAAGCAGCTCGGTGAATCACAGCTGGCTCCGGTCGAATTGCCGGTAAGGGTCCCCATCAGCTGCCCTCCCGCCTTTTGCCGCCAGCTGACCGGGAGAAAACCTCCAGGATGCCGATCGGGCCCAGGTCGGGCGTGACGACGTTGCCATATCCGAGGCCCGCAAGGCCGCCGCCAGCCTCGCGGCCCGCGACTATGCGGCCGCCTCGGCCAACGGCGACGCCTTGCACCCCGCCGACCTCACGCACAAGGAGTGGGACGTCGTCGTCAAGAACAACTACCTCGTCCACGGCTACGTCGTCGATATCAAAGCCAAAACCATCACCGTGGCCAGGCGTCCAGGTGAGTATAGGCAGTGGTGGCTCCCCGAGGGTTCTGTGGTGAGCATGTGCATCACTGACGCCTGACCGCCGCAGCTTTCCGCATCAAGAGAAGGCCGCTCGAGTCGTTCTTGACGTATGACGCGAGCATCGAGGTAAGCCAACTGTTGTTTCTGGTGGAACAATCGCTGACCGACGGCCGGCAGACCGACGAGACGCTCGCCATCCCCGACTTCCGCATCTTCGACGACTCGTCCGTCTCCGTCGTCGAGATCACGAGCCAGGAAGAGCAGTCCCTGGTCGAAAACTCGTTCAGCGCCTGGGGTGCCAAGGCCTCTGCGTAAGTTTCTCCCCCCTCCTTCTCCCATCTGCAATGAACGTCGGCCTGCGCTAATGTGTATGTAGCGGAGGCGACGCTCTCTTCTTCTCGGCCGAAGGCGCTGCCGAGGCGGGGGGCAATAGTTCCTCGGGCTCCGGAAAAGCGCAGAGCAAGTTCGAGAGCCGCATGTGGGCGTCGTACAACGTACGCATTTCCCACCTCCCCCGCCCTCGGCAAATGGACTGCTGATGTTTTTGCCACGACTCTTCAGTTCCCCCGCGTGCGCGTCTTCCTCGACGAGGAATCGTTGGAGCCGACGAAAGAGTGCAAGACGTTGCTTGAGAAGATCAAAGCAGCGAGCGAAGCGAAGAAGACGGATGAGCAAATCAAACTGACCGAGTCGTTCGGCCACAAATTCGGTGCGTCCTGGCGGCGGATGAATCTTCCCCTCCCTAGGGAGGTGACAGCAGCGACGATATTTGCTCACCAAGGAAGCAGGCCATGTCTTCGCGACCGAGGCTCAGCTGGGCGGCATGCTCTACAGCACGCGGATGAGCTCGTCCTTCGCCAGCGACAGCACGTCCAAGAAGATGGACAGCATGCGCGTCGCCGTCGCCGCCAGCTTCAGCACTTCGCGCTTCGCGGCCGCCGCCTCGGCGGAGGCCAAGTGGGGCAGCGACAGCGCCAGCACCTCGTCCGAGACGCGCAAGTCCGACAGCTTGGCTTGGGAGGCCAAGGGTGGCGACACGTTGCTGTGCTCCGAGTGAGTTTTTTTTTCTTTTCTTTTTCCTCCCTGACAATTAAAACCTGCTGGCGGTCATGGTTTCCTCGGTGGCTGACGAGCGACAAAAGCCCCCCTGCCTGGATCAGCACGGTCAAGGACTACCAGAACTGGCGCGTCATGGAGGTAATGTGGACCCCTTCTCCCACTCTCAATCGTCTCGTATGTCTGACTGCTTGTTGCGGAATAGAGAGCTGTTCCGCAGAGGATCAGCGACCTCATTGGGAAGATGGAAGGCTCGGAGATGCTCGGGAAGTTTGCGCCGCACCCTGCTGGCGCGCGATCTGGAGCCTCGTTCACTCCGCGCTGAGCAGTCAGCTGAGGAAGGGCCGACGGGAAGGCATACGAAGAATGATTGGGCATGTTTTCGCAGATTGGTCCGCTTAGCCGTGTGCAATGGAACACTTGTGTTGTAGACCTGGATGCGTCTTGAGATGCAGCACTTACGACATGGCCAAGAGCGGTGCCAATAATACACGTAATAGTGGCTCTGGTGATCAGTGCCTACGAACTTAGCTTCCCGAAGCGCTGAGATGACGCTTTCATCATGGTCAAAGGGCACTCTGGCGCAGCTAGCGTTATGCATCCGAGCAACGCAGTGGAGTGCATTGGTGGTGGAGATGCCGATCACTGCCGATAAACTCGTCATTTAAGCGTAGCACGCCATTGCTGATTGACTTCACTATAGCGCCCCCCAGCTAAGACGATTGGGGTAAAGATCACGGGTGGATGTGGGTAGCTGGTACAGGCGCTCCAAGGTTCGGTTTATGCGAGGGGGTCGGCGGTATAATCGCGTACGCACACTTTTTCTTAGGGAAAAGCCGCCGGGTAATAAGCAAGCGCGCACGGTTACACCGCATAGACGTATTCTAGAAACACTAAATTCTTCACTATCGGACTTAACTTGTAACAACGTGGCGTAGAGAAAAGATTTTAAAATAAAAATTAGATAGTCTTAAAGAGAAAGAAAGATTCTATAATATATATTATTTTTAGCTAAATCTCTCGCCTTTTCGTGGGGTAGTCTCGTGTGTTGCAGAGTTACTGCCGGGGCCCCTCGCATAAACCGAACCTTGGAGCGCCTGTACCCGCCGCTACGATCAAACCTAAAGATTCGTTCGCAAATGAAGTGCGGACACGAGTCGTCCCCCACCATAAAGATGGAGCTGTAGATTAGAGAGTTGGAGGCCTCTTGATGCCACTGATAAAGGCCATCCTACCCGTTAGAGGGTTTCAGCTTGACCTCTATGGGTTTTGAAGGGAAACACCCCTCCCCACAAAGAAAGAAGTGGAGGGTGGAGGGGCGAGGTGACTCTGTAAGAGCGCAACTCTGGTATGCTCGGCTTCTATGAACACCCTACTCTAGACGGTTTAGACTGTCGCAAGCTGGCTAAGCCTACGGGGCGAGCCCATATCCGCAGCCTCAGCCGCAGCTGATGTCGATCAATGTGAAATTGGTCTCAGCGCTGCCGTAGCCAGCTTGCGGGGCTAGCATACCCACTGTTTCATTCCTGTTCGTCTTTTCTCTGCAAGCGCTACTGTGACAACTGTCTTTTTAGCCAGCGGATCGACAGAAGGTTGTCGAGTTAGATGGCGAGGCATGGTATCATGTGAGTGAAGTGACAGCTCTAAGGTCGACATACTATAGGTTCCGATCTGGGATCGACGAGCCAGACCCACACATAGATCGCTCTGCCTATCCTGGAATATAGTCTCGATCTCCAGATCGCTGGGTGAACTGCACACGAGATGGCAATGCGTCTTGCAGATCACAGAATGTGAGGTGGGGATTTGAGTTTTTCTTTCAGAAGCAGGCGGGTGGGTCCCGGCGACTCCGATAGTTTTAGCACAGCTGACGTGGCGGCGCTGGCGGAGGGCGCTCCGGTTATGCGAATCCATGTCTGGTCATTTAGCCCCCTTCAAATGCTTCCACTATGTAGACTCTCGTCGCTGTATTTTCCAATGCAAACAGATCTCCGTTCTCATCTTGACATCAAGGAAAGCGAAGCAGAATGGTGCGTATCCCAAACATACTACATATTGTTGCTTCTATCTTACAGCGATTGCAGCCAGAACAAATTGAGATATCGGATTACCCTCTGAGCGCGGCAATCGACAAGCTCGGCGGTGACGATGTTCTCCTCTCATCTATCGACTTGAACATAAGCGTCGTAAAGTTTCCAAAGGAGCCGCCAAATGCAAGTGAAGAAGAGAAGCGGAAAGTGTAAGCCATCACTATATTCCTCTCTCTTTCTCTCTCCGCTAAGCCATCACATTTAGAATGAACCGAAGGTTCGTCTCGGGCGTGAGCGGAAGAGTCCCACTGGGATACCGCCCGCGCAACAAGAAGAAAGGATCCACCGCCAAACCCGGGGATCCATGGGAGATTCGATGGGACTGGGACGAAGGAAAAGGCGCACACGTGAACCTGGTGTGTGGATCGGGCAACCGCACCAAGTTTGCGTTCAAGATGCGCACCCGCATCAGATCCGGCTATGACACCTACATCGAAGTCATTAGGCAGATGTCGGCGCATGTTGGGTACAACACCCTGCCTGGCCCGCCTGCCGCGCAGGATACTCCCGAGGGACGGCTTCGTACTGACAGGAACCGCAACGCTCCTTTAACGGAGCAAATGAAGAAAAAGTTGCTGGAGGGTGCAGCAAAGTCATTGATTAAAAAGTGGATAAGCGAACTGGGGCCTAGGGCTAGGCTTTGAAGTAAATAGCCATGTATCTAGCGAATAAAGTACTGCGTTATGTCCCGTTTTCCAAGTAAAATTTTAGGTCATATATATAGTAGCTAATAATATGTACTGTTGGTAGATTGGCGAGGCGAAATTACGATTATTATCCACAACGTGTACGTGATGGTGTTGACCAACACTTCTCCTGCTTCGCGCTGGTCCGGGTCGCGCCCTGCAGGTCGACGCTGTTTCTTGGAGGAAAGGAGACGCGGCGCCCACGCCTGCATGATGCGTGTCCAGAAAAGCGCGCTGAGCACGTCTTGGGTCGATACGAAGGCGCCGGGCGGGCCTGTCGCCTGCAATGTGGCAGTGGCAGCGGCTTTGAGGTCCGCGAGGGTCGAGGCGCGGATGGTCAGGATGCGGGCGGTGGATTTTCCACCGCTGGTGCCGGGAGGTGTGGGGTGAGGGACCGAGAAATCGGATTCTGGGACAGTGTCCGTATCGTGGTCGTGGTGGTCGTCGTCACTGTCGTTGATCCCATCACCCGTTTCCCCCTCATCGCCGCTGTCGTCAACACCAGCCGCCCCAACCCGCCCTCCCACCTCCCACCCCTCCCGCACTCGATCATCCCCAGCCCCATCATCATCCCCCAAACACCTCGCCAGCTCCTCCACCACCATCCCCGCCGCCCTCCCATCAAGCACCGGATGCAAGGCGCTACATAATCAAACCCAGCTCGTAGTCATGATGGCACTCAATATCCTTCGAACCATCCTTTACGGTTCTCTAACATAAACTACAATGCTTACACACCTACACAAGCCGCCCCAGCTGCCACTAAAGTAACCCGAAGGAAGCTTCATTGTAAACTCAACCCCACCAGAGAAACCACACCTCAAAGATTTGCTCCAGAAACGCCGACCGTAAGACACAAAGACGAAACACTTCAGCTCACCAACTCCTCGCACACTACTTCCCAACTGACGCGCGTTATATTATACATATATTACAAGTGGTATCATACGAAAAACAATCCGTCTCCAAACATCCCCATCCGGCAGGTATGTATGTCTCCCCCTCCCTCCCTCCCTCCCTCTCCTCACCACCCCCTCACATTTTCCGGTGCAAATGGAACTCGGTCCCCGTCTCGCTCCGATGCAGCCGCACCTCCGACTTGTTCGCCCACTCGTTCAGATCGCCCAACCGGCCGCTGCCCCACTCCCTCAGCCGCCCCGCCGTACTGCCACCGCCTTGCCTCTCGTCGTCGACCATGCGGATCTGCAGCAGGGCCAGCGTGGAGCTCTTCCACACGGCGACGCCGCTCGCCTGGCTCATGAGGATGGTGCCGAGCAGGAAGACGAGCGTCAGGCCCTCGAGGACGGCCGGGAAGATGAACCACATCCACCGCACGTGCACGTACGTCTGCGTCGTCCAGGCCACGCCCTTGGCGACGCCGACGTGGCGGTCCGGGCCCGGGACGTTGGCGACGGTGTTCCTCGGCTTCTTGTTCTGGGTGCGCAGCAGGTACGTCATCGACTTGGCGAGCGAGGCCATGGTCAGGTTCTCGCCGCCGTGCGCGTTCTCGCCGAGCTGGTAGATGGCGTCGACGGCGTCCGACGTCGGGCTGGACTCGCCCGTCGAGCCCGTGACGTTGCCGGTCCAGAAGGTGCCCAGGTACTGCTCGATGGCGTTCCAGGCGAAGCTCTCGATGACGAAGGGCTGGCCCGTGTTTTCGGGCGTGATTGTCATGTTGTCCTGTGTGCCGGGCTGCGTGCTGTTGCTGTAGGTGGCGACGACTGTCTCGGTGAAGGTGCCGTTCTTCACGACTGCTTGATACTCGTTCACGCAGCTGACGGGACCACGTTAGCTTGCTGCAGGATTTGCGGGGCGGGTGGGCTACGTACGCGTACAGGACGCACTCCATGGCTATGGCACCGAAGGCCTTGATTGATGAGGCATCGTGAAGAGAGCGGATGGTGGTCAGAGTGCTAAGGGTGGCTTGGGTGTCGTTGAAGTTGATGGAATCGGCGGCTCCGGTGGTGTTGATGTAGACCATGGGCAGAAAGCCTGTCTGCAAGGTGAAATTGTTTGGCAAGGTATGGTTGCAGACCTCAGTCAGGCCGAAATCTTCACAGTTGGACGTCAGGCTCTCGGTGATGTTGGCACACTTGGAGCAGACGGCCAATGACTGATAGGTGTCTGTCCAGGTGCAATTGCCAGTGGGACAGTAAGGGGTGACGTCAAAGTCAGCGAGAGGGTCATCGTTGGTGTCGTAGAGGCCAGACGAGATGGCGGCTTTCATGGACAGGGATGGGTTCTTGACTATGAAGCTGTCAGTGTCGGCTCTTACTGCGGGGAGTGCTATGACTCACGGCCCATCATCCCGCCAAAGGCGTAGTCACTGTAGCTGTGCGCAATAGGAATGGTCGAATTGGTATCGGACGGAACCATGTCGATGGGGTAAGTGACGATTTGTTGAATGAAGGGATCGAGCGCCAAGCTGAAGACGGTAAGAAAGGCTCCGAGCTTTGCGAGGTGGCTGTGTGCAGTCAGCGTCAGTCGTATAAATCATGGTGAGGGCGCAACGTACACGCCTCTGGTACCCAAGAGCAACTTCAAACTGCCCCACATTCCTCGACTGGCCTCGTCAAAGGTTTGGATGTCCTTGAGAACGCCGGCCTTCTTGAACCACAGCCATTTCAGCTGGCTGATTCCCTCGGCAATGGGAACAACCATGGCGGCCTTGATGATGGTGGCCAGGATGGAGATGAACGAGTTGAGGGTGATGCGCATGGGCCAGTGGGGAAGCGGGCGGCCGTCGGTGAGGATCAAAGTGACGACGAGAACGGCCATGGCAATGGCGCTGATGATCCAAGCAAGAAGCTCAAAGAGCCACCAGCTGTTGACGGCATCGGTAAGGCCGCTTGAGGCAGGAGGCGGGCGCGGCGGCAGCTCTGGGGTGAGAGGGGTGGGAGGCTCGTCGCCAACTTGGCCGGAGCGGTAGCCACGGCCGTCGTCTCGCTTCATCTCGCCCAGCTCGACGTAATTCTTCTGGTTCGGGTTCAGCGGCGATAGCGGGGACGGGCTCCCGAGGGTCGAGACGGCCGGCGACTTTCTCATGGTTCAGCGGGCTGGACGGACGGACGAGGTGAAGGGGCACGGTCACACCTGGGGAACTCCAATGTGCATTCTGGAAGCAGCGCCACAACTGCGGAGGCTTGGAACATGGTGAAAGAAAATGGCGCTTGCTCGAGTTTTGTCGGTAGCGGGCGATCAACATGGGCCAAGGGATATTGTGTCAGAAGCTCGGTGTAGCAACGGGGATCGCAGCCGGGCCCCCGTTGCCATGCAACATGCAGAATACGAGGTAGCACCGAGGCTCTACCGATAGGGCTATAGGGCACGGGGGTCCCACGGCCTGATGCGCGGGTGTTGAGGGCGGCTACGGGTCAGGACGTTCACGATTGGCACGGTGCGAGAATCCGGGCGTGGTTTAAGGCGGCCCAGAGACCCAGAGCAGCGCCAACGAAGCCGGTCACGGTGCGATAGGCGTTGTGCAGGCCCCAGAGGCGGACCAGCTCGCGGGTCGAATGCGTCTCCTCGATGCGGAGGGTTGCCGGCTCATCCTTTCCCAGGCTCTCGGCCTTGGTGCCCGGGCCCGGGCCGGCCAGCCTCTCAGCGCGGCGACAGAGGGCGCCGATGTAGGGGCGCATGATGGCAAACGTGTGCACGGGCACGATGGCCGGAACCAGCACGGCAGCAGCGGCGTAGAGCGAACACAACATGCCGCTCGACCTGGCCGAGTAGGAAAGATAGCTGAACGACACGCACGAGACGAGTAGCGGTGGAGGGGTGAGGTAGAAGCCTTGGACATAGGCAGTGCGCCAGTGGGCGACCAGGCGCGCTTCATCGTCGCTGGGGGTGAGCAGGGAGGGGACGACAGCTGTCGAGAAGGTGGCATTCTGGCCTGACGGGGCGCGATCAGCAAGACTCAAGAGTCCGGGGCAGCGCGCGCGCTCAACTCACCCGCCGCGAACATGGAGGCAGTGATGCCGACGAACTGGGCAGCCTGCACCCCGGAAACCATGACTGTATACGAGCGGACGCGTGGCGGGGGTGCGGCGTGTGAGGCGGGTGAGGCGGGTGAGGCGGGTGAGGATGATTGAGGGTGACTGGGGATGACTGGGGATGAGGGCGGGTGGAAGGTGCGACGCGCCCGCCTGCCGTGAGTGAGTGAGTGAGTGACATTCCGCACAACCCCGCACCTTTTTGCTTTTGCTGCCGCTTCCCTCCCTCTCCATCTCTCTCCCGCTCTCCCCCTCTCCCTCTCCCTCTCGCTTCGGCCGCATCCCCGTCGCGCGTCGCGGCTCCCGGCACTTTTCAGCTCTCCACTACTGCTCTCCACCCACGTTTCTCCGCCCCGATGCCAACGGCCCTGCGACCCGGCTGGCGCTATGCCGCCGATCCGCCGACCTTACCAAGACCCGGCATCTCGGAGATGGCACAATCACTGATGAGCCTTCTCCAAGCCTGCCCCTGAGTGCTTCGCCGCAACCAGCGAGCATGCCGTCCATGACCGTCGCCGGGTGGAGCTCCGCCCACGATCAGCTCTCGTATTCAAATACGCCAATCTATTGTACCTTCTGCCCCGAGCAAGCTGACGACGACGTCCAGACGTGCCTGAATCACGCCTGAACTGAAGTCTACATGTCCAGACCGACGCCCTCTGCGTTGGCATTCAGCCGCATCGTCTTTTGCACAGTCATGAGCTGCCTTGGCCCGCTTTCGACCGCCTTCTTCGGAACGCACAGACTGCTGGGTCGCTCATCCGCCGCCACTGCCTCGACCATGTCCGAAGCCACTATCAGTCCGCCTCCAGCTATCGTGATAGGACCGCTCCGGCCAGAAAGTCAAAATTTTTGTGTTGTCTGTCCGCTTGTCCGCTCTCCTCAATTGGCCACATGCGCGGCCGCAACTTCTCCAGCCGCAGGGGATCGTGAGTCCGGCCGGCCAACAGTTGGCCCGCAAAGAGATTAAGCGATCGGCATCGCCGCCAATGAGAGAGCGGTTCCTGCCCAAGGTGGGCCTGAAGGCAACGGCACTGTGGCTGCGACCCTCGCCCGCTTTCCCCGGAGAGGCCATCAGTGGCAAGCGCCCTTGTCGAATACGACCAATCAAAGTGCCGCGCCTTGGCCAAACAACACCAACTGCCCTGGTGAAACACCGTCGCCGATGCGGTCCGGTCCGCCAGATGCAGCCAACTCGTTTTCCGCCCCGTGTCCTCGTGTCCGGCCAGCGACTAAGCCTGCCTTGCGCCTCAACACCATGCTGAAGTCTGCAATAGACACCTGGTTTTCTGTTTCAGCCGGCAGATCACGTCCAGCCCAGCGCCACCGAGATCACCGCAGCCTGGCGCTTATCATGGCGGCCTCGGCACGGCCCCTGTTCCCTGTGGCGCCGCACCACGTTTCGGGGAGCGATTCACGCCTCGAAACGCCCAGCTGAGGGCGCTTCCGCTTAGGGCTCCTCCTTCATCAAACACCAACCCCATCCTTCATTGGCGTGCGCAGCCGCCTGATGGGGCCATTTCTGGGCGCTGCCTTTATAACGGAAATTCGCCCGCAATGCCCTTTTCTACCCACCCTCGGCTGGAATCTCTTACCCTCGTCACTGGCTTGACGCGGACCGGTGCTTTGTGCTCCCCTTGCAACACTTTTAGCTTCTTTGAGGGCTGTCCACTCCTTTCTGTATCACTTACAGTAGCCACTCCTTTTTTGCAATCATGCGTTTCTCCAGCTCTCTCGCCGCCTTCGCCGGCGCCTCGCTGAGCTTGATCTCTGCCGTCAATGCCGAGACCAAGGGTGTCTTCGCCCACTACATGGTACGCATTAGACACGCCTATATGTCTCCTCTGAACCCTGGCTGACGTAAGCTAGGTGTGCGGTCTCTCGTCGGTCGAGCAGGCCCAAACGGACGTCCGTGACGCAAAGAACCTGGGCGTGGATGCCTTCGCGCTCAACGTCCAGAATGTCGTCGACTCTTGGGCTACCAGCGCCATCGACTACCTCTTCCAAGCTGCCGCCGAGAATGACTTCCACCTGTTCTTCTCCTTCGACATGGCCGTGTTGAACGAGCAGGACCCCGGCTCCTTCCTGCCCATCTTCGAGCAGTACGCCGCCAACGACTCGTACTACAAGCATGATGACAAGCCGTTCGTCACCACCTTCAACGGCGGCATCATGTCCAACGGTGGCGAGTGGACCAGGAAGCTCCGTGAAGGCATCGAGGCCGATGGCTTCACTCCCTACTTCATCTCCGACTTTGGTCTGTACAGCAGCGAGAGCGCCTCTGCCAGCGAGAGCCTTCTGGGTTCGCTGCAGACCTACTCTGCCGTCGACGGTGTCTTCAGCTGGGAGACGGCCTGGCCTGCGCAGGATGATGGCATCTCCAGCATCCTCAGCTCCGTGACCGACAAGATCAGCCTTGATGCCGCTCACGCCACCGGAAAATCGTACCTTATGCGTAAGTCCTGAGCCAGTCTAGCTTTTCCTGAATAGTGGCTGACGTGATGTTCTCCAGCCCTCTCCTCTCACCAGTTCAAGCACATTGACGGCCTCGGCAACTGGTACCGCCGCGGCGAGCTCACCCTTCCCAACCGCATGACGCAAATCCTCGACCTCGAGCCCGAATTCGTCATGCTCCTGACGTGGAACGACGCGGGCGAGTCGCACTACATCGGCAACGTGTGGTCCGAGTCCATCTCGACCAGCGAGGCGACGCAGAAGTACGTCGACAAGTTCGACCACTCGGGCTGGCAGGACATCATCTCGCCCTTCATCGCGGCGTACAAGAACAGCGCCAAGACGGCCGCCGACATCGTGCCCGCCAACGGCAACTTCACCGGCGCCATGTGGTACCGCCCGCTGCTCAAGGATGCTTCCTGCAGCGGCGATTACCTTGGCAAGCCTGTGGGCTGGGAGAACGCGCAGGACACCGTCAACTTCGCCATCACGCTGCCCGCCGACACCGAGGGCGTCAAGATCAACGTGTACAGCAACGACCAGCTGCTCGAGTCGTTCGACGGCAAGGCGGGTCTCAACGCCGAGGCCGTCTTGGGAATGACGACGGGCAAGCAGCGCGTGGAGCTGGTCGGCGCCGACGGCTCCGTCTTGGGTGCCGGTCTCAGCCAGGAGGATGTCGCGGCTGACGCAGATTTCTGCAACTTCAACTACCACGTCGTTCACGTCGCGTAAAACAAGCCGACATTGTGACGATGGCGCTGTATACCCATTTGCGGCTTCTGTTCTTGCGCTTCTTAAGATACCTTCTTCACGTTCGCTTCGTTGTCGCTAGTATAAGCGGCCCCTGTTTTTTCTACCAGCCAAGATTTATAGACCTTTTAACACGTTTCACTCGTTTGCAAGGCTTCTCACCGCCAAAGCATCCTGATGAAGGTTCACGATGAATCCAAAAAAGCATTCCGTTTCTTCTCTCTCATTCTTTGACGGCGATAGCCAGCCAGCCAAGTCCACGCGTGTTGTCGCGAATTGATTGCGGAAGGGAGCGGAGATTGGACACCGTCCATCAACGCTCGTATTTTTGAGATTTCCTCCTCGTTCCCCTATACATACCAAGGCAACAGCAGGCCCTTCCCCCTCCTCCCCTCGTGAAAGAACGGGCGATGCCGCTCTCAGCTCAGTCGACTGATGAGATCATGAGGAGGGGTAAAAAATTAAAATCAGCCTCTTTTTGGTTTTCGCCCGAGGCCGCCGCCGCCGCCCGCCGCCGTCGCCGCCGCCACCACCACGTGGTCTTTGCCTTTTTTTTGGGAAGCGATAACGTACCACCCTCGAAATCTTAACGTACCACCCCGCCCCACTTAAGTGGTATTTGGCGTAGAACGCTCGGTAATAACGAAGTAGTAATTAGTATACTCTCGCAGTTATAACACCCTCTAATAGTAGCACCCTCTAGCAGCCGACCTCTCGTAGCCCTTTCGTAGCCGGCCTCTCGTCGCAGCCGGTCTCTCGCAGCTAGCCTCTCGTCGCAGCCGGTCTCTCGCAGCCGGCCTCTCGTCGTAGCCGGCCTCTTATAGCCGGCCTCTTATCGCAGCCGGCCTCTCGTCGCAGCCGGTCTCTCGTAGCCGGCCTCTCGTCGTAGCCGGCCTCTTATAGCCGGCCTCTTATCGTAGCCGGCCTCTCGTCGTAGCCGGTCTCTCGTCGTAGCCGGTCTCTCGTAGCCGGCCTTTCGTCGTAGCCGATCTCTCGTAGCCGGCCTCTCGTCGTAGCCGGTCTTTCGTAGCCAATCTCTCGTCGCAGCCGATCTCTCGTAGTAGCCGACCTCTCGTAGTAGCCCTTTCGCCGTAGTAGCCCTCTCGTAGTAGCCCTCTCGTACCGGGGTCTTAGCGGTTTCTTAACGCTAGCCGTTAGCTACGAGAGAGCTACTACGAAAGGGCTACTACGGCGAAAGGGCTACTACGAGAGGGCGGCTACGAAAGGGCTACGAAAGGCCGGCTACGAGAGAACTACGAGAGAGCTACGAGAGGGCTACGAAAGGCTAGCTACGAGAGGGCTACTACGAAAGATCGGCTACGACGAGAGGTTAGCTACGACGAGAAGTCGGCTGCGAAAGACCGGCTACGACGAGAGGCCGGCTACGAGAGACCGGCTACGACGAAAGACCGGCTACGAGAGACCGGCTACGACGAGAGGCCGGCTACGACGAGAAGTCGGCTACGAAAGACCGGCTACGACGAGAGGCCGGCTACGAGAGACCGGCTACGACGAGAGGCCGGCTACTAGAGGGTGCTATATTAGGTGTTATAACTGCGAGAGTATACTAATTACTACTTCGTTCTTACCGAGCGTTCTATGCTAATTACTACTTAAGTGGGTCGGGGTGGTACGTTAAGGTTTTGAGGGTGGTACGTTATCGCTTCCCTTTTTTTTGCCTCAACAGGGACACTGATCTCTCTGTGAAACGTGTGGCGTTTTTGACGGCGGTGGCGCAGGGTCGATAAGGCTGTGGCTTGGTTGTGGCTGTGTGGCTGTGGCTGTGGCTATGACTGAGGCATCGCGAGGTTTCTTGAGTAGTAGTGGCGTGTGGTGATGTCGTGAAGAGCCGGCTTCCTTACTAGCCTGCAGTCGGCCGGGAGAAATGAAACGAGCCAAGCGCTCGTCATCGCTTCGTGTGTTTTTGTGGCTGAGTTTTGAGTTTGTCCTTTTTTTTCTTTGATCTCTTCTTCTTGTCGGTAGGTACTACAGGAGGCCTGAGAAAAGTATCTAGCTGACGGGCAACTGACACTCGCACGCAACGAGAATGGCGTTTTCTTTTCTTTCCGGCGCTCAGCTGAACGGCCGGGACTCTTCGTCTTCTTCGTACTCGTAGTCAAGGTTCTGGACATACGGCTGGGGGAAGTGAGTGTTGCGGGGGTCGGGGTGGGGTTGGTGTGTATATTTCGATTCGAGCTGCGGATGGGCAGTGTTGCCAGGGGTGCTCGAGATTTGAGATATGTATGATCAGGACAGAGAGTTGCGCAGCCGTCCTCCCCGCTTACAACGTACAAAGCCGCTTCCCTGCTCCCTTCACTCTGCCAACCGCTTGGTCAGCATGTGGTGATGTTCATCCGAACCGTTAGAACATTCGCTGAATCCATATATCGACAAGGCTGAACCTCCGGGCGTTGCGGGAGCTCCATCCTCTACCCCCTCCGCAGACACCTTTACTTGCACCTCTTGCATTCGCTGCCTTTCGTACAGAATTTGTGTGTGACAGGTACATCAAGCGTTATTGGCAGGTTCTTCGACTTGTTCAACTTGGCCCTGGAAAATCCTGGCTGGTTCCGTGCCGCAGTCGTACAGAACTAAACTGCAGTGTCAGTGCGGCAGTGAAGAATGTGTAAATCGTATAGTCCCAAGATGCGTCTTTAGCCCTTTCGAGCATAGTAATACATTGCACTGCAGCTCAGGTGCAGCTAGGCCGCTCTTAGTTGATACCTCCGCTCGATCCTCTCCTAATCGAATCGATATGAATCTATCCCTTCACACCACCTTCACCAATTATGACCTCCCCCAGTAACGTGACTGCCAGTGTACCCAACCACACATCCAACCCCAACCACGCCCCCTTTCCAACGCCGCCACGCCCGAGCAGTAGCACGACGAACCGCGTCAGTCGCCGCCCACGAAAATGTGACCCCATGAGAGTCGAGACGAAAAGGGCCAGCGCCTTTCCAATCCGACACCATCGTTTCTCGTCCGCTGGAAACTAGGCGCTCATCTATCCCCCATCACCATGCTCGTCTCGTCGTCATCGTCATCGTCGGCTTCGCGTTTTTCCTCGTCGCCGTCCGTCGTGTGTGCGCGAGAACAGCATGCACGCCGCGCGCCGCTGTACTATAAGGCGAGGCCTGATTCCGTTTTTCTCCTTTATACGGACTGCGGTGGCGGGTGTGTCGGCGGCGGTGGAGCGGGGAGGGCCGGATGGGGATGGGGGATGGGCGGAGGGTTTGGAGAGTAGGAACGAGGGGGTGGGAGGGGGCGAGGCTGTAGCGGAGGATCGTGGGGGATCGAGTTGGGCGTTTTTGCTTGGACGGACGATGTGCTAGAGCCACCCGGACTGTTGGGAAGGCTGTATGCTTGACCGGTTCGTGGACAGCGTGAGGTTATTGGAATAGAGTGGAGTCGAACAGTCGTTCTCCTGAAGCGTTCGGTCAGTGGGGAGTAGCAAGGAAAAGTCGCAAACGCCAGCCCGAGCAGAGTAGCCAGTCAGCTGTAGATCGCCATAGACTTGTACCAAAAGCGCACCCTGAACGCGACTGGAAGGGGCTGCTCATTTTTGGTGGCTTGGATAGCTGCAGATTCAGAGGCCTAATGTTTGGCTGCTTGCATTGTAAGGCCACCACTCCGCTCACATTGACGACCCAACCGCACGTTGGTCTACTTGGACAGAATGAGGACAACCATCCTCTCGGAAGAGAAACCCTACCCAGTCCGAGACAAATAAATAACGATCTACCAGTAGACGGGGCCATATGAACGAGTAAACACCCAAGATGCGAAGCCTACAGAGGACGTTGGGGGGATAGCCTTCCGCGATTTGGCAGGTTCACGGAGATTGCGAACGGGTAAGCTGTATGAGTGAGCTGTTCCAGGCTATGAGGGGGATTTTGAGTCTATGTTGTCCGTACATGGGTAAGCCAGGGCCTAGAATCGGGAATATGCTTGAGCAAGCTTGATGGAGTACCCCTATTCTTGTTCCGCTTCATACTTTAGCCGTGAAGGACGCGCGTAGAGTCCAATTTATCCCGCTTGATAGTGGACTGACTCTGGTTGAACCACAAAAAGCAAGCGGTAGACTGGCCAGCCACCAACACTGTCAAAGTCGGGTACCGAATACTGACGATTCCTGCAGTCAGCTCTTCACTCGGTAGTGCTCCGTTCTCCGCAAACGGCCGTCTACTGCCTGCGTAGCTGGAGAGAAGTCTGCTCTGTGCATCTCCGCAGCGCCTTGGATGTGCTGTGGCTTGCACTGTTGCACACGGGGCTTTCATCCATGCATGAGGGCGAAGAGGATTGTGAGTATCATACGATAGTACATTATCAATCATTCAAGCATCTTTCATTGCCTGTTTATTTCCAGAATAGAGCTCAGCCGACGGTTTTGTAGGGGGACGTGGCTTCCCGAGAGCTTCTGCACTGGCTCTCGTAGTACTGGTGGGATGCATCTGATGGTATCTGCACCACCCCCACGAACTGCGCCTCTCAGACGCCAAAGCCTGGCCATGGCCGGGCCGGAGTGTCCGACATGGCCTGCTCTTCGCGGGGCTGGGGTCAACTGCATGCGGTCAGCATAGTTGTGGCGCCATTATTATGCGGGTCAAAGAAAATTACCAGCAACAATCACGTTTGGACCATGACCAAAGGCTGGCTCTTTGAGCGATTTGGGGGTTATGCTGCGAGCTGCCGTTGCTGCAGGATTGCCCTGGTGGAGAGCGAGAGGGTCCTTTCGGAGCGAAGCGATGCTTCTTTTTCTCCGCACTGGGCAAGCTGGGTTGAAATGCTGGCTCGCGATGGGCCATGAGAAGCACCGAGACTCTATTTTTAGAGCAACTGGCCGACAACTGGTCAGTGACGGGCGATCCAACATGAGAAGCACGCTGCACGTGGGCCGCCAGACAGCACGCAACGACAGTGCCACCACACACCGTAGTCTACCACACACCATTGCCTACCGGCCAGCCTTGCCGTCTTGCCGAGCACCGAACAGTCAGTGCGGCTGAACGGGTGGAGCAGCGGGAGAATTCCGGTGATCCTTCCACTACTCTTTTCGGTCCCGTCTGGCTGGCCCCCAACCTGCCAGCACACTCGGCACGGCCGTCAACCGCACTCCGCGTGAAAGCACAGATCCCTCATCGTCCATCTACCTTGAACACCTTGGGGCCAACAGTTCGGTGGGTGTTGCCTGGTGGAGGTTCAGGCGGAGAAATATGCACGACGGGCGACGTCCGGGCACAATACGCGACGTCACAGATCAACACCATCTGAAAAAGGGCTGGTGCACGGGCGCGGGCCACTTGGCGTGATGGCTGCAATCCGGGGAAACATGCGCTCTACCAGCTTGGTGCCAGGGCGAGCCGTTTCACTGAATCAACAGCACGTGCTGCGTGCTTCAGATGTAAGTATATTCGACTTGGGATATTTATACTCACTTTTCTGCGGCCTATTCTCCTACTTTTGGAGACTCGGTACGGAATCAGCTTATGCGACGTGCAAGCTGCAAGGCCGTGGCTGATCTCTGCCTGATTGGACGGCTGCAGTGGTTGATCATTCCCAAACAGGCATAATGCTTACGCTGCAGCAGCGGCAGGGCAGTGCTGTCTGGCTGTGTGTCGTGCTGCGGTCAACAACGCCGCAGCCCCCACGGTCTGGCTGCACTGTGTTGGTCGGCCTGTGCCGGGCCAATGACAGCTGTTTAGTACCTGATCGGCTGGCTTGGCCACAATCAAGACTGCAGGTCGCAGGTAATGATGGAGAATATATAAGACTCGGGTCTGGGCAGCGTCTGGTTGCTCTCCTCAGATTCCATCAACCTCATCACCTTCGGGATCAGCTCATCCAACATGGTCCACGCAGCTGCTATCTCCGCCGCGATGCTGTCAGCAGCGTCGCTCGCGCCCCGAGCCTTCAACACGACCACGACAACATCCGGAGACGCATGTGCTCAGTTGAGCCAGCTCCTCGATCAACATCCAGGTGCCAAACTTGTCCGCGCGTCTGAGGGTTACTCGTGCCTGAAGGCTGTGCCGGTGGATGTCAAGGGCGATGCTCAGCTGGTCTCGGAGATCTACAACATTCTGACATGGCATTCACCACTGGCCTATCTGAAAGACCCGCCCGAGGGTTACCCCAATCCGCCTGTGGACCTTCTCGCGGGTCTGGAGGACATTCAAAGAAAAATCGTCGACAACGAATATGAGAGCGAGTACGACGTGCAGAATGACATCACTGTCCTGCTCAGCAAAGGATGTACGTACCCCCCCGAACCACGCCGTGCACCATGGATGCATTCTAATCATTGGCAGATGACGGTCACCTCGCCTGGATTCCTGACATCTCGAGCGTCATCAGTTTCAACCGGTTAAACGCGCAGGCTGATCTCGTCTCACTGTCCTTGGATGGCAAGTCACTTCCAAAGGTCTACCTGAAGAGTATGCATTGCCCTCCCCATGACGACACCAAGTTGGAGCTGACACGCGGTAGGGGACATCGATGCCGTGTACCACGGTGCCAACTTCACCCCTTCGGCGTTGCACACCATCGACAACCAGACGGCTTACGATTACCTCGTTTCCTTCGCCGAGGACGACTTCAGCTGCCACGACCCCGACGCACGCTACCAGGACCTGTTCTACAACCCCGCCGGCGTGTCTCAAACTGGCTCTAGCAGTTCCTTCTTCACCGGTGCCAACAAGTACGTGGGCGACAAGACGATCCTCGGCCACGAAAACGGCACCAAGACGGCCATCAACAACTACGCCTTCGTCCCCCAGAACCTCAGCGGCATCACCAGCGGCTCCGACCTGTTCGAAGCCTTCCTGACCGGCCCTTCGCCCACCCCGACCAGCACCGCCACCGACACCGACACGAGCACGTCGTCCACCTCGGCGACGCCCATCCCGACCGCCTACAACTACCCCTACCCGGTCAACAAAGCCTCGGACAACACCGTCTCGGGCTATTTCCTCAACGGCACCGCCCACCGCGACGTCGCCGTCCTCAGCAGCCCCAGCTTCGAGGCCTCCAACCTCACCGAGTTCCAAACCACCGTCCGCCACTTCCTGGCCGCCGCCACCGCCGCCAACAAGACGCGCCTCATCATCGACCTGCGCCACAACGGCGGCGGCCTCGTCAACCTCGGCTACGACCTCTTCAAGCAGCTCTTCCCGCAACAGGACCCCTTCGGCGCCACGCGCGTGCGCGCCGTCCCCGCCATCGACGCCATGGGCCTCGTCACCTCCGCCTGGGCCGACGCCCACGCCGCCAACGAATCCGCCGTCGAGTCCGCCCTCCTCGACCTCGACTCCACCACCATCGACGAGTTCTGGTACCGCAAGCGCCTCGACGCCGCCGGCCGCGACTTCGCCTCGTGGCCCGCCCTCTTCGGCCCCGACGCCACGCTCGCCCAAACCGACAACTTCACCCACCTCCTCCGCAAGAACTGGTCCGACGTCGAGTGGACCGGCGCCATCGCCGGCTACGGCGCCCTCGCCGCCCCCGTCACCCCGCCCCAGCCGTTCGCCGAGTCCGACGTCGTGCTCCTCCAGGACGGCTACTGCGCCAGCACCTGCGCCGTCTTCTCCGAGCTCGTCAGGGCGCAGGCGCCGCGCGTGCGCAGCGTCGTGCTGGGCGGCCGCCCCCGCACGGGGCCCGCCGTCGCCGTCGGCGGGACCAAGGGCGCGGAGACGCTGAACTTCGGGCAGGTGGTGGAGAAGGCGGAGCAGGTGGTGGCGCTGGCGGCGGAGGTGGGCGACGGGAAGGAGGAAGAGAGGAGGCAGATGCTGGAGGAGGCGGGCGTGGTGGCGCTGACGGAGACGGACGTCTTGTTCAAGCGGGTGCAGAGGGATAGCGAGACGGGCGCCGCGAAGGCGCAGATTAACTACAGGGATAACTATCGCTGGGGCAGCGGCGAGGGGACGGGCCTGCCGTTGCAGTTTGTCGCCGATTATGCGGATTGCAGGTTGTGGTACACGCCGCGGATGCTGTATGATGTCGTCGCGGTGTGGGAGACTGTCGGGAAGGCTGTGTGGGGTGGAGGTGACGATCTTTGTGTCGAGGGGTCGACGGGATATGGTACGGCTTCGAGGTGAGGACTGCTGAGGCAGCATGACGGTTGGAGTGGTCTTCCTGTTCTTTTTTTTTTCTTTCACTTCTTTTTATTTGCGGCGGCTTTACGGATTCGAAGGAGAATGAAGACCGTCGAGTTTTACAGTGCATACTGTATTGTAATGAAAAGCGAACGGAATATAGTTATCAATTTTTTTCTTCTCAATAAACGCTGCTCGGCGTATCCAATAGTGCAATTTGATACTGATAAAAATGAACTTTGCATCCCTGCTTATCCAGCAATGCGCATCTGGAAAGCCTGTTCACTGGCTAAAAGCCGAGATAATTGTGCTAACGGGTCAATGGAAATGTCCAAGAGGAGAGAAAAGCGTCGTCGATGTTGTTGACCAGGATGGCTACCCCTGCCATACAGGCAGCGTTTGGAATCGCACCTGCGAGCTCCCAAAACCACCAGTCATGGTGGTACCTGGATGCCCAGGTGCGGTAGTTCCTGTCCTTTGTTTGGTGGACACCCTGTTTCATCCTTGTTGGAGAAGTGCTGTCTGCATCCTGAGAATGCAAGTGTTATTTCCAGTTGAAGGAAGAGAGCCAGGCGAGGTTGGAGAGGTCAAAGGCTCCACAGGATACGCCTAAAGCTCGAAAGTCTGGAGTGCAATAGGTTCCAACCGATAGCCCAAATCAGCGAGGTCGGTAGTGAGAAGCTGTTGGTCATTCCGAGGCATTTGATTTGTTTATACGGAGTTACAGATGTCGTTGAAGCTGCGAATTGTAGTTGCTAGCTGGGCAGAAGAAGTCGAGTGGCACACCAAGGTTAAAGATGCAATTGAGGAAAGTGCGTTAATGAAAGGCTACGAGTCAATTATCAATTAGAAACATCTATGAGTATTAATGTTTGCAACTTACCGTCATTATAATATCTCGACTTGTAACCCTGGGTGTCCATACCTATGCCAGGGACACGTGTGACTGAGAGAGTCGAATTCACATCAGTAACTTCACATCAGCAAGTGGAACGATCTAGGATTCAAGTGTAATAATCTGCTGAGCGAATAGTCCCATTGCCAGCATCGCAACAGTGATAGATACTCGGTAAAAGGCCAGAAATGATCCGGCGCGTAGACGGATGCGGTTGAAGATCAGGAAAGATCCCCAGGGTCACCGAACTGGCTTCTTCCAACGGTCGATATCTGGGACGACCGATCCAGAAATAGAGTCATTCATCCTGACTGAGGCTTTCGGCGACAGGTAGGAGCATAGATGTTTTTTAAAATGGTGTTCACGCCGCCACTACTCTACAAACTTCAATGACCTTCCAAGGGGCTCCATGAGCAGCAGAGAGTACGACAAGGCTTCTATTCATAGACAGACACTACGTGCGGCTTTTCCGTACATGATGAACCACCAGAGCACTCGACGCCCGAACCCACCTGGATAGGGCTACCCAGCCTCTGCCGGCGAACCGCGGGTAGTGACAAGCACGTGCGCGCGGGCGTTGTCAAGCAAGTATAAGCCACCCCCCCAAGCGGTCGGTGCCGGAGCGCGGCTGAGCAGCTAGAATGAAAGAGGGCAAGACATGGAAGCACTGTCGTCGAGTCGGCATGGACGACGGATCAAAGCTTCGACCCTTCGGCCAGGGCTGAAAAATATAAGACGCACACGCGACGGGTCAGTCAAAGCGCCGCGACAGGGCTGAGCAGTGAGTAGGAGCGTGATGCAACCGGAGGTATAAGCCACGTTTACGGTGAAGACGGTTGAAAAAAAAAAAAAGAGGCATGTGCGGTCGGTTGGAGGGCATTGTAGGGGATAGAGTAGTGGCGAGTCAAGGCGTGCGGCGTGCGGTGTGCGGCTTGCAGTATCGTCGTCGTCGTCGTCGTCGTCGTCGTCGTCGTCGTCGTCCTCGTTGGTCTGACCGTGAGGGCTTGCCGAGCTTCTGAGACGTGTGGCGAGCGAGTGGCTTGTTCTTGGTGCTACACCGAGTGGAGTGGGCTGAGTGCAACATATGGCTGCATGATGGCTATTGGAGTTTCATTTGCTGGTTTCAATGTTTGTGCTGTTATCATCTGTGGTTCAGCACCACCACCATCAGGGACACCAAGCACACGGCATGCCGAGGTGGTGCGCAGGAAGGGCGGCCAAGTGGCACAGTTGAAGAAGGGGGCGGCGGGTTCGGACAAAGGCGAGACAGGGCGAGAGAGAAGCGAGTCAGGCGGCGGGCGTTGAGCAGAGCAGTGCGTTGTTAGGCGCAGGGTGTAGGTAGTAAAAGCTTCATCAGTGGCATGTATTGTAACGAAACGCATTGGTCGCATCATCCTGCCCTACGGGATATTTTTACACTGCCAGCGCAGACCGCCTGTCAGTCACCCCCCCGGGGCGCGACCGCTCGGGATCGGCCAGTGGATTGGGGAAGGCTTCTGTGCTTCTAGAAGCTCGGGGCTGGTGGTTCCCCCCCGTGCCCAGGGGCGGCTGCTGCGCGATGCCACTGAGCCACCGCTGCCCGAGCGCCCGGGGGAACAGGCGCAGGGCTTGCGCGAGCCACTCTGTCGCCAGGCAGCAGCGTGGCCGTTTGTCGCTTATCGCTCCTGGGCCGCCTCTCTTTTTTTTTGGTTGAAGAAGAAGCGTGAGTGAACAGCGACGACAAAAAGAAGGGGCGGGACTAGAAAAGGGAGCACGCACGACACGATGCCGACCCGGGGCCCCGCCCCACATTCCCTACTCGCGCGCGACATACGGATTACGGGCGAGGTTTCCGCTCCGACGAACGACTCGCCGTGACTCGGGCGTTTCATGGCGTGCCCGCCCCCCGTTCGCCTCGTGTTTGCGCACACACACAACCACGACCTATTGCCAGTAGTCGCGTGTCCGCCCGTCGGCAAACTTGAGACGTCGTCGACACTTGACACCCATCATGCCGTCCGGACCTGCCCCCGGTTTTTATTTCCTTTGTGGCCCGGAAAACTGTTAGCTATTGTGTGGGACCCAAACCGCCCGTCGTGCCCTCGTGCCCGCCGATTACGACCAGATGCGTCATGTAACGTAACGTAACTGCCCGCCCCGGTTAGTTCGGTTAGTGCGCCTGCCCGGTCCGTCCGGTGGACGAGCGTTGGGTTTCTTTTTTGCCTCGGAGCCACGAGCCAAAAGCCATCCTCGGCAGCCAGCCAGGCACCACCACGCGCGACGACAACGACGGACCTTTGAGCTAGCTGGGGCTAATACCTAACGCACATCGAGGGTGAGCGGTGGGCGGTGGCAGGAGGGAACGTGCCCCCCTACAAAGCTGAACGGTTGAGACGGGCCATGGGCTACCCAGCCCAGCCGCTAGCCTGGCACTCTGGCACCCAGCTAGCAGCGGAACAATCGGTACCCGGCAAATGATTGCACTACTACTATCCATGTGGGTGCGTGCCAATTTCCACCGTCCCCCACCCCAGCGCTCGCGCCGGCGCCACCGCCGTCAGCCCTCTCATCATGTCTGTGTTGTTCCTGCGTTTCGCAGGATCACTTCAGCCGACGCCACCGTTTTTTTTTTTTTTTTTTTTTTGGTTGCTGCTGAGCTGGCGGGTGGAAGCCAGCGCAATCAATGGTCGTGGGCCGGATGCTCGGAACATTTCGCTTTCGTGCTCCCCTGCCATGCCGGCAATGCAGCTTGCAGCTTGCAGCGCCATGCACCATGCAGGCGCTCAGGGGTACGTGCAGCTTAATTGTGGAACGTGTCATGCACCTTTTCTTTTTTCGAGACAGCCTACCACCACCCGCTGCTGCGCGGCGCACGACGACGTTCCAACAAAACATTCTGAGATTTAATTCCAACGACAAGTAGGTCACAAAAGAGACGGGAGCCATTGCCAGGGGACAAGATATGAAGAGTGTAGCGAAAGTGACGCGCAATTTTCTATATCCGTGCTACGAGAGCTCTCTCTCCCCATGTTCGTCTATATGCATGTCCCAAGAAGTAAATAAAAAAAAAACAGACCGTGTGAAAACATGAGTGTGTGATGAGAAAACCGATGGTTTGTCGGGAAGAAGCCATTAGATTTGTTGGAAACACATTATTCGCCCGTCCCTCGCCGCTTTCAGCTCCTCGTTGCTTCCGGTGGTGGCAGTGGTGGCAGTGGTGGTCGTGGTGGCAGCATATTGGACAAGGATGGCCTCCCTGATAACGATGCTTCCGCCCAATGAAACCGTCGCGCGCGTGCAAGCCACACATGCATCCGGCCTCGCACTTAATTAAAAGAAAAAGCTTGACCAGATAAGACCCGGCTCTTCTTTCCGCTTCCCGCTAAACCACCCCAGCACACACGTGCTGCTGCTGGTCGGAGCCGAATAGGGAATAAACCGACTTAGAAGAGGGCGGCGAGGAGACCGCCGGCCATGAGCAGCGAGTCAACGCCAAAGGCACCTGCCGCGTTCGAACCGTCAGCCGAGCTGGACGCCGAGGCGCTGGGGGTGCTGCCGGGAGTGCTGGCCCCGCTGGCCGCACCGCTGCTGGCCGACGCCGACGCCGACGCCGACGCCGAAGCGGCAGCGGACGACGCGGCGGACGAAGCAGCAGACGAAGCAGCAGACGAAGCAGCAGACGAGGCGGCGGATGAGGCGGCAGAGGAGGCGGACGAACCTGCGGAGCCGGTGGCGGCAGCGGAAGCAGAAGCAGAAGCCGAAGCAGAAGCAGAAGCCGAAGCAGAAGCCGAAGCAGAGGCAGACGAGCGCGACGACGCGGCCGAGGAGCCCGTGGCCGAGGCAGAGGCGGAGGCCTCGCTGGCAGAAGCAGAGGCGGAGGCGGACGCAGAGGCGGAGGCGGAGGCGGAGGCGGACGAGGCGGCCGAGGTGGCCGACGCGCTGGTCGACGCAGGCTTGTCCGACTTGGCGCTCGAGGTGCTCTCGGGAGCCGAGTTGGCGGCGCAGTTGGCGGAGAAGTAGTCGTTCTGGTGGTTCCAGGTGCTGCAGTAGTTCTCCTTGTAGCTGGAGTAGCAGCTGTGGGAAGGGAAGTGACGTCAGTGTCTGTGCTGTATGTGTATGTGTGTACGGTGTCGGTGGACTTACGCCATCTCCTGGGAGAGGACGGAGCAGGAGCACGAGGTGACGGCACCGGTGGTGCAGACGTTCATGGAGCCCTGGACCTGGCCGCAGGAGCTAAAGAGGCTGTGTGCGTCGACATGGTCAGTATTGGCAGATGGAGCCTCTAGATGGTGCACGGCTCGACTCACGAGGCACCGGGGCCGCTCTGGTTGCATTGCTGGGCGGAGACGCCGGCGGCGACGGCGGAGATGGCAAGAGCCTGGAGGACGGTCTTGGAGAACATGGTGAAGACTGAACGATTGTGTGTGTGCTGGACGAGCTGTATGGCGGTGGGTGGCGTAGGGTGAACGAGCGACTACGCTTGATGATGCCACGGGACTGATGGAGGAAATTGCTTTGGAGCCGGGACTGCGAGCGTTGGGGCCATGGCTTTAAAGCTGGAGATTGCTGAGGGCTCGTATCGTTGGCGGAGCCTACCGTAGGGCTGGCCTGTAACTTTCGCTCGTGTTATGTCATTGCCGCCCGTAAAAGAGGAAGCTGGCGCCGAATACCATACGAGGTGGTCAAGCTTGTGGCCCGTCCGTAGGGCGCCAACGGCCAAGCCCGGCCAAGCCCAGAAAAGGGGCAGCTCGCTCCGCCGGGGGGCGTAAAAATAGCCGCGACGCAGGTACATCACCCCATGCCCGCCAAAGCTTCATTACCAGAACGCCGCAGATCTCGAATGGCCGCAAACGTCCCGCTTCGGGGCTAGCCCGCGCCCGATCCGGCTGCCGTTAATTGCAACGCAGGTGAGCCACCGCAGCGGCGCGGCCGAGGGGGGCTTTGGCATGGCGCTCAGGGCGAAGGGCCGTCCTACAATAAAAAGAATGTTTCTCCCCCGCAGGCCCAAGTCTGCCACCGCATCCCGGCCAGTCATTCGTTACCGTGTCACTCCTTTGACCTCACGCTCGTTCCCTCGTTTTTCAGACGCTAGCAGATCCTTCCACAGTCCTTATCAGCAAAAATGAAGTACTCGGCGCCCATCATCGCTCTTTTCGGCCTCCTTGGCGGCGTCTCCGCCACCATGAGCCCTGCCAACCTGCAGGATACGGGCAACTCGCTCGCCCGCCAGGCATTCGACATCAAAGATCTAGTGCTGCAGATCGACTCCACCATGAACGCCGGCCCGATGCAGGTAAGTGCGGTGGCAGCCTGGCAGCCCGACCAACCACGCTGATTCTGTGGGTCCAGGATGTCTTCGAGGAGATGGATGACCTGTACGACACCGTGCTGGCCAACATCCAGCTCGTCATTGGCTCTGCCACCCTTAGCGAGGAGAGCGAGGACGTCCAGCTCGTGTATGAGGCCTACTCCTACGTAAGTTGCTTCCCACCGCCCATTGTTGCCCCATCGCCCATCCGGTCGCATCCGCCGCCGGCAAAAAAAAAAAAAAAAAGGAACCAAAGTGTGCCGCGCTTGCCAGCCAGCCAGCCAGCCAACCAGCCCGCCCGCCCGTCCGTCCCGTTCCCGCGAGATTAAACCCATGTGCCGCGTGACGATTGATGATGATGATGAACATTGGTTGTGACGGGAACTTGACTAACGCCGCTTCTGCCCACAGCTCTGCCAGGGCATGTTCGAGCTGATGGACGCGCTCGCGTCGTCGGCCGACAACTTCGTGCAGCTCGACAACCAGAACGAGTTCCGCGTGCCGGCGTCGATCCGCGAGGTGGGCGGCGTCGTCGACGCCTGGATGTTCAACATGATCGGCCTCTTCCCGTCCAACAGCTCCTACTCGGACCAGGCGGCCAACCAGAAGAACCAGGTCGACTCGCACTTCCGCCGCTCCATCGCCGCCTACCACCTGGCCACCGCCAAGACGGCGTCCCCCTACGGCAACATCACCAGCATCGTCTCCCTCGATGCCCTCGACATCACCGACAAGGTCGCCACCGACTCTGACAGCGACAGCGACTCCACCGCCTCCGCCTAAATTCCTTCCAACATCTCTTCACCTCTGATCCGAGGGCCTTGACTTGCTCCACGTTGCCGCCCGATTTGCTGACGTGAGAATGTGGAGTGGAGATCTCTGTTGGTGGTGGCTGCGAGTGGCGGTGTGAGGTTAATTGATCAGGCAAGCAAAGCAAGAAGGAAGGAAGGAAGGCAGGAAGGATAGCCATCTTTTCCTCTTTTCGTGTGATACAATACCTACCTATTTGACCTTGTTGTGCTGTTTGTAATATACCTAACTACTCTTCGGACGAAAGCGCCGCGTTTCTCTCTTTTTTTTTTTTTTTTTTTGCAATGCGCGGTGTGAGCGAGGGGTGAGAGAGGGGCCAGAGAAGTGTTGTCGGCAATTCAACGAGCTTTCCTCGAGTCGTCGCTGATCTCGTATCTGCCGCACCGCTTTCGCGCTGTGACTACAAAGCATCCCGTGGACGCACATCATGGACCGAATCGGTTCGGGTTCGGATGTTCCGATTGTTCCAGTGATGAGCGACGCAACGCGACCCCGCCGGCACGGGGAAAAACCGACATGTATGCGAAGCCCATGGGGAAATGTCGAGCCGCTCCCCGACTTGTTGGCTCTGCGTGCTTTGCCCATGCCGATGATTTGTGCGTGAAAGTATCGAAATTGTGGGTATATATCTGAAAGAAGTAGATGATCGCAGTAGTGAGAAGTTCTCGACCCGACGCTCGCGTAACTCAAGTTGTTGATCTTTAAACGACGGAAAAAAAAAACCCGTGACTGAAAAATGCAATGCCTTCCCTTCATGCGGTGCGTGTGTGTGTTCTGATATATCCGCTCCCACCCCCCCCGCCACTTGCCCTGAACGCCGTTTCTCCAATGCCCCGCCTAGCGCTGCCCACCAGAGATGCTCTCATTACAAAACAAGTTTCTACAGAATTAAGATTACCAGGAAAATCGCGCCGAGTAGCGCAAGGCTGCTGGACGTGGCTGCGGCGGGCGATGCAAGCGACGAGGATGACGACGACGACGACGACGACGACGACGAGTCATCCTCGGAGCCGGAGCCGCCCGTCGCCGGAGGGTTCTCGTTGGAGTCGGCCTGAATCGTGACGTCGGGGCAGAGTTCCTTCAGCGTGCCGTTGAAGTAGGCCGTCGGGATCCAAACCTGCGAGGTTCGGAGTTAGCACCGTTATCTCTTATCCACCCCCTTTTCTCCGCATGCCGTCTTTCTTACCTGGGGCTCGCCGCCGGTCACGGTGGTGGAAAAAACGCCGGCGTTGCCGGTGGTCTTGGTCTTGCACGTGACGACGTCCACAATCTGGGCTTGGCCGTGGAAGTTGGTGTCGCCGATCTCAAAGGGGCCGATGTCGTCGGCGCCGCTGCCCTTGTTGGTCATGACGGCCACGACGCTCTTGTCGTAGCCCTTGCGGAGGGCCAGCACGTCGTCGTGGGCCACGAGGGCGCGCGTCTTGTGGGTCCAGTACGGGCTCCAGTACGTGTAGGTGACGCCGGCGACCATGGCGTTGCGGGCAAAGTTGACCTTCTTGACCAGCTGGTACAGCGGGGCGCTGGTGTTGTAGCCCGACAGCCAGAGCGCCTCACGGTTCCCGGGATCCTCGCCGCCGCTGAAGGCCTGCTCGGCGCCGTAGTACATGATGGGGATGCCGTCGCCGAGCAGCGAAAAGACGAGGGCGTTCTTGAGGTGCGAGAGGTCGTCCGTCATGTGACCCAGCCGGGCGACATCCTGGTTCTCGGTGAAGACGCCCATGACGGTGGGGTCGTGGCAGGTCGTGTCCAGGTTGTTGATGGCGTACGTCAGCGCCTGGACGGGCCGGGTGCTGTTCCTGAAGACGTCCATGATGGAGTACCACATGGGGTAGTTGAGCACGGCGGACACGGCATTGATCATGTAGTTGCAGATGTACTCGGTCTGCGAGGTGAAGTCCTCGCCGATGGTGTACGTGTTGACCGTGGCCTCGAAGTCGCTCCAGAAGGCCTTGGGCACGTGCTTGACGGCATCGACACGGAAGCCGTCGACTGTGGTCTGGTTAGACTGTGGCTGCAGGTCGGGTCGCACGGGGTCGCGCGGGTTGCACGAGTCGCACAGGGTGGCACAGCATTGGCGAAAGCTTACCTTGATAGTCCTCAATGACGCGCGTTCCCCAGTCCTCGAAGTAGTCGATGATGTCCTGGTTCTCCGTGTCGATGTCGGGCAGCGACAGCTGGTCGTTTCCGAGCCAGCACTGCGGGGGGGTCTGGTCAGCAATGGGGCAGGCGGGCACGAGGAAGAGGGCTCGCGACGCACGTTCTGGTAGTTCTCGGCCTGGCTGTAGTCGGTGATGTAGCAGAAGTCGTGGAAGGCCGACTCGGTGTTGAAGGGGGCGGAGAAGTTGGAGTAGACGACGTCGCTGCCGGGGCCGGGCCATGCCAGGTTGTTGGCGACGTAGTCAATCATGAGGTACTGCGGGGCGCGGAGTCGTCAGCTGCGGCAGATACATTGGAGGCTGGGCGGGGGAAGGGCCGCACCATGCCGCGGTCGTGAACGGCCTTGGACAGGCTCTTGAGGTCATCCTCGGTGCCGAAGTAGCTGTTCAGCTCGCCCGGGTCCTGCTGCCAGTAGCCGTGGTAGTTCTCGCCGGCGTCCCACTTGCCCTCGATTCCCTTGGTGATGGGCGAGATCCAGATCTGGAATGTTTGGGTCAGCGGCGTTCCTGAGACAGTAGTCGGGCAGACTACGGATACGCACGGCGGTGAATCCCATGTCGGAGATGTAGTCGAGCTTGTTCTCCAGGCCCTTCCAGGTGCCGCCGCAATGGATCTTGTCGTCGACATTGCAGGCCTCGGTGGTGGAGCCGTCGGTGCGGGCGAAGCGGTCGACGATGACCTGGTAGATGGAGCGCGAGCGCCATTCCAGCGGGGTGGCGGCGAGGGCGGGCGGCAGCAGGGCGAGCAGGGCGTGGGCGCCGAGCGCGGCGGAAACGAGTGACTTGGGCGTGAGGGTCATGATGGCGGGGAGCGTCGCGGGGAGCGTCGCGGCATCAATTCTGCAGTTCTGTTCCGCGGCTTGAAGGTTAACGGGCGGTAGAGGATCAAATGCTGGGGCGCTGGGGGCCAGTCGGCCGGCGGCGGGCCGACTGGGCCTCTCGCGCGGTGGCACGGGGGGGTCGCAGGAGCTAATCCGGGCGGCGGCTTAGTTCATGCGACGTGCTCGTTGATGGCCGGGCGTTGTGCTCGTATAGGTTTGATTGATGGCCGACTTACTCAGGCGAGTCGCAGGCCCGGACCGGGGGGCGCCCGATCGGGGCTGGCGCCATCGCCCAAGCGAGCGGCCTTTTTCGAACGTCGTCGCCGCCGCTTGCCCGCTTGTCTCCAGTCACCACTAGGGGTCCCCATCCATGTCACCCGCGCCCGCGCCCGCGCTGGTCCTCCGCCGTCCGCTCTTCTCGCCGCCCGCCCTACGCCCTACGCCCGCTGCGCTGCCCTCGATGCCCTCGATAATAACAATGCCGCCGCCGCCGTTGGCCGCCGCCGCCGCCCTACGCCCGTCGTGGCCCCGTCGCCCGCCCGTGTCACGTCTGCGCGCTCGTATCCCGGCAGCCCTGCATCATCACGCACGCCCGGGCGCCGCGTGCGCAGCGATCCACCGCCGTGGGGCGCTGCTCGCTTGGCGCTCGTGTCGAATTCTCGAGAAACGGCCGTGTACTGTAACAAATACCGATACGACGCTCGAAACGGATGCCTGTGCGCCCGCCTGAGGAAGTCTGCGGCGCAACGCCCCCGTCACCGCGCCCGCAGGAGCCAAGCCACTGCTCCTTCCACCATGCTGCCGCGTTTCATTGGTGCCGCCGGCTTATTTGCCTGCTGGCTAGCTGCCATGAGCCTCGATCAGCCCGCGCCGGCCTCCTAGGCACGCCTGCTAGCCTGCTAGGGCTCGCCGTGTCTATCAATAGCACCGCGTCCGCGCCCGCTCTCCGCCGCGTGGATCCCAGCCCAGCCAGCCCAGCCAGCCGAGCTCTTCCCTGCCCGCCGACCGTCTTATCTTGCTGCTAGCAAAAGTCGCCCGTTTCTTCCAAGACCCGTTGATTCAACAATTGCTCCCGAACCGCCTCCCCGTCCCCTAACCCTCCCTCCCCCCCTGTTCGTATTGCGGTTATGCCTTTGCCGCAGAGCTGCACCATCAGGAGGAACTAGACCCAGCTCACCCGAGTCCTAAAGGCTCACGCCCGGCCCGGTGCTAACCGTTCTCCAATCCACTCCGCAGACGCAGTCCGAGTCTTCCCCCCCGACTCTCTGCGCCCTGCAGCCCTACACTCGCTTTCTCGTTTTTTCTTTGCATTATGGCGCGGTTGGGTCTTTCGTTCGCTACTTTCGCTCTCTGCTTCCTCCAGGCCCTCGCCCTGCCGTACCTGGAAGACTGGGCAGACTGGAACCTTAATACCCAGCAGGGCGAATCCGACCCGACCAAATACTGGGGAGAATGGGAGAACCATGACTTCCATCCCTCGCCCTCGAACTGGCGCATGCCCTTCTACACCCTCTTCCTCGACCGCTTCGTCAACGGCGACCCCTCCAACGACAACATCAATGGCACGCTCTTCGAGGTCGATCTCACCTCCAACCAGCTGCGCTATGGCGGCGACATTGAGGGGCTCATCGACACTCTGGACTACATCCATGGCATGGGCATCAAGGTGAGAGAGCTCCGTCCGCGCGCTGCGACTGCGCTGTGACTGACGCCGCCACCAGGGCATCTACATCGCCGGCAGCCCCTTCCTGAACCTGCCGTGGGCCGCCGACTCGTACTCGCCCACCGATCTGACAGTCTTGGACTGGCACTTTGGCAACATCACCGCCTGGCGCACCGCCATCACCGAGATCCACGATCGTGGCATGTATGGTACGGAATGATCTTCAACGATGCGCATGGCGATCGGTGCTGACCCGGACGCAGTGATCCTCGACAACACCATGTCCACCATGAGCGACCTCATTGGTTTCGACGGCTACCTCAACGGCACCGCGCCATTCAAGTGGGACGAACACACCGCCGTCTGGAAGACTTCGAGGCGCTATTGGGATTTCGACGTCTCCAACGAGGTTACCGAGGACTGCGCTTGGCCCAAGTTTTGGTCCAAGGACGCCACCATGGTTGGATCCAACGTGACGGACAACTTTGTGAAATGCAAGAAGTCCGAGTTCGATCTGGTGAGAGATTCCGCGCCCTGCGCTGCCTTGGCCTCGCCGCTGACCCCTTTCAGTTCGGAGATGTCGAGTCGTTCGGAACCTACCCCGAATACCAGAAGCAGCTGTCCAAGTTCTCCTTCGTCCAGGATCGTTTGAAGGAGTGGGAGCCGACCACGTTGACCAAGCTGAAGTTGTTTTCGTGCATCGCCATCAACATGCTTGACTTTGACGGTTTCCGTATCGACAAGCAGCTGACCATCACCCTGGAAGCCCAGGCCGAGTGGTCCCAGTCCATTCGTGAGTGCGCCGCCAAGGTGGGCAAGAAGAACTTCCTGATTTCGGGCGAAATCGTGTCGGACAACACTCTTGGTTCCGTCTACCTTGGCAGGGGCAAGGAGCCGCAGATGAAGTGGGCCACCAACGAGGAGGCCTTCACGGCCAACTCCAGCTGGCCAATGGCGCCTGCCGTGTACCAGCGCAACGAGAGCGCCGTCGACGCCTGGGCCTTCCATTACTCGGTCTACAGAAGTCTTCTGCGTTACTTGGGAGTCGACGGTATCTACGAGGCCGAGCGCGATATCCCCGTCGACTGGGTCGACGCGTGGAACGAGATGGTCAAGACCAACGACTTGGTCAACCCGAACACGGGCGAGTTTGACCCGCGCCACCTTTACGGAGCCACCAACCAGGACGTTTTCCGCTGGCCGGGCATCACGAACGGAACTGACAGGAATTTGGCTGGCCTCTTCGTTACGACCATGATCATGCCTGGAATTCCCCTGCTCTTCTTCGGCGAAGAGCAGGCTTACTACGTCCTCGAGAGCACTGCGGACAACTACATTTTCGGCAGACAGCCCTTGTCGTCGTCTCTTGCCTGGCAAGACCACGGCTGCTACACGATTCCTTTCACCAAGTACACCAACTTCCCGCTCGACAAGTCCCTGCACGGCTGCACTGACGACACTGTGAGCTACGATCACCGTGACCCCTCGCATCCTGTCAGGAACATCATCAAGCGCATGTACGAGCTCAGGTCTGCTTTCCCAACCCTCAACGATGGCTTTGAGCTCCAGAAGCTCTCAAACTTGACCGACTGGATTTATCTGCCTGGTTCCAAGGGCACCGGCACGGAAATGGGTCTCCGCAGCGTTGTCAGGATGCGCAATGAGGCTACTCAGGATTTCTCCAGCGACGATTCGGGTGCGGGTAACCAGCCGGTGTGGCTCATTTACACCAACGACAACTCCACGACTACCTATTCTTTCGATTGTTCGGATACGAACAAGTCGCTGGTGGCGCCTTTCGACACTGGCACCACTGTCAAGAACCTGTTTTACCCGTACGAAGAGTACACGCTCAAGTCGTCGCCCGTGAAGCTTGGCTTGGAGGACCAGACCGACTTCAACGGCTGTCTCGATTCCCTCGACATGAAGCAATGGGGCTTCAAGGCGCTCGTCCCGGTCGATGCTTTCGCTGATCCCAACCCCGTCATCACCAAGTTTGTGCCCGGTCACGACTATCGCCACGCGGCGACGTCGGAGAAGGAGGAGATCGACATCGAAATCCACTTCTCCCACGAAATGAGCTGTGACTCTCTCACCAAGGCCATTACCTTCACCTCGGATTCCGCCGACGGCTCTTCGCCAACCATTGACACTGGCAGTGTCAACTGCACGACGATGAGCAACAGCACCGAGTATGATTACAACGGCGCTATTCCCAGCGCGTGGAAGTACTCGGCAACGTTGAAGGACGTGGCACACGGTGTTCACCGCATCACCCTCACCAACGCCACCACCACGTCCGGCCTGAAGACTGGATCCAAGGACAACTTCATGATCCGCGTGGGTGAGGAGAACAACCCCATCACTTTCCCCAGGACCGCCAAGTTTTCGACGACTCTTGTGACTGGAACGACGGACAACCTGCTTGTTCACCACAACGCCGCCGGTGCCACCAAATTCCGTGCCTCGAGAGACTGGGGATCGTCGTGGACCGACTGGCTTGACTATACCGGTGACGACTACACCATGCCCGCGCTGAACTGGACCGGTACTTCGGCCCAGTCGTGGAGCGGCGAACACATCATCGTGCAGTACTGGGGTCGTCTCGTCGCCAGCAGCGCCCACCAGCAGGAGGGTGATCTGGACGGTGATTCGACTCGCGCGTTCCCGCACTTGTTCGTCAACGGCCCTTATAACCAGTATGGCTACGACGGCGGTCTCAAGAACACGGCGAATGTGAACACGAGCGGTCATTGGCATTTCGATCTGGCCACCGAGTGGCCGGCCAAGATCCAGTTCAACGTCTGGGGAATGAACCCCGATGGCAAGCCCGATCAGTCCTACATCTACGGCGACGTTGACGGAGACGGCGTTCTCGACCGTCTTCCTCCGTCTTCCCTGACCTCCAACACGGTGAACATCTCGTCGCTTCCGGGAAGCCCGTACACGGCGTACAAGCTTGCCGTGTCTTATGACGGCAAATCTCTGACGCTCATGCCCACCGGCCACATGGGCTACCAGCTGACGCTGTTCATTCTGCTCTGGATCGTTCCCGTCTTGACTGCCGCGGCCGTCATCTTCTCCTACACGAAGGCCTTCTACCAGGTCAAGTTCAACACCAACGGTGTCACGCAGGCGGCGAAGCAGTCGATTCCCCTCGCTCTTCGCCGCAGGCTCAAGCGCAAGGCCGAGTACGAGAAGGCCGCCATGGACTCTACCCCCAACCTGCAGGTCACCACTGCGCCCGGCTCTCCTGAAGTTTCTGCTCTCGCCGCCGAGGCTGGTGCTGGAAAGCGCCGCGCTGTTCTCATCGCCACCATGGAGTACGACATTGAGGACTGGGGCATCAAGATCAAGATCGGTGGTCTCGGTGTCATGGCCCAGCTGATGGGCAAGTCTCTTGGTCACCAGGATCTGATCTGGGTTGTTCCCTGCGTTGGCGGTGTCGATTACCCCGTCGATGAGGTGGCCGAGCCCATGTACATCACCATCATGGACAAGGTCTACCAGATCAACGTCGGCATCCACAAGCTCCGCAACATCACCTACGTTCTCCTCGACGCCCCCGTGTTCCGCCAGCAGACCAAGTCCGAGCCTTACCCGCCTCGTATGGACGACCTCGACAGCGGTATCTACTACTCTGCGTGGAACCAGTGTATCGCCGAAACCGTCAAGCGCTTCCCCCAGATCGATCTGTACCACATCAACGATTACCACGGAGCTCTGGCGCCGCTGTACCTCCTGCCCAACCTCATTCCCTGCGCTCTCTCGCTCCACAACGCCGAGTTCCAGGGTCTGTGGCCCATGAGGACACACACGCAGATCAAGGAAGTCTGCTCGGTTTTCAACCTGGACGACGAGATTGCCAAGCGTTACGTCCAGTTTGGTGAGGTCTTCAACTTGCTCCACGCCGCCGCCAGTTATCTGCGCATCCACCAGAAGGGTTTCGGTGCCGTCGGTGTCTCCAGGAAGTACGGTAAGCGTTCGTTTGCTCGTTACCCCATTTTCTGGGGTCTGCCGCAGATTGGTTCTCTCCCCAACCCGGATCCCACGGATACCGCCGAGTGGGACAGGAACGAGAAGATGCTCGAGGATGTGCCCGTCGACCCTGCGTACGAGGCTGGCCGTGGCGAGCTGAAGAGGCAGGCGCAAGAGTGGGCTGGCCTGGACCAAGATCCCCAAGCCGAGCTCTTTGTGTTCGTCGGTCGTTGGTCCATGCAAAAGGGTGTCGATCTCATCGCCGACGTGTTCCCGTCCATCCTCAAGAACTACCCCAAGGTGCAGCTCATTGCCATCGGTCCCGTTATCGATCTGTACGGCCGTTTCGCCGCCATCAAGCTGCAGAAGATCATGGAGCTGTTCCCCGGCCGCGTCTACTCCAAGCCCGAGTTCACCGCTCTTCCGCCTTTCATCTTCTCTGGTGCCGAGTTTGCCCTGATCCCGTCTCGTGACGAGCCCTTCGGTCTGGTCGCTGTCGAGTTCGGTCGTAAGGGTGCGCTTGGTGTTGGTGCGCGTGTCGGTGGTCTGGGTCAGATGCCCGGTTGGTGGTTCACGGTCGAGTCGATGACTCCCAAGCATTTGATCCGCCAGTTCAAGTCCGCCATGCACGATGCTCTCGCCTCCGACACCGAGACCAGGGCCAAGATGCGCGCTCGTTCGGCCAAGCAGCGTTTCCCCGTCGCCCAGTGGGTGGAGGACCTGGAGACTCTCCAGACGACGTGTATCAAGATCAACCACGAGCAGGGTGGCAAGCACAAGGGCCTCGGTCTCTCCTCGCCTTCGATGCTCAGTCTCTTCCAAAAGTCTCCCAAGGTATCGCCCAACGCCTCGCAACTTTCGTTTGGCATGGGCACGCCCGCTGGCTCGCGTCCCGTCTCTGCCGCACATCTCTCCGTTCCGCCGCACTCGCCAGGGCAACCCTCTCCTCGCCCCGACGACATCTACTCGCCTGCGTTCCACTCTCCTGCCTCATCCCCCGGCCAGAACGACGTTCTCCTGCCTCCTCCGCCGCTTTTGGGTGCCAATCTGGGCGTTGGTCACGACAGAGGAAGTGTGGCTAGTTTCAACACCACCTTCAGCAACTCGTCGGTTCTCAGTCTGGACACTGTCGTGGGCTCGCGTCATGACATGGCACTTCAGAAGGTTGACCCGTCCTTTACCGATGCCAACGGCTACTTCTCGAGAGAGTTCGAGAAGAGGCTGGAGAAGCTCAACCCAAGCACGTCGGAGAACCAACTGTGTATCGAAGACATCCTGGTCAAGAGCGAGAAGAAGTGGTTCAACACTTACCGCGACGCCAAGCTCGGCAAGACGCTGGATGACAGCTCCATGCTCTCGCTTGGGCTTCCCAACACGCGTCCTTCGAGTCCCGCTCCTTCTGGGATGAGGTCGGCCAGCGGCAGGGACAGTCCTTTCGGCGGCCGCGATACCATGACCGAGGGTGATGACAACAGCTACTCGTCGTACGACGACATGCACCCGCTGGGCGCCGGCTACGACACGCCCACGGGAATCAAGAAGCTCATGATGTACAAGATCGGCGAATGGCCCGTCTACTCGTTGTTCCTCGCCCTCGGCCAGATCATCGCCGCCAACTCGTACCAGGTGTCGCTGCTCTCCGGAGAAGTCGGCCAGTCGGCCACCACGCTCTACATCATCGCGACGATTTACGCAGTCTCTTCGGTTTTATGGTGGTATGGTTACAGGAGGCTCAAGTCCTACTACGTTCTCTCTATTCCGTTCTTGTTCTACGGCGCCGCCTTCTTCTGTGTTGGCATCGCTCCCTTTGCCACATCGTCGATTGGAAAGACTTGGGCGCAGCGTGTGGGATCCGGTCTTTACAGCGTCGCGTCTGCCAGCGGTTCGATCTACTTTGCGCTCAACTTCGGTGAAGAAGGTAAGCAAAACACGCGCTCCGACTTTTGCAAGCCAAGCTAACAGTCGCCATAGGTGGTGCTCCCATCAAGACTTGGGTTCTCCGCGCCTGTCTCGTCCAAGGCACGCAGCAAATCTACATCAGTGCCCTCTGGTACTGGGGATCTGCGCTCACCCAGCTTTCGGACCAGGGCGTGGAAACGCAGACTGCCACCCCCACGGCCGTCATTGCCGGTGTCTGCATCCCGTTGGCGTTCATCCTGTGGGCCGTTGGTACCATCATCTACCTCGGACTTCCCAACTACTACCGCCAGATTCCCGGTGACGTGCCTTCCTTCTACCGCTCGCTCTACCAGCGTAAGATCATCATGGTAAGTCATCTGTGTTCAAGCTGGGTCAACGGCTGCTAACGACTGCACAGTGGTTCTTCGTCACCGTCTTTGTCCAGAACTACTGGCTCGCCGCGCCTTACGGTCGCAACTGGCGTTTCCTTTGGACGACCAACCACGCCAGTGGCTGGCAGATCCTCCTCCTTGTCGTCTTCTTCTTCGTCGTCGTCTGGGCCGCGGCCTTTTGGTTCTTCGGCCGTCTTTCCAAGTCGCACTCCTGGATCCTCCCCATGTTCGCCATCGGCGTCGGCGCTCCCCGCTGGGCGCAGATGCTCTGGGGTGTGTCGGGCATCGCCAACTACATGCCCTGGGTGGGTAGTCAGCAGGCTTCTGCGCTCATCGCGCGTGCGCTCTGGCTGTGGCTGGGCGTGCTCGATGCGCTTCAGGGCGTCGGCTTCGGTATGATGCTCCTGCAGACCATGACTCGTTTCCACAACACCTTCTCCTTGATCGCCGCTCAATTCATCGGATCGGTGGCCACCATCATCGGCCGCGCGACCGCACCCGACCGTCTGGGACCTGCCTCGGTCTTCCCCAACTTCGCCATCACGGGCGTATCAGGTCTCAACAGCGCCAGCTTCTGGATCTGCTTACTGATGCAACTCGGCATCTGCGTCGGCTTCGCCACCTTCTTCAGAAAGGAGCAGCTCATGAAGCCGTAGAGCAAAAAACACATTACTCTGTCACGGCCACGGCATTTTTTCCGTTTTTTTGAAAGTCAAGCATTGCGGTTTTATCATGGGTCTTGTTCGGTCTTTGCAGGCTTCTCAAAAAGAGAAGTCGATACATACCAACGTTTGTGTTTATCTTTTTTTTTTTAAATATACTTATATACCTTGTACATAGACAACATCTAGAAAAAAGGTTTATAATGAACGAGGGCGGATGGGGATCTTTCAGACGGTGTTTGCGACAATTGTATGTGTGAAGAGGAGAGAGAGAGAGAGAGATAATTGGTTTCTGTTGTTTAGCTTTTGTTTTTCCTGTTGTTTCTAACGAGGACGACCACCCATGGTTTATATATCTGTATAGGCAACGTTCGCTTTTGTTTTTTGAGCGACTGTCTATAAAAAAAATCAAGATACCCTCTATTCTTTCCAAATCTGGTTCATCCATCTTCCTTGCCTTTCCCGTGTCGTGATTCTGAATTGATTTTTTTATTTGATGGAGCGGAGCTCGGTTGGTTCGATATTTGCTCTTTCCAACGACCTTTGGCTTTGTATGGTCACGTGGTGTGATGCTGTTTTTGTAGTCGAAGCGCCTCTCGGTCCTGGAGGCTTGTTGCCGCTGTTAGCTGTCGTTATGTGAGTAATCGAACGTACGCATGATACTGCACAGTGCTGATGACCCATGTTCACTTGTATGCGTGTATGCGTGTCACTTGGTGGATAGTGTGGGCCTCACCGGGAACGTTCCCCAGTGGCCAACATCAACAATCAATATTAGAAGTGTGGTCAGACAAGAGACATCGATAGCTTCATCGCACAATCATCTGACGCAACATCACTTGAAGCCTTTCGTATGCCACGTAAGTGGAGTGATTCGGTTCTTCCTTGCGCAGCATGATGACGCGGCCTTTACGTTGTGGCTCATAACAGACAAAACCAATGTTTAAGCGCAAGTCTAACTCTACGACTTTCTGAGAATGTACGTAGACCCTGGTATATTTGCGTCGTCACTCGTCCAGTGGCAACTTGAACAGTCTGATGGCGTTCCCTCTCCCGACTGCATTCTTTTCATCCTCGGCCAGATCGTTGGTTCTCCACCATTCCTGTCCCTCCTCGATGGTGTCATACGGCGTGTCTGAGACGTATGAGCATATACAGAGAGAGCAAGATCAGGCACGCTTACCTATCGCATAGAGGCACCTGTCCAAGCCAATTTCATAGATGCAATACTTGAGGCCGGCCGTGTTGAAGTTACCAGAGGTTGTGATGTGCACATTATGCTTGAAGTAGTACGTGTAGTCCTGTTTCGACGGCCGCGTCTTCCGCTTCTGTGGCTTGTTGAGCCAGTGATCGGCGCGCCAGAGGTTGAACGGGATGCTTTGACAAGCGTTCGTCAGCCAGATGATGCTCTCCTTCGTCGACGCAAAGCTCGAGCAGACTCACTTCTCTCCCAGATGCCCTGCGATTATCTGGACCCGGGGAAACCTGTCGAAGACGCCTTGCGGAAACGTCAGCACCATCCGACCACTCTTTCATACAGCGCAACGGGCTCTCACCACTCGAACAAACAGCATAGATATGCCAACTCAAATCCAAATGAAAGCTGCACCCAGCCCCCAGCATCTGGCTCCTCCCTTTATACGCCCCACCCGCACCCTGGCCCGTCCTCAACTCCTCCAACGGCGGGTACCGCGGGTGGAAATACACAGGCACGTCCAGCTCCTGCACCGTCCGCCAAAAGACGTCAAACTCGTCCGTGTCGTAGTACTTCCGCCCGGCTCCATCCGCACCGGTCGACTGCCAATCATTCACCAGGGCACCAAACATGCCCAGTTCGACGACGCAGCGACGCAGCTCGGCGGCCGCCTGCGCGGCGTCGTGCATCGACACGGCGGCGAGGGCCCCAAAGCGCTTCGGGTTCTTCTTCACTGTTTGTTTTCCAAAAACACCGCACGTCAGCCACCATTTGGATCGTCGGAATAAACACGCCCGCCCTATAACCGCCGGCTACCACCCACACCCACCACTCCAGTAGAGTACTACCACCACTGAGGCGGGTGCACGCGAGCGCCGCTCATACAATACGAACTCAGTCACTCACCCTCCCCAGCCAGCCAGTCATTCGCCTCCCGCGCCGTCCTCTCCGCGCCGTCCTTGTCGTGCTCCCCCTGCGCCCCCGGGCTCGTCAGGCTCAGCACCATGTACTCGACGCCCTCGGCGTCCATGGTCCGCAGCCGCGCGCCGTGGATGTCGCTCAGCCGCGCCCCGTGCGCCGCGACGCCGGCGTTGACGTCGGAGCCCGGCGCGAGGATGGGCTGCCATTGCGCGAGCGTGTGGTGCAGGGTGGGCGGGATGGTGGCTTCTTCGATGGCGATGGTCGGGCGGGGCATCTTGGGGGTGATGGAGGGGCGGGGCGGGGCGTGAGGTGGGGGTGAGGCGAGGTTTATATCTTTTTTTTTTGGAGAGGGCAGGACGGGGTCGGGCGGATGCAGCCGAGACTGAGAGCGAGGGGAAGGGGGAATGAGAGGGATGAGTACGGTTCAGTTTCGACGTATGGCGTGGGGATGCTTGGTGGGGTGGGTCTGCTGGAAGTTTGAGCGCTTCACTGACGTACTTGGTTGAATCTAGCTGGGCTTTTCATACGGATTCAAAGGCTCACAAGGAGGTTTACTATCTGGCTCTCATGCCTTCTAAACTAGCCGTCCTTCAACGACAAGGCCGGCTCTGCCGTCTTCACGTCCTCCCCATACGCCGGCGCCTTCAAATCGTCCTCGTCCACCTGCTCCCCCGTCACCGGATGCGTGTAGTGGAATGGGATACACCTCGTATCCGGCCACAGCATCTTCTGCTCGACCAGCTCATCCGGGCCCAGCGGGTCGTCCGGAAACGCCGTCTTCGCAAACGGCACGTAATTCTCCTTGGTCAGCGCCCAGCCGGTGGCGTGCTCGCCGTGCCAAAACGCAAAGTAGCGGTACTTCCAGATCTTCCACACGCCGCCCTCCTTGATGTACTCGTTCTCGTACACGCCGCCCTCCCACCACTGCCGCGGCGACGTGCCGTCGGCCCCGTGCCCGCGCGGGTGCGCGTCCGCCACGCTGCCGTGCACCCCGGCGCTCATCAGCGCCCGCCACCGGCCCCACGCCCGCTCGCCCGACGGATCCACGTCGATGATGTCTTGCATCATGGCGTGGTCCAGCAGGAACCCGTGCACCGGCCCGTTGCGCCCCCGCACGAAGTTTTGCGCGAACCGCTCGATGTACAGCCGCCGCACGCCGGCTTTGCCGCGGTAGCGCCCCCCGAGGAACTCGACGAATGTGCCGGGGTCGTCGGCGAAGAGGTCGACGACCTGTGACGTGTTTGCGGGTCGGCGACGGTTCATGTGTCGGAGGGAGGGGGTGGTGTGGCTTGCTTACCTGCTTGTACAGGCACTTGTCCAGGTAGTACCCGTACTTGTGGTGTAGCTTTCGCACTTCGGCCTCGTCTGGTGCGCGGGCTTGTCAGATGTCGTGCATGCGGACGCGAACGCGAACCCGTCTTGGATTCTCAAATACCTTGGACCTTGTTCAGCCGGTTGGTGAGCGCCTCGACCTGCGACTGCAGCTGGGCTACTTGGTTCTCGGCCATTTCTGTGCGAGGTTGTTACCAGGGAAGCCCTGATGATGGTCTGCAGGCTCTGCGGCGGATGGGGCGAGGGTGCGATACTCTTTATGGCGAACAAGGCTTCGGCTGGCAAATGGCGACATGGCGGAGGAGGCGCTGGCCTCCCCCGCTTGTGATGGGAGGATCGTTGCGCAGTGAACACTATGGGGGAAGTGTTCGGGACCATGATGCCGATGGGAGGTGCTGGGGTTCGTGTCGCGGATGAGCAGCCCCACCCCCGCATTCACTACCCTGCAGATCTGCCGTGTGTTATTCAGAATCTTTCCCCGCATGTTGTTAGTATGCGTGTTTCGTCAGTTCGCAAGATGGAGTGGCTCTCAAGGCCTTATTGGTGTCGAGATGGCGAATGGGCAGTTGAGGCGGCCTGTGAGAGAGTTGCGCAGGCCCCCGCGGAATGCATCATCATACTCTCATTTGATAAAGCTTGTCAGGAACGATGAGGCGTTACTTTGGTTGGAGGAGATTGATTGACTGTGCATCACCCTCCTTGGGGGACAAAGATGCAATCAACACGTCGTCCATCACAAAGTTTACGCAGAATAGAGTTCCAACTCCAAACACTCCGACCACGGGCGCTGCGAAGTAAAAAGCTGGTGATGCCGCGGATCAACAGACGACCCCTGCATTAGCTTCCCCGCATTATCAACCCTCTCCACAGCCGTCATGAACCCTCAGCTCGCACCTTCCTCCATCCCCATACACCCACCACGCACTTCTCGGAAGCATCGCACCCGCCGCCATGCCGACCACACAACCTGGCTCCGAGGCGGCCCCGGCAGGCGTCAAGAACAACAGGCAGAATGTGCGGAAGAAGCGAACAGCGGTGAGCTGTGACCGGTGCAAGAACCGCAAAACAAAGGTAAACATGCAGCTCCACTGCGCGCCGGTGCTATGTAGGAATCCTTCTGATGGGGTGTTCTCTTTAGTGCATAGATCCAGGTACATGGCATCTCCCCTCCCCTTCTTCGCCCGCACTGCTGACCCAACGACAAATGCAGTCCCCGGCCCTTGCCACTACTGCGCCAGCATCAACGCGCCGTGCAAGACGGACCTCAACCGCCGCAAGAAGCGGCCGTACTACCACGTCTCGGAAGAAGAGTACCGGTGCATGACGACCATCCTGCGGCACTACCTGCCGGAAGTCGAGTTCAACCTGCCGTCGCTCAAGGCCCTCTGCCAGCGGCTTGAAGGCCTCAGTGCAGCAGGCGATGATGATGAGAATGACGACGACGATTTTAGTGCTAGGCCTAGCCCGATGCCGATACCGATGCCGACTACGACTGCCACTCGCGACGGGGAAGAGGTCTTTGGCCCGGACGATCCACGACATCACGGCGACGGAACGATGGCCACGCCGCTCAATAATCCAAGCAGCAGTCCGGAGGAGCAGACGGCTGGCGGGAAGGAGGAAGAGGAGGAGGAGAAGGCCGGTATGCAGGAGATACAGGAGTTGCAGGAGCATCTGGGCTGTCTGATGATAGATTCGCGAGGAAACTACAGTAGGATTTGCCCCAGCACTCTGCTTTCCGTTTTATGATCATGCTGATATTTGGGTTGCAATAAAAGGACACGTCGGCACGGACTCGTCGATAGGATTCAACGCGGCGATCCGCATGATCAAGGGGAATAACCACCACCACCACCACAACGGAATGCACGAGGACCAGACGGAAGCTGACCACCCCAAAAATAACGCGCTACCAGAAAACATCATCATCCAGCCCCTGACTACAACCAGCCTGCCTCCGGCGACTCCAGAGAGCTCTGTGGGTGGCACCGAGTACAGCTACTCATGTCCTTCCTCTTCTTCTCCTCCCTCGTCTTGCTCGGGCGCCCACAACGCCGGCGTCTACCTCCCTCGGCTCGAACAAGCATCAGCGAGCATCCAACGCTACTTCGATGAAGTGCACTGCCTGTACTGGCTCTTCTCAACGGAACAGTTTCATGAGCGCGTGCACGAGACGTACATGACGGGCGGCATCCTCGCGGGTGCGTCGTGGATGTGCTGCTTGTATTCCATTTTCGCCATCGGCGGGAGCGGCGGCGGTGGAAGTGGCGTGGAGGGCGCCGGGCAGCAGCAGGGAGCACAGCAGAAGACGTCGGCAGAGTATCTGGTCATGGCGAAGGCGCTGGTGCCGCAGGTGGTCGACGAGGCGGATGTGGATAGCGTCAGGGCGCTGACACTGCTTGTATGATGTGCACCCCCGTTTTCGCAGCATGACCTGCACTGACACACCCTCGTTACGTCCCAGGCCCTCGCACTCCAAACCGAGTGCTACACCAACGCGGCATACCTCTACATCGGCACGGCCGTCCGCACAGCCTACTCGCTAGGCTTGCACGTGGAGAAGGCGGCGCCGCCTACGCGCGGGCGGCTGGAGCGCGAGCAGAACCGGCGCATATGGTGGACACTGTACCTGCTGGATTACGAGATGGCGCACCGCTACGGCAATCCGTGCGCTGTGATTGACGAGATGCAAGACGTGCAGGTGCAGATGCCGTCGGAACAGGTACGTGTGTCGTCTCCCCTTCTTCCGCCCACCTCACGTCTCAAGCCACCCGACTGACAGTCTCTCCCTCCCTCGTTCGCCCGCCCCACCAGATCCTCAGCCCCGGCCCCAACACCCCCCTCGGCTTCCTCGCCGCCTCCTCCACCCTCTGCGCCATCTCGCGCCACATCCGAACCGCCCTCCACAACCACCACCACCAAAAGGCCCCGGCCGCCACCACCACGACAACGACATCACAACCACCACCGAAAGCCCCGAACTCGACATCCCTCCCCACCCTCCTCACCACCCTCCACGCCTGGCACGCCTCCCTCCCGCCGCACCTCTCCGCCGCCGCACTCCCGCTCCACACGCCCCCCGCCCACCGCCGCGCCCTCGCCGTGCTGCACGCCCGCTACTGGGCCGCCGTCGTCTTGGCCACGCGGCCGTTCCTGCTGTCGACCGCGTTGGGCGCGTTGGGCCGGGGGGCCGGGGGGCGGCGGCGGCGGCGGCACTGCATGAGGCGATGGCGGCGGCGGGAACGGGAACGGGAACGGGAACGAGGAGAGGGTTGGGCTGGGGGTGATGAGTGGAGAGAGGGGGAGGGAGAGGGGCGCCGGACGGACGAGGAGGAGGTGGAGATGGAGATGGAGATGGACTTGGGACACTGCAGCTCGTCGTCGTCGTCGGCGGCGGCGGCGGCTGGTCGCTGCGCGTGCCGTCGTCGGAGTGGTGGAGGGGACGGCCTGCATGACGACGAGGACGCAGGCATGGCGTCGTCGTCGGTGGCTGAGAAGCGGCAGCAGCAGTGGCGGCGGCGGGGGTTTGCGGAGGAGATGTCGGCCACGTGTGTGGGGGCGGCGCGGAGGGGGTTGGATGTCATGCGGACGATGGTGAACAAAAGTGGTGGTGGTGATGCTGGTGGTGGTACTGGGTCATCTTCGCTGAGCAGTTTGGTTAATTTCGACTGCTCCAACTTGCTGGAGCTGGTGCAGGTGTTCCGGCTGGCGATGGTGTTGGACGAGGAGGAGGATGAAGACGATGAGGAGGAGCAGGAGGGCGAGGAGAAAGAGATGGAGGAGACGACATCAGCGGCACCGCGCGAACTGTCGTCATCGTCTAATTTCTCGCATGATAAGTCATGTTGCTGCGGTGTCGAAGAGGGCGGTGGTGCCAGCAGGACGAGTGCGCGGACAGGGGCAACTAAGATCAAGGAAATGTGGACGCAACGGATTCACGAGGCGGTGGAGATCATGCACGCCATGGAACCGGTGGGATGGACGGCAAGGGCGTTGCCTGAGCTCTCGGCGCAGCTGCGGGAGTGCGGGATTTTGGATGGAGAGGACTGGCGTGGTGGTGGCAATGGTGGCTGCGACGATGCTGAGCTAGCGCCACCGCTGGGCATGGAGGACATGATAAGGGATGCGATGACGGGGCAGCCGAGTGCAGGTTTTGGCGGCGTCGAGGGCATGGAAGCGGATGACAGTCTGGGGACACTGTTCTTTGGCGACGTCCTCGGCGACCCAACAGCTGCGTTCGGCGACACGATGGACAACAACATCTTGTTCCTGGACATCGACTTCGCCTGAGCGGCTCCACGGCTGAGCATGGCGTGATATTTTGTTCATGGCAAGCTCCGTGTCGGATGTGCATCGGATGTACGCAATCAAGCGACGGCCACCGCGGGGGCGGAGGCGCACCTGAGTCTGGCCGGTGGAAGTTGCCAGCGACATGTATCTAGTCCGAACTCCTGATCGGCAACAAGTCGCGCTTCTCGACCGTGATAGTTTCATGCAACCAGTCACACTGCTGAAACGTGTTTCATGAGAATTGTGTCAACGTCAGCACACGACCTCGTAGGCCGCCTGAAGGTAGGGTACAAACAAGGGTGCTACGTACTGATCGCCTCCAGAGTCATGTCCCCGCATCTTTAACGAGTCATCAACTCCAGGCACAGATGGTGCAATTGCGAGGAACGCCAGGTCAGTGCCACTTGCGGACGCATGAAGCCAACGGAAATAACTCCCTCGCACGGCATGTGGGGGACGGGTTGGGCCAAGTTGGCGCTGCGAAGTCCGGCTTGGTTCAACTTAAGCATTTTGGATCTGACGCAGCCACTCGTCTGTTCGACAGCTCCCTGTCAGGCGTCCCGAGCACTACTGAAGTATAACAGATAGATGGAAAAGAAAACTTGGTCAGCCTGCAGCAGCAGTAGTATTGTCTGAATCACTACTACTGCTCGCTCATCGCTTCGTACCAGCGAAACGTTGACGGTTTTGGATAGGGATGAGCCATGGTGCCATCCGGAGTACCCTCCGGTCCCAATCTATTTCAGTACAGGAGTCTCGCCAGGCAAGAACGTGCCACCGTCTGATGGCTGCGCAAAGCAAATATGATCGAACGGAGAGCAACGCAGCCATGCCGCTTGCATGTTGAAATGTTCCTGCGAGGACGACTGCCCCAGCGGCATGCGCGGCTTGGTACGAGAGCCGGTCTCGTATAACCGGGTCGAGGCTTCGGCTTGCCCATCGGATCCTAGCCTTGGCCGGGGACGGCTAGGGGGGCTTCCTTCAGCTCGCCGGAGCAGCCGCTAGCACACCTAGCAGATCAGCCACCACATGGAGCTCTCGCGCATTGTTGCGGAATAGCCGTCGTCGCTAACCAACCAAGGAACAGTTTTTTTTACGGCCGTTTTGATCGTTCGACTGCCGCGACACCTGAGTCGCGTTGTGGGGGCGAAGGAAGCCGACTTCCTACTCCGGAATGACCTTTGACTGGTGGTGGAAATACATCCGCTGCTTTTCTGCCATTAAGCTCCCGGCTTTCTCTGGCAGGCATCTGCCTCGACTCTGCCGACATCCAAACAAACCTTCACCACCAACCACCATCGGCCAGAGAATGGGAGGCGGTCTGAGCCCTCCGCGAGCCCTGCTCATCGAGTGGGCCACCAATCGGGACAAGTATCCCTATGGCGAGCGGCGCGGTCCTTTCGTCATCGTCATTGGAGGCGTGTTGCTTGTTGCTACGCTGGCAGTCGTTGGTGCAAGGCTGTGGGCGCGCTGTAAGATCAGACGCAACGCCGGCCTGGACGACTGGCTGATCCTGGCAACCATCGTGGGTTGGCCCCAAAGAGCATCGCTCCTTTGAAAGCATCTTTACTGACGGTGACAACAGCCCCTCTTACTGGTCTACGACGCCTGCCATGCTCTGGGTATGCAACCAAACCACAACCGCATCTCCAACCCAGTCTGACTCTTCCATCCAGGATTCTTCTCCTATGGCGTCGACCGTCACGCCTGGGAGGTCACCATCACCCAAGCCGTGGGCATTCGCATCATCACCTGGTGCATCGCCGTCGGCTACATGCTCATCACTTCCATGGTCAAGATTTCCATTCTCATGTTCTACCGCCGCCTCAGTGAAGGCAGCGTTACCAAGTCCTGGATCTGGACTGTGCGCGCCTTCATCGCCTTTGTCATTCTATACGCCGTCGTTTTCACCCTTATGCTGTTCGTCGACTGCCGGCCGCTGCACGCCTTCTGGAACAAGATGGACCCCGAATGGGCCCTGACCAACAACTACACCTGCTTTAACGAAGGCGCCGACTTCATCGCCTCAGCCATCGTCAGCGTCATCACCGACGCAGCCGTGTGCGTGCTCCCGCTCCTCGTTGTCCGGCGTCTGCAGATGCCACGGAAGCAAAAATGGGCACTAAGCGCCCTCTTCGGCGTCGGGTTCTTGTAAGTGAAGCCATCCCACAGCCCCATCCGCAGGGAGGGAGGGACAAAAGAAAAAGAAAAAGAACAAGGAAAAGAAAGAGAAAAAGGAAACCCAAGACCGACACTTACTCACACGAATCACCACACAGCCTCTGCCTCTGCGGCATCATGCGCGTCGTCTACATGTACAACATCTACTACACCACGTACGACACCACCTGGGCCGCCGCCACCGTCTGGTCCTGGACCCTCGTTGAGACGCACTTCGCCATCATCTGCGCGTCGGCGCCCGCGCTGAAGCTCTTCTTCCGCCGCTTCCTGCAGTCGACCCACGGCCAAAGCTACACCACCCGCCAGCGCCAGGACTACAACAACTTCGGCAGCAGCGCCGAGCTGGGCGCCATGGGTGCGTCGGCCGGCGGCGACGGCAGGCGCGCCAAGGATCTCGAGGGCGGCGAGGGCGGCATCTACATGGCGGACATGCTGAGGGAGGGGTTCGCGTCGACGAATGGCAGCAAGTCGCCTGTGTCGGTGACGGTTACGGATGCGGAGAGCGCCGAGGATGACGGGCTGGCGGATGTGGTGGCGGGGATTGATATGCGCACCATGGAGGAGCGGTCGACGAAGAGCATTGTGCGGAGCAGGGGGAGTACGGACAGTATATTGGAGACGAGATGATGAACATGGACATGTTTGGTACACGGGCGGCGTTTGGGCGGGAAGGGTTTGCTTCCCTGCATGACGGTCACTGTATTTTCTTGCGTACGTCGTTCGGCGCTGATGATGATCCTGCTTCGGCTCATCCTTGTGCCGGACCTGCGTTTAACCTCCTGGAGAGTGTTTGCCCACGTGGTAGTCAGGCACAGACAGAGCTGTGGCCCAGCACGCTTCTATTATTACTTTAATAACGCAACTCCCACGTACTAGCATGGATCAGAAGTCGCGGAGAAAATAATCTTAGACCGGAGCTTGTGGACGAAACGAGTTAGCCACGGTGTATCTACGAAATGCACGATGCTTTGGCCTCTGTTTACGAGTCGCGCATCGAGATCGCCGACTTGGTTTACGTCGATCCTGAGCACATACCTTTGGGGCTGAAGCCGCTGCAACTTGGCACTACACACGCAGTTCGGGACACAGTCCGTCTTCCATGCGCAGGATGCACATTCGTTCCGATACACTTGAAGCACGGACTCAAAACCAAAGGATACGCCGGCTTGAAAACACCCGTTCATGGTTGGGCATCTTATGTGTGATCGAGCGTTGTTGTACGCGGCTTTGGTACCTGCTATTATCCATGGAGTTTTTGCTCTTTTCAGGCCTGAATCAATATCCTCCAATCTCGTTGACGTCTTTTTTTTTTTTCATGCAAGGCAGAGGTGCGGATTAAACTTTGGAGGATCAGCAGGGCGAAGTAAGCGCCGCCGACCTTGATGAAATGCCGAACCTGACTTGCCGAAAGGTAGTCGCCAAATCAACAGGAACAACTACATGTGGAAAGATAGTCCTTGATTGAGAGGAGCGTCCTTTGCTGTGGGGTAATCCATCCGCATAAGCAGTCTCCCCGCACTCGGGTAGATGCACCCGAGCCATCACCTTCCGGCCCGATCCGCCCGCCGTGGAAGCGTTTTTATGTCTGTGGCTGCGACTTTTGCAGACTTGGTGGAGCTCCGAATCAAACTATAATGGCACATATCCACGACATTGCCGGCGAGGTGGAGGTGGAGAAGCGTAGCTATGTCAACGGTGTGAAGGTTGGCGAGCAAGTCAAGTTCCCGGAAACGGTTGCCTTCAGCGGCTTCAACAAACCCTCGCGTTTCGAAGGCGACATCTTCGAGCTCGAGGTCGACGGCGAGATCCCCAAGGATATCGATGGCACCTTCTACCGCATCCAGCCGGACCACCAGTTCCCGCCCATGTTCGAGGACGACGTCCACTTCAACGGCGATGGCGCCGTGACGGCGATTCGGATCCAGAACGGACATGCGCATTTCAAACACCGCTACGTCCGCACAGATCGCTTCAATCACGAGAGAGTGGCGCAGAAGAGCCTCTTCGGACGGTACCGAAACAAGTTCACCGACAACGAGAGTGTCAAAGGCGTCATCCGAACCGCGTCCAACACCAACATTGTCTTCTGGAGAGGCGTGCTGCTGGCCACCAAGGAGGACGGCCCGCCTTTTGCCATGGACCCGGTCACGCTGGAAACCATTGGCCGGTACGACTTTGACGGACAGGTCCTCTCCCCGACCTTCACCGCCCACCCCAAATTCGACCCGGACACGGGTGAAATGGTCTGCTTCGGCTACGAAGCCGGAGGAGATGGGAACGATGCATCCTGCGACATTGTCGTCTACACCATCGACAAAGACGGCAAGAAGACTGAAGAGTGCTGGTACAAGGCGCCCTTCTGCGGCATGATACACGACTGCGGCATCAGCGAGAACTACGTCGTCCTCCCCATGACGCCCCTGAAATGCTCGCTCGACCGGCTGAAGAAAGGCGGCAACCACTGGGCCTGGGACCCCGACGAGGACCAACTCTACGGCATCGTCCCACGCCGCGGCGGCAAGCCCGACGACATAATCTGGCTCCGCGCCGACAACGGTAAGCACCCCGGCAGCACTCTGCCTCCCCTCTCCCTCCCTCCACTAATCCCCACCACCCCCCCAGGCTTCCACGGCCACGTCGCCGGCTGCTACGAAAACGACTCCGGCCACATAATCTTCGACCTCACCGTCGCCGACGGCAACGTCTTCTTCTTCTTCCCCCCGGACACCCCCTCCGCCGCCCCCAACGACGGCCTCACCAAGCGCAACAAGCTCTCCAGCCCCACCCTCCGCTGGACCTTCGACCCGCGCGCCCACCGCACCGGCGACCGCGTCCGCCCCACCGCCGCCTTCCCCCACACCAACGGCGAGTTCTCCCGCATCGACGACCGCCGCGTCGCCAAGCCCTACACCCACTTCTGGCAGTGCCACGTCGACCCCGCCCGCCCCTACGACGCCGCCGCCTGCGGGCCCCCCGCCGGCGGCCTGTTCAACACCCTCGCCCACCTCGCGTGGGACCACCTGTCCGCCCGCGACTCGTACTGGGCCGGCCCGCGCGCCACGTTTCAGGAACCGACGTTCGTGCCGAGGAGGGGCGTGGCGGCCGCGGAAGCGGAAGCGGAGGAGGCCGAGGGGGAGGGGTACGTCGTTGCGTTGGTGAATCGCTTGGATGAGTTGCGGAATGATGTCGTGATCATGGATGCGCGGGATCTGGCGAGGGGCCCGTTGGCCACGGTGCGGTTGCCGCTGAAGTTGAAGTTGGGGTTGCATGGGAATTGGGTGGATGCGAGGGAGATTGAGGAGTGGACGGAGAGGAGGAGGGAGGGGGGCGTGGTGGGGCCGGCGAGGGGGGCGGAGAGGCCGTTGCCGTGGCAGGTCAGGTTGATGGAGGCGGAGGGTGGGGTGGATGGACGTGGTGAGGCGGCGTCTGGGTGATTGAGGTTGCAGTGGGATGAGTTGTTGTATTTACATGTTTGATGCTAGCATCTCAGATGAAGTGGAAGGTCGTCCTCTCGCATTCTCCCCTTTCCAACATTTCGATCGCCTCCCCGTTCATGATACCGTGAACATAGCAAGGACCACACAGTCTGTACAAATGCTCACCTGCAGACGGAAGTTGCCAAACAATGAATGGGGGTTTAGCCCCGAAGAGAATACAAACATCATGCCCAGGCCGAGTAACTTCTGGCCCCACTCCTATCCAACCGCGCGAAGTAGTGAAGAAACGATGATCGTAAGGTTCCATCCAATACCGAAAGTATCCTATCTCTTCATGGGAAATCAAATCCTCTAAACCCGAAACGTCCAACCTCATTGCATCGGCATATGCCACTGCACCGCCTAGGAATCGAGAGTCCTCGGATTCCATTCCGATGTAGCCCAATGACAAACACATTGCCTCCAATAGACTGCGTGATTGTTCGCCACCAATTTTGCGGAGAAGATTCCAAGTTTGGCTGAACGGATGTGGGTAGGCGCAGTCGAACGCTTCGGTGGGCTCCTCTGGAAAATGATCACCGTGGAGCATGTCGGAAGTCCACACAACGGAATCATGGATGAACCCCTCCACATCTAACCTTCGTCCATCGTAGCAAACTTTTGCGGTAGTCTGCCCATGCGATGCGAAACGACTGTATCTGTAGGAATGTGAAACACTATAGTCCCATCGCGGAACCCACGAGCTGGCCTCGAGGTCTAGGATAGACTCTGTACCATGCTCGACAAAATTCAGAAGGTCAAGAGATGAGTAGCCTTCCGACTGCAGTATTCGCACGGCGACGGACCTGTAGAGTTCCGAGGGGGGGACTTCATAGTCGACGGGAAGATAGAGCTCGGAAGATGGGTTCGATAGGCTATCTTGCAAGGCTCTATGCCCGAGAAAAGCATATACTCGATCCCTGCTGTCAGAACAGAGTTTATTTGTACCGATGTCCAAAATATCAAGAATACTTTTGCTGGGGTTTCGAAAGTTGGTGAGACATAAAAGAATGACACTGGACAAGGGAAATGGCCAACGCAAGTTGTTATCGTCCAGAAAGTCCGTCAAATACCAGCAAAACGAGGAGAATACTTCCCACTCCAAAGAAGCCGATCCGAAGTGTAAGATGGCAACTGATGCAAGGCCGACCTCTTGGATGACCCAGAGACGGTCGAACCAGCCTGAACGGTCGAGGCGATTGATACAGAGCCAGTATCTCTCACCATATGCTAGGATCTGATGGTCGAAATCGATATTGGATTGGCCCGGTAGTGGAAGAAGACGCTCCGATGCACGAATGAATTGGAATAACGCAGTAGCGTTCCAACTCTCGTCGAGGCCCAGCCAGACGAGTACTCTTCTGGCCCTTTCATATACTTTTGACATGTTTTGCACTTGGTGACCCTGTTCTGTAGGGTCGTCTTGATTGATGCATACCGAGTCGGCCCATAGGATTCGCTTCTTTCTTAGTCGACGGAACTTCCTGAGGCCATGTTCCAGGTTCCAGGGGATGCGCAGTCTTCTATCGTGGCATAGGATGTCTCCACACTCTTCGGCGGGGCCCCAGGCGTATGAGATGGCCTCGTATGATGGCGCCATGTCGAGAGGCTCCACGATGAGTTCGCAGCGGATGGGCTCCCAGTTCCGCCCAGGAAGGAGCACCAGAAGCCGAATGTGATCAGTGTCGTTGAATGGCTCGTAGGAATAGCGACGTATTTCTGAGGGAATGAAGGATCTTGTCGGAAGAGGTGGTGTGGCGTTTCTTTTCCTCTGGGTCTTGCGGGCCCGCCGAGGCTGTCGGCACTTCTTCCTGATTGGGGGCGGGCAGTGTGCGTTACGGCGACCGTAGTGCCCGCAGTGGGAGCAGCGCTGCATCGAGATGAGATTCGCGGGGACGATGATGCTGTTCGACTGAGGTGATGCAGAGGAGGAAGTTGGGACTGAAGATTGAAAAGGCTTTAGGCAGCAGGCCAGGCTTACGAGGACTCCAGGTGTGTGCGGGGTTCAGCGCTGAAGGAGGCTGTGGCTGCAGAGCCTTGTGCATGTTACACGACCTGTGGCCAATGATACCATGAGGCTGCCGAACACTACTAGCCCTCACCCGAGGTGCTGTGCTTTCAAGACCGAGCAGTGCCTCTCTCTGGCTTTTCAGTAATACTTGTTCGCTTCTACGACGGTAGCGGAGAGCCAGGCGTTTGATGTAGTGCCCATATCAGCCGACCAATCAGAACCTCCGCACGCCGACAACACCCGGCGACAAGCATCAGTGGTTGACAAGGATTCATCACCGATGGACGAGTAGACGCAACATGTCATCGCTTTCGCTTCGCACTGCTTGAATGGCCAGCCCTTATCCTCCCCACTCCTGCGTTTTCTAATCCCAAAGCGGAAATTTACGAGCACGTCCAATCGGTACGGTACGGAAATCTCTGTGATATAAGAACAGGACGAATCCGCACCACCGGCGTTGCCATCAGCTCAGTACACACCAGAGTAACCAACATGTCCAGAATAGTCATCCGCAACGCATCCATCCTGACTTTGGATGACAAGGATACCTTCCTGTACCCTGCCACCCTGGTCATCCAAGACGACCGCATCGTCGACATGTTCGAGGGCGAGAAGGACACGGCCTCGGACACGCCCACAACCATTATCGATGGCACCGACAAGCTCGTCATGCCCGGCCTCATCGACCTGCACTTTCATACCAGCGTAGCCAAGGTCCACCTTCCCGTCTCCTGACCAGACTCTCCATGCTCACCCACAGACAGGGCTACAACGACACCCTCCCCCTCTGGGAATACCTCGACACCGTCTGGTACCCCTCGATCCGCTCCCTCACCCCATCCACCGCCCTCACCGCCGCCCTGCACTCGTACACGACCGCCCTCAAATCCGGCACCACCACCGTCAACGACATGTACCGCTTCCTCCCCTCCCTCGCCGCCGCCGCCCGCCAAACCGGCATCCGCGCCGTCCTCGCCAACGACGTCGCCCTCCCCGCCCACGCCCTCGACTCCCTCGCCACCAACGTCGCCGCCTTCCACGCCCTCGACGAGTCGGCCTCCTCCCCCCCGGGCCGCATCCGCGTCCGCCTCGGCCTCGAGTGGCTGCCCCTCGCCGACGAGCCGCTGCTCGCCGCCGTCGCCGCCGCCCAGCGCGACCTGCACGTCGGCCTCCACATCCACCTCTGCGAGTCCGCCTCCGAGGTCGCCGACGCCGCCGCCCGCTTCGGCGGCCGCACCCCCGTCCAGGTCTTCCGCGACGCCGGCCTGCTGGGCCCCCGCACCGTCGCCGCCCACTGCGTGCACCTGTCCGACGCCGACGTGCGCATCCTCGCCCAGACGGGCACCCACGTCAGCTTCAACCCGGGCAGCAACGCGAAGCTGGCCAACGGCGTCGCGCGCGTCGACGCGCTGGTGGCGGCCGGCGTCAACGTCGGGCTCGGCGTCGACGCCGCCGAGTGCCACAACTCGACCGACATGTTTGAGTCGATGAAGCTGGGGAGCTATGTGCGCAGGGCCGCGAGCCGGGATGCCGCCGTCGGCGCTGCGAGGGAGATGTTGAGGTTTGCGACGGAGAATGGGGCGAGGGCGTTGGGGCTGGATGCCGGCGTGCTGGAGGTGGGGAGGAAGGCGGATGTCATTTTGGTGGATTTGAGGCGCGATTTGATGTTCACGCCGCTGTTGAGGGAGAAGGGGAAGAGGAGGGAGATGTTGGAGAGTCATTTGGTGTTTGGGTGCAATGGCACGGCGGTGGACACGGTGATTGTGGATGGGAGGATCGTGGTCGAGGGGAGGAAGGTGCTGGGCGTGGATGAGGAGCAGTTGAGGAGGGACATGGATGCTTTGTTTGAAGATTTGGTCGGTGAGATGGAGAAGCAGAGGTTTGATCGCGAGAAGGCTGCTCCACAGTAGATCTTTGGGAAACCAGATCAATTTCTCAATGTCACCTTCATATCGAGACTGTCCTAGTGGATCGATGCGTATTCCTATCCTCTTCCTCATACCTACTTAAGGAAACCCCCTCGATAGGATTTCTCTCTCTTTGGTGTTTGGATTCTCAGAGGCAGAGGCTCGCCGTTACATGTTATATAAGTTCTTATCGGCCCCAATACGATACTGGATCCTGAGGACGGTAATTCGTGGATCGTCTTTTGGCCCCCATCGGAAAAAGCACATATTCACACGTCAGCAGACATAGCCTTGCTGGACATAAGTTGAGCAAGAGTCCCAGCTACTTCAGCCACTCGACCGAAGTCACCATCCTCGCAAACCGTGAGTCTGCCACTTGATGGAACCTGCGTTCACAAGGGCCACTTACGAGTTTGAGAGCAGCTTTGAACGTCCGCATCCACCATGGAACACCTATTCATCCATCTCGATGATAGAACGGTTGCGTCCAAAATTGCAGAAGCCCTAAACTCAGAGATCCTGTTGGAAGAAGAGCTGAACAGGAAGACGTCCCTCATTCCGCCCGTTGAACCATACACTGAATGGAGAGGATTTGATCATGATCAGCTCGATGATGACGAGCGAACAATTCAAGGCGAGCTTGCGGAATATCCAACTGCACGCGGCTGGACGATTGATCGGGCCTGGCTGGAGGGAGACCTGCGAGAGGCACATCCGGACTTCCGAGACAGCGACCTCGGTCCGGCGGATGTGGCCAAGAGGGTTGCCGCAATGGTCCAAAGTTGGTTGTACTTTGGGCTACTGGAGGCATTCCTTGAGAAAGGCGTTCATACATCGTACTTCCTGCGTTGCGGCGACGGTGGTACTCGATACATCCATTCCGGATACCTTGGATTCGCTCTCTATGCCTGGAAGATCTCAGCCAGCCATGTCGACGCAACTAAATTGCTGGACAGCAGCTGGGATAGCTTGAGAGTTGTGACCTCCGTCGTTCAGTTGCTCTATCTCTACACCGACCCTGATACTGCCCGAGGACGTCGTACAGAACAAGACTTTCCCGGCTTTACAGAGTCTGTCGCGGAAATTGTGCCGTCTATTCTTCGACTGGTTGATGCCATCTCATACGCAAGAGATCTCATTGCATCAAACACTGGAAGCCGCATTTATGTCCTTCAGGGACCCTCGCACATGACAGCTGCGCGTGATTCCCGACTTCTACTCCGGGGCTGGTGTCCGTTCCTTCTCCGATTCTGTCGGGACGGCCTGCCAGATTCGGTGCTGGATTGGCTTGACGGAACGCAAAGATCTAGTGTCATTGGAGGACACGAAAATTGCACCTACGCTGAGTGCGCTCGAAATGACATCGACCCAGAAACCTACAGCACACTTCATACAGAGCAGGGCTGCTCTTGTTCGCTCGTTCGACCAGACTCAACAAAGGTGCTTTCGATTATCGACCATGGGATGATCCCTCTTGTTCGACTCGGACCTGACTCGGCCATTGAGGTTGCACACCACGATCCACGTACTGTGGGAAACTATGTGGCAATATCCCATGTTTGGGTTGACGGGCTGGGAAGCGTAACAGAAAAAGGTCTACCTGCATGTCAGGTCGGAAAACTTGCCGCAACAGTCGATTCTGCATCTGGATCGACAAACACGCCTTTCTGGATAGACTCCCTATGCATCCCAGAGGCCAACAAACAAAGAAAAGCCTCCATTGCTCTTTTGAGGGATGTATATCAGCAAGCAGCCAGCGTTCTGGTCATCGACAAGACTATCACCACGTGTCCCCTAGGAAATGGTGCTCTACCAGAAGACTTCCTGTGGGCAATTGTCTCCTCTGCCTGGGCACAACGATTGTGGACCTACCAGGAGAGCTACCTTGCCCGCCAGGTGCAGTTCTGCATGACCGATAGTACCATCATAACCTGGGACCAGAAGCTTCCTCCATCTCGCAGCATCTCTACCCTAACGGTCATACACACGTCCCTGGATCAGCACCTACGACGTCTCCGACCGCCCATCGAACAGCGTAGAGAAAAGATAGCGCAGAGGAAAACAAACATTGGTGAAGTGGCTACAGCCATCAACTGGCGGTCGACCAGCAGGGTTTCCGACGAAACCCTCGCCGTTGCTGCTCTCCTCCTCCTGGATACGAGGAAACTCGTCGACATTCCATCAGATCGCCCCGCAGAACGGATGAAGCAGCTGTACCTGCTTGCCAAGAACCTGCCGCATGACATCATCTTCTTCTTTGGACCTACAATGCCTTCGTCCCCGTTCCGCTGGGCCCCGACCTCCTTGATGGCACGGTCGCCTGTCAACCTCGACATGGCCGACCAGGGACATTCTGCCATTTGCACCGAAAACGGACTGCATGGGCGATACTTTGCGCTTTTCGTCGACTCGACCTTAAGGGGACGCCCAAACAGCGACCTTGGAAACCTCTACGTGTGTATTGTGGCAGGTGACGATGGTATATGCGGAATCAACTGGTTTACATTTCCCTGGCAGAGCTCACTGGAGGTGGAGTATGATACCCTCATCATTCGCGAGGTTGATGGAGCCTACCTGAAGCCAGAGATTGGCAATGTGGTGGAAGCCGTTGCTGTACGAAGGAAGGCTCAATCTCCGGACGGCCTCGTGTGTGACTGGGCGGGCAGAGTCACGCTTTTGAAGTACGAGACGGGTGACTCGGAGGCCCCTTCGCCGGAGGAGTACCCGAACCTTCCGACTGCGAGATGGGAGGAGAAGGCTTTCATTATCACGTAGGGAGTCACCTGTAGCAAGGGAGACGCTTGCAGGAATGGCGGCACCGGTACCCCTTTCTCATCGTGCAGCTACCTAGTCAGCTAGCGTGGGCTTCTTGCGATGCCGGTCCTTTCCCTTATCGGATGGGCGTCTCCAAGAGAGCGTGTGTCGACTTATTTGTGGAGTGGTAAGCAAGGCTGAGGATATGCTTACGGTTACGCAAGGTGTGGGGGCTTCACTGATAAAGCAAGGGCGCTAGTGCGCGGTGCGGTGATGCTTCCGATGGGACGTGAATCAGTAGCGAGTCAGACACGGGGCTGGGTTACTCGTACATGCGACTGTAGCTCTGCGTGGAGGATGATGTGACATTTCCTAGGGAATGCTGAGCAATGACGGTATCACCGCCAGCCTTGTTCGCGGCTACGAAGTCCAATGACGCCATGATGTGCCACTGTCGGGCCGATATTTAGCCGGATCGCCACCTGGCTTCTACGCTCGTAGCTAGCACTTCTAGATAGAATACTACACCCCTCCGACTTACGTTATTAATACGATAATCTTTATTACCTCTTATATACCCCCTCTTTATTAAGCCTAACGCGGGGAGACGATTTAGAACGATAGTTAACTAAAGCCAGTCCTAGTACGCTATCGTAATATTAAAACCGTATCTTAAAGTAATAGCGACTAGGCGTCTACGAAGAGCGACGATTTAAACTACGAATACTAGCGATTATAAAGTAATAAGAGTAGCTACGGGATTTACGAACGTATATACTAGAGTAAAATAAGCGAGCGAAGCTTATCTATATAACGATCGTACTACGACGAAATATTTTCGTAGGCTAAGCTCTAACGCGCTCGGACTAACGAGCTAGCTAACGAGAATACTAAAATAGTTAAAAGTTATAACCGGTTAAGAAGCGTATCTACCGCCTTAAGAGATAAAAACTTAGATAGCGATCTAAGAATAGCGACGTATCGTATTCTTTTAGCGAAGAGACTATTATTCTTAACTATCTATTAACGTCGACGAGTAGCTTAAATACGGCTAATAACGAAAGTATTTTCGATATCTATCTATACGCTACTAGTAATATACTATCGTAGTATCGCTTCGAGTAGTCGCCGATTATACTTAATCTAATTAAGACTCTAGTCGAGTAGTACTTATTCTTACTTAAAAAAATACTATATAGGACTCGTACGCTTTAGTACCGCCGATATTAAATAAGAGTATATACTATCTCCTTCTATAATATCTCTATCGTCTACTATTTAGTAGAGATAATCTCTTAAGCGACGTAACTACGCTCGAATTAACTAGACTACTAGAACTATTCGTTCTTAATAATAGCTAGACTTATCTTAATTAGGCTACGATAGTCGTTTCTTCTTATTATTATTACTATCGATATCGTTATTATTAGTATTATTACTATTAGCGTTATTACGTCGGTTAAATAGCGATCTTAGTAGTTAACCGATCTTATCCGAGTTACTATTATTACCGTATAAAATAAATCTTAATAAAGCTCTTCTAATTTTAGAGGAGAAACTTAAGTAAATAGACTATAAGCTTAAAGAGTTATTACTTTTAAAACGGTCTATATCGTCGTTACCCGTTAAGTAGACTATCTAACTATTAACCGTAAGAATAATATCTATTCGCTCTAATATATTCGATAGTATTCGTAATAGAAACGTCCGTAAGTTAAAGCTATAATATTAAATTACCTCTTATTAATCTATCTCGTTCGTAGACGCTACTAAAGAGATAAAGAAAAAAATAGCGATAATAATACTACGCGATTTCTTAATAGAGCTAGCTAGGGCGTTCTTTAAAACTCTTATTAGAAGCGATAAAATAGATCTTAACGCTATTTATATAATACTCTAACGCTATTTTCTAATCGAAGCGTCTACCGATAGATTTTAGTAGGGGATAAAGGCGCTTACCGCGCTAAAATAAGATAATAGAACTATAATCTAGTACGGTTAGAAAGTCTTAAATATCTAAAAAGCCCTCGAATTAAATAAGAACGAAAAAGCGAACGTATATCTCGACTTTATCTAAGCTACGTTAATTAACTACTTTATCGAGAATATCTAAGATATTAATACTAGAAAGTTCGTTCGCTCCCTAATACGGCTAAATAAGAATAAAGAAGAAGTATAGATAACTTTAAATAAGATAGTCGAGACGTCTATTAAGATAGCTAATAAGAAGATTAATAATCTCTATCTTAACTAATCTATCGTTACTAGTAGTAGCTAAGATAAAGAAACGATATTCTCGATTAACGATTTATCTAAACTTATACCTTCTATAATTAAAGTAATAAGTAAGTTTTTAATATCGTCTTAACTACCGCTACTACTATTATAGTAATAAGCGTCTAGAGAATATCGTAGCTAAGAAGAATATTAATAAGAATAACTATCTTAAGGCTAATAATAGAGTTCCGCTTCTTCTTCTCTACTATAAGGTAAGGGCTAATACTTTATTTATACTAAACCGGGCTATATTACTAGAAACTATACTATAAGGAATCTATCTATAGACGAGCGCCGTAAGATAAAGAAAGATAACGAAAAGAAGTTTAAACGTCTTTCGCCTTCTAGTTAGCGATAACTATTAGCGATACCGGCTACTAAAGCTATTAATTTTATAAAGTCGGTAGAGTATAACGCTCTAGAGCGAATAATTCTAAAGAATAGAGAAGCGACGTTTATAATATCGTTTCTAACTAACTAGTATATTACGACTATAGTAAGAGATATAATTATAAAATCGTTAATACTTAGTATAGAGATAGTCTAGGCTAGAAACTATACTAAAGTATATATAGCTAAGCGCTACGGTAGTAAAACGGGGTTATCGCCTATATAAAAATAAAGTAAGAAGCTACGTAAGACTAAAAGAGTAATAGCGAGCGATTCTAAGCCGTTTAAAAGTATCCGCGGAATAGAGAATATACTAAAATATCCTATAATATAGAATATTCTTAATAAACGCATCGTTAAGGCCGACGATATTACCTATAGTTAATTTTTTAATTACTTATCGAAATTATCTATAGATATAGGTAAAGCCCTTATTAAGCCTACGTAAAGAAGAACTAAGACTACTACTTAAGAGCTACTAGTCTCTTAAACTACTCTACTATCGGTTTCGATTAAAGAAATAGTTACTATAATCGAGGTCTTAGCTAGAGACGTAATCGATAACTTCTATATTTTAAGTAAGATAAGAAACCATATTATTAAACGTTATCTAAAGCCGGAGATATAGCGTATTAACTATATTCTACTTAACTCTAAATCTAAATATAACTTCGTACCGAATAGCGTTATCTAATAGCTTTATCTAAAGAAGAAGTAAATTTAAGATTTTTATCTTAAGACGGCTCTTAGACGTAAAGTAATAGTCTCTTATATTATTATATTCGACGTCGATATCGGCGGAGCGCTACGTAGGGTAAATACGTATATAGCTAAGAATAAAACGACCTATACTATTCTTTTAGATAGAACGTAGCTCTATTCTATTAAGGCTTAAGAGAGGTACGAAGGCTAGTTAATTAAAGTCTAAAACGATTATAGCCGGATCGTAGCTCTAAAGCGGTATAATTAGTACTAAGAGAACTATATTAAAGTTACTTAGCTTTAAGTATCTACTCGCTTTAACCGGGTCGAAGAACTCTCTAATAATAACGAATTAAAGACTATCGAAGAAGAATTCGACGACGAAGACTTAGAAGAATTATTTAAAGAAGAGGATATAGACGGTTTAGTTAATATTATAACTAGTATCAATAATATCGTTAACTCGGGGAAAGATAGTTATTCGTAATAGAGCCCCTAGCTATTACGAATACTAAGATAAATCTAGAGTATTTATCTAAAGTATATTTCGAGCGTATATTTACTTACCGCGGATTTAAAAAATTAATTAAGTAGAATTACTAAATATCTTATAATAAGTAGCGTAGTAGAGCGAGAGCTTAAAATACTAAGTTTATAAAAATAACGTAGTATAATTTAAGTAGTATAGATAGGCGAGTAAAGAAGTAGATTCGCTAGAGTATAAAGAAATTATTACTAGTTAAAAGTTAAGCGGTCTCTTAGTATAACGATATAAGTCTTTACGAAATTAATAATATATTATTATAGCTAGATATAATTTAATAAGTATTCTCTCTAACTAAATTAGACTTATCTAAGTCTAAAATAATTATAATATTATCTATATTCGAAGCTAAGAATCGCGTAGAATTAAGAATAAAGAAGAATAAATAGCCTTTAAGAGAGTTTATAACTCTAAAAACGTAAGTATCTATTACTAGTAAGTAGTTTAGATAACTATTAGTATTATCTAATAGTCTTTTATAGTATAAAGTTCTATTATTACCTATATTAAAGAAGGACTTAAAGAAAGGGGAGATTACTTCTTTAAAGAGTTATATTATAACTAATATAAATTCTTAGCGTAAGAATCGATCTTATCTAATTATCGAGACTTACGACTTCGTAACGAACTTAGATACTATAGCCTAGAACCGTCTAATACGGGTAATATTATTAAAGAAAAATATTTATTAGAAGAATTCTTAAAGAATAAAGTACTATCTAAAACTACTAGAGTACTACCTATATTCTAAGGCGGTATAAGACGAGTATTAAGGCGAGAATATATCGGTATTATTACTAATACCGACGATATTAAAAATATCTACTATAGAGTAACCGCTTTTACCGCCTAGTTATCCTTAGTACTTATATTAACTAGACTAGTTATAAAGAAATTAAGAAGAAGTAGTATTTAGATTAAAACGATTAGAATTTCCTATAAAACGTTAACTAAAGTAATTCCGGCGTAAACTCTTAGATACTCTAGACGTAGATATTACCGAATAGATTACGCCGAATTTCTATATACTCGAAAATCTAGTAGAGACCGACGAGTAGAAAAAGCGCGTTACTCGACTACTCTATATATAGCGAGATCTCTTTACGTT